TCAATGATTATGTAGAGGTATACGTATTTTGAGGGGCTATAGAGATATTTTTATATGACTGTTGTCTGATTTGGCTGTTGCCATTACCAGGGTACAGTAAAGAAGGGTGGACTGAGTGTGTTTCGGTAATTCCAATGGATTATTTAAGAAGGAGTATTAGGGCCACATTAAGGGAAAAAATATGAAGACTTTGAGAATAAAGTCATTACTTACGAGAATAAAGTCGTAATAAAATCATTATGATACCTATGATACTGTGGTGCTGATGTGCCAAAAGACCAAGTATCTCCTTGTCTTTTTCACGAAATGCTCCATGGCTCTCATTTCAACAACTCTCACCTTAAACAGCAGGTTAGAATATATGACTTTATTCTGACTTTACTCTCATAAGTGATTATTCTCCTAAGTAATTACTTTGTTTCAACTTTATTCTCATTAGTAATCACTTTATTCTCGTAAGTCAATGACAATCTTGAAGTCTTACATTTTTTTTTCTTACTGTGGCCCTAATACTGCGTCGTAATTATTTGGGGGTTTAAGAGTTCAGTTGCAATAAAATAAAAATAATCTGTTTCATTCACAGTACATAGGATAGATAAGTGTAGAAAAAAAACAACAAAAAAAATTAGCCCAGAACTTTTGGCTAAGCATTCTGGGAATAAAATCAAAAGTATAAATTCAAAATCAGAATTCTGACTTTTTTCTCAGAGCTCTGTTTTTTTCCCCCTCAGTATTTGGGGGGAAAAAGTCAAAAGTCTGTGTATAAAACCATAAAATTGACATTCTTTTTTATTCTCTAAGTGTTACGTTGAAATTCTGATCTCAGCTTTCTTAAGAAAAAAAGAAATTCAGAATCCTGCCTAAAATCTAAAACTTGAGATGAAAGTCTTTCTGAGAAATGAGAGGGAGTTATAAAAAAATTCTGCCATTTTTTCTTTGGGTTGCCCTCATCCTCTTTTGAGGTATGTAAGCTGCTTTTTCATATTCTTGTCCTGGACTCAACATTACTTTATATCTTATTGATTCAAGAGGGACAGGTATGGGTGTTACAGTGTATTGTTTGGTACAGTACTTTTTCAGACTTTCCTTACATACACCAAAAATTAGAAAGGTCCCCTGTACCTCTAATCTTCTTTAAAATACTTATCTACCCAAAAGTCAGCTCCACAGACTCCTAACTAGACTGTCCACTGAGACATTATTCCAGTCTTCTGCTGGATAGGGCTTCTCCTCTCTCACCTGGAGCTTTTGGTAAACCCATAAACATTACATCATCTGCAAACAGCAAAGACGCCAGGCTGCTGTCACCACAGTAGACGCTCTCTGTACCTCTGCATTAGCAGACATCCTGTCTAATTACATTGAATGAAAAAGGAACAAGTTGCATCCTATTAAGAGTCTAAATATTTTGCCAAAACTTCACCTCTTCCTCGACATCCTGCAGGGACCAACTGAGTCATAGAGTTCTGAGTATCCGTGAGGTAAAATGATGTAGTTTGATCGTTATGTACAGACTAGTTAAGCTGTCACTTTTAGTATTTAAAAAGCCTAAACCTTGTCTCTTCATTAAATACAGCAGTGACAGTGAAAAAGAGAGTTCAAAACACAGTCGCAGACCAGAGAGGCAGGTTGAAGACTGTGGGATCACACACACTAACAGCAGAGATGGACTTGGATTCAGTCCAGACTGCCTGCCGCGCCAACTGTCAGTCATATTACACCGCTAACAAAGAATGCAATAAGTACCAGCTAATTAAATCACACTGGATACACTCTTAGAAAGCGATACTGCCTCACAGCTTAGATTTCTGTTTTTGTGTCACTCACTGCCAGCTCTGAGGAATCGATTGCTTTTCTACCTGCTGCTGAGCACTTTGCTCATTTTCTCACACACACAAACACACTGATGAGTGGGCAGTGTCATTCGCACAGACCCAGATGGCAAAACCCATTCGGTCAGTGACCCCGAAGGCAGCATTTTGTTCTGTAATTAAAGTACATTAACACATGTTCTACAAGATTTTTTTTCCCCCTCACAGTTCAGGGTGAGGGGCTGTAAAGTGTTTCCCTGATACAGTATTCTGTATCATCATATCCCTCTGCCTTCGTTTGATGTGCTGATCTTCAATCAGCCTGCAGAGGAGTGCTGAGGAACATCAGAAAGCTTTACACTGCAGCCAACTCAAGTTTCAGGATGCTGTAACTTTTTGAACTTTAAGCCTTTTCCTTTGGGAGTTACACTTTATTCGTGGTGACAGGTGACCAGAGAGATTTAGCAGAGGGCTGATCTTGGGTAAGCTGTGAAAGTTGATAGGAAGGGTTGCATTTTGGTATAGTCGCAGACTAATAATCAGATTGAATTGCAAGCACTCAGACGTCTGGAGACAGTTTAGCTGAAGTTCATTGTCTGTGTGCTGAAGTTGCAGGTGGTTTGCGTGAAAAATTTAGAGAATGAAAATTAAACTTATAATTTAATCTAAACAAGCATTTATATATTGAGTTAGTTAAAACACCTGAGCACTACCTAAAGCAATTATAACACTGCAAAGGTATGTTTACATTTCAATGTGTTTTTACAACTTGCTGGCGAGTTAAAACCGAATACTTTTATTTAACGGTGTATTTACACAACAGCTCAAGAGTCTGCTATCTCAATTGCGTAACCCACTAACGGTCTATTGTATTACCTTACAAAGAATCGTGGGATAAGTAGGGTTTTAGAGGATGCACCAGATGCAGTTTTCACAGCCTGCATGGGGAAAGTAGGACGCATTTGACGGCTGCATTTGGAGGATGTGCTGCTGTGATGCATTTGGTCTTCAAAGGCTGTAGCCCCTGAATTGGGACAAACTTTATATCTGCTTTTTTTGTTGTTATTTCATGAAAAGCAACTGACTTGAGAGAAAGATAGAAAGAAAGAAAAGTGTTATGATATTCAAATAAATGGTTAAAAAGGAGGCAATAAGTAATGAATGAATTGTCAAATAGTCGTATCCAACTAGGCCACTGTATGAAAGAGAAAAACTCCCTGAAGCAATAACACTTTTTCTGGAAACATGCATCATGCAACAATGACTTGATATGACGTAATAAAGCTGAATAAAAATATATATTTTTAGCTGATATTCAATAAATGTATGATATGTATAATATTCAGCAAATCTGACTCCCATCAGGTTATCTACTTATGAAATGATAGGTGTAGTATTTGATTTCCAGGCTTCTGGGAGTGTTTGTAGGGCTGAGGCCTTCAATGTGCAGCATTGTGCAGTCGTTTTATATCAGCAGCTTGATCTGTCTTCAGGATGTTCTGCAAAATCTCCTGAAATCATGTGCTGCCATTGTTTCACTTGTTTTAAATTTAAACACATGTGAACGCGGTGCAAACATGTACTCTCTTGATACTTTCTCCTCTCTGACGACAAGTGATGACTTTTTCACTTGGAACTGGAGGAACCGTTCAACCCTGCTGCCAGCATCTTTTTATCAGAAAGAAAAGTAAACACTGAGTCTGGAGATTAAATGACGTTGACAGATGATTTTTGCAGTACAGAGACCAAACATGGTGCAGAGATAGGCCAAGGGCTCAGGCTGTTGGACCTTTCAGTGTGTACGTGTGTGTGTGAGAGAGAGAGAGAGAGCGAGAGAGGTGTGTGTTTGTGTGATCAGGCTCTATACATGACGCTCTCCAGTCCCTGGCAGTGGAAGGGGTCTGAGGTCTGGGCGCCATGGAAACTGCCCATTGGGCCTCAGTGGGGAGGAACATCATGCACACACACGCTCTGTTTCTGTTGGACCGCCCAGCAGGAATTCACTTATTTGTGGAAATGTTAAGAATTCAAGCAATGAAGCTTAAAAAATTGAACGTTCACCAAAATCTAAACACTTTCCCCGAGGTGGAGGGATCACCCTGGCGGCTCGGTGCGATGACACTCCACGTCCAAATCTGGACCTTAATGCTCACTGATTATTTTTACAAAGAGAAATGGCACGGAAGACTGTCCAGAGAAAACAACCCCGACCATTAAAACAAACCTTAACCCTCCAAAATAAAAGCCTTTGACTAACTGTAGTTTGAGACAACAGTCCTCTTCCTCCTTCAGTCTCTCTCCTGCATGTCTGCTCTCACTTTCACTCAGCAGACAATGGCCTCTCTGTCTCCTCTGTTTAACCACTTTCTCACCTATCCTAAACACTCACACACACATCCCTGCAGACATAACCTTGTACTCACACAAGAGCACATATAGACACAAATTAACACCTTTTTTTTGTGCACACATGCAGAAACATACACACGGATTATCCCTCTTTCCAAGTCCAACATGGTTACAGCGGAAGGCCGTTCAACATGAGTCCTGTTCTGCTCGAGGTGAAAAAGCGATTTTCCTCGCTTCTGTAACGTTTTAAATGATGCAAAGTGCTTTGCTCATGGTGCATTTAGATAGGATAAAACTGAATCTAATCTTTTCTTGATAATGGGTCTTTGTAAATCATCCACAGGAGGATTTTACAGACTTGCTCTTTCTGTACAGCCTTGTGAGAAAACATTTGTTGTGCATCGGTGCTTTTACAAATAAAGATTGAATCATTACTGGATTTATTGATGGATTGATTGAAACACTCACAGCCAAAGAAGGGAAAAAAAGCAGGAAAATCTCTGGTGTGATACCGTCCTGAGTATGCCCGGGCAGAGCTGAAGTGTGGCACATGCCTTTGATGTGAATCCAGAGCATGGGCATGTAACAAACGCTGATACCAAATTACACCCTGTCCTTCTTTGATCTCTAAAACCCCATGCCTGCTTCTACAGGGGTAATAAGATTGTGTGTGTGTGTGTGTGTGTGAGTGTGTGTATGTAAGTCAGAGTGTGTTTGTACATCTTCACCAGCATGATCACTGGAAATACTCAAGTCTGTGGATTAGCTTAAATATGCATGCATGTGTGTTTATTTGCATGCATGAGTGAAAATGTGCAGTGATATTCCAAGTGTGTGCTGTCAGTGTGCGTTGCAGAGTTGCTGTGATGTGTGTCTTGGAGGGTAGCAGTTGCAGTGTAAGGCCATGGGGGAACTAAACCCTGGCAGAGGCTTGTAGGCGCCTGGTAAAAACATGTTCCTGGAGACCTTGTCTTGTCGACACGTTGTCCACAGTGGACTCCCCACTCTGCCTTCACAGCCGACGATGATCGAGTTGCGTCTTGGATTTCCATCTGAACCGGCCTCTAATCTCATGACAGTCAAGCGTGAACGGAACCACTTCTCAGCCCTGTAAGGTCAGGAATTAGCACAACACATGTTTATGTGTCCCTCATTACCCAAATGTGTCTGAGGTTTTGGAGCGAGGGATGATACACCCCGAATGAGACGTTGAGGTTACATAATGTTGTAATTATGTATGTACTGTGGTTACTATACAGTTTTAAGAGTCAAGCTCGTTCCAGCTCATGCTGTTTGGATATAAAATGATGGATGGTATATCTACTGTGAGAAGAGCAACAGGAGGATTATCAAAATACCTGCATCACTGTTAACCTTTAACTTTGGATGTCATCACCATTTCAAAATATTTGTGAACAGAATTCATCACAGCATCGGAGTGTAAGGAATTGCTTTAAAGTTTAATACAAGAAAACAGAAACACATTGGGATGAAATGTAAATGAGGTAAAACAGTATCAAAAAAGCCACAAGCAGTATAAAAACACTAAAAATACAGATATTTTTGGCACAGAAAAAGCAGCTTTTGTGTATAATTATCAACAACTTCACAATTAAAGAAGTGAGGACCTTAAAGAGATAAGGTAAAAAAGTGGTCACTTACAAGACATTACTCAAAATCTGTGATTACAATCCCCTGATTTGAGTGTGTTCGTTTCACCCATCCTCTATCACCCCTTACTATCCCTCCTTCTCTCCTATCAAAAAGCAACAAGAATGATTCAGTGATATACAAATAACAACAAAATCTCCTTTTTTTCAAATATAAATGTGACATAAAGAGACAACATAAACGGACATGGATACTCGACACAAAAAACCATCATCCGTGGGAGCAACAGAGACGCAGCAGTTTTGGTTTGTTGCTATGGTGCACAAAGTTAACATGTCTGTCCGCGGCTGTGCCTGAAAACACAGCAATAAAGAAGGTCAGTTTTGCTTTGTATTTAGCTTTTTTTATGTTAAGTGGAAAAACTACATGTCTGCGACAATTTGTCTCCCTGCATCTCCTTGTAAAAGCCGAACAAGTCATCTAGTGCTTGTAAATACCAGAAGAGCTGCACAGCCGGGTAATGAGGAAGATGAGCGCTGCGGGAGGTTTACTGCACTTCATGGGTGTCTGGCGGCACTTAGTGGTGAACGTCTGTCACTGAGAGAGTTCAGTATGCTACGCAGAGGTCATACGAGCTGAAGGCATTCATGGCATGTCTGTGAGAGTTCAATTTGTCACACAAATATGGGACATGACCTAAAATATCAATTATAACCCTGTTGCTGTTCTAAGACATATGCTATTATGGAGCTTGTTTACAAACACATGTAAACAATTTGGCCTGCCAAAATGGCCAAACGGAGTGATGTAATGGAAACTATGAACGTACTGGGATCTGCTGTCTCACCAGGAATAGAGGGCAAATTATAAAGCAGCAGTTGCAGAGAAATGTCAGTGTGTTTCCATCCAGGCATGATACTGAAAACACAATGGTGGTTTTGATTTAACACAGAGGCAGATGTCCTGTTAGGTTTGGCTGCAGCACCATAAACAATGGTGTGATGTTATTCTTTTAGAGACAAACACAGATGATTCCTGTTTGGTACCGTAATACATTCAGAGGCTGTATTACAAGATACCGAAGGCGATTTTTACAAGCACTTAGGAATGAGTTGGAAACAAAACAAAACAAAATAGATTGATGGAATGCTTACAAAATGATGCACACCCTGGATTTCCAGTCATTATCAAACCCATGACCGTTCACTTCCTGGTTGTTCAGCTCATCAAATACTCCACTCTCAATCATCTCCTTCTGCCACTGGATAGAGACGGCTCCTGTGCTGAACTCTTTAAAGAATTTCAGATCTTTGGACTCAAATTTTATGTCCTCGACTTCGGAGGTCTCCCTGAGCTTGTGCGCATCCTTGGCGTAGACAATGTTGGGATTTGGCACCCAGGGGGCCTCCACCAACCCGGCCTCCAGACGGTGGAGATTAATGGCCTTGAAAAACGAGTGGTTTCGGGGATCATCACCGCTTCTGGAAGGATGAGACAGGTGCATCATGATTGAATTTAACATTTAATGTCAAAGGTATTTGGTGGGTGAAATCTTTAAACTGGATTTGTGAAATTTCAATATAGGCCAAGAAACATGAAGTCACAATTATAGGTACACATCCTTGACCTTCTAGACGAAGCTAGTTTGCTGTTACTTGAGCAGTGGTTTTTACAATGTTAGGTAAAGCCTTGTGATGTGTAGATCCTCTCAATCATTCATTCACTTCATTTTATTCCCTTCTCTTAACTCTCAGACTTTCCCAGCTCGAGTAAAGAGGGAACAGAAAGATGAAAACCTCATCTACCAGCTCTTTGTCTCAGTGTTGAAATACACAAAGTAGCTGAATTCAATTGATCCTGTGAACAAAATAACAAGTACACACACACACACTTATATATTTGTATAGACTGCAAATTCACTTTTACTATTTCATATCAGTGCATGTTATATCATATACTGCATTGTATTGTTAGTATTGTATTGTATGTTTTTATACAGTGTCATGCAGTTTCAGACTGTATGTCCTATGGTATGGTTGGTATCTTGTCATATCCTTTTGTATTGTATTGTTTAATATATTATTGTATTTTACAGTATAGTAGGGTTTTAGTTTATTTTTTATTCAATGGTATTTTATGGTATGTTATTGTATTAAACACTTGTTTGTACTGTATCATATCTTCCTGTAGTATTGTCTTGAATGGTATTTTATGGTTTGGTATAGAATGGCATTGTATCGTATCAAATCTGTGACTATTAAAATCTTTGGTGTCTATTGTACCTGCATTACTGCCAAGATTGAACCAAACTGAGGACAAAAGTACTTTCTTCTTGTTAACACCCACAAACCAGAGTGTGACAAAGCTTTTATAAAGGACATCACTTTTTTTTTTACTCACCGGCACCCCAAACGATATGCCACCTTCTTCTTCAGAAAGCGGCTGATGATATCTTTGGTAGGGTCATCGAAGCGTTTGTGCTCAAACTTGCACTCATCTTCCAGGGTGCGACGAGTCACCTCCTCTTTCTGGACCTTTTCTCTAAAGTCTTTGAAAGGCAAACGGGCGGCCACCATCTCATAGACGCTGCAGCCCAGGGCCCACCAGTCCACAGACGTGCGATAATTCTCCTGCCTCAAAATCTCAGGAGCCATGTAGCCTGTTGTACCAGCCTGACAGATCGGACACACAAAAAGAAGTGAACTCTAAATATACAAGTGCTGTGTTTTCCCAAATTTACCAGACCACTGAGTGAAATAACACATATAAAAATAAGTTAAAAGGCATTACATCCCTGAGAAAAGAAGTATGTAAAAGGCATTGATGTGGGAGTCCTTCTGCTCTCTTCTTTCAAAGGCCTCATAGAATAATCCTGTCTGTCTAATCTATAAGTTAATTTATGTTATCTGCATCAGACTGCTCTGACCAGCTTCCACATGACAACATAATCACATTATAAAATATTAAGATTAAAATAGAAAAAGTTAACAGGAAGATGAAACAAAGGGACACAGTTTCAGCAAATAACGCTGCATTTGCTGCTCTGCTGACAAATTAAACTTGATTGTTCATTTTGTATCACACCTCTTGTGAGTGGAGACCAGCTGTACGTCTCCTCCTGACTCATCTCCTAGAGAGACACGTGGGAGTTATGTCTGGTATTAGAGCGGCAAAGATTATCCAGCTAACGCTAACATGCTCTTGTCAGCTCCCTGTCATTTCTCAGCCAGTGTAGTATCCAACTACAGAAGAGGTCAGGCACCTTTTAAGACCACAAGATCAATTTGGGTCCAACAGGGCTGTAGTGGGACATTGTAAGTTCCTGGTGAACCAGACTTGGTGGTGGTTTAAATTCTGTGCACCGTCTCATAATAGGGGGTTAAATACAAGAAGTGGCTTAAAGAAAGAGTACGCTATGTCCACACTATGTTTGGATATCTGAGTGTACATCAGAAGAACTTCATAAGTTAGCACAAAAGAGTCTTTGCAGAGTGCAAGGCTGAAAAATGTGTGACAGTGATCATTGTAGGCTAATCTAAGGTCATGGTCACAAAGCTAACCTTCTGGCAGATCGTCTTGCTCTTTGGCAGCTCCACAGCCAATCCCAGATCTGACAGACGACACTGTCCTTTGGCATCCAGCAGCACGTTCTCAGGCTTCATATCCCGGTACACAATGTTCATCGAGTGAAGGTGGAGAATTCCTGTGGTTATCTGGGCCGTGTAGTAAACAACACGCTCCATGTGGATACCCCGTTCCCCGAGCTCATAGATATGAAACTTGAGGTCTCCTCCATTCATGAGGTCCATGACCAGGCACAAGTGGTTTTTGCTATCATAAGAGTAGGCCAAGTTTACGATGAAGAGGCTGTTGACCTTCTCCATGATCTGCTTTTCCAGAAGAGCAAACCTCTCTCCGCCTTTCTTCTTCAGGCGCCTTTTGTCCAGCTTCTTGCAGGCATACATCTGGCCTGTGTGCTTTACCTGCACTGCGCACACCTGCAAAGCAGATCTAGGTTACTTGAGAATTGACAATAGTTTTATGCACTTGTTTTCCACTGTTGTGATCAAATGCAAAGAAATTATCAAGTAAGCATTAACTCATCTACCTGTACGTTTGTTACAGAGAGCTTAATATTCAACAAGATTCTCTATAAACTAATGGACCGTCTAAATCTGCTGGGACTGTGATGGAAAAACACCATCAGTATGATAACTTAACAAGATCCCGTTTGAGTGCCCTTGAATTTAGCAGTTTTATATAAATCTGTATGTGTAAAATGTTATAGAAAATGCTGACACACCTCACCAAAGCCTCCTCTTCCCAATGTCCGAAACTCGTAAAAGTATTTGTCACTGATCCTCTGCTTTTCGTGCTCCTTCCACTGCAAGAACCTATAGAAATAGGGGCTTTTTAGATACTCGGAGAAAGGTCTCCCTTTCAGAAAGTCTCTTGTGGCTTCTTTCAGTTGGCCCAATATGACCTCACTGAAGTTCCTCTCTGTTAACTTCTTGTTCTTCTCAGCTGCCTCGCCTGTGAGGTAGGAGAGAAAAGTCCTCGACTCGGGTTGACAGAAGTTAGCAAGGATGCTCTTTTTGACCTTCTCTCTGGTTTTATCTTCAGCCAAACCCCAGTTATCCAGCTCCTCTAGAAACTCAGCAGCAGCTGCATACTGAGAGTTAGAGGCCAGGAGAAACTGCCGGAACAACTGTCTACCAATAGGCTGATGCTCACACAGAGATTCGTAATTCCTCCCCACTTCTGCCCGGACAGAAGAGGTCCTCGTTGGCTTTGGTAGTATCAAGGACAGCCGCAGCTTCCTCAGCTCATTGCGATCTATCTGTTGAGCGTTCAGAAAAGCTGTGTTGGCCACAAGGTCTTCTAGTCCCAACAGGTCATCCATATCGGATGAATCCTGTGAAACAGCCAACATGTAAGCAGTCATGTTTACGACTGACCACCTACAGCACCGTCATCCAGAACATCTTCTACCGTTTGTGCCTCATATCTCTGAGCATTGCTAGTCCCTCTATCCTCAGGGATTTGCGGTGAACTAAGTGTCTGTGCATGCTCATTTGTAGACGGCAGTAAGGGAAAGCAACTTATGTGGTTTGAACTTAAGAGGCTTTAGGCTTGTCTATTTTAGGAGATGCAAAGTGCCTGTGTGCAGTAACCCTGCTGCCAGCATTAACTGATGAGGTGGCAGATCCTGACCTGAGCAAGGTATGGTTGATTGTAGCTTGTTATCAGATAAAGAAGCCAGTGAGGTAGCAGTGTGTTTACAATATGTGCAAAATGCAAAGACATAGGCCTATTCACATTTCACACAACAATGTAAGAACAAATAAACATCCAATAAAAGAACAGACAGAGACAGAGATCATACAACTCTCATGATGAGTTAAAGGCCAAGTCGTTGATATTGGGGACAATCTAACATGAAGGAGTAGCTTGTTCTATAGTTTGGGGGCCACTGCCGAGAAGACGCAGCCCCCCCTGGTTTTCAGCCTGGTCTTAGTGACCACAAAAAGCTGCTGTCCTGTAGATCTCAAAGACCTTGCGAGAATGTAGCAGACCTTGCTTAGTGCAGGACAAAAGGTCTTTCACTAAATTGGCTTTTCCACCAACTGTGGCATGAAACGAAGGAGTGAGTCTAGTAAAAAAAACTGAGTGAACAAGTTGAGGTACTTTTGTCTTGTTTTTTGTTTATTCTAGTTGTGAGTAAGGGAGCGTATATTGTAAGCAGGAGAACACAAGACCTGAAGCAGAGAGGTCTTGCTCACCCTAACGGAGTCTACCAACTGGGACAACCCACTCACTATACATTGACCAGCTTTTGACAACCAACTCACTTAAAGTTGTTGTGAGGAACCTTTGGTTTGTGACCATTTTCACCCATCCCATGCACAGGGAAGTACATCTGTAGATGTAGAATGTAGAATTTCCTGAGAATAAATCTCATCCTGCTGTCTTTCTTTGTTGGTCATAAAGGTCATCATCAATGTAAATCTCAGCCTACTTCACAGCACTCACAGTTTAGGTTACATCCATACTGACCATTTACTCTGTAGCCGGAGATAACTCTGCTGTAATTAATCACATTAACTAGAATAAACATTGCTCAGCATCGTTTAACATGATATAACTTTGACTTTATTACATTTAGTCTGCTGTAGTTGGTGATTAGAGCCCTGTCCATAGCAAGATTGTGGTTAGAAACAACAATTAAACAGCAATAGTTACTACGTTTAATATCTGATATCAATTCATTGACAATTTATATGATGCTTAGTTCTTGAGGCAATAAAACACAACACAACTGATGATATGATTTATGGTAGTAGCATTAAGAAATTAGACTGTGGGTAAAGCAACAAAATCTGCACCCACAGAAAGCTCATCAGGCTTCATCGCTTCGGATTGGACGTCTCTGCCTCCTCTTTTCATGAAACTGATACTGTCATCAATTATAATACACTGTGATGGAAGTTCTGTGTTAAATATTTTCTCTAGTTATACTTAGAAGCAATACAGAGATCCTAAACTTTGAGTTGAGATGATGTTAGAGAGGAAGACACACTTAGAAAAATGAATCATGGCATAGTTTATTCCTAAGTATTTACATCTATTTGTTTTTTTTAAAGTTATTATTTTGTTTATTAAAATTTCTTAAAATCAGAATAAATCTGTTTATTTTGAAAACAATTCAGTATAATCATTTAGAATGTATGAATACAGTTTAAATATGATGAGCTGTGGATCAACCAAGATTCATTTAAATTTATGAGACAGAAACAAATTGTATTTAATAATGATGAATACATAAATCTGTCATTATTTATCCAAAACATATTGGGTTATTTGGTATTATTTCATAAATCTAATTCTTAACTGTTTCATTTACATCGTCTGACAAACATACAGCAGATAAAGGTTATTGGCTTGTCTATGTTAGATCTAAGTAACTCAAATGGATGGAAATTTAATCTGAGTGCATGACAAAGTGTTTGGCTGAGAGGAAAGCTCACACTGAGAAAACTTAAGTTTCACCTACATTTTATACAATCACTGAATTAACAACAAAAAATACGTCAACACACCCGTTATATACAAGGATCACACTGTTATAATTGATAGATCATTGACGTGAAATCACAGCTGATATTGGCTCTTATACACATTGATTATAGAACTGTGCAGCTCATTAGGAAATGACTGGGAATCACTGATACTGGGACTGATTCTCAGTCACTTCCCCCACATGGTCAAGTGGTTTGAGGTAGCGACCTTCCAGTCGTTAGCCTCTTGACTAAGTGAATTATCCCGATCAGTCTTTACCACTTACAATATTGCTTGACAGGCTAACAGTGTTAAGCAGTTTTCTTCTGAGGACACTGAGCTGTCCTGCATAAATGGGATGACAAAAATTATACAAATATTTCTGTGATACTATAATGCTCCCAGTCCTCATTCAACACATGCATCAACAACAACTGTGGAGTGGTTTCACCTTCACAACACATGTTTTTATCCACTGATTATATGCGTAAAGCATGATATGTATTATAACTTGTCAGCATATTTGTTGCTGTTTTGGTTTGATTCAAAATCAAACTGGAACAATGTCAGACTCACAATCTGTGTTTAACAACTGCAAGTGGTACAGTGGTTGGTAAGGCTGTCTGCCAGATAGTTCACTTTGACTGCCAAAGTACTTATGGCGGAAAGGAGACTAAAGGATTTGACTCTATCCATTAACTGAACACTCAAGATCTAGACCCTTATATAGTGGGACTGGTAAGGCTATCTGTCTATCTAAATATGTAGATTGTAAGGTGTCTATAAGAAAAGAAATACATGTTTACAGCTATACACAGTTCTTTATTGTTAAAAAGACAGTCACATATTCAAGATGTGCTTGACAGCACCACGTGATAATGTAAAGCTTAAGGGACCAAACACTGCAAGGTTCACTCTTCTCTTGCAACTCTTGATCCCATCTAGTCACATCAAAAATCAGTAACAACTGGTCTGTGCTGCTTTAATGTTTGTCCATCACCCTCCTGTGACAACCAGGACTACTGGAACATGCAATCATAAGTAGGAGGACAGCTGTCGCAGGCCAAGCGGCTCTGCGCAGGACACTGTAGTGATCACCGTCAAGTCCGTCACCACTTTTGGGTGCAAACGAGTGCTGTCTGAAAGTCAGATTGCTAGAGGTGAAGCTTATTTGCCGATTCTCTGAACCACCCAGTCCTGCTGGCAGAGGGGACAACGGTTGTTCTGCTTCACCCAGAGGGACATGCAGCAGTTGTGGAAGGAGTGGTTGCATTCACCCCAAACAACTGAAAGAAACATTTAGACAAGGAAACACAAAAAGAGACAAAGGTTGAATTTTAAGAGAGATTACTTCAGGTTACTCAAGAGAACACAAAAATTATTTTAATAGGGATTAGGTTTTCAGTGAATTTATAGGTCTTTTATTACTTCTCTTAAAGCAGAGTCCTACACATCTTGATCATGCTTTGATGAGGTCAACTATTACACTTACTAGTAGTGGTGGGAATCACCAGTGGCCCAACAATATTATCACAATACTATATTATTGTGATTTTTAACATTTTGTAATACAGTGAGTATTGCAATTCAATGTACTGCGATTTATACACATTTTTCAACTGTTAAGCTAATTCAGCATTTGTCCTTCCTTTGTGTTTGCCTTATTTACATTTTATTTTATTTTCATGTAGCACATCTTGCAAACCTTATATATATATTTGTTGTACTAACTTTCTCCTGCTCTGTGATGTCACCTCTACCAACCTCACTGGTCAAACAGTTGACTTTATTTTTCCATTATCATAGATTTGACTTCATATTAGCAATTAATTTGTAAAACCGATACTTGGTAAATGAGTCTGGAACTCCCCATAACCCTAACCCTAACACTAGAATATTTGTTGACATTTTTCCACATTTTTTGGTAGCAACTGACTCCAAATGGTCTGAAACGTGCTACTAAAAATGTCATGGACAGTGATTATCACCTTCATCCCATAACCTTAACCCCAACCCCATAACCCTAACCCCTAAAGTTACCTCAACGTGAGCCTAACAGTTAAAATTTTAGACCTTTATCCTAATCTTTTACTTTAGAAATTGACTTCAAATGGTCTGAAACCTGCTTCTTAAAAAGGTCCTGGACAGTGATTTTAACCCTAACCCCATAATCCTAACCCCAACCCCAACGTAAACTTATAATTTAAATTTTTTTTGTCATTTTCCTAATTTTTCTTGTACCAATTGATTTCAAATGGTCTGAAATGTGGTTGTAAAAAGGTCCTGGACAGTGATTTTAACCCTAACCCCATAATCTTAACCCCAAACCTAACCCTAACCCCAATACTCGGTAAAAACATATCGCGATATATCGCGATACTATGCCGTATCGATGTTTTCTCACACCCCTACTTACTAGTTTGGTGGGTGTTAAGTATTAAAGTCAATTCTAAACAAGTTAGTGTTACACCCAAGCAACACAATGACACTATCCGACTATGCGAACTCGGGTTCATGTCTCCATTTTGAGGAAAAGAGCCAGTATGATTAAATCTTCTTTCCTCCGTGATTAGCTGGTTTGGACGGTGTTTGTTTGACAGCTCTGGTAGAGATGCTAACTAATGTTAGCTTCAGTGATCAACACAGTAAATGAAGGTAAACTACATAAATGCAGTACACAGTTATTGTGGTTATTTCTCACCAACACAGTCCTCCTGTTTGTTTTCCGCCTGGCATCGGAGGCAAGCGTCTGCAAATCAAGAAAAAACACGTAAGAGTCGCACTGTGCTCCAGGCTTAAGCTAGTGGAGGTGATATTAGCTGCGTTAGCCACAACAGTATCCAGACTAGTCTCGCCGACTAACATCGTCAGTTCCCCGGACTCACCCATCACCTGTACCCGACAAATGGCACAGGTGTCACACTCCACGTCCCAGCTCCACATGGCCACAGCGTTCCACTTCTTCAAGGAAAACATCTTGTCCCCGCCGGACTTGGAGCCTGAGGAGGTGTTGTGCGAGAGGACTAAACCCGGCTCGTCACCGTCATCCATCTCTGCTCCACGGTAACTGAGCTAATGTTAGCCACCGGGGCTGCTAAGCTAAACAAGATGGACGGAATAGTGAAGCAGAGCTAATGCTAGCTGGTCAACCAGGTGTACTGCGTATGAATCAACAGAAGAGGGCGATGTTTCTCAGTGTTTACATGAGGTACGTCAAACACAAGTGTTTAATACAGGCCAGTGGTTCTCAAGTAGTGGGTCCCGACCCAAAAGTGGGTCGCGGACACATTCTGGATGGGTCGCAAACAGGTCTGTTACCATTTTTAATGCAAATGTATTTTTCCTTAAATTTCAAACACAATAAATTAAAATTGTCTTTGTTTCCCTTACTGGGGATTTCCTTGTGGGACTAATAAAGGAGTATCTTATCTATCTTAACTGACTTTACTAGTTTTTGACTGGAGACTCCCAGTAAGAGCAAAAGATGATTAAACTTCTTCATTTCATTTTGTGTTTTTATACATTTCCTTTGTCTGACTGATTAATTGATCAGTAAATGTCTTCTGTCAAGCCTTTGAATTGTCTTATTTAGTATAAAATCACCACTGAAATGTATAACATAAATACACATGTCTTGTGACAAAACAAAAAGAGTACGAAAAACAGTGCAAGTCCGAAATCAAATCCTAAATTTGCGGATCTTTAGATTTAACTCTGAACTGTCTCAGAATATAATCTGCTGAGAGATCTCTGTCATGTTTCAAATTTTACACTCTGCATATTGGATGCAAAAGAGGTAAAAGACTGTTTTAAAGACACTTTGGTAAACTGCTGTTTAATATCACACCCCTATAAATTTGAATACAATTATATTGATATCCTTCTGTTAAATCACAGAATCTCTAGCACAGTGCAGAATAGGGCTGACTCTTCCTTGACAGACATACCAGCCTATCTGTCTGCTTCCAACAATGGTATGGTAAATTTCCTCAGGATCAAGATGTAAAACATTTGAGAGTTTCTGTTGAATGTCCAGATAGCCATTGTGATAACAGAAGAATCGTGGTGGTGAAGGAGAAGTTTCTTTGAATAAGCTTTTGAACTGTTGCTTATCTCATGAGATCACCAACACTTGAATGGCTTTGAGAAAAGATTGAATTATGAAAAAGCAACCATAAAAATTTAAAGCTGGAACTGCTCCAGGTAAAAAAGCATAATGACTTTCTTCATGAACAAATTAGGAATCCTTGCTGATACCCTATCTTTACTCCTTTGTAAGGAGTTTTCAAGGAATACCTGTTAAGATGTTTAACCACAGCTTCCATATTCACCATTTGATTTGCTTTTGCCCTGTCCTTGGGTATGTCATACCAAAAGGACAGATTATTCTCTAAACATTCTCAGAAGCTGGCAGTGGAAGTCATCTGGTCTTTCTTACTCCACTCTGTTGTCAAAATCCTAAACCTTCCACTATTCACCAGAGCCACTGAGGTCTGGCCATCTTACAACAGCTCCCTCACCATCTCCCTGCCATATTTTGTATTATCAGCCCAAACATCAAGTTTACTCCATTATTTCTCATCCTGCACAGCCTCTGTGTGATACAATCCAGTTTGGATGATTTTGTGGAACTTGTGCCGGATTCTCCAGTAAATTTAACTTGATTGTATATCGCCTCCGGTAGCACTTGCCACTTGATTTATATCTCTGCAGTAGAATCTGGCCACACAATAATCCTTTTACAGCTTCCTGGGGCTGAGATGGTAGTTGAAGTCAACATCTGCTTTGGGAAATGGGGTGCACCGGAAAACCCAATAGTTAACAGGTGAATGGTCCTCAACTTTTCTGCTGCTCCAGTCCTACATTAAGGAGGGCCATGGATTTTTCTTTTTTTATGCATTGTTATTTTGTGAGAATGACTGATTGTCTTGTGATCTCAACATAAAAATTGTTCAGTGTGTTCGCTTTTGTTACTGTTGTTGTCCGATTTGCACTTGGCAGTTAAATATTCCCACGTTTAAAGTGATGTGCACATGTGCAAAGTGGGGCATGACGTCCATGTTTTCATTTAAAACCCTGGCTTGCTGTTGACAATGGTAGCTGCGGCATTTCAAAAATATCCCACTCTGGAGGTTTTTTTTAAAAGTTAATGTTTTAGGTTAGGTAAAATGCCATTTCCATTATCGCGAGAAAATGATCTTTGTTATATCCAGATAACGAGATAATAATGCCGTTTTCGAGTTACCTTGGAGGTCAGATGTCAAAGCTGAAAATGACATCACACCCGAGTTACCAGCGTTTTAGTTACCAAGTCAGAAAAAAGCAAAATTGGAGGCGGAAACAAGATGGCTACATCTACAAAAGTTACTTTAGTGCTTGCCTTGTCCTTGTCATATTCGGACACAGCATAATTCATTATCATGAGATAACAGTGCAGAAACAGGAAAATCCATGGCTGTTTCTGTGTTCCATAAAATCTAGCCCTTTCCCAACAGACTCCTTGGCCTCCATAACTGGTTTAGATCTGTCTGTAAAGCTCATCTTGTAAAGCTTATAGACAATTCTTTATCTGTTTTGGGCCAGATGGTTTTTGATTAAAAATGATGGGCTCCACCCCAAGCAGGCTTGGTTCACAAATGCTAGCCACGAACATACAGCACACTGTGCAGACACCTTGTGACTGATTGTTTACATGCCCCAATCCCTTCCCGCCAAAGGGAGTCTGGCATGTAAATTCATCAGCACTCCCAGATTTTATGGCTGCGGTGGGGGCCTTTAAATAATATGCAGAGATAGTTTTATTATTCAAAGGGTCAGCACCGGGACCGACAGCTCCTTTGAATTGCAGGTCGCTCAAACCCATTTTATAATGTTTTAATTTATTGCCCCACCCGGTTTTAATGCGGTTTTATCTCTGAATTTTCTGAATTTTTATCTTCCATTATTAAGTTTGATAAAATCATTATGGTCAAAGATTTTCATATTCATGACAGTTTCATGACACTTGCAACTTTACTGCAAATTTAATTAACATCACTGAGTCTTTTTAATTTTATACAGCCTGTGTCTGCCCCCACACAGTCTAAGTGCTGTGCCCTGGATCTTGTCTGTAGTCTTGGTGTAAATGTTCACTCCCTCTGTTTAGAAGATCTGAAGGTGTCTCTATACTGTCTAGGTGTCTAGAATACTCTAGTCAACTTGCTCCAAGAAAAACAAAACTTATCTCCTCTGTAAAGAGGACCCCCTGATTAAACAACAATATTCGTACTTTCCAGTGCAAATGTAGAAATTAAACCCATGCTTTCACAAACAGAATTAGAAATGTTGTTCATGCTTTTGCTTCATCTTGGCTTGACTATTGTAATTCCCTCTTCACACCTCAATAAATCCTCCCTTGACAAACTTCAAATAATCTAAAATGTAGCTGCAAGACTGTCAATCAGATCCAACAGGACAACCCACATCGCCCCTCTTTTATTTTATTTGCACTGGCTGCCAGTCAAATTTGGAATTAATTTCAAGATCCTGGTGTTAACTTGTAAAACCACCCATAATCAAGCTCGAGTCTATATTTTTAAACTTCTTCACGCTTACATCCCGAGTAGATCCCTCAGGTCTTCTGGCCAGGGTCTACTTGTTGTTCCCTGTGCCAGACTGAAAACAAAAGGAGATCGTGCTTTTGAACTTGGTGCTCCCACTGTCTTCCTGTCCAAATACACTGCACTGTCTCTTCAGATGCTTTCAAAGCAGCGCAAGACACATCTGTTTAATTTGGCTTTTGGCCATCTGCTCTAACTGTTGCCTGATTGTATTATATTTGTTACCATTGTTATTTTTAATTGTTTTGCATTTAATTAGGGTAACCATATTCTGACTTCCCAAAAAGAGGACACGACTATGCAGGGGCGGAGTCACAGAGTCACATGGAGTTAATTTTGAGAGATTTTCGGGTCAGATAGAGTGTCTTTTGCAAGCTTCTAAATCAGTAAGTCCACATGACACAAAGTTGAAACTCTCGTACAAAACCGTGGACATTTTAAGGATTTTATAAACTCCCCTGGACAAAGCCAGACAGCCTGGACAGCCCCCCTTAAAAAGAGGACATATCCAGGTAAAAGAGGACATATGGCCAATCTAGTTGACTGTTGCCATGCCATAAAGTCGTGTTTCTACTTTTAAAATGACAAATTTCAAAATATGACCATGTTTTTTGGATCAAAAAGCTTACCTGTAAAGTTTGGAAAAACTATTCTGTTTATTACGCTCTTTAAAAGACATTCACCAATTAGTGATGTCATGAATTCAGCAAATATTGTGTGCGGCGGAGGGTGGCGGACCCCGCGCAGTGGTGATTTTGTCTGGCGAAGCCAGGCACACAGCCAGTTTGGTATTTTTGTAGACTGAGGCGCACCGAGGTCTGCCAAGCTAGGCGTGGTGGCGCAGCAGGGGTAGGTGTGGACAGAATCAGCTAGCGCAGTGACATTCTCACCATCGTGGGCCTTTGCTGTCTTTAGAAATCTCTTGATCTCTTTGACTACTTCACAAAAATTATAATATGCCTCGCCGGTGGCGGATTTAAGGAGCTTATGTGATTGGCGAAAACACGTCTTGGCTGTGTTAAACCCACTCCACGCCTTATCCCCTCCCTCTCTACGACTTACGCCGCTGGGAGGAGCTGAGTTAGGGAGGGGGGATACTTACGCCGGGCTGCGCTGCTCACCAAAATACCAAAATGTGCTTGGGCACACCTTGTCGGCGTGGCGGACCTGACTTACGCCTCGCCTATGTCACCCTGCCAGTGAGGCATGAAAATAGAGCCCCTAAAGTTTATTTCAGACCCGAGAAATCAAAGTAGACATGACAATGTTTATCATGCCTGGCCACCCCTAAAAAAAGATAATTGGGGTTTTTCCACATTAGTCAAATAAGCTTGGCTTTGCCACTGATCTACATCCAATATTTTATCTTTTAACAATATGGAAAAAAAAAAAAAAACATTATTTACCCTCTTTGTCACATGAGGAATCTAAGTGTCGCTTCAAATGTTGAATCAATTCGGGAAAAATCTCTTATATTCCCACATCCTGACATAGATGGAGTGTTTTGGTAGCAGTTCAGATCTCCAACTGTCCTTGAATGCCGCACAGGACTGTTCGGTATTTACTGAGGAGGACCATCATCCTCCTGAGCACATGCAGCGAGCAGGAGGCTGTGAGACTGAGGACTCTCTGAACATTGAGGTAAATTCCTGTGAGGTTGAACTAAACCTTAGGGTGCCTTTGGACTTTGGAGATTGAAGAAGCTTGTTAGAGGGAATATCGTGTTTGGGATTTATCATGACAGCAAGGATTCAGGGAGCAGCTGGTCGGGAGAAATCAGGACCAAAGGGACAAGTAACAGGTAAGTTACTGTGAACAGGGGAGGGGGCTTCTTTCACACTAAGTTTTTAAACTTTAAGAAAGATATAAGAATAAAAAAAAGTAAATTTGTAAAGCATTCATATAGGTTTGGTCTGTACAAGACACACATCTTTAGTTTATCACAATGATACACAGTACTTCTTTTTCATTCTGTACTGCAGATACAAGTGTATCAGCTGCTGAAATGTTTAATTAAATATCCAACAATAATGGGGTTAAAGCCAGACTATAGTGTCCATGGATGGATGACACTTACTTTTAATAGTGCATTTCTTCTTTTAGCTGTATATTTATTGAAACCACATTATCAAATGAATGCAGGTGATGGTCAAGTGGCCCTTAATTTACATAGTTAAACCCATGCTTTTGTCAGCCAATAGAAATTGTATTGTTAATTTGTGTACAGCATATTTTTTTATGTAGGTTAGCAAAATTTAACATTCATCATTATATTTATACCAAAAAAAAAATAAAGATAAACCTGGTATGAAGGTACTGAAGAGCTGCTTTTATAGCCCTGATTCCTGGTCCTGGGTCTGCATTAAACAAAATCAAATAAAACATGATTGGCTTTATTTTCAGCTCAGACATTAGGGGGAATATGCTTGCGTTTATTTTCTTAGAGGAGGTGTTAAGTTTTATTAACACAGGGGATAATGATTGCTACTCTTGGTTAAAGCATAGAGAACAAAACAATAGAAAGCATCCAGTAGAGGCAGTGTTTGGTTTCGGAGTAAGACAACAGCTGCAGGAATGTAGACAACACAAACCAAGTAAATGTTAGAAAATGAAGCTGCTGCTAAAAGATGGTAATATGCTCGAAGTCAAATAAAGCTGTTTAAAATTAGATAATTTTGTTTTGTGTTTGCTAAAAGCTGCCCTTCTAGACGTTATGCGATGAATTCAATAATTTACTGTTGTCACCAAGAATTTGTAGAGATTAGATGTGTGCAGTGATACTTTAACCTGATGTGGATGTGAGTTCCCAAGTAAGACTCTGACCTTTTCATTGGGAACATAGGTTAGGATTATAAACTAAATATCAGTAAATGTTTGTTAAAAGGTTTTTTGTATACATTGTGTAAACAGAGACAATGGACCTAATTTAATTCATTACCTTCAGTCTGAACAAGATTGGGACGTACAGTTCTGTATCTGTTTTATTCAATTAAATTAAGTCCTAATAAACTAAATCATTTTAAATTGAGTTTGTTTCATTGACCCTGAAATCAAACTAGAAATATGCAGGTGGCCAACAAGAGGCGTCATCCTGGAAAGCATAAAGTCTCGTGTTTTCTTTTTCCTGCTCTGTGTTTTCTAACATGACTGAGATGTCCTCCTTCTTCTGTGTGCTGCAGAGATGATAGCTCGACTCAGGAGAGCTCTGGGGCTGGTTTTGGGTATGCTCAGTCTGTCTCTTCTGCTGGTGGTGCTGGGAGTCTATGCAACGACCCGAACAGAGAGCCTGAATGTAACTGGCTACATCTCAGGAGTTATTGTAAGTTGTTTATTTGACCCCTGTTATGAGTTACTGGATGGGATACAACGAGAGGAGAGATCTGAAGTGATTAGGAAAAACATATCTTAGAAATGAGGGGTATGAATCAACCTCTTACCAGGAAATCAGCTGGAAGTTTCAAACAACTCCAAACAACCCTCAGCATGTGATATCTATTATGGAGCTGTACTCCTTTAGTCTCGCCAGTGTAGCCAGAAGTTCTGCTCTGCTTGTCTGCAATCGTCTGACACAAGCATTGTTTGATTCACGATTGCCTTGCACAGCTTAGACAGACACAGGAAACTTTAAAGAGATCATGCATGTCCTAAAAGTTGAATCCTCTGAATGCATCTATGGTCAGACTTTAATCATGCACTTGTATAGGTCTGGGCGATATGGAAAAAAAGGTAACCATGGTACATTTTTTCGATATCAGTCAATATCAAGATAAATCACAATATAAAAAATGAAATTTTACAGTGCTTATTGATAGCATGTCTTTTGCAATACAATAAGCTACTGCATCTGTGAGGTCTTTGTGTCTCTGACGTTTTGTCATAAGGCATTGCGCTAGAGCAGTGATTCTCAAGTCCAGTCCTCGAGGCCCACTGTCCTGCATGTTTTGGATGTTTCCCTGCTCCAACACACCTGATTCAAATGATCAGCTCGTTATTAAGCTAATACAGAGCTTGCTAACGAGCTGATCATTTGAATCAGGTGTATTGGAGCAGGGAAACATCCAAAACATGCAGGAGAGTGGGCCTCGAGGACTGGACTTGAGAACCACTGACCTAGAGAAAGCGGACTGAATGGTCGACTATTTCGGCTGCACAGACGCCATAGGCGCCAAAGGCTCATTTCTTGGGGGTTTTAACCTTTTGCATTGTGCGTGCTCTGCTTTGTGTGCTGAAAAAGATTTGAGGTATTCCCCGACTTTTTGAGAACATGTACTCGACATAATTTGCAGTGCACATTACTCTGCTTCATGTCAGACCTCAAAAAAACAAAATACCTCCATACCATCGATGTTTCCGTGCCAGTGTTGTCGACAATGTTGTCATCTGTTGAGCCTTCATCTGCATTTCTGCCGGGGGTAGCACTCATTTTATTTTTTTTCCACCGTCAGTGCTGTCGGCTTCACGTGTTAAAGTGCTATGGTTGCGTGTAGCTGAAGCCTGCTACTACGCAGTTGTTCGCTACTTGGTTCTAATTCAGCACATAATTGGTTTAGCGCGAAGCAGACCTGGAGTAACTCCCCTTTTCATTGTCCATTTGTATAATCTACCAAAATATGGCAGAATGCCGACTATCAAAAAGCATATTGACCCTGTTGTATATTGATATTGAGGGAAATTAATTTTCAATATCGTTATTGTTTTATCGCCCAGCCCTACATTCATGATGAATTGAATGTACCCTAACCCCCTTATGCAATGTACCGTCAAAAATGCCCCCACAGGGATCTTTCAGAGGTGTCACAGCTCACCTTTAAATGAATTACAAGTCTGTAATGTGTGGAACACTTATCTTTATCATGCAATGCTCTCTGCAGCTGACCCTTGGATCATTTCTGGGACTTCTGGGACTCTGCTTGGAAGAAAACCGCAAACAGCTGGTATACTCTTCTGGGTTCTCTCCTTGTATCTCTTTATCTGACATACATTTATACTCATGCACCCCAAAACACTCACATAAGCACACCTGGCTTCTCATTTGAGAAGATGTGGGTGTATTTTGACAAAGATAGAGATACCAAGATCGTATAGTAACAAGTAATAACTCAATGCTATATCTGTGCAACCTTGACAGGCTAGATATTTATTACAATTGCAAATACCTACATTTTTCTCAAATATGATAACTCAAACAATCTGCAATATTATGTCTTTTGTTCACTGTGTAGAGCCATTTTAGTTGTTTGTTTGTTGCTTGTATATTACATTTTCTGTGTACTGTGTGCATGATGAGTGTACTTATTCTTCTATGTTTGCTGTGCTAATCTTTTGGTGCTGTTAACACTGCAAATTTCCCCACGGTGGGATAAGCGGGAAAGGTTTTTCTTCTACTAAATGGGACTGTAGATCAGCGGTACTTCTCCTACCTAGATAAAAGATGCCAAATGGTTGAATCAAAAACCATAGATTTAGGGTACAAGCACTTACAAATAGATTTTCTCTTACAGAGGTGCATAAATCTGATTTCAGGCATTGTGGAATATTTTAGCTGAAAGCAATTTGGACATTTTTCCACTGCTTTGTTCATGATTCAACTTCTAGATAATCATCTTTTAAATTGGTCTGTTAAGGCACATAGTGTTATTGACAATCTCTGGTAGTGAGTGTTTGCTGAATTAGTGAGCTAACTGCGACTGAAAGATCTTCCAAAAACAACAAATTCACAGCTTTCCTCTGTGGGATTACTGTCTTGGACGGTACAGGTAGCATTTAGAAGGAAATTAGTACTAGATCTATCATCCTGTCATGTCAACCTTTATTTAAAGAGCAGCCCTTCAGCTCATGCGAATGTTATTTCAGCTTTTGTCTATTTTTAAAGCAGCCCTCTGCCAATCAATCTGGTGAGAAACAGTAAAAAAACAATTTTAAAAAAGCTGTAAAAGCACAGTAGGCAGAAGTGACTTATGCATGACTGTTTGGAGTATGACAAAAGAAAATTAAGGAGATGGGGTTTGTCCTAGACCCACCCTGGTTATTGCTGACATAATGGTGCATTCCCGCGGTTATCATTTTGATAGCAGAAACTTTCTCAATAAACTCCACATGAGTTCGTATGTTTTAGATGTATTGGTTAAATATTTTTGGTGTGAAAGAGTTTTCTGATCTTAATTTTCCACATATTTTGTCTCATTCTTACCCTTGAACTTTGTGGGTGCATTGTTGGCTGCCTGTCTGTTTAAAGTTAGAGAATATATGCATACAAGTCCTTGGTCAATGTTGTAGTCAAAGCAGAAATGAAAGGTATGTAAAATACACAGTGATTTTGACAGTACAGTTCGTATTACCATGACCTCGTTCTTATTGAAGTGCTTCCATAAACAGTTCTGGTAGATCTTAAACACACCAGAAAATCCCACTGTGATCCTTTATAAGCTACATATTTGTAAGATTTATAATATGTGCTTGATGATAAGCACTTCAAATGTCAGAGCAGACAGAAGATCAATTGAAATTTTCAGTTTCCTTCAACTTTCAGTGCACATGGTTCTGTTTTTGGATTAATGAGGGACCCTTAAAGATTTGTCTTATCTCACCTACTGAAGCCTTTTTTTTCTGGCTTTACCTCCCTTCAGCGCCGTTTCTTTTTCCAAAGCCAGGGACAGCATCCCACCTCCCCTTATGAGTGATGCCTTCCAGCTGCTGTTGTGTAGACTCCGGCTGTAATGATAACTTGTTGCAGGAAAGGTGTGGTAGACTGTGGCAAGCCTACAACACAGACACAGAGTCAGATTGACAGCTCCTCAGCAGGGCAAAAAGGAGGAAAAGAGAATAATATGATAGCTTAGTTGTAATGTATTAATTGTCAATACTCAAATACACCACCAAAGTGTTGAAATAGAGATATTAGGGTTAGGGTTAGGTTTGCGTGATCTGTGACTGTTTTCTAATTTCTGTTTTACTTTCTTCCTCCAGTTGACAGCTGCCATTGTGTTCCTCAGCTTTGGGATCATCACCTCGTTTCTGTGTGTGATGATTGATGCCGTCTGTATCGCCTCAAACATGGTGGGTGACCTACACTGGTAGACAATAACACTTGAGCTGACTGTACAGGATGATGAAACAACACAGCTAAAGTAACAAACCATCACACTGGCTGACTGATCCACTCTGACATTTATTTCATTACAAGACTTTTGTTGTGTTAGATAGTCTATGGCAGATCTCAATCAAGTCCATCCTTAGCTACAGCATTGCAGTTAAGTTTTCTATACAGTTCACATCTCGAAGCCGGTGTTTACATTTATCCGTTTATGGTGGGGTAGGCAGGAATCCGTTAAAGAAGCATCTTTGTTTGTGGTGTATATACAAAAAAACTTTTAATATCAGTCAATAGCTATTAGTTATTGATGACGTTTGGTAACACTAGATATCGCTGTGTTTCGTTATGTCTGTGTAGTCAACATTTTTAAATTTTTGAGCGGCCCGCTCTTTCTGACTGTAAACAAAGCCATTCTCCACCTCCCCTAACCTGATTGGTTGTGAGGCAGACGCTGCTCCCTTGTGTTGTGAGGCATGCTCCACGTCCTCCAATAATGTGCACGAGCCCAAACAAAGTCAGCGTGCTACAACATTGGACAGAAATCAACCAGAAAGTACGGAAAACACAAGCGATAAAATAAAGTAGATACCAGAGACTCTGGCGGAATAACGGGCGCTTAAAACGGAGGTAGACCAGACAAGAGCGAAGAAGCCGGGTCAACATCAGCATAAACGATGGGGGACGCTTCGGGATCTTTTGGACCCCGTAACCTTTCTGCGGTAAACCGCTTTAACAAAGTAAGCCAAGTGTCTGTAACAGAAATATTTCTTGTCAAACGGGACCTGCTGCATGTCATAGCGCCGCTAAACTGTTTAGCGCGGGTCCTGGAGTATGTCACTTTATCCTAGTTGTAGAAGTCCTGCAAACATTGTGTTTGCTGGTAGTCTGTTGGCATCTACAGTTATACCAGTGCTTTATACTTTCACATTGACTGGGCCCCATTTGTAATTATCAGAAGTATTTTTCTTTATTATATCTGAATTTAATTGGAACAATACGAATGAGCAGGATCGTCTGTTTTATGGGCGGGGCTTACTGGAGCAGAGACGGAGGGGAGAGGAAGAGCTGACCTTTAACTTCTAAACTTGTTATTAATATATAATGTCTACTTGAAAATATTGTTATATTCCCTCTAACATGAACATGATACAAAAGGAGCAGATAACTGAACATAGACAGAAGTTAACTGTTGTATATTCTCACATGGCAAAGTAACATCAGGTCAGAGTGACTCGTCCTCAGGCTCTGTGCCATGAATGGACTCCAAATAGCAAACATGTCTCTTTTGTGTTTGACATTTCTCTGTTTGTCTTTGTGGAACCAAACTATGAGATTGTTACAGGCTGGGATGGCTTTTTTTTTTCTTTTTTATAACATTTCCTAGACTTTAACTCTATTGTTTTGTTTGAAGTACAAACTGCACAAAATCGTTCTGGAGTCCTCTGGACATTAATGTGCCAACAACTGTCTAAACGTATCCAAGAAGGATTTTAAGGATCACGCTGCACCCTGTTATCCTCAACTTCAACCTTTTGAACCTGCGGAAAAGAAACATGTGCAGGATAAAGCAGGATTTGAAAAAAGCCAGTAGTGCCTGTAATTGAATGATTGGTTATATAATAACATTACCTGTTTGCTCACAGTACATAAAAAGTTATGGACAGAGGCCTTCCCATAAATTCTCAGAGATACTGCAGGTGGGATAACATGCTTAAGTGAGTTCAAGCCTAAGATTTGGTCAATTTACGTTGTCGTAAATAATTATCTTCAAGAGGTTTTATAACTACATCCATTTTTCCGTTACATTTGAAATGACTATGTTACAGTTCACTTAATGTTATGCATTTTGTAATTATAGTGTCTATTAATCCTGTGCTCACCCAAATTTTTGAACAATTTCCAATATATTTCTAATATAATTAACAAGGCTGCTTTGAAATATACCAGAGACACATTTCCAAGGGCTATAAATTAAGATATATTTAAAGTTTACTGATTTATTACAAACAGACTCCAAACTCAACACTGTGTTCCCATTTTGGGGTATTTTATGGTCCCTCTGCACACAGGAAGCCACCTGGACTGTCTTAACCCTCACATACTGTTCGGGTCAAATTTGACCCGTTTTGACTTTTAACAGCAGTAAAAATACCCTAAACATCATTTTTTAAGCCTGAAACTTGATGACTTTTCCTGAAGTTGCCCAGAATACATGAAATTAATTTAAAAATATTCATGTGTATTTTTGTTTATGTGCTACAAATTTTTCCCCTCTAAGGCTGTTATGGGTCAAATTTGACCCGTATCTATATTTAGATGGATTTTAGATCTAGCAGTGTGGGACAAGTGACAAACAGTAACAACAGTGTTCAATATAAGGTTTGTTGTTCAAAAAGATATATTCAAATCATTATGAAACTATCATTACCTTGACAGAAACACACACACAGACGCATGCACACAGACACACAGTCACACAGACACACCTAGACAGAGGTCAAAATGACCTAACCAGTCAAGAGAACTTTCTGTGATAAGTGAGATTGATGTGCTTCTAAGTGAGGCACTTATTTTATTTTATTCTTAACTGTTGTTTTGTGTTGTTTTTTTATATACATTTTTTTTAACCATGTCCAGAAATAAATAAATAAATAAATAATAAAATAAAGCTGCAATTTTGACCAGGAACATACTGTGAGGGTACAGGATTTGAACAGTATGTGAGGGTTAAGAATTCAGTTCAGGATCAGTTTGGTCATTTTAAAATCTTTGCTTGTTATAGTGATTGATTGATGTTGTTTGCCACGAAACGGCAGTGATATTTCCCCTTTTTTTTCATTTTAACTAGGACATGCGCCCACTGACAGCGGGGAGATGCCAGTATTACAGCAGTGGCAACAGTTACATCTATGACAATTTCTACACCTCAGTGAGTACGGATGTGTATGAAAAGATTTTTAGTGTTCGTTTTCGTGATCGTTCCCAACATTCCTTACAATGTATATGTATGTGTTGTATTTTCATGTTGAATGTCATTTCTCAGGTGTCATGTTGGAATCTGAAGGAGTCCTGTAGCATAACAGTACAGAGTGGGACCTGCTACTGCTGTGACCTGTATGACTGTGCCAAGTGAGACAGGAGTCTTGCAAATATCAGCCACACTGATTCTGATCAAACATGTCACTTTATACCAGTTAGTTGTGGATGACTGTCGCTGTTGTTTTGTTCTGCAGTGGAGGCTACCTCAGCAACTACTACGAGTTTGCCAGAGTGCAAAGCTGTGAGGAAGTTTACACTTTGTACGTTTTGATTTGGACCCTGGCTGGTCTGAACCTCGTGGCCTTTTTCGTGGGAATCCTCACCACAGCGGTGCTGGGCAGCATCAAAGCTACAGTAAGACACATGGTTACAGACACAAGCTCAGATAAGTTGTTATAAAAGTTAATGTTTTTTTTTACTGCTGGATAAAACATTTAGTCTCTCCCTACCTGATACAGAAAATCAATTCAGTTTTACATTTTCAGTTTTGACATCTGTTTTCATTAACTGTTGAAAAAAAATTAGAAAAGCTCTCCCTGAGATATTTAAACATGGATATTTTTATGTCCAGCTCATTACAGACCAGTGTTTTTGCAACAAAGAAAAAATTTAATGAGTTTTTGCAGGAAGTTGAAGCACTAATATGACAGTAGTGGAATAAAATAAGTCTGTCATATAATACAATAAAACACCTATTAGTTTTTTTATTACATTGAATTACTTGGCAAAAGCAGCCATAAAAATGAATTAAACCAGAAACAGATCTTGTATTAGTTTTCCTCCCAGCCAATTTGAACTGAACTGTCTCTGGATAGTAAACTAACCAAGAATTTGTTCTGCTCATAAAACCATCAGAGGTCCTGAATCAAAGAAGCTTTATGCCAGACTGCCTTTAAAGCCTCCAAAATAAATCACAGAAAGGTAGTTTGACACATTTGGTGAAACAGCACAAAGTTGTTGCCTTTAAATCCTAAACAGAATCTTTTTTTTTTTGTTTTAAATTTGACTAATTTCTAAGAATTATATTTATACTCTTCAGGCTGAAAAAGCCCCGCCTGCTTGACTCCACATCTGTATGACTTTCAACTCACATGCACACCAGTACTTCATCTTGTCTAATAAATGACTCGTTCGATCCCACAAGGAGTTTCAAGTGTCCCAATTAGTGTACACTCAAAGAAACTGCCTTTATTATCCAGCCTGCTTTCGCATGGATGCTTCAGTGTTTTGTTTTGTTTTAACATGCATACAGAGCTAATAGGGCGTCATGCCGCCGGACATCAAGCTGATCTTTATTCAGATAATCGGAAACAGTTTGACTTCTGAAACACTAAACTTTTCTTTAAACAAACAATCCAAGCTGATGTTTCCAACCACAAGATATTTTAAAGTCATGGTCGATGTCCTGTGGCACATTTAATTTTAAACAGATGGATGGAGCGTGTTTTGTTACATGTTGCAATGACATGTTACAATGTCATTTAGCAGATGTTTTTATCTGAAGTGACATACATTTGAGAGCAAGAACAATACAAGGAAAGATCTAGACAAGAAGAAACAAGATGAGTAAGAGCCACAAAGTGCTTTAAGTCCATTTGGACCTAGGTTTTTTTTTTTTTCTTTTGGATGAACATCAACAATGAAACAACCGGTTACCAAAATAACGACCTGTAATCATCACTATCAATTAAACTGCCTTCATAACAATAATGACCAAAGTACCAAGTGCTGGGTAGAAGCAGAGCTGGAGATGGAAGACTATCACTGAGGACAACAGCGGAGCATAGTCTAGTTTAGTGCATAGCGTTCTCTAAATATTTGTTATGTAAATGACTGTCACTAATGAAACAGTGAATCTTTTATTAAATAAACTAAAAACAAAGCATACACATCTCTGTGTTTGAATGAAGTACTCAAACTTACAGAATTTTAAACTCGATAATTAAATCTCTACACAAGGAAAATCTTTCTTTTATTCTGATAACTCAAAAAAAAAAAGCCTTTACTTTCCCTTAGTGTGGATCATTGTAGGTCCAAGTCTTCTTCCTAATCCTGCTAGTACAGGGACGAATGACTCTAAACTCATGTTTTAGGTGCCAACAGTTTTGACAGACTCTCCTGTGTTTTCACTCTTCCTCTTCTACCTCTTCACCATTTTCCCTTCTCCTAATAATAAAAAAAGACGATGTTAATATGTCTTTCACTAACCCACATCTATTAAAATTTAAAACAAAAAATTCAACTGAGAGGAATTATGTAACTTGAAGGGTTTATGTTGAATGCTACAGTCAATCAAACTGGCTAAACTGTCCTGGTCAAGCTGCTCAAATAGGTTAATGACAGTCTAACTCCTCTGACTGGTTTGTTGATGAAACAAACTTTAAGTTCTAGTTTTTGTGACAAATTGTATGAACAAAAATTTTGGGATGATTTTCCCTTGACTGAAATGAGCTTTCAAACATCTCAGTGTTGTTTACAGTTATCCAAACACAAATTAACATTTGTTGTAGTTTGTTTTAGACCACGCTACAGAAAAAAATACTTTCAGATCCAATATGCTGACCGACCAGCTGGAGAGTTTAAGGGTCAAAACACCCAGAAAAAGTTTGGCACCGTCTGACGACATCAGCTTCAGGCCAAAGGCACAAGTCATTTTTAAAGAGCGACTGTATGTGTGGCGTCCTAAGATGTACCAAGCATGCACAAGCTTTATTTTGGAAAAGACATATTTGTATCACGAGACATGGACAGTTTGTTATGATCTTTTGTCGTACATATTTTCCATTAATGTTGCCAAAAAGGAAAAAAATACAAGTGAAACTCAGTGTTTACTTGATTTCTTTATGCATCAAGACATACTGTTTTTATTTTAATTCTGTGTGTGTGTGTGTGTGTGTGTGTGTGTGTGTGTCTCAGAGGAGTAGCTGCAGCCCTGCAACTAAGCTCCCTGAGATCAAAACATCTTTTCCTACAGCTCCTCTGCTGACCGATGTCAACACACAGCCTGTCTGTCCCACCCAGTCAGTAAGCATCAAACACACACGCACACATACTCACACACACAAATACATTAACCAAAGATAACGTTTCGTCTGGTTTCTCTCTTTTTTATCTCTGAAAAACATAAATCTCCAAGACTTTGACCGATCTCTGACACATCCTTTAATGTTCTCTCTGTTGACTGATGAAAACCATGAAGATGGAGAAGAAGAAAAAAACTTCAAAGTTGTCTGTACATTTTTGATTCACAGCAGACTCTGCGTAAGCCTGATTATCTGTCACTGCGTAGGCACCATAGTTACTTTAACAGGAAGAAGGAGGAATAAAATGCAATTGTGTGTAACAGTGGCTCTCAGCTGGTCAAGCCAATGGTGCACTAAGGTGCACATTATATCACAAAAAACATGTCTGACTTTTTTTGTCACAATTTACTTGCATGACGGACTTTTAGGTTTCAACCAAACCAGTTAAAAAAATACAGGCATATAAGACACCAGCAAGTTTGTATTCAAGTTGCTATTTGCCTTATTTATGAGGTTGCACTCATGATGAAAAATAGTAGTATAGATGCTTTGGACACAAAAACTTATATCGTTTCATTCTGGGAGAAGAATTAACTTGTAGTTAATGTATCAATTCCTTAGCTAGAACCAAGAGGCAGACTGGTCTGCTCCAAAACAAGGTCATAAAGATGAGCGCTTACAGCTCTCTGTGGCTATCTGACAGATCCAGCCCAGACTATATATCTTCTAACAAATCCGAAGACATTTGACCCTACTTAGTGCTCAAATCTTCAAAGCTGGATAGTCTTAACTGCTGAAATTTACCACATTTCAACCATCTGTATTATACTTCCCCTTATTTGAAAATTTTTAAAAGCTTTTTCATTGTTTAAATCTGGATTAAAAAACAACAGACACAATATTTGACATCGTGAAGGAACACTCTTGACATTTGTGATGAATCATCCCAAACTGCAGTGATTGCATTTTGGTTGAGTGATTGTGGTTATATTCTTGTTTTTGTCTTTCTCTCTTCTGTCCTTTCCGCTCATAAAGGGAGCCATGATGTACTTCCCTCCAGAACAAGTACAACCAGCCACTCTCAGTAGTCCTTCATCATCTCCTCTTTACATAGACTCCCAGTCTTCTCCTGCCGATCTGCCTGCTTCCTTACAGAGTCCAGAACCTCTCTGCCTGAAGACCACCATCAGTGTTTCACCGTAGAAACAGCAAAAAGCATAAGTAGTGAGACAGACCAGGACAGATGTTTCATTAATGTGATTATCTTTGATGGGTTTTTGTTTTTTGTGGAGAAAAAGATGCATCTGTCTGGATATTATGCAGAAACATAAAGATTCTTGTGGAGAAAAAAAACAAAATCTGCTTTAAAGAGACAGTTCTTTGCTTATTGTACGCAATGATAAAACAAATATAATGTTCACAAAAGTCTTATGTTTTAAATTGTTTGTGTGGAAAATGGTTTGTGATATATATATAGTGGGCTGTGATGTAAACTAAAACTTTAACAAGCCTCACTGAAACATTGCACAAGAGGTGAAACCACAAGTGGATACATGAAATATGCCAAATAAAACTAACATAACATGACATTCCCATACATTCAAACTGTTAACCTTGTTATTGAATATGTGCGCTGATTGATGCCCTGTGGGGTCCTTCACATATACTGTATGTTTTTAATCCATACCACATGTTATGTACATTTTTTATATATTGTCCAATAAAATGTCCTGGACTTACTTGTGAATTTTATGTTAGATTTTAAGGTTTATTCATTTTAACCTGCATAAAAACAGTCAATTACTGTTATTGTCAGAGGCGACACTGCTACAGGGTCAGAATGGTGACATTAGGAATAAACAGACTGGGCTGCAACTAAACTTAAAAGAGGACAGCCTAACTTCTATTTGATGTCGACATCAGTTTTTGTATATCATAAGGGATTTATCACTGAACAGGCTTATTTGGTTAAAGAGAAATCAAACCACATCGAGATAAACTTTCAAAATGCCAAAGTGAATCACGAAAATGACATCTATAAATTCCGATCAGAGCTTTATCTATTATAGTCTGAGTTTCCAAGCCAAATGATTTCATTTCTCTTAAAAGCAGCATCAACTGGTTTTGCACAACACTGATACAATGTTAGGCTGACTAACCTGAGGTTCACGTTTGCATTACTTTCACTAATATGTATCCGAACATATTTTCATGACTCTGAACAGAACAAAAAAGCCTGTCCTAGATAGCAAATAGACCCTGGTACTTGATTGTTGCTGCACAGTTGACTCGAAACTTAAATAGAAGTTGATGCTTCATGAAACAGCTGATGGGAACTGTGAGAGTGTGAGGTAGTTATGGTAACAAGATGCTGGCAAAAATGTACAGTCTGTACAGTCTGTAGTACTGTCCTCTCTCAAAGGCCTGGTCCCTCTGCAGTTTTGATGTATGTCTCCACGTGCAACCGAAAAACCACTCTATAGCCACAAATAATGCTCAGAACAGCACCTAACTTCATCAACAGGACATATAGGGTCCTAACCACAGCACTAGCCACCAAATATCTTTTTTGCTTTGTCTGATGTCAAAGAAACTAAATACAACTCACCTACTCTCTTCCAGCAGCTGCTTGTTTGTACAGAGACCTCCGGGCAAGTCCTTCGACTGCAGTGGGGTGACGCAGCTCAAGGAAGAACATTTATGATCATTTCTTTATCATTGCCTTGAAGTAATAGTCATCATAACAATCATTTTGCGGTAGTTCTTCTGCCTTAGCATCTCAGTCTGATAACATTTCCATGAGAAAATGATCATAAATGTTCTTCAGTGAGCTGTGAAACTCCGCTGCACTCTGTGATCGACTCATCAGGGCTCTCCCTACAAACAAGCGGCTGCTGGAAGAGGTGGAAGGTGAGTTGATTTTTGTCTGTTTGCTAAAGAAATCAGGCAAAGCTAAAAAGATGTTTGGTGGCTAGTGCTTTTGCTGGGACCCTACATGTACTGTTGATGAAGTTAGGTGCTGTTCTGAGCATTATTTGTGGCAAATAGGGTGGCGTTTTGGATGAGGTTTGTTTATGGCTCCTCAGACTGCTGTGTATTGCTATCGTGCGGTCGTTACTGATGTTGGTATAACTAGAGAAGCAAGCGGTCTGCAACATTCATCTCTCGACGAGGTGTTTGAGAACCTGTTACATTATCATCTGAAATGGAGACCCTGATATAACAGAAAAGTTGATTTTCCCAATTTGGTGATTGCTGTCCTTAAACCTCAAAACATCTCTTCCAAAACCAGGTGGCATGTCACAGAGACTATGTCCACACTATATGATCAGCTGCTGTTGCCAAAACTTAAAGTCCAATCCAGGGATTGAATCATAAACCAAAGTAAGCAGGAGAAAATGTTAGACTTGAAAAAGTCAGAGGAGCTCCCAAAGTTTAAAGGTTTTATCTAAAGTGGAAGTTGTTTGTCTGTCTTAAATTTTGGAAAATATACCCAGTAGTTGTTGAGGCATCATACTAACATGAAACCATAATGTCATTGTTAGGTGGTCCTTGAGGGAAATTCAGGGACCCACAAAGAGTCTGGAAATCTAACCCCCTGAAAGATAAACAAACCGGCTCCAAATGGCAGTCACCAATCATGTTATATCAATAAAAATCTGTGCAGCAATTTTCACAGTGGGAACAAAACAAAGAGCAGAACAAAGCTGGAGAATAACAACAAAGCCACAAGATTAAAACTCATTTCAATGTGGCTTTTAAATTAGATTCTGGGGTTGGGACTGAAAACAGTAAGGACTACACAGTTTTCTAAATAAGCTCAACGTGCTGGTTTTCATCACTCCATTCTGAATGGATGCCAGGAAAACAAAGATTTGGTTGAACTCGCCTGAGAAATCCAGTGATCTCAGATGAAGACATGCCAGCATGTCACTTACTTTTGGGTTATAACAGTGTCTGTAGAGTTTCTTTTGACTGCAAACTAACAAAGCAGCCCTTTTATATGAATTAAAGAGGACCAGAGGGCCTCATGGTCCACTAGGATAATGGTCAAAAGTGAGAAAGTAAAGAAGTCTGATGAGAGGATCAGAGTTTAAGTTCAGATTGTTGAAATGTGTTACTTTTTCTTTTCAAAAATACAGCTGTGAATGATCTGAATCACTTAAAGACATTCTCATGTTAAAATGGCTTTTTACAAAACAGCTTTATAGCAGTTATATGCAATAATAATAAAAATAATTATTGTAGCAGTTGAATATCGTATAATAGATAAAAATACACATTAATGTGAAGAAGTGACTGTGACTGTGACACTCATTCTGTTGGTTTGCAGGGATGAACAACATCTTGAAATATATTCAGATACACTAGTTAGAGACAAAACTATGATTGTCTTGATGTAGTGATCCGAAATATGAAAAATGGCTCATCTTATCCCATTCTCCCCTCCTGCTATGACTGGCTGGGTTCAATAAGTGTTATAGAGGGAGAGATAGAAAGTTAGCCAGAGTCAGACACATGGGCATGGCAGACGTGGGGGATGTTTCCCACACTTCCAACAAGTTGAATGATCTGAATCACTTAAAGACATTCTCATGTTAAAATGGCTTTTTACAAAACAGCTTTATAGCAGTTATATGCAATAATAATAAAAATAATTATTGTAGCAGTTGAATATCGTATAATAGATAAAAATACACATTAATGTGAAGAAGTGACTGTGACTGTGACACTCATTCTGTTGGTTTGCAGGGATGAACAACATCTTGAAATATATTCAGATACACTAGTTAGAGACAAAACTATGATTGTCTTGATGTAGTGATCCGAAATATGAAAAATGGCTCATCTTATCCCATTCCAACAGGATTGGGTGCTCATGTATTTTCTTGTAAATGTACAAGGCCTTCTCATGCCTTATCTGTCTCCTTCAACACATCTCTGGCACTTTCTGGATGATGCTCCAGTAACAGGTCTGGAGGTCTGGAGAGGCCATGGGATTATGACATTTCAAAGGTTTTAAGAGGTTAAGGTGAAATCATGAGACATTTTTTTCTTGATATATTTTGCAAATTGCATAAAATAGTCACTTTCATGCGTTCCCCTAGCCATCAGGTGCTTTTGGTTGTTTGGTGCACTTGAATTGAAGAGGATCTTTCAATTAATCACTTAATAAAAATCATCTGTGTCTTCCTGAACAATTGGTGCTCATATGTACATGCTTGTAAATGTACAAGGCCTTCTCTCGTACAGTCTAACTGATGGCAAAGGTCAAAAACAACTGTGGAAGAATAGCTGCTTTTATAATAATCCCATGACAGTTATTAATCATAGCAGTGAGCAAAAACCAACAGATATGTAGTATTCTTATACAGAAAGTTTTGGCAGAAAACTAAAACTGTTCCGTAGAGATACTACCAGGATGTGATGGTTAATTGTGTTGAAAGCTCTAATGTCAATGGGGTCAAATAAGGAGAGAGATCCTCATTCGGTGGCATCTGTGAATCCTACAGTGAGGACAGACTATCCGGGAAATATCTCTGGAAACAAACAAGTTGCTGCAGTTTTTTAAAATCAAATTTTGTACATTTGAGGAGTTCAGACACAATCCAGGAGACAGAGGATTTACAACCAGACGACCAAATCCCAGATCCAGCTGACCTAACTATCTTATTACATATTTTCTGTTCCCTGTTCCCTCCTTCTGCACGGGACAGGGAACATAAAGTCCATTCCTTAATACACAGAAAAGACTTTATACAGGCTTTAAGTGATCAAAAGCATGAGGAGTTTTATGTCTATATCTGTTACGCATTTCTTTCATGACTTTTTCCCCCCAAAGATCAAACTTTGTCGTCTTAAAACATCCCATGCAGATCCATTTGCTGACTTAAAAACTTAGGATAGAATATTAGATAGACTCATCATAATAATAAGTGAACAGCACTTTCAGTGACTGGTGACAGAATACCAATGTCATGTTCGTGGGGTAAATATGTTGCTTTAGTTAGCCTTGCATTGTGTATAGACTGAGATCTGTCTACAATTTACAAGTTCTTTTAATAGCCTTGTTTTAACAGTCCAAAAATGGATATGTCATAATTTGCCATTTTACAGGGTCTATTCCACTAAGCTGAGCTGCTGCCAGGAGGCCATGAGGCTGGGCTGTCTCTAAGAACTAGTTTAGCACAACTACCCAAGGTTCAGTGAACTGTTGTTTCACGTTTTTCTGAACAGTTTGAAACAGAGAGAGAGAAAGGGTTTCGCTCATTTGTAAGCATGAATGTTACATTTTGGTAACTTTTAACAAAGCCAATCACGCAGTTTTAATACCAAAGAGCAGTATTAGATTTTTTTTTTTTTGAACTTCTTGTCTTTGTACCTTTTGAAGAGAGTGACAGAGAATGATATGGTGAGCTGACTTTAAAGTGACCCTCATGCACAGTTGGAGCGTTTTGCTTCCCACTGATGGTGACAGTGTGGGGTTAGTGGCCCTGTCAGCACCCTGCAGCTGTAGATCCCACCCTATGCGCGCTGAAAGACAAAACCTGGACTAGAAGTCTTTCTGTAGGGAAAGCGGTTTTATGTTTCCTGCACATTTCAAACAGAGAGGGGACTTGAAGCCAGTTGTATCAGGCGTGAATTACACTTGATTGACACTCAAGATTAAAGAACTTATACCTTGACGCTGTAGGAATGTAAAATTGAGTCAGTCCAAACAGATGAATTCGCCTTCGACTTACAACAAAAACATCTTTCTCTGTGGCTGCAGGGCTTTAATTCTTTACATCTGTAACACCGAGAATTTCATGGACTTAAACAAGCTGCAGGGAACCCACGATTACAACACGGGGAAAAGGTTTACCATTTCTCCAACAGCGATAAACCCTTGCAACCTCTCCTGCTCAAATATTATTCCTTATCAACATTTCTGAAGTACAGCTCATTCTGACACGGGGAAAATAAATTACTCCATGTGTTTTAATCACATACAGTGCTCAGCATAGACGAGTACACCCCTTCAGAGTTGTCAGAAAACCTAGTTTCACTCACTGACGATGCCCACATAGATAATGCATTATACGTTTATTTATGATGTGTTAGATCTGGCTTATAAAGTTGTATAACTTTCATTATAAACATTCATAAATTATCATAATGCTTTATAACAATAAGCACAACACATTATAATACCTGACTTTGCAAGTCATGATAAAATGTTTTACAATGTGTTTTGATTAGTGTTATTAAGCATTATGATCATTTATGAGTGTTTATAACTATAGTAATAAAAATTATAAGCAAGTTATAACACATCTTAAATATATGTATAATGCATTATCTATGTGGGCATTGTCAGTGAGTTGTTAACAGTTATAACACATTATAATACCTGACCTTGTAAGTCATGATAAAATGCTTTATAATGTGTCACAATTATTGCTATAAAGCATTATGATCATTTATGAGTGTTTATAACTATAATTATACAGTGCTATGATGTGATTATAACGCATTATAAATATATTTATAATACGTTATAGAGATAGGCATCAAGTAAAGTGTTACAAAGTATTTTTTTCAATTTAAAATCTGGATGCAAAAATGAGTACACCCAAATCAAAGTTCTGGGAGCAAAGCTCAATTTTAGGTCCCATATCACCTTATTTTCATCCTATGGTAAATAAAATGTTATGTTAAACTCAGCTTTGTCAAAACTTTGGTAACTGTACTTTTGCTCATCTAGATATTGAGTAATACTTTACTTTTAATCAGGGGTGTACTGACATGTGCTGGGCACTCTACCTCACAACTTCGATACAAAGAAAGTGGGAATGACTGAATTAGTCTGTCCAACAGCAAACAGCGAAGTATTCATCATTTCCTGTCAGGGTCTTCTCGGTCACAAGATCATGCTCCAACATTTTCAGAGCTGGTTAAGTAATTAAAGTTGGACTGCTGTGTCGTGTTGCTGACTATTGTTTTGGTTTCACATGCTGCAGGTTTCATTCTGAAGGGTTTTTGGAGAGGAAACTGAAGTTAATCAGGATCATTTGATTGGTCTTTAAAAACAGGGCAGCATGCCATTTTAGCTGTTTATGTTAGGTGAATTACAGGCTGTTGGACAAAACTTAAAACCTGGAATTACATATGTTAGGAATTACTCTGCAACACTACTCTAATAGCATTAAATAAAAAAAACCCAAAACAATCCAGCTACCCTACCTTTTTCTCAGTGCCTTGTTTTTCAAAATTGAATGCGAATGTCTATGAATGATAAATCTGTCCTTTAAATAGGCTAACTTAATTGTACAGTAATCAACTTTCAGGCTATTTCAGTATCTTTCCACAGACAAGAACTTAAACAATTTCCACCAAGACCTTGTGCGTTTCATAAAGCCTCCTACATGAAATACAAAACTCAGCCAGTCTAACAAACTGCTGTATCAGTCCTGGATTAATGTGTTCATGTTCCGCCTTTTAATGCAGGTACAGATGCACCAGATAGAGGAGGAGGAGGAAGAGGAGCATTGGCAAAGTGTTTATTGTAAATCGTTTCAAATGGACACAGAAAAGACCTTGTATGAAAAATGAGATATTTAATGTGTATAAAAACAGACAGCTGTACTCAAGCAGTATAGACATTCAGAAGAGTTGAACTGGAGATGTGAGGTTACCATGCGCTGTCGGCGAAAAAAACAACAACAAAAAACCCCAAAAACATCAAATTAAGTCAAAAGTGATTGTTAGCTGTACTCACTCTGTGCTGTAACTCTTACAGAACAGATCTGAGATGACAGGCAGGAAAAAAAACAAGATTGTTTTGCAGTGTTGTGTACCTTCAATGAAACCCAAATGTGCTTGTTCTGCTTCAGAAAAGGGTTACAGATCCGATTATAAACTTTTTCATTTCTGGCAAAAATGTGCAATATCCTTATTTATGTAATAAGTGCTTGTTGGCTACTGTTATGATTGTTGATCATTTGACATTTCAAAGTAGAAGCCAACATTCACCTTTCAATAAAGTTATGATTGGAAACTGGCGACAGTCCAACATTCACAGTCACAGAAACTGCTGAAACCCAAAATGCATTGCAACTCATACCGGTCCTCTGCATGAGTTCACACATCCATCTCATCCACATCCTGCCAAAATTTGTTTAGGTCCAAAGTACAAATGTGGAAAATCAAAAGGATAAAATTCCCTCATTAAAAGCTGAATCGTCATGGACAAATCAACAGAAATAAAAAACCCCCAAAGGCATGTTCACCCTTTTACAAAATGTGCACACGACTAGAGGAAATCGACTGCTAGTTTACTGGCCCATTTTTCAAACTGGCAATGGAGTTAACATGCAAGCTCATATTGTACACAAACAACAACTTCAAGCTGTAATCCCTTAAGAATCCGATCTGTGTTTTGTTGAGATTTGGTCCAGAAAAAGGTTTTCAAAATAGCCAAAATTTTGAACAGCATGAAGAGAAATCTTCCAATAATCGTTTTCCTCAAATCAACATTTTACAGTTGTATTTTTTTTTTTTTACTCTGATTACACCGTTTATTCACTCACAGCCTGCATGTCAACATGATGTCAGCTGCAGCACATTGCACAAAATATTCACTTCTGCAGTACTGCGTTTAAGCTATCAACAAGTGGAGGTTTGGCAGCAGCTACAACCACGTACAAAAAAAGGGAAACACTCAGGGACAAGAACACAAGCAGCCAGCGTCATAAAAGCACAAATGCGAGCAGGAGAAAAAAAAACAAACAAAAAAAAACAAGGTACTGTACCAGTATAGCAACACACTGAATCAGTGTTTAAAAAAAGAGATACAAAAAAAGGTTTCCTAGAAAAATATTTTGTTAAATAAACAACACATGCATGTTAGAAATATATGACGGACCAAAGACAAAACTTCTGAAAACAACATATTTCCACAAGCGAAGAAAAATACATGGTTAACCCTGTATTATCAGCATCACAAGTTCAACTTTTGCTTTTAAAGTTAATTCAAGTTTCTTTGAAGTCTTCTCAGTACTTCATTGTTCAAATGGGCAAATGATGGAAAGTAAATGACACTGATTCAAGTCTGATTGTTCCATCAGGATCCTTGAGAGCAAAGAAAGTATCTTTTGATTCATCTTTTAATCAACCAACAGAGAAATCATCTGTAAAAACTTTCAACCATCTGCTGGTAGTAACTCTTAGAATGAAAAGGGAGAAAGAATCCTGAACAACTCAAGACATAAAGTGATGGCCAGTGATCGGCCTTTGTTATCAATCTCAAGGCGATTTTCTATCTCTGAGTTGATCAGGTGCACCCTCACTTCTGCCAAATATGAGTGTAAATAAAGAAGTCAGTCCAGAAGCGACACAATATCACTATGAATGAGTCGTAACACACAGACCTCTCTGACAGCTGTGGCAGTGGAGAGCTGCATCTGCAGAAAATTAAAAAACACACCTTTTAAACTCGCTGCAATATATCAAATTGGTTCTTTACACTGAGCACGACAGATTCATTCGCAGAGCGCTGCTGGTTTGATAACTATAAAAAATAACGATGAGTTTGTCACGATTGTCTGGACTAAATAAGGGATGATGGGGTGTGAATTTGTCATTTGAATCAATTTTTAGCCTTTCATCATTTCCTTTATCTTGTTTTTTTTGTTGTTGTTGTTTACAAAAGCTACAATAAATATGTCGCAATTCTCTTACCATAACAGCACAGATCTGATGTACACCGTACCAACACGATTCACAATCACAGGGAAATACAACTCCACACCACAATCATGTGCTATCAGGACTCACAACTCAACACATGCAATCTGCTTGCCTTAAGTCACTAAAAATCAAAGGATATGTTAGCGAAAACATTACAGAAACCAAATATATAGATATATACATACATATATATGTATATGTACGTATATATATTCATCATTTGTTTCCATTTTTAAAACATTTGTATTCAAAATACATTTATTATCATTTTTTTTTCAAGTCATACCTATGAAAATGTCTTTGGTTGAGAAAAATATCTTAAAATCTACAGGCTATAAATGTTATTGTACAGGATTGGAACAGAAAAATGTACTCAAGATCATGTAACTGATCAAAATGGGGAAAACTGATACCAAGTATCTATTCATTTCCATTTGGAGTGATCCAAATATTTAAAGTGCTTCTGCATTATTCCCTCAACATTTAATGTGAAAGAAACATCCATCAAAGTAAGGCAGATTGGTTATTATCTACTCGTGTCCTCTGAAAGTATATCTACAGATTTGTTCAGACGAGAAAAAGACACTTGAAGAGTAGAAAGGGATAAAAAAAGGGGCACAGACGGAGGATGATCCTCCAGAGAGATGATGATTAGTAATGAACTTGAAGGACAGACAAAAAGGGGAGATTAGGAGAGATCATCACAGCTGTTGATACAAAACTGGGTGAATTAAGAAAAATAGCAGCCTATTCACACACCATCTAATGATGTCTTTTTCACACAGCTGGATATGAAAAGGAGGATATAAATTAAGAAGGGGAGAGTGTCTCTATAAGGAAGGGAAGGCGGCAGCCCCAACAAAACAAAACAAAACAAAACAAAACAAAAAAAAAAGGAAAAACGCCGAGATTTTGTTCATTTTAGGAGACGAGGGAGAAGCTCACAAGCTCTGTCCCTGTTCTCAGGCTGTCACTGCTGTAGTGGACTGGTGATGTCTGGAGGTCAGGGTGTGTCGTTTCTGTTTCTCCTGGGACACCCATTGAACATTCTCGCTGGTGGCCCCTGGGGGTCCTTTGGGACGCCTAGTATGGCTGATTCAAGCCACACCTCTGTGCCCCTGTTAGGAAGTTTTCCCCACTATTGGATTGTCCCTGAAACAGAGGAGACAATGATGAGCCTTGTGCTTCAATAGGAGCGCTTCTGTCTAAGCTATTAAAGCAACATGTGTCAAAACAAGTAAAGCAGACTTACAGGCTCCCGTACTGTGCTGTGGTGTCACTCCTGATGTTATGCTGCCTCTTAAGTTCCTCCATAACGTTTCGCAGCTGTTTGAGTGTCTGAAAGGTCTCTTTGGGTTCCTGAATGGTGAATTTGGAGTATTCCTCCTGCTCACGCTGAGGGCCCTGGTACACCGCCATACTGGCACATGCGTCTGCAGAGAGACTCATCATTACACACTGTCACTGAGGGGTCGGGTTAGACTGGAACGGTACTGGATCCAGTTTTTTGATCATGCTCAGGATGAAAAGTTTCTCTCCACATGAAAAGAAACAGCTAAGTGAAAAATGGACAATAGTGCTGAGAGGGAAGTGCAAACTCTGTTTTTCCCCTCTACACAGCAGGTAAAGCAAAAGGTGTGAATGTAACAACTGATTGGACTAATGCTGCATTCCCGTTACCTCGGAAGTCGGCGCCGGGAATGACGTTACACCCGAGTTGACGGCATTCCAGTTAACAAGTCGGAAAACCAAGATGGACGCCGACAGTTAGCCGTTGTTTACAATTGTCAGCTGTCGTTAGCGGTTGTTGTTAGCCACTGTTAGCTATACCAGTTGTAAACGACGCATAACACAGTATTTTACTCTTACGAACACCATAGCACCGTGTTCACAGTTAGAGGTTAGGCAGTACGACATATACCATTTATTTAATTTCACAAAAACAAAACAGAAGTGCTAATAAATAATACATTACGAGAGCTTTCACTGTTACTCTTTACTGTTGATGTACTGTGCTGCCGTCTTGGATTATGACGTCGTCAAGTCGGGGTTGGTGAGGATCCTTTAACTTTCTGAGTCGGAAATCTGACTTCAGGGGGGCGTTCCAGATAATTTCCGACTTGGGGCTGGGAAATTCCGATCTCCAAGTATTACTGGAATGCAGCATTAGCCCCCACCTAGATCTAAAGTTTAACAGGTTGAGGAGGGAGTGGGAGGGTTTCTGAAGTTCGTCAACCATCCCATTTGAACTTTTGCCATGTAAACCAGGCTCTGAAGTCTACTTTGATCCATGACTGTCTGATTTTAATGTTTTCACACCACAAGCTTTTGAAGATATTGTTCTTAAACGACCCATCAGCTCTGATCTTCGGACCTGTATGAATCAGAAACAATACACTGAAGGGGAACAAAAAACAACCAAACCATGATTGCAGTCTTGGTTTGCCTCCAATAGGGTCCTGGAGCGGTTAGTTTACAGTAAGAATGCAGGCATCTGATTATTAGCATAACAGTGATACACGAATGGTCTACATCCATTCAGCATTAGCAGCCCACAAGCCATTTTGTTGTTGGTTATCCAGCTCAGGTTGGTTTGCATCTTTCAAGTAACTTACAACCCTGTCAGCTCTTATTTCCTCTTTTAATCTCACTCTGCATGTAGGGACAGCCACATACATCCCTACCTGATTTATTCATTATTAAGAGAAGCAGCATTAGCATTTCCTCCATCACATGCCCCCTGTTTCTGATCATTTTTGTTTCTTTTTGAACTGATACAGGTTTAGATGAAAAACTGACCCTCCATGTTCTGCAGCTTGGCATCGTTTGACGACAGGAGGGAGAATATCCTTTCAGTTTCTCGATCACAGTCAATGTCCAGCTGTAGGTTGGCCAGCACGGTGCTGAAACAGAAGAGGACAAAAGTCTTCATTGACAGCAGGACGCAATTTGTGAAACTTTATTAGCTTAAAAAAAGGGGGGGGGAAATGGATTATAAAAACTTGTGAATGAATAAAAAACATGTAGCGTTAGTTTTTAACCTGCAGGGTGAACAGATTTCTATTTGAAGTCTCTCCAGATGGGATTGAGATGAATGCTATTACAGAAGATAGCATGAGAAGAATATTTATGTTGGCCCAAACCAAAGAAAGAAGTTTTTTTGCACATATTCTTCAAAGTCTTTTTTTGCCCCATCACAGACAGGGCGAGGAAATACAAAGCTACAAATACATCGTGGATAAAATAAACTCTGGCAAATATATGTGTTGAAAAATGAACGAATGAAAGAAACTTTAATAAATTTTTTTAAACTCTAATATTGTCATCATTAACGATACCGATACAGTTCAGAGACAGTCAAAGAAATGCAATATGGTGCTTTCGTTTTACAAAATTTGTTCATTTGTGTGCACACTGCACTTTTATTTGCAGTCAAAGAAATAAAATCTCACCAAAGACAGAATGTTTTGTTTCTAGATTTGAATATGTACATCTGTCAACACTGTAGCCTATATTACCACTTCCATCTGAGTGTAATGCACTTTCTTCCCCTCAGTATTTAAGCATGGACAGCGTGGCACTGTGCAAGAGTGTAAGCTAAAGCCAGCTAACATGAGGAATCCGGATATTCCACCAGTAAAATGCTCAGATTATGGTAAACTGCCATGATACTAATTTATGATTGACTTCTTAATCACTAAAACGTGACTTCAGCTAAAGCATTTTTGTTGAGGACCAAGAAATGATCAAAAACAGCTGTCAAAATCTGTGCCGCAGTCCAGTTTACCGCTGTCTCCAGATTAATGAGGACCTGCTGAGTATCTGTTACAAACTCTGAAGTTCAAACACTGAAAAACTTCAAGATCCTGCCAACACTATTTAGAAGTAACATCACTGTTTTTATGACTCAGAGCCAGAGTTTGGGAGAGCTTCAAAATTAAATAAACTTCTCCAAAGGTCTGAACTGTGACATTGTGTGTTTGGTGTATTGATTAACCTGGACTTTTTGTTTTATTTAGTGTTTATAGGAAAAAATAGAATCAAATAAGATGGAATAAATAAAATAATATGGGATTAAGTGAGTTAAGACTCACATTGTGCAGGGTTTGCAGCCCGCTGCGTTGTTACTCTGGTTTTTGCAGCACTGCCAGGCTCCACCCGTGTAGTTCGATGGATGGAAGGTCGTCAGGCGTCCCTCGTTGCAGCGACTGACCTGGCCCAGGACATCCAACCACTCACTGGCCTCCACACAGTTTCCTGCTTGCACATACAGAGGCTTCTCAGAGTGCACCACCTGAAACATCTAGTGACAAGAAGAACGAGAAATGATACAAATATTTGATTAATGCTAAGAGGTCTCAAACACAATATTTGATCATTTGTTTATTTCATCTTGGGAGGGTAATGCCAGGACTACAGTAATCACAGAGAAGCTGTGTGTGTGAGAGGTGAACTGGGGGAAGCAGCTTACATTTTTGCGGTTAAAGGCACTTTCATCCAGTTTCTCCACCGCCTGGATATTTTTGACGTTGATGACGTAGAGGGCATCTTTCCCTGGAAATGAAATACGAGGAATAACACAAAGTGAAAAACTAGAATCTGTAATGGGCTTCTGGTAAAATATTTAAAAAACGTAAGCTACATGCTTAAAATATATTCATTATCTTTGAAGAAATGATCTTTTATTTCTTGGAGATCCTATTTAAAAAACGTTTGATTGAAAAATTCTCTCATAGCCTCACATGGTTAATGCAAGGCTGGCAGCCGAACAGAGCAGTGTATTTTTATCCACCATGGTCAGAATATTCACATGGTGTGCTGTGCTGTGCAGGAATGTCGAAGTCTTTGAGATATCTATCTTTTAAATGTTCAATTAGGTATCTAAATTATTCAAATCAAATCTTAAGTGATTACATGGTATGCGTTTTGTAATAAGGGACAACTTCAGCGTGATATGAATTACTGCTATAAATATGATCGTGTGATATAACTGATCTGGTAAATTTATAAAAGTTTACAAGCAGCCATTACCTCCCTACAACATCAGCATATTTGAAAGAAGTGCATCATTTGCTGCTTTTACTCACTTTTTAAAAACTTTTTCTATGTAACTCTATTTCTCATTATAATTCAAAAGACATCAAGCAAAACCACTGGAGTTCCATCTTTTCCTAAATGCCGTGACCCACAAAAGTTTTGTTAACTTTCCCCCCTAAACAAACTGATACCTCATTGTAATTCTCCATATGAGGTTATGCTTACTAGCTCTGCAGGAGGCTGAGAAGATCAAGAATTTCATAATCATCACAATTTTGTAAAGTGGCATTTTGTTGTTCCTCCTCTAAACTGATCATTGGTCAATACTAGGGATAGGCATTTTAAGACAGTCCCTTGATCGACTAACCATACAAAATAACGAACAATCATTGATTTGATCTGTTTTTTAATGTGAATGGCAGAAAATATGCAAAACGTGTTTTTCCTCATTGAAATAAAGGTTAATCTTTGCTGGAAAACAGCAGGAGGATGGACGCAGACCTTTTTTAATAACATTACATCGATTGTGATTTTGCACGAGACTTAATTCTTAACAATCAATTAATCCTGCCCATTCCTAGTCATTACAGTTGAGTTGTTTCAGCAAAATATAGAGAATCTGTGCTTAATTAGTTGGTAGAGCATCCAATGTCATAGTGATTACAGGTAACTATCAATAGATTAGTGTAATCAGCACTTCATCATAATTATGTGATGAAAGTTTTTTTTCTTTTTCTCTTCGTCAAAAGTGATCAAAGTGTTGAAAAAAAAATCAATGCCTAATATGTCACACTGAATATTGTTAATGGCCTGATAAAGGTGCCTTCATCAGTGGCTGTTGAATGTTTTTAATCCAGCAGCAGACTGTGAGTTACCAACGCGGTAATGGCAGCAACACAAGATGGTGCTACACACTAAGATGAGACAGATGAGTCTGAACTCTACAGCTCTGTTGTATCACAACATCTGCTCTCACCACCATCCCTCTAAAAACGACGTTCTCCTTAATTTTTTTGAATACTCTGCCAAGACAATCCTTCCTTTCTTTGCCCAAGAGGCACATGATGATAAAATCAATCCAGTAATGATCCAGTGTCGTGAATCAGTTTAAGAATAAGAAAAAGAATAACTTTAATCATCTTTTAAGAGGCACACACTGAACCTGCTTGTCCTCTCACATTGCTCTATAAGTTTTGAAGACACGGTCCACAACACTGTCCAGTCACACATAAAAAAGGACGTTTTAGTGGAGGCTTTTGACTTATTAAGTATCTCTTTTAACTGTGGAGAAAGAAATACAGCCAATGGCATGAAGCATGAGACTGGAGAAGTGCTAACTTTGGAGACATCTGGTGACTGCTTTGAAAAGTGTGTTGAACTTTCTTGTGTTGGTTTTGTGCTCCAAGCTCTCTCCAAATATATAAGTTTGGAGAATAGGATGATAGAAGTCGGTCTCACCTTTGTGTTTGTGGTAGGAGAGCTCTCTGTTGGTCACTCTGAGCCACCTCTTCTTGAAATTTTTCTTGCCGAGGCGTTTTCTCCCCTGGGCTCGTTTCTGTACTTCACTATAAAAAGGACAGACACATTGAGACACATGATAAGGGCAAGACTATATCTATCAAATTTAGGCAAGTGAATAAAGAATCAAGCAAAACCAACAAAGACAAACCCCTTAACAATTCAGCCGAGTGCCATTTCATATGACTGGTGTCTGACTGAATAAGACTCGATTGAACTGACAAGTTTAACTTGAACCAAATGAAACTTTGAGACAGATCACTGCAGCCCAGTTTTTACTTTACAGGTTTTACCATTACCGTATTTTTCGGACTATAAGGCGCACTTACAGTACTTAAATTTTAACAAAAGTTGACAGTGCGCCTTATACAGTTTTTTCCATTTAAATTTCAACATTTTGCTATTTTTTTCCCCATCTCAACTATTTTGGCCACTTAAAAAAAAAAATGCTCACCCCTCCTTGAGAACCACAGCATCCTCGAGCCCACTGGACTCCTTACTGACATTGGAGGAAATCTCATCTAGAAACTTCAAGAAAAAAGAGACAGTGATATCAGCCCAAACCATTTAACATCCTCAGGAAGAACGGGTGCAGAACTGAGAATATTGAGAACTACCTTTTTTACTTTCTCAATGCACTTGTCTTCTTGGAATGATTTGAAGAAGTCATACATGTAGGTTTCTTTGAAACTAGACTGTAGAGAAAGAAAATAAAGACTTTGATGAATATGAGCCTTTTCACTGTAGACTGTGTTTAACACGACTGATATCATTTTGTTACACTTTGCTTTTGTGTGGATAAACAAAAATGTGTATCTTCACTGTCAGTCTCACCAGTTTTTTGGACAAACTCCCCCAGCTGCCCAGAGTCTGGATAGTTTTTGAGATGAGTGTGAGTGTGCGGGAAATCTCAGGATCCTACGAGACAGAAAAAATGAAAATGGAAATGACAAATATGTGCAAACTTGGCCTGCACTGTATCTACGGGACGAGCACTTACTGGATGGTGGGGACGGAGCTGAAAGGAGTGTGGAGAAAGGACAGCAACAGCAAAGAACCGCAGGAACACAAAGCTGCTAACAGCGGAGTACTGCACATGAGGGTCAGCTGAGGACAGAAACAACATATCAGCAAATGAATCCAGGTTTTCATATAAACCCAAACAACAAGTTTAAGCCCCCCAGCCCCACTTACAAACTTTAAAAGCTTGTGTATGGATCTGTTTCTAATTTCTAATTTTTATAGTATAGTTAAACAAAGCTTCATCAAAGGGTTCAAGAATTTACCTGAAAATCGTTTGCAGGCCAAGTGTCTCAGTGACCTGAAGACATCGCACATTAGCGGGGGACAGCTGGAACTGGACTGGGTGATGGAGGAAAACACTTTCTGCACATAACCCTGGAGGTTTTCCTGGAGGGAAACATGGATATCATCACTTTGGTGGCTTTTACAACATGTTCATGCCTCACTGGATTTTTGTTTCAGGATTTCAAATGACAACTTAAAAAAGAGGAGAGAGCATTTACTTTGTTGACCTCCACGTTGTCGCCCTCCTTCAGTTTAATGGGGTCAATTTCACAGGTCTTGTTGGATTCACAAATCTATGAAAAGGTTAAAAAAGACACTAAAATCAAACACGCCAACTAATGTTTTAATCACATATAAGACTTATATATAGAATTTAGGATTTATACCCTTTTAATTTAAGGAGAACAATAAAGACTTTTACTTTGTTTTTCTAATATGTCAAGTCATTACTAGAGGAGGATTAAGCAAATATAATTCAGTATTGTAAGGAGGATATTATTTAAAAACAGTTGGGGTTATTTTACAAGTTAGTGCACTGTGTACCAAATGTGAGTTTATCTTGTTGTAATGCCATTGTCAGCCCAGCAGGTGTCGTGTGCACTACAACCCAAAAATGATGGAATGAGCAGCCTTTGTTTAGCTTCTCTGGATGTAAATCTCATTTCCTTTAGGCGGTTTCTTACAGTTGGTTCACAGATGTTGACTCCAGTTTCCGCCCATTTGTTCCTCATTTGTTTTGCCATGTATTTTTTTGTTTTCAAGACATACTGCCATAAGTTTTCTGTCTTGACACTTTGATGTCTTCCTCGGTCTACAAAATTCCCATGTTGTTTGTACTTGTTCCAGATTTTAGACACAGCTGACAGTAAACCATCAACATCTTTTCAAACATTACGTGATGATTTACCTTCTTTGAGAAGTTTGATAACCCTCTCCTTCGTTTCAAATGACAACTCTTGTGTTTTTGCCATAATTCATGTCAATCCACTTCAAAGAGTAAGCACTTCTTCCTACTTGCAGACTCATGATCAGATTTAATCTCAGGCTGGTGTTAGTTTTGGAGAGGAAATTTGACAGAGTGAATCCATATTTTTCCTCAGAATTGAGTGATTCTATATTTTTTTCCTCTCTGTTTGATCTCAAAAAAGAAACTGTTACCGACGACCACAACTTCTGTTCTTGCTTTCTTAAAACCAGAACGTTGCTGTTTGAAATGACTTTGGTTTTGTGTTAAATCTGTGATGTGCTTTTTTTTCTACAAAATTAAATAACTGAATGAACATCCTCCAAGACTGCTGATTCCATCATTTTTGCCAGGAGTTGTATAATGTCAAACAGAAGCTTGACTGATTTACGTGGAAGTTATCATTGTCCTAAGTACAGATAGAGGCACGAGGGCTGTTATGGTTGAGTGTATCTGAAGACTGTAAATGAAATTTTGAGTGCCATCAAATCAAATTTGTGGACTGAATTATTCAGTCTAGTGAGCCAAAAAGACAACTAAGAGTAAATCTGGGTATAGCTCTACTTCAGTGGCTTTTGACAATATAAAAGCATTTGTTCTTTAAAATGGGCTTATCTGCTTGATAACTTGCTGTTTAAGTGCAGTTTTCCCATACTGATCAACGTGACTCATAATAACCACTCTGATTTGACACTAACAGTGTGTTGGTGTGTGTGAGCATGTACTCATACCTCATCTATTACAGGCTTCAGGGTGACTGCCAGGTAATTCTTCCCCACGATCTTCATCATGTCGTCGATGCAGCGTGTTGCCAATGAGTTGCCTCGGAATATAGTGTTAGCCTCCCTGTTCAGACAGTCACAACACCAACGCTACCTTCAAACATCTGAGAGTCAAGGCACATTTAAAAACACTCTTTTTGTCTTGTGTTTTTTTATGTCCAAGATCTTATTTCATTGACCGTTTCAATAATTTCTTCTCCATGCCTCACTGTGGAGATACAGTTGCTTCTTCTTTTCTTGACTTTGTTTTGAACCGATCGGTTACGTTATTAGGACCTGAGTGATTTGATTGGTTGTTAGCTACCCACTAACCAAAGGCTGACACCATAAAAGGCTTGAAATACAGAATGAGGAAAAGGCAGGGGGGGTTTTCCTAAAAGATTAAATTATGAGTCTACAGTGTTTTCGGTGGAAAACCCCTCTCATTCCGTTTTGGACTCTGATAGCATTATCGAGGATGAGTGGTGGACAGATATCAGTTTTTCAACAGCTGATATAGACGTCAATGGCTGCTGAGCAGGTGGGTCAACAGCAACATCACATTGTTATTATGTTTTTTTAAGCATTTGCTAGAAATATCAGCCATTAAACCCTGAACATATAATCGAACATACATGGTTATCTAAGCCAGAAATATGTTTCAGATGGATTCTTGTCTGCAACATTATTTTTCATTTTTTTTAATCAGCGTCATGAGTCAGGGTATCAGCCAATGCTGATTATTTCAAAATGCCTTGAATAGTCTGGACTAAGGGATTAGTCTTTATTCTATCTTTGCACAGGACCAAAGAAAAATGGAAGAAATAGCAAAGACAAGATTTATTTGTGGATGTGGAATGTATAAATGTTACCGTTCAAATAATGGACCTGGAAGTCTGGAATACTATTTCTGTGGAGGTACAGGTCTGCATATCGTCCTGTAGTGTACCCATTTGTGTGTACGAGTACTCACTGAGTGTTGTCCAGCTCCAGCACTGCCACGGCAGAAACAAAAGGCACAAAGCGATTGTGGTGGAGCAGCAGTCGAACCATGGGCAGAACAGCCTCGTACCGCTCTCTGCAGATGTCCCCTAAGATGTGCGCTGCTGAGGCCGAGATGGGCTGTGTGAAATGAGGAGAAGAGGGACATGCATCAAGGAAACGCTGAGAAAGACGACGACATGTCACTGAATAATCCTGTGATTCAATCTCGAAACATTTTGGGGAAAGCAAAATTACCGGAAATCTCAAAATCGTATCGGTAGTATAGCTTAGTGTGATTTCCTTAAACAGAATCGTAGAAACCTGTACATACTCTAGAGCAGTTGTTTTCAAGTCCAGTCCTGGAGGCCCACTGTCCTGCATGTTTTGGATGTTTCCCTGCTCCAACACACCTGATTCAAATGATCAGCTCGTTATTTAGCCATTCCAGAGCTTGATAACGAGCTGATCATTTGAATCAGGTGTGTTGGAGCAGGGAAACATCCAAAACATGCAGGACAGTGGGCTTCGATGACTGGACTTGAGAACTACTGCTCTAGAGTTGACAATCTTTCTATTGCAAGGTTTATCTGAGATACCTTCACATCTGGGGATTTGAGCAGCAGGTTGCAGAGTGGTGTGTAGCAGGCAGATGGCAGCACTGTGTCTTCTATGTAGGTCAGCTTCAAACGCAACGATCCCAAATCATCTGACTTGGACTTGCTGCCGTTGCCTTTTGGCTGGAGGAGGTACCTGTTTGACCACAGAAAGAGATAAAGTAGTAAACGGACTTTGTGTAGTGCTTTCTCTGGTCTTCCAACCACCCAGAGCCCCTACATACCGTTTTGACCTATTTACACCACATTCATACACTGAAGAGAAAACGCGTCTCATTTATTCAATGAAGACTTCTCAGAGTGCCTTCATTCAACATCTTGCTTTAACTAGGAGCATATAGAGAATATTACATCTGTGCTTCATCAAAAATAACAGTTTAACATGCTTGTTTGGAGAGTAGTTTTTAATGACAGTACAATTAAATCACTGCTGGGAAAGACAAGCATTTTAGAGAGTCAACCAATGAGGGGAAACCTGGTTTAAGGTGTAGTAATGTTTAATCAACGAATTATAAGGGCGTTAATAATTCACAGAGAGGATTTCATTTTACTCCTCATTGTCATCGAAATACAGCAGGTTAAATAGCTGTGATGGATGGATTGACTTTCACTTAGAAACAGAATTTTTCAGAAAATTCGAAGGAGAAAAATATGTTTCTCTCATACTTTCATGCACTTCCTGCTCGAAGCCAACAGGTGGAGCAAAACACACAGGGACTAAATGCAGTGTTGAATGCAGTGCTTTAGGGAGCTGCAGGTGCATACTGTGGGCTTGTCCGTGCGCCGTCTGATCTGTAATCATTGTACACAAGTGCCGAGACGCTTCTTTGAAGATGTCAACAGATCAACTGCGCTGATTTCATGAAGCTGAACAGTTTTTTTTTTTTCTTCTCTTTTTTTATACGTGTGCAACATGGACGATTTCCAGCATAAACACAGGACATGAGGTACTGCCACCATGCAAAAAGCCACCCACACACTCTGCTGGCAGCCCTCATGCACTCACAGATTGCTATCTGGCGTAATCCCATATCACCTACACTGACGCAAGGCTAGTAGACACCCACGCCATGGAAAAAAACTGCTGAACAGTTTGGGATAGAAAGATTTTTCTAATCACCGTCCCATTGTGCACTAATTTGCAAGAGTTCTTGAGGAGAACCGGGACTGTGTTCCTTAAGAGTACGAACCCGAAGTTAGGAGATCGACCTCCTGGTGTAAAAAATTGTCGCACATTTGATCCTAACTTGGCTGTGATGTCACAGATTTACTGTCTGCTTCAATTTTCGTTCATTAATTTTAAGTCTGTTAAGAAACTGGAGGGAAGACCTGAATATTATGATTGTTTCTGATGTTGAACAAGCTTTGGAGCAAGAAATGAATGTGTTTTCATCTTTTCGGAGTTTAAGGGGGGTAAATAATAAGAGAGTGATTAGGAGGATGAGGCGACAGATACATGTCAAATTCAATAATCCATAGAAAGATGTCATTGCACCTTCAAGATTTATATCTTTCACCAGAGTAATGCTCGGTAATGGGCTTCTTTTACATAATTAAGCATCACCCAGAGCATGAACTCACTGTCTTTGACATCTTAATCAGTGGCCTGCCAATGCAAAAATTATTGATGACTTCACTCAAGAACTAAGAAAATCTGCAGGGTTATAAGAAGTGTCAATGCTTGAAAATGTGGAGTCAGGCTGGTGTAAAAAGTTAAACTGAAGTCCTGTTTAAGGCCTTTTGCACTGAAATAAAGTCAATCCTGTAAGTAAATCAATCAATCAATCAATCAACTTTATTTCTATAGCACATTTAACCACGAGGGTAGCCAAAGTGCTGATTCCTTACCATGCTTTGTGGATGTGGTCATTTCGCAGGATCTTCACAGGGACCCTGGTTTCTCCCAGAAACACATCCTGAGCCAGGTTTTCATTGTTCCACAAATCCACCCTAGAGATATAGAGAACAGGAGCTGAAATATGCCTTTCATTTATCAGTTACCACAGTAATACTATACCAAACCAAATGTGCATGGTGTCAGGCGCTTCTTTGTCGATATGTGCTGTTTACTAAATCATCAACACAAACAACCAACTTCAACATGGTAAAAGGAGACCAAATCAGCTTCATGGCTCAGTGGTGCTTACCTGCTCATCGTGTGAAAGTCAACACAATACCTGTGCAATGAAACCACCTCAAATCCAAACCTCAAAACCATGCATGAGTGTTTACCTTTGAATCTGTCTAGTCTCACCCAGTAAGCTATGAGTCCACTGTGACGGAAGCCCCACATATCCTTAACCAGAAAGCAACAAATCACATCTAAATTCAATTTTTATCCTCGTGATGAAAGATTGAGTTTTTCCGTTAATACTATATTTGGGGAAGAAGAGAAAGAAGGAGAGAGGGAGAGTCACAGAAGGTGGACCACACAGTTGAAAGAGGAAGAATCGACTCACTTTATCTCAAGTTTTTCAATATCCTCCTCCTCCACTTGGAAATGTGATTTTTTGGAATAGCTGCTGGACCGTGTCACCTGGAAAAACAGACAGTAGCTTTGCAAACCATACCTGAAGTAATCATACTTAGATGTAACTTAAAGAAAATTTAAAACCCATCAAGATTGCAAAATGTGTGGCTGCAGAATTTACCTCGAAGAAGAAGGTCTCTTCAAACTGAGGGTTGCTGGTTTTCTTCTTTACCTTTGTTTTCTTTTGGTCTGACCTGTGGAGACACGAGAGCAGCTGTGATACTGAAATTTCAAAATCTACTGATCCTAACCAAAAGGCAAGGCAAGCTTATTTTTAAAGAATCATTCATACACAAGGCAACTCTTAGTGGTTTACAGATGCTAGGAAATATTTCAGAAATGAATAAAAAAAATAAATAAAACAATTTAAAATCAATAAAGATTAAAATGTAAAAAAAGACATAAAACAATTGTAAATCAATAAGATTAAAACATTTTAAAAACAATAAAACATAAAACAGTTTAAAATCAATTAGATTAAAACATTTTAAAAACAATTAAACATTAAACAATATAAAAATCAACAAGACAAACAGATTTATACATATTTTTTTCGTCTGTTCCATGTGCGCCCTAATTATTTATGAAAACTGTGATTTTCCAGAAAAACACGTAAGTCACAAGTTTCCAAACCCAGAGCCCCTAGCACTCAGCCTGGGTCTCCAAGACTAAACATCCTGTATAGTTAAGGGTTAATTTTTTCTTTTTTTTTCCTTTTTAATTGTGCCTCTCTTTCCTACAGGTGGTAAGATCTTATCCTGACATGGCTGAGCTCTTAGCCTAGTTTGTGCCACGATAAGACTTATGATCCTCAGTTATTATGTTGGCGAATTTGAGCAGAGAGCCAGAGCCAAAACTACTTGAGAGAATTAATTCACATGTTGCTAAGGACCCATACAGGTCACACAAAATTATCCTCTGAGGTGTTGTGTTGTTTACCAGTTTAATGTCAGTTAAAACGATGGATTGAATGAAAAATCTGTGTCATGCTCCTTTAACATGGGGTCTAATGTTCTATTGTTTTTAATGTAAAAAAAAAAAGGTCAAGCTAAAAAGGAGCAAACACACCGTCTACACTGTTATCAGGAAAATCTCGGCATGTTTTGGTTATTGTATTTGATAAATGAGGTGTTCAAAGAGTTACCTGGCAGGTCCAACGAGTGACACAGTGGCATAGGGGTCACAGTTCTGTCCACTGATCAAAGGCAGTCCTTGGCACTCTATTATCCTGGAGGAGGTCACAAAGACAGACAGAGGGATGTTATAAATACCATCAGTGTACAGGGACAAATGCAGACAAGATTTTATCACTGGACAATAATCAACATTGTGTTCATTTTGATTCAATTAAAGGTTGAAGTCATTGATTTTCATTTACATTTTTAAAGCTCTTGTGATGATTTTTTAACTGGTTATGAAACAAATTGAAATTAATGAAGCAACTTTATGACTTGCAAAAGAAAGAGCCCATCATTAACACGACTGAGGCATTCAAACTTTTAATACTGACGTTTGCAAACAGCTGAGAGGAAGTGTCAAACCAGACAACTGACAGCATGTTGAAGACTCAGCCTTTCCGTTCACTGAGTATCACATTTGACCATTAGCAAAACAGAGTGAACTTTTTTTTTCTTTTAAATATGACCTTATAATGTACATCCGTGGTTCTCAAGTCCAGTCCTGGAGGCCCACTGTCCTGCATGTTTTGGATGTTTCCCTGCTCCAACACACCTGATTCAAATGATCAGCTCGTTATCAAGCTCTGTAATGGCTTGATAACGAGCTGATCATTTGAATCAGGTGTGTTGGAGCAGGGAAACATCCAAAACATGCAGGACTGTGGGCCTCCAGGAGTGGACTTGTACAGGACAAGATCAGCAAAGTGACAAGTTGAACATCTTTGCCTACAGGGGGCGCTGAAACTGACACATACCAAAAGTTTCTCAAATATCCCAGATCTCCTGGACTAGCCTTTGACACTGTGTTGAGAGCATAAATCGGGAACGTTTTTTTATTGGTGCAACAGCTGCTTAAATTGCTGCTAAACCTAAAATAATAATCCTTTATGTCTGCTACTTGGCATATTTGTTCTGTCCATCACTGATAAATCTAGAAGGAAACTCCATCAAACATTTGCGTTCTGCGCTAGGAAGTGTATTCTTTTAAATTGGATTGTGGATATAGTTCCATCCAAGGCTCAGTGGCAAAGGGTGACTCTTGAGTATGTCGCATTGGACTACCTGACATGTAAACTACGCAGCAAAGATGATGTGTTTCGAAAAAACATGGGAATGTTGGTTTAAATATCTCTACCATTCTCATGGGAGGGTTGCTATCATAGCTTTGAACATGCTGCCTTAAAAAAATGATGTCTTATTTAAATAATGTTCTTGCTTCCATGTACCTTTTTTTAATATATGAACATATTGTGCACGGTAATATGCACTTAATTTATTTTACTTTTATTTTACTTACCTATTTTATTTGTATAAGATGACTCCTAAATCTCTTGCCTGTATAAATTTGAACATAATGAGTGCGTGTTTGTGAGCCAAATGTATGTTTTTTTTTTTAAATCATGTGTTCTTTTTTTGTTTCTGGAAGAATTTAATAAACATACTGTATATCAAAAAAAAAAATGCTGCTAAACCTTTATGATCAGTATTATAAAGACACTGGGTAAAACTTCATCAAATCAAAACAGCAACCATGTTGTAATTGTTCTTTTCAGGAGGGTGTTTGACATTTTTGTCTTACAGTGAGGAAAAAAAACTTTTTAGAAAGAACACATGGCACCGTTTTAAGTTTGAATAGTTGCCCTCAGGTGAAATAAATGTACTACTGTAGGAAAACATGTAGCATACTGAGTAGATCTCTACTAACTGGATGCATCATGTAACATTTTGCTGTTTTCTGCTGTAAAAAAATGACCTTGATACCTGGTAGCAACATTAGCTGCAGAGGGCTAACGCGTATCAACAGTGAGGACATCAACAAATTTCCATCCATATATAACAGTTTCAGTGGTGCCACAGCCAGCCTTCATGTCGAAGCACTGCTTTGCCCTCATGTTTGGTTCATGGCTCACAGGGGCCGCTGCTTTTTACGCAAGTGTTTCAGGTAACAACAAACAGAAACTGTCGGTACCCTAAACAGGATGTGGCTGCTAAGAAGGGATCACCAGAGACTAAGAAATAATTCAGGCCGTCACTGAGTAAAGCTAGAGGGAGAAGCCAAATGTCAGGATGTTTATGTATCATCTTCCAGGCTGTCATGACAATATTCCCTACAGTCTCCTTTGCATCTCTCAGCTCAGCCCCATCTCACCCGTCTCAACGCGCTGCACAACAGGAGCACTAGAGGTGTACATAAGTAAGCCTGAAATCTCTGATCTTAACTGTGTCACTTTCTTGGGTCCGGCTTATCTGAGGAAAAAAAATATATACTGTGTTCATTATCTATGCACATGTTGAAAGAGCTGACAGAGAGCAGGTGACGGTTTTAGCAAACAATCTGAGTGACACGGTGAATGACGGCAGCAGAAAACCGCAGCGGTTGCAGTGTGCGAAGCACAGACTTCCTGCTCAGATGCCATCACTTCCTCCCCTTCAACCTGCTCTTCAAGTATGAATGGGGGATGCAAAACAACATGCGTAAACAGCATGATCTCTGACATACACGTACACACACAAACCTGTATGTGAATTTGTTTCGCTTTTAAAACGAGAAGAGCCATTAAAGACTGTTGCAACACATCTGCTGAGTAAAGATGAAGAAAATTAGAACATTAAATAAGAAGTAATACAGCTCGTGCAATTTTTTAACAATTAGTAGATCAGATTAAAAATTTCAGTGAAGTTTTTTTGGGATGGAAAAAACAGAATGACAACAGAGGTGCCATAATTTTTATTATCTCCTGTTCAGCACTCCGAGTTAATCATTGACTAGAACTTCATAAATAGCTCTCCTAATGTTGGCTGCAAGCTTCTACATGTTGCTTTGGAGGGAATGATTGAACGATTGTCTAAGTAGGTAGACCGATAAGTGCAAACGCAGAACATGTGAGTTAATCCTGCAAGAGCACCGGGAAAAATCACGAGTCTTCCCTACATTACAATGTTGTTTAAGACTTCGGCTTGGTATGGCTTCATTTTCACCAACCATAACCTCTTACTCCTGGTGTTTCTGTCCACACCTAGTAAAAAACTTGATAAGAATAAAAATGGATGCCAACCCTCTTTATGAGATAACACTGACTCATTAGTAGAGTTTGTTTTGAGACATCGTCATGGGGTCAAAAGTGCATCGAAAAGGTGAGGGCTATAGTTGAAGTGATACTGTGGCACTCCTTGGGTCACGACTTCCTGACTGGCTTTGATGATACATTTTTATTACATTTCATAGTGCTTCCTTATTCATTTGCTGCTCTCTCAAATAATAACTTTTTAAAAACAGACTTCCTTTTTGGTCATGGAGGATCCGGCTGAGGTGAAACAACCCTGAAGTGTTTGAATGATGGCTCTGCAAATTCTCTAAACGACAAGGGGAGGGGCCTTTTTGCTTCCTTTATTAAGTCCTTTAGTATAAGATACTCTGGATATTATTTTATGAAAGAAAAGAGGTACCCATAATAACTCTTAGGGCCAACTATATTCAAAGTTAGGCACCTCTATGACAACAAGTTCATTGAAGGCCATGTTCATGAGATTCAACTGTTATTTTGGGTGCTTATAGTACTTTTTCTTTAATCCCAACCTCCAATTAATCCATACATTAAAGGACATTTTCACACCAAACTGCCAAAAGTTGAATGAATTTTGATGTTTTACTTTACTTCCTGTTTACTTCCATATGTGCCAGTAATTCAGAATCAGCACGGACTCAAACCAAACCTACACCTCTCTCTTCACCACTTTGCCTTTCCTCCTTCATTGTGTCAGACAGAGTGTTTGTTGGTACTCACCGGACCAGTAAGTGTTGGCCGACTGAGCCGTTCTCTGTGATTACTTCATTCAGTCGCATTTCCAAGTGCACCTTCCCCTGGTGAAAACGAGGAGAGGAGAGGTGTTTGAGAAAACGTACAGAAAACTCACATTGCAAGATCTCGGTCATACACCCGTGTCCAAGCGAAAAGTTTCAAGTGAAAATCCAAATCAACAATCTGGAAAAAAAACCTATGCATTTTTCCACATATTGGAAAAAACGAAACCGTCAATTACCATTTCTTCATCTTACAAGGTGAGTATTCTGCTTTTGCTACATACATGTTTTTCACTTCTTTTATTTTTTTTGCAGTCTGAGGTTGACCTGTGGCTCAGCCAAACCTCGTGTCTCATGTAGTTTTATGTTAATGGAGGCAATGTATGTTATAGGAGCCGCAGCAGCTGTGAATTCTGTCATCACTGAAAGAGATCTTCATGGGGTCGGATGTGGTGAAGGCTGCCGGTCTGCCTTCGGAAGTGTCAGAGAGAGAGAGAGAGAGGGAGAGAGGGAGAGAGAGGGTCGTAGAAAGCAAGAGAGAGAGAGCTAAACAAAACGCCCACACACTTGCACTCCGTCTCTGCAATTCAGCACTTGGCTGAGCTGGCGAGGAGTTCTTTCAGATGCAAGATAGGCCTTTAAGCCAATATAATCCTCACACATCGCAAGGACCCACACGAGCCAACATCCTCGGCAAATTAACACTCGCATCACTACAACATACCCCCTCTTTTGAGTAATTAATATTTCCAAAAGGGTTTATTGTTTCAAAGAAAACTACATTCTATTTTGCACTGAGCAGGTTGACTGGAATGTGAGCTATCACTGTTCAGCACACACACAAAGCCCTATTTGACTGCTAACCAAGCCAAAAAGACAGTACAGTAACACCTCCATCACTCCATGATGTAACTTAGCAGTTGAAAGTGTCTACTTGTGAGTGAATCAGTGTAGCAGCAAACGCTCAGAATAGTCTGGCGTGGGCTAATGGCAGCTAAAGTCAACACGCTAGCTACAGCAGCAGCATAGAGGAGATAGATGGCGTGCCATGTTTCAACCGGCACAAGCAGACCACAAAACTATCTGATCAGAGAAACGTACAGTTGAAACAGAGCAACCCACATACATTCTCTAGATGTGGGAGAAACTAGAAATGCAAAGCTCACAAATTGACCCAAAAAGAAAGTTTGACTAATAAGACAAAGCCTGGATCAAAAAGGTTCTCATGAGTCAAGTAGTCAGCTGCAGAATCGCTATGAATGATCGGAAAGTGCAGCGGGGGCAAGAATCGGTTCAATAAGCAGGTTATTTACACTTTATTCTGACAGATAATAATCAAAGAAACTCAAAGGCATTCATGTGCAACCTTTACATCTCTCAATTAGTTTTGTTTGTATCATAATATTCACCCTCTGAACTTCAGATGGTTGGGCAAACTGGTTTAAAGAAAAACAACAAGGCAGGAAGGCTGTATGCAAATTTGAAGTCACCATCTCATGAGGAGTCACAACAACAGCTGCACAATGATGATATAGAAATGAGTAGTGAGTCTGTATGAAATACTTCATAAACTCAGACCAGAGGACTGGAATAGTACAATGAAAATGTAGGTTTGTCATGGTATCTTCTTAATGCACAGCTCTGTACGTGTTCAAAGAGTGCACTGCTTTCTGTCAGACACTCCTCATTTAGAGTCCTGAGGTGTTGGTAATACTGGTAACATTTTCATCAGGCTACGGCGTTAAAAGTACGACAAAATTGTGCAAACCCCACGTTTTGCACACTGAATGTCCTTTTCCGGTGACGTTGGAGCTGCATTCAGTTTTCAGCAGGGGGGGCTAATAGCAGCAGCCAATCAGCAACAGAGTTGAGCCTGTCTTGGTTTTTAAACTATAGAATCACAACTGTTTGGACGGACGCCATTTGCCCTTACTTGGACATGGAAATGATGTTATCTGCATACAAATTTTCCACAACAAGCACATGAATTTCCTGCTTATTGTGTTGAGTTGCTGCAAGTTTAGACACATTTATCTTTGAGCTTAGAGGGATCACTGTCGTCTCATCATTAACAATTTTGCAGGCAATTTAGGTCAAATCCCTAAATCAGGATAAAACAAGAAGAAAAAAAAAACGAGCTACAGTTGAGAAATTATATACATAACTTGTTACAAAAATAGAGCAGAGCATCAGAAACTTACCTGGACCTCTGAGTTTGGATCTACTGGATGAAGGCTAAACCAGAGCTCCTTTCCACTATAATTACACAGCTCATCTTTTCGAATTGACACTTTGCCTTTAAAGACACAAAAAAAAACAACAAAAGAAAACTTGTTACAACACAACTCATTCAGTCGGCTGAATAAAAACCAATACTTGTGCAACACTCTTTGTGCTGATTGCAACTCACCAACAGGTAGATCCCTTTGGAAAACGCTCTTGGCATAAACATAGAACGATAAACACTGGAACGGCCGAGGAATCTCAAAGTAGAAGTCCTCTCCATAGAAAGGGCTGTAAACAGAGACAGACATGTCGATGAGCTACAAGCAGTCTGATAAGAGAAAAAGTAGTGTGTAATAAAAAAGTGTCTTAAAAAACAGGCTTTCTTTATAAGAACAGACCTGTGTGTTGATTTCAGATATTTAGATGAGGACCAATGATCTCTGTAAGTCAACAGTTATCACATTTTAAAGTGAGCTAGACGGGAAAACAAACTTATTTGTTTGACTGGAAAAAAATGTGACCCAGATGGTGAGGTTACAGACCGAAGCATGGCTCGATATAGAACTTAAATGACGGACCTACTTTATTATAAATATTCAAACCAGCAGTATTATTTTGATTTGTACCTGAAGTGACCTTTAAATTTTCCATCGAGAAGAATTTTAATTAAAATTCTGTGTGTGTGTGTGTGTGTGTGTGTGTGTGTGTGTGTGTGTGTGTGTGTGTGTGTGTGTGTGTTTGTGAGTTTGTTACAGGGAAAACTACTACAATGTCAGGTACACAGAAGAACTCACTGAGGACACACACTCTCTCACTCTCACACCCACATTTTACCACCTGCACACGCTGATTGTGTAAATGAACAAAGTCTTGAAATAAAGTCAGCAACAGCTCTTGCATAATTGTTACACATCCTCATTATTAATAAGAATAAAAATGATGATAGTTGTAGTGCGGGCTGAGTTGGCCATGAAAAGTGGACATTATTGAAAAACTTGTTATCACACCTCTATACTCTGATGCCGATTCAAGGCCAGATGCTGCCAAAACAAAGGTGGCATATAGTCACTCACTTTCCTTTCTCTGCTTGTGACCCCCTGCTGTGGCCACCCACCCACATTGTGTTCATAATTTCCACCCCACCTAGAATAATCTTGATTTTTGTGTAAAGATAAAGACTCCATTATCTCTCTCTCTCCTTCTCTGCTGTTGTCGTGATTCAGTATTAATATAGTTGATCAGCTGGCCTTATTGTTATGCACCAACTTCCAACAAGGTGTTTTATGTTGACCATCTGTGGCTGAATGTGGGCCAGTGGAGGGTTGATTAAAACAAAGGCTGATACACATGCACACTTTTTAAGGTAGACAAAAGGACCGTTACAATAACCATTTTTGAGTTTTGTGTGTATGCCCTTTTAATTAGGATCCAAACAGTAAACACGTGTACCTAGAAATACACCTACGTCTGTACGCATTCTGCAACTCTCTGTAAATGATCAGAGATGTAGGTTACGACCTGCGTGAAACCTCCGACCCACTTTCTTTCCACAGAAACCAAAACACAGCAGTTTAATAAGTCAAGGGTGAAAACTTCTGCAAACTCTACAAATGTAAAGTTCAGTTTATTCCATCTTATAACTTTTTTTTCAACCTATTTAAAAAAAAAAAAACCTTAAATGGGCTGTCTTCTTTATCACCAAATTATACTAATACCTTATACAAAATACCTAGTTTTGGTTTACAATGATGATCCTGGGATGCAGGATTGTTTTTATTAATTTATGCAAAAAAAAAAAAAAAACTGTTGAACATAATTTTATTCTCCAACAATGTTTAAAATAATTGTATTAGAGCAAAACTATCAGAAACACAGTATTAGTGAATTTACTTGCAAAGTAAACTGTCTGAGCAGAAGGTTGACAACACAGGGTGCCCTCATGACTCATCGGGGTTGTGGGAAATGTTCTTGCTAATTTGAGTGTCACTTCTGCCGTCTTATTGCTCCAAAACATTTCTTGCCATTTCCCCAGAAAGGAAATGCCCATGAGACTTCATGAAAAGTGAAGAGGTCAAGTATGAAGTGTGACGTGGCGTGTACATGGAATTAGTCAAAGTCTGATAAGGTATATGCATAGCAGCCTCTGCCATCAGTGTGTATGGGTGAAAATTCTATTTAATCTCATCTAATCTAATGTTAAAGCACTTTGAGTGGTCAGAAAACTAGAGCGAGTGTGATATAAATGTATTCAAGTTCTCCATTTACCATCAGCTCTACATTTTTTTCTTTATATGGACATTTTTCCATTTGATTCAATCCACCCAGTATACCTGCTGACACTGTGCAGGTTTATACACATAAACTGCTGTGGCAATTCTTGATAATAATTCATACTGGGCCATCATTTTAAAAATGTCTGAAGAAATTTAACGAAATCAAATAAAAAATAAAATAAAATATTTTATTTATATTTCCCAAATTAAGAGTTTTTTTTATGTACTTAAGGGTTGTTTTAAGCTGGAGTTTAATGCCAAGACAGTGGACTGCCCCTCTTACCTATTAAGGAAGTGTATCCATCTTAACTTCTCTCAAGTCATTGTCAATATAGCACTTTATTAATGTTAACTGTTAAATTTAACTTGTGTAATCGTTTAATCTTAATTTTGTTGCTGTGTTTATTTATTCGTGTCATCTAGCCATCCACTCTATTATCCACTGTAGTTGTGTGAAAGGAATTCTGAATATTTTATCCTACACCAAAGCCTGACCAGGGACAAAGACTGCAAATTAGCTGAAGCTAGACATCTTGTATGCATCACATTTTCCATTTTTTTGTGTGTGGCAATGTTGCATGTATTGTCCCTGTTAAATAAACATTAAAGTAAAATAAATAAATAACTGCACCAACAACTGAGGCCCCGTTAAAATGCCTTTAAAAAAATATATGACAACAAGACAGTCAAAAAACACAGTGCCACGGAGTGTACTCTCCAAAGATGACGAGCGTACAAAAACAAATTAAAATCTGCTACAGTTTCCTTACATTTAAGAAATAAACAGAAATTTATACTGATGCCTTTTTATGATATGCAATGGCAAATTAGACCATTAGCAGATTAATGATGACTATAAATGTTACACTTGGCACACATAAACACGCCTGTGTGCAGAACCATCATCTACCTGATAGACTGCTGGTTACTTTCTAAATACCAATACTTGAGTGTTTCATTTACACATGATTGTTTTTTTATCTCATTTCAATGTGAAAATTTAATATTAAGACATTGAAAACATTATTTAATATCAGTATTTACATTAGCTCGCTTTGTTCAATGCATCTGTTTTATTATTATTATTCTCAATTACAATAGTTTTCTTTAGAATAACAAGTTTTGGTCTTAAGAAGGGAAGGGAGATGTTGTTTTACCATCGAGATTGTCTTATATTCAGGTCAATACAGGAATGAAACATAAATGCTTTCATCATCATTTTAATTAACCTGAAAAATATCAACAACATGTGAAAATGTATCATCTAACCCCGACTACTACACCTGTGGGTAAATTTGGAGCACAAGGTAGACACCTGTGCACACCCAAGGGTAACGCATAGACTTAAATATATGACCAGCATGTACTATAGCACTGTGTAGTCTTAACCAGAGGGATTTCAGCACAGGACTAACTGCCCTGTAGGAGCTGGCACAAACACTGTGAGCCAAAGCATCTGTGCTGCTCAGTCCTGCCAACATAACTACCTCACATCCAACACAACAAGCAAGACAGCTTGATCTGACATAGGTGAATGTAGGTTAAGCGCTACCTCAGTGTACTTCGCTTCCTGCAGATGGACCACCTGTCCCAAACAGACTTAACAGTGCTTACTTACAGTTGCGCTGGATTAACTGTTCATATCTTTCGGTAAAACGACATCTTTAGTTTTTACTGACATCTTGCAAGTCCACTATGGGTATTTTTTGGGAGGTGACAGAACAAATCTCACTGCTAATCACTTTGATTTGAACTTTTGATTTTATGATCACCTTTAAAAAAAAAAGAAAAAAAAAAAAAAAAACAGAAAAAGTTCCACAACAACGAAATATCTTGCATGACACTTCCGCACTGGGTCCGACCAGCATAATAAGTGTACACCCACGCATTCTCCGCCACATAATTTTGAGCCATGCACTTGTAAACTCTCTTTTCTGCACTCGTACAAACATAAAGCTAACGTTTAACCTTCTTTTCTGTTGTCAACCAAGCTCCTAATAATGTGACACTGCTGGGTACAGCCACTTGACCACAAACTGTTTGCACATGTCTGCTTAATCCAACAGATTAGCAGCAATTGCAGGTTCTATACAGCTTGTAAACCATTAGAAACAGGGGCATGTATAACAAGCATGAGTCAGGCACCGTTAAAAAAACACTGTAGTTTGAATAGGAGTGATTATTAAGACATGTTAAACACAGACTAAGGTAGTTGAGAGTAGCACAAAGAGAAAGGCGGGGGAGAGCGTGGGAGGCCTCACTTCCTCACAGACTGTAAAATCCTTTTGAACAGCACCAAAATCAGGAGAGAGCAAGAGAGAGAGAGAGAGAAAAAAACAGCTATTGTGAAATACCTGAAGAAGGCAGGCTGATGTTTACAGTAAGATGTTCAATGATGTAAATAGAAAAGGTTTCCTGGTGCCCACATTTTTCTCTAAGCTGCTTGTGAACATGTAGCTTTTGGTGGAAAAGCTTCCACACTGAATCATTTCATGCTTTCCTGCTTAAATGCACCCTGCACACACCAACAGCTCTGAGTCACATATTGACAGTTTTTAAGATGCAATTAAAAGAAAAGAAAAAAATCCCATGATCTGGAACAAATACAAATGCACCAGAGTTTATTTTTTGGAGAGATTTCTCCTCAGGTAGGAAGTTTAGTTAAACTTTAAAGAAAAACTGGAGCCAATATTTAGGTTTCTGATACTGAAGATCATACTATTGTCGAGGTGTATTGAGACATACATCAAGAAAAATATCTCTGGATTTCATAAAAGCCTTCATGAAAGGTTATAAACTTTCCAAGTATGAAAATTCGGTGATCAACCCGTGTGCACAGACGAAATCAAATTTGTATCTCTAATTTTGCGGTATTACTCAAGAAATGAATTAGACACTTGAACACATTAGACATTAGAGATTACATGTACAGGACAGTTTTAGTTAAGATTTGCTTTGTATTTCCAGGCTTTCCTAACTTATTATTTGTATCATTTTATATTTAACAAACAGTACCTCCAGTTCTTGTAAAACCAAGTAACCCCTTAATGGATGAAGTGTGATTTGTAAACACCAAAGACACGGGAGTAAACTCCCGAATTTGTTTTTATTAAATTATCCTCAGTAACATGATCTTGTTCACTCATCAAACTGACTTTGAGACAATGACTGCACTCATACTCAACTTCCAATAATTATTTCAATCTCTAGCACTGACCTGCTTTGTCATAATACAAACTCTGAGAGATGGCACAACTATCCGCCTGAATTAAAAAAAAAAACTGAATGGTACACATCATAAATTATTCAAATACTGCACAAAAAGACAGAACATTTGTGCACAGTGTCAGAGCACCCAGTTGACTCGCTGGATATGCAGCGATGAAATGAGAAATTTGGCTTTTACTGAGCTGAATTATCCACCACCTTTTAGAGTAGTGCACATCTTTGTCATTAAACAGTCAGATGAAAGTTTCATGATTCTTAAGTGTGTTTAGTGTAACTTGTTGTCTGCAACTATACTTCACAAACAGTTTCCAAACTTCAATTATAAAAGCAATTAAAGGATAACAAGTTTGCTTTTGGGGCAGAAATCAACTGAAATATTGACACTGTGCATGTATGAGGTTTCTGGTTGAACCAACCTACCTGACGCTCTTGTCAAACACCTTTGTCCGAAACACCTCCTCCTGATCTAGACTTATGGTGCAAAAGGTGCAGAGATCCCTTTGACGATTTGGACCTGAGACTGGACCCAGGTTCTTAGCTTCACCTGCAGCACAGACAGAACAACATTATCAATAAGTTTCAATGGTTTGACACTAAAATGTTTATTACTGAGCTTGTTAACAGATTTGGGGAATTGTTTAAACTTATTAAGTTTGCCGATATACATCCAAACAAACATTTCAAAGAGATTTCCAAATCAGGTGCCACCATTGTTTTAGGTTGTGCAGAAAGCTTCATACATCTACCCGAGAAATGTTAAATATTCCAGAGAGTATTATGTCTTTTCTTTAATCATAAATCAAGAAATAGATTTTCTTCAGTAAAATTAACTGACAACAATTAAGAATGCATACACCAAAATTACTTTTACTACTACCATATTTTAAGTGGTTATGGCTACACCGACACTTGCTTGTGTCAGAGCAATCTGCAGAGCGGATGTAGGCGATGAGGACTTGAGGCTCCTGTGTGGTTAAAAACATGAAACATTGACTTCCTAAGTATAACTAGCGGTGACAGTACAGTGCTGATTCACAAAATGACAAACACCTTTGTAGCGCACACAACACTATCACACGCTAGCATTGCACTGCAACAAAACTGAGATTACATATCATGAAGTTTTGTGCAATAAGTTACCCTGTCACTTGCTAAATCAAAGCCCGATGAGTTAAACAGCTAAAACAGTTGAAAGCAGTTATTGAGAATAAAGCACTATCAGTAAGTTTACAATGAGTCAGCTTTAGACTTGTGGATTAGAAAGGCAAAGATAGCAGTCTAAATGGATCCTCTAACTTTGGTACCTTAAGCCCAGGTGGGGGACCTAATGATGAAAAGCCAAGTATGCGATCAGCTTTTTTTAACCGCCTATTTATAAAGGCTGTAAACTTAGCATGGCCAGTAAACACAACTAGGTTGTCACTAAGCCTGGACCAGAATAGCCCGGTGGGAGTAGAGACCACAAGCACATAAACACACAGAAATAACCACATTGGGTGTACTTTAAAGGATCAACCATCTCTTCCCTTTTTTTCACCAAATACAGAAGCTTGTGTGATAACTGTGCCCTAAAGGTCAAAGGGGTGCACAAAAAAGCCCGATCTTAACTGATGACTTGGTCATTTTCAAAACTGGGGAAATAACTTCAAATTCACAGAGTGCCACCTTCATTGATGTAGGCTAAAGGAAAACAGACAAAGTGTGAACAAGGAAGAATTGAGTTTCGTAACAGTGCTAAGTGAGTGACATGCCACAATGGTTCCTCTATTTTGTTCTGCTTACCGTTTTCTCATTAATTCATTGTAGTGAAACTGTTGTCTTCCTATTGTGCTCTAGTGAACACAAGCCTTATATCCACTTACCTTATTTTCACTCTGCAGTAAAAATAAGTGTAAGTACAGTTGAGCCACATTTTTAGCTTGTAATGACATGTCTACACTTACTAATGTCTCCAGATAGATTATAAAAAGTCTTCATTTGCCAAAAAATACCTACACTGTTGCAAATACTTTTAGTAATTTTTAAAATATTGATAAAAGAAACATTAGCATTGGGGAGGTGATGCAGCAGCAGATTGTGGAGACTACACCTTCTGAAATTTGACCCTGAAAATGTTTACCGTTTTCCTTCACTAAAGACAGCTCTGCATATCTTGAAATTATACAGCAGCAGGTTAACACACTAAAAAGGTGAGGCCAGTATGAAGAAATCGGCATGGTAGTTATTCGACTTCACAGCAAACGTTTCCGTCCGTAATGTCATCACTACTGGGGAGATTTGCTTGCAAAATCTTTGCCAATTTGGCTGCAAACATGAATACTTTTCTCATTTATGTGCCAGTGAATGATGAAATGCTTCCTGTTTGTTGCAGGTTAGAGAGTACTAAAGTGACTGAACAAGATAAATTGTTTATTTATTATCCTATCTGTATATTTCACATTTCATATCTATTACTCATTTCATATTAGTACTACCAGTGGATAGCCCACTTTTTTCTCTTAGGATGTTTAGTATATTTAGTCTGTATTCATTGCATATATTTAGTGTATTTAGTCTGTATTTACTGTATATATTTAGTGTATATAGTCTGCATTGTACATACTTCTTATATTTAATTTAATTTTGTGTTTTTATTGCTGCTCTAACATGGGAATTTCTCAGTTTGGGATCAATAAAGTCTATCTATCTATGTCTTTTTTTTTTTTTATATGTGTGTACAAAAATAAACTGAAAACAAACATAACCAGTGAGAATATTCAAAACAACGATAACAATAATCAAAGCAAAAAAGTAAAAATTAAATATAAAAATAAAATAAAATAATAACAATAATGCAAACCTAACATGTCCAAAAAGGAGTAGGATGAAGCATATAACTTATTATTACAGATACATAAGTGTAACATTATGAGACTGACTAAAGGACTTGGGCCAATGAAGCTCTCTATGGCTGATTATTATTGTTTTTGGTTTGATACAATAGAAGTATGATGTAAAAATGATTTTTTCCGTTTGAATAAAAGCTATAATAGTTTAACATGAGCAATAAGAAACCTGCCTGTCAAATGTCTGCAGTGAGTATATGGATGTGTTAGACAGACTCAAACGGTGGGTAGTGGCTAGCTTACTTTGTCACCAACGTTCAATTAGCCTTGATGGCAGCGCAAATCTACACAAAACCACGTATTTCCCCCACGGAAAACGTTTCCGACACACAAAACGACCCAGTTTGCCGAGACATCTTGACTGACGTTCAAACAGCCACGATCTGTGAGAGAAATCATTCAAAACAAGCTGGTATGAGCTGTTAGCATGCTAGGCTAACTTGACGTGAAGCAGCAGCAGCAGCAGTAGAGCAGATGAAGTGGTGCCTCTGCCTCCTTCCTCCACACTGTCCACTGTTGATAGCACGCCGCGCCCCTCCGGCTGGCTTCCCCCCTCTTTCCCTCGCTGCTCACCTCTGTCTCCCCACTGTGAGGAACGGAAAATATCAACTCGCCCCGGTCAGACTTACATATTTTACCCCGCAGGCTCTGTAAAATCCGAATCCTCGCGTCGTCCTCTTCCGCCATTGTCAGAGCTGACTGTTGTCGCTGCTCCGGTGCTCCGCTCGCTCAGCTCAGCTCAGCTCAGCGTTGCTGCTGCTGCTGGTTCATCATATCCGTTTGTGAATGCAGCCGGAGAGTGAAGCGAAGAAGCCAGTCCCACCGCCGCCGCCGCGTCACGTCAGGTCTACGTTCACACACTGGTGCCTCAAAGCGTTTGGAGACGCTTCCTCAGTCAGCAGTCAAGTCAAGTGCCTTTGCTTAAAACCAGTAGCTACTTCATCCTGGAGATGGTATGAGATTTTAGAGGATTTAGAGCCTCTCCCTCTCTGAAGTGTTGCTTATTATGCAACGACAAAGCTCGCGCAAAGCTAATACTTTGACTCGTGAGGTTAGCTTAGCTAGCTAATCTTGGATACAGAGGTTAACCCCGTCCGTGTATGACAGAGGTAAATCTGTTACAACCTGTGTGAATGAATTACCACAACTCCAAAACTGGAAATACTTGAAGTAGAGCAGTTTCTTGACTTCAGTAATGTAAAGGAGAATTAATGAAACGAATTCCATCGAAACAATTTGGCAAAAAGAAACCAAAGCTTGAAACCAGCAGTCAATCCTAACGTGCAGAAGTAGGGGAGAGTGGGGTAAGTTGAGCCAAAGGGTAAGTTGAGCCACCCCCTGTTGCTTGGAAATGGTAAAAGAAATTGATCATGTGACCAAATATTAAGGAGATGGGCATCAATTCATGGAGTCTGTGACGGTTAGAAGCACATGGACAAAGGGATTAGACATTTATTTCCAAAAAAACATTTTTCACTCTTGAAAGTGAATTTAGTCTGTCATAAGTTTTATTAGAATTGTGTTTGACCAAAAAAGATCATTTTGAATTTGTTTTATACATCAATTGTAATATAGGAGCTAAAACACATGGTCAACAACCAAAACCAAGCATAAAAGTCCACCATTTTAGCTCAGAGGACTAATAAAGTCACCAAAGTAGTTCAGGGGTAGGTTGAGCCATTTGGCCAACTGAGAAAGTAAAGCAGTATGATGAGAGGATCAGAGTCTAAGTTCAGATTGATGAAATGTGTTACTTTTCCTGTGAATGTTCTGAATCACTTAAAGACATTCTCATGTTAAAATGGCTTTTTACAAAACAGATTTTTAGCATTTATATGCAGTAATAATAATAAGAATTGTTGTAGCAGTTAAAAAGCGTATAATAGAGAAAAATACACGTGAATTTGAAGAAGTGACTGTTGTTTAGGGAGAGAGAAGTTGAGGGAGGGCTGGGGTGGAGAGTGGGGGGTTAGTGGTGATATGGCTCAACTTACCCCGCTCCTATGGTCAACTTACCCCATACACGGGGTAAGTCGACCATAGGAGACCACTTTTTTTGTCATGCTATATTATCAAGACCGTCATGTTTACACTCATTCTGTTGGTTTGCAGGGATCTTGAAATCATCTTGAAATATATGCAGATACACTAGTTAGAGACAAAACTATGATTGCCTTGATGTAGAGATCGGAAATATGAAAAATGGCTCATCTTACCCCACTCTCCCCTAATATTTAAATCAAAACTACTCAGGCACTTTATATCCTTATTTTTGAAAATGAAGAAATTTAGGTCACTTTGAAATGTAAAAAATGAGACAGTGTCTTTTTGCATGTAGTATTCTTCCTCGAGTCACATGGTTTAGCAGCTTGGTTGATTTATGGGGTTCAGCCGACTTTTTTCATTGAAGTGAACTGTGTACTTGTCTATCAGTTAACCAGAGGAAGTAGACACAGTTTTATCACCATTCTATCTCGAATGAATTGTCATCCACAAGTCTCCCTCAGATAAAAATGTGATTCATCATGTGTTCCCTTCCCCTCTTTCCAGGTGAACCTATTTTTGCCTGGGTGTGATCCTCATAGCTGATAGTTGCAGTGTCTGGGAAGGCAATCAGGTATGAAATATGACATGTTTGACTAAATATCTTTTCCTTTTAACACCTTGCACACACGGCTGCAATTTTAATCTAGAAGTTTCTTCAAGTCATAACGTGGGATAGTTGACCTATCATTAACTTAGAGATGTAGGACCAATTTCATATGGCACATATTTTTTTTTTGTTATGAAGTTATTCACACCATGAATATCTAGTTTACTACAAAATATTCTGCCAATGAAATGAAGCAATCAAGTTCCTGTTTAGTGTGCTTGATTTATTTTTAAAGAATAATAACTATTGTACAGTATGGGGAACCCTTTTTTTCAGCTTCATACATCAGTGCATCTATCCTTGACTTATCCAAAATCACAGTGGCACTTTTATTGTTTGCTCTGCTTACAAATGGTTAATAATAGTACATTTTAGTCTTGCCTTCAGCCTGGAATATCATCAATACCAAAACAGAAAATTATTGCCATTAGTGTTTTTGTTAAGTATCCATCCATTATTGGACGAGAACAGGTGAATTACGGTAGGGTGAACTCTCTTACCTCTTTATCTCTATCTGTATCAAGGTTTGACTTGTACCCTGTACCTTTATTTTATGATCCATCTGCTACAACCAGGGCCAGTCTTAGAAAGAAGCGAGGAATTTACAAACATCTGGCAATTTTGTCTTTGAGGCCCAGCTCTAAATACAGATGCAGTTTGTGTGGAAGAATGAGGTAATGAACTTCTCAGATGGGCTGCAGATTCCCGAAGGACTAGGAGGAGCAAGTAACCTCTATGTGGTTTTATATTTGAGGACAAGGTTGCTTTAGAACAGGTTGTGTTCTACTATGGCCCTTTCAATCTGTCGGTTTCAAACTGATTATATAAGAAACAGCATATTTCTACACCACATTCAAACTCAGATTTTTAGAATTTAAAATGTGTTTGTCTGTGGTCACTGAAACTGTGAACAGAGCCTCAAGCATCAACAGTATTAACAAGACTAAAAGAGGACACAATGCACTAGAATTTTAACAACATTTATTCAAATAGTTTGACATGTGTCATACATAATCAAAAAAGAAGTAACTTCAATCTCAATGGTGCCACGTGTTAAAAAGAAATGAGAATTATATTAATGCAGCTTACAATTGAAATGGAATTATAAAAGTATTTAATCAACAGATAAGCATAGTCTTAAAGTGCAACTCAACAGAGCCTTTTCATTTATCAGGCGATTCAGAAATTTGACAGTTTAAAAATTTGTGTTGTTTTACCTAGATATGTTCATAAAAGTGAAGATGTAACTACAGTAGGTAGCTTTCAGTTGTCCAATACATCTTATCACTGTTCAGAAATTGCACAATATGTGAAGACACATTTTTAACATACATGTATCTCCTTGAGGTTAAAGACATGTCACTGAGACTGCAATATATGCATAGACAATGAAAAGAAATACAGTCCGTGTCAGAAGGTCCTGTGTTTTACAAAAATCGTCCTCTACAAAGGTGAAAAATTCCTCAGTAGTTGTGATTTGGAGGAAATAAATTACAGCTCGTACTCATATTATATTCTGCAGTGTCCATTCAAAACATTTAGACAGCATTACAGCTCTTACATTTCCTCACCCTCTTTTTCCTTTCCCCAGTCCTGAAAAATCCCTAAAAAAACGGCTCCTCTTTGCAGACCCATTTCTCTGGTTTGTGTAGAGAAATGTGGGCACCTTTAGTTTCAGAGTCGTTTGTCCTGAAGAGTTTACAAGACTTTTCATTGTGATTGTTTTTTCTAAGACTGGTCAGAAGATCCTTGCTGCCCTCTCTGTCATAGGCATGTTTTTTGGGGACTGCATGCGCAGAGTTTTGTGTATTGATTTTTTTTTTCTGCATTTTGTGTTTCACATTTGAGGGAGTCAGGGAGAACATGGGGTTGATGCTGGGCAGTCGAGGACTTTTTAAGTTTGCAAAGGATATGTCTTGGCAGGTAGTCAAAGACATTAAGTTAGTTGCATCCTCAATTTTAGGCTTAAATTTGTCATCTGAAAAATGCCCACCTTCCACTCTTTCAGATTTGATGTCAGGGCTTTCTGTAAAGTCTCCATCTTCAGTTTTGATGGTGTCCTCTTTATAGATTTCACTTTTGTACTTAGAGCTTGGTGTAAATTTGTCAAAATTATATCCCTTCTCACTTGTCTCCTGGTGTTTCTTTTCATGGCTTCTCTTTGTGGCAAGGTAGAGAAAACGCTGTGGACAGAAGGAGCAGCGGTACTTCTTCTCTGGGTTTGGGCTCCGTGGGGACTTATCAAAGCAGGAGCCATTTTCCATACAGCTGTTGCAGATGTAATCACCACCAGCAGGTACTTCACCAGGGGGACCTTGTTTACCACAGGTCCGACAGAAACATGGATGGGAACCAATGACATGTGCCCTCAGGCCAGTCTCTGTGATAAAGGAGCTGTCACAGATGTCACAGTTGTAGGTGGCTCTCGGGCTGGAGTTCCTACTAAGGCTACGTTTTACTTCGCTTCCACTTGAGACACAGTCTTCGGTCAGTCTGCTGTTTCTGTCCTCACTCGCAGTACTTTTACCCACCGATGTTTCAGGGTAATGGTGAAACAAAGCTTTACGGTGCTTGAATCTCAACTTCTTCCTTTTCTTCTTTGCTTTGTACGAGTAATACGGACGCCAGAGCATATCGGCTGTATCAAGGTCATTGGGATCCTCGTATGTCTCATGACCTGTGGCTGCAGTGACCTCAGGTCTGAGGCGAAGTCTGGGACTTTCAGAGTTTTCCCTTATTTGAGACTGACTTGAGCTGTCTTCTTCATACGACTCTCTGATTCTTCTTTTCTTTTTGGGAAAGAGCTTAGATCCTTTGATTCGGCGGCGGATGATGGCTTCATTGCCTATCTTCACTGTTATTTGACAGAGAGGCATGGCAGAACCATCCACTGATGGACCCGGGCAGACAGGTTTGGCGATATATGTTTCTATCTTTGTCCCCACTGTTTTATCGCGCATCAGACTCTCAGTGCTCGATTGGAGTATCTCCTTGGTCATCTCCTCAACTTTTTTAGCAGAAGCTGAAAGTTCACCCAACTTTTTAACTGCATTCAGAGAATTTAAGAATGGCACATTGTGACCCATGAATTCTGGATTGTCTCTGAGACCCAATGCAGGAGACTCTAAATTTTGTGGCAAAGAGAATGCACCGTCAGCATTCTCAAAGGCAGGCTCTCCATTCCCATACTCTTGTCTCGTGCCTTTTTCGAGTTCCAGGTCACTGTCCAGATGGTGTTCAACTCCTTGGTCACATGGCTTATCAAAGCTTATGCGAGGCATGACTGGTGCCACCATTTTTGTGGTTGCCATGAATGTCACAGGGTATGAGAGAGAGTCAGGGCTCATCACTCCATTTTCTTCAAATGGAGGGATAAGAGAGCTGCTCTCCAGTGGGGCTTGGTCCCCTTTTTCCAGGCTCTCTGAGTATGTTTGACTGTATGTTTTGTATTGTCTCTTTCGAAACTTCATGGGCAGAAGCCTATAAAGTTTGATTGGGTAGACGCTGGCTTTCAGCCCACCGTTGGCAGATTTCTTCTTAACTGCAAGACTGGGATCAATGCCGTGAAAAGACTTCTGATGGTTCTTGAGGATATAATACGTCATGAAAGTCTCCAGGCAAAAAATGCACTGGTAGCGGCGTTCACCTGTGTGCCAAATTTCATGCTTGGTACGGTACTCTGCCAAGGCAAACACTTTGTTACAATAATGGCAGGGATAGGCTCTCTGCCAGGAATGTACATTCTCATGCCGCTTCAGGCTGGATAGCGTGACATAGACCCGTTTACACACACTGCAGTTATATCGTCTCTGACCGCTACTTGACCTAACTTGCTTCTCAGGAAGCTCTGAGTGGTCCACTTGAGGAGTCTGTGGGGCCAAAGGGGAAGGGGGGTCAGCAGAAGGAAGCTGTGCCATGATGCTCTCAATGTTAGGCATGTCTCCTGAATGTAGGTCTAACTCTTTGGTTGATACGTCAGTGGCATGTAGTTTAGGGGGGCTTTTCGCAGCTTTGGGACAGATCTGCTCATGGTTACGTAACCGTTTGAGGTGTATGAATTTTCTGTGACAAAACTTGCAGAACAAATGACTGACAAAACGCTTTTTGTGTACCTCTGAGTGAATGGTCAGAAGAGCTTTATTCGTAAATATCTCCGGACAGTCCTCACATCCGTAGATTGAAATACTGTCCTCTGTGTGAGGAGAAAGAGGTGGTGGACCCAAATCTATCTGAGCAGTGTCAGGGGTTACATTTGGCTCTTGGTCCATTAATTTTTCTGACTCTGAAAAAAGCGGGGGTGGTGTTGTGACCGTGTCAGGTGCTGCAGAAACACCATCATCTAATGTGGGGGTCACTGGGTTTGGTGTATCTGTTTGTGGTTCGGCTGGTGTTGGAAGTATAGTCTTAGCCAAAGTGGCTCGCAGCCTGTGGCGCTTTTTAAGTGGGCCTGTGTTTCTGTAGATGAGTTGCTTTGACTGTGTTATTGCTGGCTTATAGACCTTCTTGCCGTCCCACTGACTGCTATCCTTGTTTTCAGTGGATTTGCTGACTGCGTACGAGTGCTCTGAAAGGGCTTGGGTTGTCTCATTGTTCCCACAGGATATTGTCGGGCAACTCAGTGGGGGCTGCCCCACATCTGGTGACTGCCTGTCCCCATTTGTTTGAACCAGTGGGACAAAAAGATTATTTCCAGGACACACTTCATTGATAGAGAAGGCATTAGTGATGCGTGGCCCTGTGGCACTGTCCATCTCCTCAATCCTTGGAGCTTCCTTCTTTGTTTTTTTACACACTGTGGGTGCGCTGTAATCTGTGGATTTAACACAGTCATCCTGCCTATCTTGCTCTGAAAGTTTCTCTAAAAAAGGAATTCCAAGTCTTTTGCCCGCTGCGACGAGTACCCCTGTGCCCTCTGTCCCTGGTGACACCACTTTTGAGCAGTAAATAAAGTTGAGGATACTGGCAAACACCTCAGACTTCAGGTCCATCAGCTCTAACACTTGGCTGGAGCTCCATGTCTCAGGAGTTGTCAGAGCATTCCTGAAGTACCCGCTGCAGGCTGCCAGGATGTTCTTGTGGGCCCGGAATTTCACATCCTCAACAACAATGGTAACATCGCAGAAAAGGCCCTGCGAACGCTGCTCATTGAGTTTGGTGAGCACAGTCTGAGGGTGAGCACTATCCATCAGGTCCTGAGTGCATGGGGACACCACCGTCATCTGTAGAAAGAAGAGGAGAAATAATAGTGTCATTTTTCATAAAGTGGTGGCTCTGTGTCTTGATTACCATTATTAAAACAATACAGATGATTCGTGTACATTTTTGTACATTGAGCCATTCCAGTGTTATAACACTAGATGGCAGCAATGTCTTGACAGATGAGCTCAAGTGCCAACAGTCTGGTCAACAGTTGTGATTGCAGACATCATAAAGTTCATCCTGCAAGGATCACTCAGTGAGCATGTGACAGACCAGTACCATCAAAAAATATTTAATTAGTAGGACACTTTGTTGTACAGATTCAGGACTTTGTAACTAACTTACACAGAATCTCCCTCTCTTTGGTGTAACTGTTATTTTTCATTATTGTGTCATTTTCAAAAGCTTTCGGTTGTATAAGTACAGGAAAAGCTTAATTCAAGGAATATGAGTTTTTTTAAATTGTTTTGATATTTTGTCGACAGTGAACTGTGGCCATGTGGGATGATGATACTGTGGGTAATAATGTTAGAAATCCTAGAATAAGGTCATCCAAAGGTAGTACCCAAAAACAATAGGAATCATATTGATTATACAAACTGCAGCGGTTCGGGTTTGGTGGTGATTCATTCAGCTCTGCACTTGGCACGGTTTAGTTGGTATGACAGTCTCATCCTGCCTTAGGCCAAGGTTAACGTGAAGATGATATGTGGACGGTTGCACTCTAATGACTTGTGAGCTGCTTTCATTTGTTGACTGTTAGCACAGGAAGCTGCTTTTAACATGTCACACATTAAGTTTCGTTAATGAAAGAGAACAGTTGCTTTTCGCCAGCTGCAAGTAAGGGCCGTTGATGAAATACTATCTTGAAAACGAGTAGAAACAATGAAATTCTTCAGCCTACTTTTTCACCATCTCTTCAGAAGACAAAACACATCACCCAGTTTGTACAAACAAGCGTACACTGCTGCACCATTGACAGGAGACTATTTAGTCCTTGGAAATTGATGCAGCAGTGTTTGTAATTTTTTTTAAGGTTTTAATAACGAACAGCGATAATCAGCAGAGAGCAACTCTGAATGGCAGTTGACGTTCATGCGTTTCTGTCTTGACAGAAGATGTATCACGCTTCATGACGTTCTAATTGTGGCCTACTCAGTAACTCAGACTCAGTGTGGTTAGAGGCTATACTGAGTCATGTAGCATGCCACATGTAGCACGCTGAGTGTACCTGCTAGCTAACGCACTTGCTTTGGTGGCTGATGACTCATCCAAATGTGCACTAATGTAAAATTCTTTTAACAATTCAAGTTTAGCTCACACAGACGAGAGTATTGATTGCTATTGCATTGTTTTTGTTGTCATACACTGGGCCTGTGCATTCAAACATTGAACCTCGGTTCCTTTTTCCCTGTGGATGCTACACAGACATATTTTGTGTCTCTCTGTTGTACAGTTGTTCCTGATTCTGTTTGCTCAATAAGTGGTAGTTTATTTCGTCATGATGAATGAAAAATTTAGTGCGTATAAATAAAACAGTAATCACCAAAATAAGCATTGGGTTAAGGATTGGTCTCTAATATCGTTTTATGTTTGGCTTATTGTTCTCTTTTTCACAACACACTCTTTGGAAATGTTATTTTTTATTTTTTTTTATGTTTTAAACAAAAATCACCAAATTCATCAATCTTTATTTTTTGGCTCAACGAAAGTGGTCACATGACTCAATAAGGGATGGCATATTGAACGCGTTTTTACACTCGTTTCTGATTTCAAGTCATGCAACAAATACAATATGGCTGCCGATCTTGAAAGCCCCCTAGACCGCTGAAAACACAACCAGCCTTCTGCCCTCTTTCTCAGACAGGCCTCCGTTGTCATGGCAACATGCTATGGCGCAGCTCTTATTGGGATTCAGCTGGATGGCAAGTGACTGTATTAGCTGTCCGAGTATTCGATTCCCTCTCTGCCACAAACATCCTGCCCTCTCCGAGAAACCTGCAACACACAGCAGTCTACAGAGCGATCAAGGTTCGCCTTTGCCTCGTCTCGCCTCGTATGTACTTTGTAGATGTTAGTGATCTGAGTGTCTTTGTCTGCAACAGAAATGTTTAAAGGACTTTCTCATCTGATAACAAGCTAGTGATGTGCAACTGCTCTTTGACTCATCTCTCAGTTGCAGACACAGTTTCACATTACCCTCTGTATTGCTTTTTAACTTCAACGCTTTCGTTTTCCAAAATCTATATGATCGTGGAGGTTTAGTGCCACCACATGCTGAGCGGAAATACAGAATTAGTCATCAGTGTTAATGATTTTGCCACACCCAACCTTACTTTACCTTCAAAGCTCATTTGAAAAATGTAATACGTCTCAACTGATAAAATAAAAATCCCCAAACCAAACCACAAACCATGAAATGAGAGTAACGAACAGACAATCTCGTCAAACAAAGAGCGAAATGTCAAAGTAAAAGCCACTTCACGCACCCCTGCAAAGCGTACTTCCGCACAAAAAAGAAACAGGTTATAAATTGAGGGAAACCATGCAAAACATACCTTAGTAAATCTGAGAAAGTGATGCGGGCGAACAGGAAACGGAGTCCTGCAGTATCCCTTTTCTACAGACCTCAATTTTGCCAGCTATTCATGAAAAACAGTTTCGTGAGAGCAAGGCGAAAGTATCTTTTTTCTATGACGGTCGCTGAAGAGCAGTGTTGTCAGAAGCAGAGCTTTTTCTGACGTCTTTCTTCCTCTCCCTCCCTCTCTGTGTGCAGACGACTCCAGCTCCAACGTCCTTCGCCTCTTTCCATGCAGTCCTGGTCCTGGGCTAGATCTGCCCTGCCCTCCTATGACTGTCCCTCTTCTGTCCTACAACAGCTATAGGAATAACTCACAGTTTGAAGAGCGCACAGCTAAACCCAAGCATGGGTCTGTCTTTGTGCTAGCTAGGCAATGAAGCATTTGCTCTGAAGCCACTCGGAAGGAAACGGCAACTTTTATTAAGCATGGCAGTGGGCTGTGAGGAGAGCAGAGAGATGCTGGGTGCTACATCACACACCCGCTCTGCACTCGATGCCCCAGCCAGAGGAAACGCTCAGTTGCATTGCTCGTAGCAGTGTGATATGAGGGTGACAATAAATGCTGTATTTATTCTACCCATCACTGCATCAGCTCGATCCCGATGCATTGATGCTGACCAAAAGGAAAAATGTCTTTTGCAAAAACCAGATTATCTCGATGAAACAACCTGCACCTTGAAAGCTTAAAGCCACACCATCTGTTTGTAATGCTTGTGCACACAGACTCTGTCTGTGCAGCAATATATAACATCAAAGCTCCTCTTCCGTGCTCACGCTGTCACTGTGGTTAGGTAATGCAGAACACGAGAGAAGATGGCAGTGGCTACTGTCCTGTTAGAAATGGCAGCAAGATATTTATCGATGCTCTTTCTCACCATTGCAGTGAGTGTGCAAATTGCATGTTACGCTGAGAAGGAGAAAAGACTAAAAGTCTTGCTTTCTGCGGGGTTTCTCTGTATACCTCTATGCAGGCTGCTGATTGATGCAAAAGCAGCAGATGCGTCAGCACTGCAGACTGCAGGGGGAGGGGAGGAAGCTGAACCCGACATAGCACTGTGAGCCTCGCAATAGCCTCTGAGGACGGAAGCCGCGCTTTTATTTACACAACTGAGGGTAGTCATATGACTGCACTGGTGTTATCCCCATGCTGGCTGAATCTCACTTTAAACCAGTTTCAAAGCCATTTAACTGAATGTATCGTTGACTTCAAAAGACAAAGCAGCAGGTGCTATATCATTATGCATGCACTCACTCTTTGCCCTGAAGGGAGGCAGCAAGCTATTCGTAGAGTATTTTTTCTTTGTCTCTGAAAATAAACTCGGTGAACCTTGAATCTTAACTGCAGCTGTATTGTCCTGATCCGCTCTCTATGCTGAGAACATCACATTATGTCGGTTTCATGAATACACAATTGACCACTGGTTCAGTCTTCTATTTTTGGTGCTGCAAGAAGAACCGCTCTCTGAAAGACGACCACATTAGTCAGGGAGCGGTTGGCGTGTGTGATTGTCAGTTAATTTAAAGACTCCCTCCTCTCTGGCGTGTGTTAGTGTGACTTTCAAAAATCAAAAGAATTAAAAAGGTTACATTGAAATCGATGAGTAACAGCAAAGTGTATTTTGGATTTAATAAAGCCGGAAACTCCATACTTGGGAATCTAGGGCTTGAGCTGAGCTGGAGACAAACCAGGTTGATGTGAAACAACCAGAAAAATTATCAAATAGATGTTCTTTTCTTGGATTGAAAAATGTCGCCATAATATTTCAAGACCTGCTAATGCTTTGATTATTGATTATTGACAAAATTGTTATGTTTTTTAATTTTCCTCGCTCCAACATCAAAAAACCTGAACACAGATCAGAGGCATTAAAAGACTACTGAATCTTACCTTCCACATTTGCTGGCCATTCTTAGCCGTGGGGACCAGACGTAAATTTTCAGTATTTGATACATTCGCTTTGCAGTTGTCATGCTAGAGACACTTATTAGTGTTGATCAAAGAGCTCCCGCTTTAAATATTCACATCAGAAACAGTTATCAGACTCATCCGCAGTGCTCCTCACATACTGCTCACTGACAGCTATGATCAAGTATCAGGCAGAATTTAAAACGGCAAATGGAAAATATCTCTGTTTTCCATTAAAAAAAACAAAACACATAGGTTTTTGTACCTGAAGTGTATGTTTCAAAGTGTTATAGATGGAACACCCTCTCACCCCCCTCCCCCACTTGATATCACCGCCAGGGTGCATCCAAAACAGCAGGACAAAGTTTACAGGCCTCTATGCCTCTGATCCTCAGTAAGCGCAGCTGCGTATTGAAGAGACACTGATCAACAGGGAGGCACAGACCGCAGAACTAGGCTGAGTAGGCCTCATCCTCATTCCCAAAGCATTCACATCCACAGGCGTGTAAAAGACAATAATCCAGTGTAGCATTTACTTTATGATTCCACCTTCACAAGCACTCACACTTTGAGTTGCCTACCAAAATGTTTGTATGTGGACGGTCTTGCTGGGCTCGTCTCCACTGCTTCGAAAGTCTCTGTGATGTTTGCTTTAGGAGGAAAGGAGACACAGCTTCCTTTCTTCCTTTGGCCTAGATCAGGCCCTTACCATCTTCCCTCTCCACTGCTGTCTGGAAGTTGCCTGTAGACTACGGTTCTGGCAGAGGTTCCTTGTTCCTGCTGTGCTGCCACTGCTGCGTCACTCCCGCTGCATCACTGACCCACAAAGAGAGCTGAGAAGGAGGGGTGGTGCGGTGAATGTGTGGAGGCAAGGGATAAGCAGACAACAACCGGCACCACTTTCCACTGCTCCGGGAAACAAACGGACGAGGCTTCCGCTCTGCCTTAGTTTGGGGCCTAGTTGCTGCTGTGGTATTCAGGAAGTGGGTCGAGAGACAGATCCTTTATTGTTACGTAATGAATATTTTTTCTCCCAGACCAGACTCAGCTGAGAAGGCGGTGTCCAGTGTTCAGGGGCTAATAATAGGCCATAACACTGACCAGTCAGATCAGCTGGCTGTCATGTTAGATCTTTTTCACACCCGGCTATCATTTAGACAGGATAGTTTTTAATAGTGAATGAAGTTTGGGTTTTTTATATAGACTAATTTGCTGGAAAACTTCACATTTCTCCTTTAACATACGAAAATTGAATGAATTATTTTTCTGTTTTGTCACCCTATGATGATAATATGAAACTAGTGTAGTACTGTCCATTTAATGTTGTTTACATTTTTTACATAATGTCTCACATGTTGTCTCTGATCCACTAAAGTACCTGTTAAAAACAGGAAAAACTGTGCATACCTTTGCCTTGTGCTACTGTATCCTGCTTGTAAAGGTTTCAGGTGGAGTGAGGTTCAGGTGCTGAAGTTGCCCTTACAAATATACATGTACAGTTTTCTTTCCAGAGAACTGTGTTGTACTCTTTATGTCTGAATATGGTAACCAGGATTACACCACTTGTTTTGCACACGTTACCCTTGGGTTTTATTTGCTTGATCCTCCTCCTCTCGTCATATTAATCTACTTTTTTTATTGCCATGTTGCTCCCTCTGGTGGCAAAATAAGAGAAGACAGCAAAGCAAGCCCATGTTGGATATGAGCAGAGATACCTTTGAGTGCAGAGAGCCTTCAGCAGAGGGCGCAAGAACAGCTATCTGCAAAATGTAAACAGGAAGTACAAGTGAAGATGGAGCATTCATCCTTATATGTCAGAAGGACTCTGCTAAACCTGAGTGTTTGTTGTAAGCCATTTTATATCTATTTCTGTCATTGTCATTCAGAAAATATGAGACTTAGAATTTGTCAAACAATGTGCTCTTTGCAACATTAAAAGACTGGAAGTAATCAAATCTGTAGATTTTTTAACAAATAGAATACATTTTTATACATTATGCAAGTCAACCCTAAATTTAAAAATTAAGAGTACTGACCAGATTTCATTGAAATATAGACCTTTCTTGTTTTACATGAGGCAAAAATAAAACAGACAACCCACTCATATTCCAGCAGCATTTTTATTATAATTATTTTTTAAACAAACTGCTCAAAGCTTCACTGGTCCTTACTGCCACTCCTGTAGAAACAGGTAAAAAAGATCTTTTTCCAGCCCATGGTATTTGCCAAGCCCTCCATGTCAGCGGTAAACTCAGCACAGTGATTCCTGACTGTCTGCTCCCAGAATTTCTCAGAATCGCAGAGCTGGTGGAGACCCCACAAATGTACAGATTTATTTTTAACTTGCAGATGCATTGAAGCACATCAGAAAAGAGAGCAAAACAGAAATTTACCTAGAAAGTTTAGGAACGCTCACCTTACTGAATCTATGTGAAACTTGTGCCAGCAGTGCCGTATCTTTAAGCTCAAGATGGGACAAGACTTTGAGCAGTATGTCGTCAGGTAAGCGCTCAAGGTAATCAAACTTTCCTTGACAAAGTGATACAGCATATTCCAGGATCACTTGCCCAAAAACAGCACCAACTTGTCCTGTAAATTAGAAGGGCAAAGCACAGCAATCACACTTGAAAACCACACAGTCAGAAAAACCCGTTGCTTTAAAACTTGAGTGCACAATTTAGTGTTTTTTAGTAACACACAATACGTTCCTGTGCTGCAGCATGCAATGAAAATATTCTTGCAATTTATCTAACTAAAGGGAGTTTACTCTGTAGCGGTTTGTGATGTAGAAAATCCTGATGTGTTGTCCTCAGTGTTGTTGGTGCTGCACCTCTGAAGCCAGGCCGCAAAGAAATCTTCCATGTTCTTAAAATTACCTAAATAGGAAAAATGATAAAACATGACAGACTGTAAATATAGATTTGGCAAAGTCCAGGGACTAATAAACATATGCGCTGATGACAATAATTTCAGCAAAGCTGAATCCCTGATGTTTACTTTATCATCAATTTACTTTACTGTACCCTCCTAATTCAGTTCTTATTTTAGTGTTAGGTTATCCCTGCAGAGAACAATTCCAACCCAGAACTATGTAGTCACCAAGCTACCTTTGTATGCATGGTGTTTTCTCAGCACTTGACTCCGCCACACTGTGCTCTATAGGCTATCAGGTTCAAACCCCACATCAATACCTTACCTCAGTCTTGGTTATAACAACTTGGTAAAAATCTTTTGAAGGAGGTGGACCCTGATCGCTGATTTGAAAAAGTTGCTCACCAAGCAGGGACGCCATTTGGGCTGCAAAACGGTTTCTATGACAACCCTCAACTGAAATATTAGTATTTAGATCAAACCAGGGAGATGACCGTTGTCCGTTATTTTCTTCCTTTTGCCTGAACATATATATATTTCATATTTACATTGACAGTACGCAGTTAAAGAGCTACACATATGCTTTTGTGTGGATAGGGGGGGTCACGACCCAGCGGATTGATACTTAATATTTGTGATTAGCCAATGTGTCTATTGAAATCAGTGTTCTGGGAAACACATAAAGCTTTATCTTTTTTTTTTATTTGGACTGCATTGCTATCTATTTGAGACAAAACGTTCAGCTATTGCAGTGACATTGTTGGTCAAAATCAAGCAGATGCCAAATGATCATAACAGAAGTAAATAATCCCTGCGCGGATGAATCACGCGGATGTATATTGCAGTTGTAGGCCCCTCAGCTGATGTGAAAGTAGCAGGGCTAGAGAGAAAAGAGGAGCTGGTGCACTGACTGTTACAACTACAACACTGGAACAAATAGGTAACAACATTATTCAGATCATACATTTTTGTGACATCTCCGCCAGTAGTCTCTTTGGTCTTGGAAACTGTTAAATATCTAAACACACCGGAGGAATTATGATTCAGTGTTGCGAAAATAGACCGAATCCCGTTCCTGCTTTCCTGTTTTTTTGTGTCTAAAAGGCAACAGAGGCCATTTCTTTTGCTAGCTAGCGCTTAACGCTAGCTGCTAGCGAGAAAACTTGTAATATATAACTTGACAAAGTCGTTCCCAAAAGGGGTATATTTGAGTAGGAGCAGAGATGTTGCCTAAGGAGCCTCATTACCGTTTAGTCGAGTCAAGAGAGAGTTAGCGAGCGACAACAAGGCTGGGTAATATTAATTAGCTCGCATGCTAGGTTAGCTGGTATTAGCTGAGACGCTCTTGTTTGATTTGACAACGCTGAACGTCAGATACGTGACTGCCCGCAGTAGTTAATTCGGTATTCATAAGGTCAGTGGTTTATTGTCAACCGAAATGCTTTCTCGTTTTTATACCGACATGTAACGGCGGCTTTTCCTCCCACCAGTACAGTGTTTATTTTTGTCAGCTTACTGTTTGTGAGTAGACGGTCATTGAAGAATCACTCACTATCTTAGCTTTAGCTGCTAATCATTAGCATTGATACTTGTCATTGTGATCAAGATGCCTGATGAAACGAGTCTCCAGCTGGTATTTCACCGTTTCTACCAGTTTTTTTACGAAGGACGTTTAGACTTCACACGTTAGCCGTCAAAAGTCAACTGTTTTTCTGCTTGACTAGCATTAGCTAAACCTGCTAGCACTGGCCTTAAGTCAGCTTAGAAAACATTAGTGATCCTCATCGTTGGCTAACATTGGTTAGCTTCTGTTGTATACTTAACAGTTGACAGTTTTAGACGGTTTTACTGGATGTTGTTGGATTCCGATCGAGTTGACAGCGATGTATCTTTCATACGACTTTATCACCATGGTGTTTATAGGATGTGGACCAACTCGCGGGTGAGACATGTTTATTTTTTTTCTTCAAACTTGATCGTCAGCCGGACACAGACCAGTGTGTCATGGCAGTGAGAATACTAAGTTAGCTCTCGTCGGGGTTAACTGGTAGCCTGCTAGCTAAATTACATTAAATCGCTTTCGAAAGACGGTCCAGTCGTTGCTGCCATTTTCGGCGTGTTAGCTAAACTCAGGTAAATTTGGGGGGAATATATCGCCCTATACACGTGTTCTCCATTTCATTTCGCTATCAATTTCACAATTCTAACACCACATCAAGATGTAAGCGAGGTAGCGTTAGCTGTCGGGATTTGCCAGTGCGTTGGTTATAAGGAGCTAAATAGGTTGTCACACCGGTACGCCAACTACGCATTTCCATGTAACCACTGCTACGTTAGCAAACGTAACATGAACTAACGACTGTTAAATGTTTGATTACGGGCCTATAAGCTTTTTTAGAGCCACCAAATAGAGTTTTCGGCTGTTACGAACCCCGCAGAGCAGATTTGTGTTGTTTTTGTATAGATATAAATTCGACTAAAGCTACTGTCAACATGTATGGGACTTGCTAGGATATGAGAAGCTAAACGTGCTAGTCGGTGGTGGTGGTGGTAGACATCTACGTCAGAAATATAGGCCTCTCTTAATCATGAGTGTAAAAAATTAGACACTGTCGTTGTCTGGTAGGTGCTCTAGTCATTAAAACTCCATATCAGCGAGCGTCCCGAGCCGCGAATAATTTGATGTGCTAATCTAATCTCATTATACGCGACTGTATTGCAGCAGTTGTCAGAATGCACGAATAAACAAAGACTAGGATGCACTGTCAGAGCAGGCCTAAAATGGCCCTGTGAGCTTGCCAAGTGTGGCGTATTTTTATGATCAATCATATCATTTATTAAATACATATTGTCCAAGTCAGCTGGTTATCAGTTTTTTTCTGCATGGGGAAAAAAGTATATCAGTCGCGTTTCATCAGCCTGAGTGTCTTTGCTGATCAAATCATCCAGCTCTGTGCCTCTTTTGGAAAGATATCCTTCACTCTTCTTCTCATTACCTACATGTCATTGACTCATCAAGTTAGGTTTCAATAGCACTTCTTCTTTGTGGGGAGGTGGGAGTGGGTATTTACATAAAGCCCTAATGAATTACAATTTACTCAATCAACAAGCTCTGTCGGTGGCTTGATGATGGAAAAAAAAACAAAGAAACCTGAAACTGAAAAAATAAAATCTTTTTTTTTTTTTTTGTGGTTTAAATCTTTCAGTCTCCCTAGTTGTGGTTTTACTGGGATTTTCTCCTACCTTACTTGATTATAAAAGATGTTGTAGGTTGCATCTACACTGAAATGTTTAAATTACTTCAATCATAATTCTAATTTATCACTATTGGATTGATGAATGTCAGTTATCAAAGGACCTAAAGTACAGATAAACAGATATACAGTACAGGCCAATTCAATGTCTTTTCTTTATTTTTTTATATGACTATTTACATTGTAGATCATCACTGAAGGCCTCAAAACTATGAATGAACACATGGAATTCTGTACTTTTAAAAAAAGTGTGAAATAACTGAAAACATGTTTTATATTCTAGTTTCTTTAAAATAGCCACCATTTGCTCTTGATGACAAGGCACACCTGTGAAGTACAAACCATTTCAGGTGACTACCTCATGAAGCTCATTGAGAGAACAGCAAAAGTTTGCAGCGCTATTAAAAAAGCAAAGGGTGGCTACTTTGAGGAATCTAAAATATAAAACATGTTTTCAGTTATTTCACAATTTTTCTCAAGCACATGATTCCACATGTGTTCATTCATAGTTTTGATGCCTTCACCGAGAATCTACAATTAAAATAGTAATGAGAATAAAGAAAATGCATTGAATGAGAAGGTGTGTCCAAACTTTTGGCCTGTACTGTATATTCAAAGTTTTGTGAGGTATACCAGGTGTTGATAGGATCTCCAATGGTAATCCCTAAATGGAGTATTATTTTTTTCCAGTGGCAACAAATCATGGAATTTCTGGTGGAACTGCCTCTACTCAAAACTGTAAAAATATTGTTTGGTACAGACAGTTTAAGTGAAAATATAGGTCACTCTGGCTATTGTTCTATGCAGAAGCTAAGTCTTTGTAGTGTCTATTATTGGAAGACAGTTTGCAACCCTAAAAGTGATTTTATGCTGTACACATAAACTAAGGTGTGGAAAGAAGTTTACTGCTGTCTTTATGATTTTTATAACGGCAAGAACATCATGACCCTCAGCATGAGCTTGAGCTTCACGGTGCAGAAGTTCTATCCACTTTCCTTTTACAAAGTTATTGACATTCATTTGTTTTGAGGAAAGCTTAAATGTATGGGTTACCATGGTTCCTTATTTTTATGCCATTGCTCTCTGTGTTTTGTTGCAGTGAATGGTAGTGTCTAGAAAGGGTATGTCCCTTCAGGAGAGAGGTGCCAATGTCCAACCGGCCTAATTCCAATCCAGGGGGGTCACTGCGCCGTTCACAGAGGAACACTGCTGCGGCCCAGCCACAAGACCATACAGTCGCGGGAAGGTGAGTCTACCTGTCCAATTAGTTGTGTTAAATTGAAATCACTATCCAGTGGAGAGGAAGTAATCATGTTGGTAACATTTATTTGGGTTTTCCTAATTAAAGCAACCATTAAAGAGTGTTAAGTCATGAATCCTGTTATTAGTGAGTAATAAATGGTTTTTACTGTATTTGTTATAAATTTGAATTTCGACTTAATGCAGGACAGTTTTACTAACCACTTTGATCAGAAGCTAATCTCATCTTCTTTGTATCATGGTGAAATAGTGATTAACTCTTTTTTTAGCTGTTTTTCTGCTACTCAGTAAGTGTCAACAACCAAAGGATATGCAATCACAGTCAGCCAAAATGATTTGGGGATTAATCAAGTCTCTTTCATGTGGCTTGAATATAAAGACCCACACTATTACTTGCTCTTTGGTTTCCAACCTTACAGGTTGCAGTCAGAGCAGGTAAAACATAAAGCAAATTCCCCACCTGAAAGTAGAAGACCTAATTCTAAGGCTTCCAAAGCCACTGCCAGCTCAGCCACTGGCCTGTCCAGAGGGCACAGCTCAAGAAGGTACCCCTCCTCTCTATTTGGTACTTATTGTGTGTGCTTGTGTGTTTTAAAAGGTTTGTAATGAAGTCAATATTGCCATACCAAGTAAAACTCACAAAGAACAACAAACAATACTGCACACATTTGGGTTTTTTTTCATACTGAGTCAATACAACGAATGTGGTGTTTGAAATTCATTACTTTTCACACATCGAGCAGTTTTTCTGAGATGGCGCTGTATTTCCTTTCTTTCTCCCTGGCAGAAGCGGTCTCACTCTGTCTGTGGCTTCAGTTGTGTTACAAGACGAGCCAGAGGCTGCAGGGACATCTGAACAAGAGCGACCAGGCCACCAGTCAAAGAGTGAAGGCACCAGAGGGTTGAAGAGAAGCGAAGCTCCTGACCAAATTAGTACCTTCAGACCAACACCTGCCAAGAAGCCCAAATCGCTCCCACCACCCAGAGACAATACCTCAGAGACCAAGAAAGGCCCAGCTAAGTCTAAGAAGAAATCGCTTGCTTCAGAACCACCGGCATTGTCAGGAAGAGGTCAGAGCAAAAAGAGCGGGGCCGCTGGGGCCTCACCAATCCAGAAACGGAAGAAAGCGGACTCTTTCCCCGGTCTAAGTAGCACCGCTGGGTCCCTCCCCAATCGTACCGAGGGCAGAACAGCAAAACCCACCAAGCTGGCGTCTAAATCGGCCGCCTCAGCCAAAGCTGGGTGTAGCAACGTGACGGACTCCTCCTCCTCTGCCTCCACCTCTTCCTCCTCCTCTACAACAGGCACCAATAGTGCCACCACGCAGGGCGCCCGTGTGAAACAGGGAAAAGATCAGACCAAGGCACGACGTTCTCGGTCAGCCTCAAGCCCCTCACCACGCCGCAGTACCCGTGACAAGGAGCAGGCGAAAACCCCCAGCTCTTCAAAGTTTGAGTGGGCAGCACGCTTCAACCCCAAAGTAAATCTGCCAAAACCCAAACTGTCCTTACCCGGATCCTCCAAAACTGAGACCTCCAAGCCTGGGCCATCAGGGTTCCAAGCTAAAATAGCAAGTGAGTCACTTTACCTCTGTTTGTGTTTTCTCTATTTAAAGGGAATAGAAGGGAAAGGAGCTGATCTAGTCCACACTCTTAGCCACATTCATACATTCTAGGACACATTTTCATACCACTTCATTCACTTTGTCAACCTTCTCATGATGCAAAAGGTGTAAGGACACTGTTCTGATATTTGGTATAAGCTTAACAAACTAATAACTAATACATAAAAATTACAGTTAAATGACATCATCAATACCCTGAAATTGCACAATAAGTTCTGATTGAGCTTCTTTGGTTCTCAAAAGTAGCAAAGATGTGCTTTTATGCACATACTTGAGTGATTTTTAGTACTGGGCAAAACTTGTAGAAGGTGTAAAAGCTTTTCGGCTGTAAAAGTTCCATTTCATTTCAGACCTTTATCTATTCTTAAAGAAAGGATTATTTACCCCTTATCCAGTTCAGGTTGTCATGTTACAAAATCTTTAATGTTTGCCAAAGTACAAGTAGAAAACACTACATTGATACCTGTTTTCACAGAGCGGAATATCTAGAATATTGTATAATTTTCTGTTTCATGATAAGTGATCCATGAAACAGTTTTTTAAATAGTTGGTAGTCCCCCCTTTGAAGCCCCTCTTAAAATGTCTCTCTTGCCCTGTCTTATAAACAAAAAACTGTGAACATTTTTCAGGGACTATGTATCAGTCCTAGACAGCCACTTTTGTTTCCCATTTGATCATGAAAACAAATCAGTGTTTGCCCATCAGGGAAAACTTCACAGCTAGGTGTAAAACCTTTCAGATTTACATCAATGTGATAAAGATGAAGATAGGATACCAAAAGATACGTGTTTGTAGAAGAATGTTTTTTTTTCTTGCTGCTTTTTTCAGTTACTTAATCTGAACGTTTTTTAGCATCTATCATTGTACAGTGTGAAGCTTCCAGCCGACAGTTTGTATGTAGACGACGGTAAAAATAAGGTAGCGTGACAAGGTGACATTACTTTTTCTCTCCTCTGCCCTCAGTCTGTGTGCAACAGACAGAAACATAACACTTATCATTGTGAGTTGCCAGAAAGATTTAAGATGTCAGTATTTGCTGACTTGTGAATCAGAGCAGTTCGCATGATGTCAAGGCTTTGAGAGAGCGGCAGGTGTGACTACTATTACAGCTGAGCAGAGACGCACGCTGGATGAAGCATGAAATCAAGTACTGCAAACAAACAAAATCTGGTACTTGAGCTAAGAGTCCCCAAATTTTGCTAAGAAGTTAATTTTAGCATAAATACTGTGACGCAGAAAAATATTATGATTTCACTCAGATTTATAGTTTTACTCTCCTAAACCACCGATGAATACTGTGGCAGATGAGAAAGTAAAAGATCTGGGTATTTATTCCACTGTCACTTTCTCTTTGGTGTTAAAACAAGGCTCCTTTTTCTCAAATCAAAGCTTCAACGCCCCTACAGTGTACTACATGGCATACTACAGTAACAGTAAAATGTTGTAGAGGTCTAACCAGAGGTCTAAGCAAAGTCACAGAATCTGTTATACAATTCTTAATTGACTTTGACCAAATTCAAGAGCTTTGACTCTTTCTCAGTAACCGACTAGATTTTTTTTTTACATTTAAAAGTCCTCACTATTGTGCATTTTAAGTTTAGAGTTACATAGTTAACTTAAGCTTCTGTATAATGTTTGGCATTCAGGAAACATGCCCCACCCTTTCAGATTTCATTAAAAAAAAAATCAGGGGCACTATTTTGCGAAATAAAACATGATAACAAGCAAGTATGGAGCAATATATTGTGGATAGAGAGGGACTTCAGACAGCCCAAGTCTTTACCCAGATTTCCCAGAATCTCATGATGTTCACACACCAGGTACAAACTCAACTGGAGAAGCATTGAATGCAATTAAGTGTGTCTAGATTAGACCATCTAGTTCACATGTCATGAGTGTGGCCTTCACTGAGCTGTTAAACTGGCTCAGGTGTCAGTCTTGAGCACTAGAAGCCTGAAACTGGAGAACAGCTCGATACATGCACACTGCTGGTTGCTCAGTTGTCGGTGTGAAGCGAACTCGGTTCATCAGTGTCAGAATTTTGAACTCTGTCGCTTTAAAAGTGTCAATAAGATCCTTTTCTAATCCCCTGGCTAAATGAAAAAGAGTAGGTTATAATTTATCCTTTTAAACCTGTTGTGGCACATAGTTTCTCTATTTGACTGACCATAATGCATATCATAAGGAGGAAATTAAAATTTAAAGATTATAAATAAGGGCACTAATGCAGTTTCACAGTGTATGTTAAGTCTAGTAAAGGGTTGAAAAAGCATTTTGTACTCCTATAGGGTGTTTTTGAGGTGTGCCAGTAGTTACTATGTTATTAGCATCGCATCTGCTTTGTAATGTAAGAACATTACTCCATAACCTCACAGTGTAGGCTTGTCAGCAGTTGAAGCTCCTGTGAGACAGGCTTTCTTAAAGCATAAATATGTAGCATAGTTCGTGATAAGGAGGTATTTTATTCTGTCTGTGCTCTCTGCTGGAGAAACTTTATGATTGTGTCTGTCAGTGTCTTAAAGTTAACCTATTAAGCTGGCTTCACAGTACACAAATTTAAAACGTTGGCATGATGCTCTTTAAAATCAAACAACATTGATTCCTGTTTTGATACAGCAGCCGCAGAAATACAAGTGTCTTTGAACAAGTACTAATCCCTTGAAGTAGTGTTTGCAGTAACAAAAGGAATCATAAGTGGAATTTTCACAAAGCATGAAAAGAAAATGAATAAAGCATTAAAAAAATATCACATCTGAAAACACCACTCATAATCCAATGGAAGTATGCCTTGGATCTTTCAGTCCGTTTATTGTTTGGAATGAATTATCCCCTCTCCTTTTACCACACCATGTCCAGCCCTCTGACAGTTGCTCTGGCACCTGCATGAGGAAGTGCAGAGACAAAAGAAGGAGTGCGTTCAGGTGGAGGAACATGTCACTTTGTAAATTTGGATAATAAAAGCAGTGGACTCCCTCATAATCATAGCTTGACAAGTCTTGAGATTGTTTTTTTTTCTGCTTCTCACCAGCTCCTTTTGATGAAGACTCACTGTCTTCTCCTGTACGTGCACTGCGAATGTAGAATCTAAAAATAAACACTGTGTTAGCAGTCTGTTTGGGTGCTCATGACATTAACAAGTCACTGAATACCCTGCATGTTTACATTCTACGATCATGTGACATGGACACAGAATGAATGTACAGCAGTCAGTCAGTTCTCAGTTCAAGCGGAAGGCTCCATGAGAGTGTTGTCAAGCTTACTTTTATTGAAGATTAATCATGGAAAAGGAAAGAGTGGTGCCAGAGTGACACATTTCAAGTCATATGACTGACATGCAAATCCTGAGATGTGAGTACTGCACATGCATGCGTTGGAATTGCAGTGTTATAACGACACATTGCTCAGCCCTGATACTCGATCACCGCTGCTCTCTCTTTTTCTTTTGCCCATGACAACAACATCGAAAGGAGTAGAGTTCTTTGCGATTACAGGAATGAGAGAATAGAAGCACATTTTAAATCCATTTTATTTGTCAATGTGAAAGGTGACTCCAAGAAGAACTCGACCAAGTACCCCAGTACAGGGATTCTGACTATTATACAGTGATAGATAACGATATCTGATTAACACAAAATGTTCCAAAAGACAGAGCCCAAGGTGCATGTGATTGGCACCACAAGAGAATCATGGAGCAATTTTACACGGTCAAACTGAGAGGGAAACCTGTTTAGAGGTCTATAAGAACACGTTTCAGGATGATCGTTTATAGCCTGATCAATGTCCCGTCCACTACGAATGGTGAAGTGAATGTGAGCTGTGTAGGTCAGTGTGGGGTCAGGCAGCTCTGGGTAGGTGGGCGGATAGAGACTTAGTGGGCTGTCTGCCATGGGTCCCAGCCTAAATGGAGAGACCCCTCCTAAGTTGGCTTTGCTTGTGGGCTCACCAGCTGACCAGGGTTATGTTTGAGGGCAGGGAAGGACTCATACGTTTCTTCTGTCAAAGGAAAGACCTTTATCTCTGATTCTGTATCCACTTCTGTTAGCCTCTTGTATTTTTAAATACACATAGGTTGGTCTACTTTTATCAGTAATGGTGAGTAAGCTTATGTAGTACAGATTAATTGTGTTCCATAGATTCTGTTTTACTTAACATTTGATTGCATTGGACTAACAGTGTAACCTGCAACTTAGACTACAGAGAAACATGTGCAACTGCATCCAGTGGATCTGAGTAATTTGAGATGAATTATGAACTTCTATGAAACTCATGCTAAGAAAGTTGTGAGCAGTAAATATTTGAAATGAAGACGTGCAAAACTGAAACGGATGAAAAGCAGCAAGGAAAAAAAAGTTTCGATATCTTCAATTAATTTGTTCTTTACTTTATTACTGTTTATTTTTGTGCTACTAAGGTATGAGTCAGAGATCTAACATGAAGGTTGTTCTGTCAGAGGGCCATGCTTGGGTTACTATTAATACCCGCTCAGTCAGTGGCACAGAGCTCTGCACAGGCAACACGAGAGCCTTTACTATTCTGAAATAAAAAAAATAGGTGACACTCATGATGAATGTGATCAATGCTTTGACATCTTTACTGACAGAGATTTCACACTCCTCATGCAACAGAATTTTGCTTTAAGATGTGGTACCACAGCCAAAAAATATTTCAAAGTTTGCTGTTATGTTTGGTAGTTAAATGTCATTATCTGCCTTATTAGCCAGATATCATAGTTTGATGGTAGTGTCAGTGCATCGCCTGCAGGTGGGTTTAACGTCTCTTTTCCCCTCTCCAGGTTTGAGGAAATCCACTAAGAAGCGCAGCGAGTCTCCTCCAGCAGAGCTCCCCAGCCATCGGCGGAGCACACGCCACAAGACCACGGGCTCCTGTGCCAGCACCAGGTACGAATCTCATGAATGATCGCTGTTGTCCTTAGTTTAAATATTAATCTACACAAAGTGAGTGGAACTTTAAGCTTTGTGGTTTGATCATTTCTTGACATGGTAGAGTAAATTCAAGTAACATCTCTCAGTACAACCAAGTATTTAACAACTCCTTGATAAGATAGACAGATAGACAAAAAAAGGGATCGTGGATTTTGATTGTTTTGGTTTTGTCTCAGGCTGCAAAATTTGAAGTTGATGTAAATTGCAAATGAGTTCTTAAATGTTTAAACAGTAAATGCACTGATAATTAAGTCCCGTTAGGAGACTCGACCATGTGTGATCAGAGGAGGGTTTTAGCTTGTTGCGCTGCGCTCTGTACTGTGTGCTGTTATTGGTGTCTAATCAGGCTATTGTTAGACTTCGGAGTGACAACAGGCAAACCTCAAAGCTCTGGGGATGCTCATCGCTACAACATCTTTTAATTCTGTTGATAACTGTTTACTGCAGAGTGCAAGCCGAATGGATAACATGAGGGTTAGCTGTACCCAGTTAACCCTCATTGACTAGGGTGTTTGACTAGGCAGTGGAATCTCTTTTTTTCAACTAGTTGTAGGTGTTTCTCACCCATTTAATCTACTGAGTGACTTTGTTTCTCACACTTATAAACCACCACCAGGAAGTTTCTTGTATCTTTGTAATACATACAGCTGACACTTTTGCTGCCTTTTACATTCAGTTGTATTTTGCTGTTGGTGAAACAAGTAGGAAATGCCTCCAAACTTCTTAGCCTCTGTAATTAGCTTCCTCTATACAACATCAAATTTTCACAGTGAGTGTGACGGATAAAAGACAGGAGAATTGAAGTTTTTGATAGAAAATACGACCATGCCCATACAGGACAAATTCACTCAAGTTATGAGATGTACATGTTTGCCTACAGATGGCCCAAAAATCTACAGAAGCTTTAATCATTGGGTCTTAACCACATGATTAACAGTGTACAGTGTCATTTGAAATCGTTTTGGTTTTTGTAAGAACTTTAAAATAAAAAATGTCAGGAATGCTTTGTATTCATTTGAACCAGAAGTTATTTCCTTTATGAAAACTGAAAACCCGTTTTTTTCTATAACAGTCGGCGGGGCTCAGGCCTGGGCAAGCGCGGGGCAGCCGACGCTCGCCGACAGGAGAAAATGGCTGACTCCGACAACAACCAGGATGGGGCCAACTCATCAGCTGCTCGTACTGATGAGGCATCACAAGGGGCTTCAGGTAAGAAACACACCTCTTGTTTGATGGTGGAACATCTGTCATCTGTCTAAGCTGTGAAATTTCTGACTTTGTTTAGACTGAAGTCATATCAGATTGTTACTCAAATCAGATCTTTGACATATAATGCGCTATTATTGGCAAGCAATCAGATTAGATTGGTGCATCTAGACAAGGACCAAATATTAAAGACAGGAATTTTGCATGTCTATTAAAACAAGTTTTACAGTAAAATAAAAGAGCATTTTCTTTTTTTTTGTCATTTACTGTTCATTAACTCATTACCTGGATATCTTACTAATCACTCTGCTGTGTTCGGATTAGTCGACAACTGTTTTTTCTTCTAGCAAATACTAAGCTGATTATGCAGCACACATATCAAATGAAAATGCAGGAGTCACGACACATCTACTGTTTTCGATGTCATGTTTTCTATTGATAATCAGACCAAAGGGTTATGTTCCTATAACATCATATACAACATGGAGGAAACCTGTAACGTCAGCTTAAGTTTATTTGGAGCACACTAAACTTTTAATTTTATTTTGTATTTTTTTTGCTGCTGTAACATGAGAATTTCCCAGTTTGGGATCAATAAAGTCTATCTATCTATCTATCTATCTATCTATCTATCTATCTATCTATCTTATCTATCTTATCTATCTTATCTATCTTATCTATCTAATCTTTCTATCTAAACTTTCTGTGATTGATGATTAATGGCTGACCAGTCGCCAACAGGGTAGAGGAGACAGGAAGGGGAAAAACAAAGGAGGAACTAGCAAGTAATGTTTAAAGCACAAAAGCTGAGTCAAGTGATGACGACCATATTAATGAAAACAGACACAAAGTTACCACAAACTACAACAGTGCAGCTTTGGCAGTGTTTCAAGATTGGTTGAGTGAGCAGACAATGACAACAGAAAAGTTACAGGGAACTTAAAGGACTTGATACAGATACTGCTGCTGTTATATTCTGAATCTGCTGAAAATACCAACAAGAAAAGGCTTATGTTTTGATGCAGAGGTAGATGAAAATTCCAAGTTTAATGTTAATTCCATCCATAGGTAGGCTGATAAGAATACTGTTGCCATGGGAGCACAGTCATCAAATTTAAGGGACATTTTTTTGTTTACTGGATAAATAAAATGTTTAAAATCATTAGAGCATCAATATTTGTTGGTAGCTAGATAATAAGCAGGACACTGTATAATGAGCTGGTGGTTATGCCAAATAGAATCTCTTCAAGGTGGGCAAGACTGCTTCACTTATAGAAATACTGTGATATTGTCTCCCATAACTAATACAATATCCTTTATTTATATTCCTGGACATAAAAAGCAGGAACTTGGCCTAGAAGATGTTAAAAGGCCTTTCAATAATCACCGATGTCTGGCTGTATTTGTTTCAGTAATGTCCTTCTGCATTCAACAAGAGTTGGATCTTCATAGATCCTTTAATGTTTTACCTTCAGTGTGAATTTTGACTGTATGCTTTTTCCGTTTCCAGCCTCAAGCTCAGTTGCTGGAGCTGTTGGCATGACCACCTCTGGAGAGAGTGAGTCAGATGACTCTGAAATGGGAAGGCTTCAAGGTACATTATCATAGTTACTCCCTATTCTAGAAACTCTCATGTTTTTTTGTTTAAATCACTGTGAACTCTCTGTGCACATGTGATAACCCAGATAAATATTGTAATGTAGAAAGCTTCTCATTTTGCACAGTTGTTCTCTCTAAAAGTTGCCTTATTTTGTCCCTTCAGCCCTACTGGAGGCTAGAGGTCTCCCCCCACACCTTTTTGGGCCCCTGGGACCCCGCATGTCACAGCTGTTCCACAGGACCATTGGAAGTGGAGCTAGTAAGTAAAGCCATCATATCCTTACATCCACGTTCTTCAGACACAAGCTCTGAAAACGTGCTTTTTCTCCTCTGCAGGCTCTAAGGCTCAGCAGCTGCTACAAGGCCTGCAGGCCACAGGCGACGAGTCTCAGCAGCTTCAAGCTGCTATTGAGATGTGCCAGCTGCTGGTGATGGGCAACGAGGAAACACTCGGAGGATTCCCTGTCAAGAGTGTGGTGCCCGCTTTGGTCAGTCTCATCTGGTTTGCTCTTGAACTTAATCTTGTACTTGGCTGCCCTGTATGTGTTAAAGCCATGCCTCAGTGAGACAGAATTCGTTGGCTACAAGTGTAACCCACATTTGCTAGGATTTAAACAAATCTGGTTTCCGCTATATCACGCTCAACTTTCTTCCACAGATTACACTGTTACAAATGGAGCATAACTTTGATATTGTGAGTATGATGGTCTTTTTCTCACTATATATGGTCTAATAGTATAGTTACATTCACTAATGTCTGTAATGCCACTGCCTGGAATCTCTGCACACAGATGAATCATGCTTCTCGAGCTCTCACATACATGATGGAGGCGCTCCCTCGATCCTCTGCTGTGGTGGTGGATGCTATCCCTGTCTTCCTGGAGAAGGTAAAAAAACTGTTCTTATCACTCTTCAATGTACAATGCCAGCCTTTTGATGTGCTGATGCCATGTTCTTTGTTGTCTGCAGCTTCAGGTGATCCAGTTCATTGACGTAGCAGAGCAGGCCCTGACTGCCCTGGAGATGTTGTCAAGGCGACACAGCAAAGCCATTTTGCAGGCTGTAAGTGTTCCTTCTGCCCTTTTGTCATGCTCTTTAAATGTCCCGTCTGTTTGCTGCTATCACATCTTACATTAATTTGAACGTTTCATCCCTCACAGGGTGGGCTTGCAGACTGCCTCCTCTATCTAGAGTTCTTCAGCATCAATGCTCAGAGGAATGCCTTGGCCATTGCAGCTAACTGCTGCCAGAGCATCACTCCGGATGAGTTCCACTTTGTTGCTGATTCTCTGCCACTGTTGACTCAGAGACTCACACATCATGTATGTTTTGCTGTATCATAAGAGCATGAGCCAAACTGCTGTTGTGATGTTTTCATTTTTGATAATTCATGCTGGCTAAAAATACTTTTCTGACAACGTTGGATGGTTTCTTAATTTTTATACTTCTCCTAATTTGTCAGAGTTGGATTTTTCGAAAACTAGCCAGGAAAAATACCGAGCACAATTATTCTTTTGATGATTCAGTTACATGTTTCCAGTTTATAGTGTAGCATATTTTGTGCTTCAGTAAAACTGACTGCACTGCATAGATGACCTCAAAGACTATGCAACCCTCTTGGAAATCATTAAGACAGTAAGATCAAGTTGATCGCCTTTAGATGAGCACCCTTGTAGGAGTCATTAAGCAGAAGTTGTGCCCCCTTAAGGTCTTTTTGTTTAAATATTTAGTTGAACCTGCTGAACTACATCAATAACTTTGACAAGAAGAGGTTGTGTGTTTTATCTTTGCTTCCATCTCAAATCGTCATACTTCAAATAACGCCAAGTGCAATTACTCCCACTCATCATGTGTTGAACTCTCTTTCAGGATAAAAAATCGGTTGAAAGCACTTGTCTCTGTTTCGCTCGACTGGTGGACAACTTTCAACATGAAGAGGTTTGTACTGTTAAGTTTATTATAAGTCCCAACATCATTTATGCTGATTCAGTGTTGTTTCTACTCTATATTAACCCATTTTTGTCTATCAGCTGTACACTTAATGTGGATTTATGTGTCTGTGTTCAAATCTCCAGAACCTGCTGCAGGAGGTTGCATCACGGGACCTGTTGACCAACATTCAGCAGCTGCTTGTTGTCACCCCCCCTGTGCTCAGCTCGGGGATGTTTATCATGGTTGTGCGCATGTTTTCTCTTATGTGCTCCAACTGCCCCTGCCTAGCAGTCCAGCTTATGAAGCAAAGTGAGAGACCATCACACACACTCACACAATTGACTTGACTGCTGTGGAGTTGTGCTCTTCATTTTATTTTTGAATTAACTTGTTTTATTTCTGTCTCAGCCAAGATATGTAATTGTACAACATTCATCTACCACAATATTGACTGTGAAACCATTTTGCATCTCATTGCCTGCCTCTAAAACTCCCTTTGACCTTTATCCTTAGAGCAGATGAAGTTCTGTGTGGATACTGTGTATTGATGTAGTATTTGTTGGGTAGGACAAATAACAGCAGGCGATGCCTTCTCTCTACAGATATAGCAGAAACTCTGCGGTTCCTCCTGTGTGGTGCATCGAATGGCAGCTGCCAGGAGCAGATTGAACTGGTACCCCGGAGCCCCCAGGAGCTCTATGAACTGACCTCCCTCATATGGTAATGTCTTTGAGGCTGCTTTCTGTCTAAAGTGACAGTGGGGTTGACACTAGACACTAGTGAAATTTTTTAAAAAATGTTAGTGTTGGATTTTCTTTGCTCTCATCCTGTGAATGTTACCTGTAAAACTGGAATCAACCAACCTTTAAAGTCTTTGTTACTCATGACAAGACTTGTGAGCGTGTAAAATAATCTATGACTGCCCTGTGTGCAAGTTGCTCTCAACTATGGGATGTGACTCTACTAGGTAAATCTAGAATTTCAGCTTTTTAGCACGGGTTGTATATGTTTATCATGTAGCTAGTGTTATGTCCAGTTTTGCTACCTGGTTGAAAGATAATGCTGTTGATTAAAAAGGCTGTCATTTTATTTTTTCAGGTCATAAACATTCTGAGATTACTGTAAGAATGAGGCAGCATGTTATGGTACACTTATATACATCCTCTGTAGCCACCAATCAACTGCACAGCGACATTGGGCTGATGGAGGATTGTTTGTAAACTCTATTGATAGTTTTGCTTCAGCCTTTCCTCATGGTAGCTACAGCTTTGATTCTCCTCAGGACCAAGACTTTGTAGTTTTTGGAAATCAGACCCTGACAGGTTGAGCTGGACCCTGATATGTTAATCTTGATGTGGAAATTTTTTAATTGATTAAAAAATGATGATCCTATTTCATCTATAAAATTGTCCTAGACACTTATAGTTTGAGCTCCGACTAAGTAAACGGTTAATTATGCAACCTTAAAATAAGTAAACCTAGCTGTTTTAAACCAGGCGAACACAACCACATTAACTACTGCAGCATCCAAGTTTATCTGCCTCTTCACTCTCAGTCTGACAGTTTATTTTTTTTAATTTATTTTTTTTATCTCTCCTTTTTCCCAGGCCTTGCTCTGTTAAGTGATAAGATTGTACCCCATCCTCAGTTTTGTGGATTTCTGTCATAGACTCCAGCCTTTTTTGTCTTTAACCACTCCTGTCATGGTGTAGAGAGCTACATAAACATCCACCATACTGACATTAAAAGTGGTTAATCAGGTTTCATCGGCTAAATTTCACCAGGCTAGTTGTGAACGTGTGGAAGTTCATGTATGTACGCCACACTAAATGCACTTCCCTCTTAAACATTATCACTGAATGTTACAACTTCACTCTGACCTTGAGGTACAGATGGCTTCGTTGTGCCTCTGATACACATAAAATCATCCAAGTTGTCACTGTTCCATACGGGTTAAACATAACTGCGAAACTTGCTGACACAACTCCTCCTCCTCCTGCAGTGAGCTGATGCCCTGCCTGCCCAGAGAGGGCATCTTCGCAGTGGATGTGATGCTGAAGAAGGGCAGTGCCCAGACGACAGAGGGAGCGATCTGGCAGTGGAGGGATGACCGAGGACTTTGGCATCCTTACAACCGCATTGATAGCCGCATCATTGAGGTACATATTCAGGTCCCTCTGCTGAACTCAGCTTGTTGTCTTTTAATAGACAGCGGTGAGCCTTGTTAGCTGTTTGTGCTTATTAGCAGTTCTGTGCATCAACTGCAGTAACAGAGAGAACATCTCATACTTTTTCAGCAGTATTACTCAGTCTCCCTGTTTCCCTGTATCATGTAATCCACTTTAATGTCACTGGGGTCCAGAACTCAGCTGATAAATCCACATTCATAATATTGGCACTAACAAACCATGAAATTATAATGGATCCATTTTTATCTGATCATACTTCTTCATACTTCTAAGAGCAGTCAGCTGCAGTGTGGCCTCTCTCCTCTCTCTCCTCCACTCCCTCTTTCTCTTAACACCCAATCAATCAAAACCTAAATCTTTGTACAAGCTAGGCTTAAAGATATTGTTGTGATTGCATGGGCGGTTAGAGATGGGAATCAAGAACCGGTTCTTGTTGAGAACGATTCCTTTCTTCCGGGTGCCTTGAAAAACGAAAAACGCGAGTGCCAGTCTACGCGAACGGGAACAGAGACAGAGGAAAAAAACTGAGTTAGACTGAGTTAGACTGAGTTAGAAGCGCATAAAAAACACTCGACCCGACCAAAAAAACCCTCAAAGTTTGCACACAAGTCCGCCCTGCGTAGTAGTGTCCTCTTGTTGGGGATTCAGAATATGGTCACCCTAACGTATGTCCTGAGTTAACATAAACACAATGTATGCCAGAAATGCTGCACAAACAGCGTTTTTGTTTGATTATTTTTAGACTCTCAGTAAAGGTGGCATACATCTTTTTCTGTTATCAGAGACTCAATAAAAATTTGAGTTAACTGTGAAAACCTATTGTCTACTTTTTTTTTAAATCAAAGAGAGGCATTGATAAGGGAATTGTTAAAGAATTGAATCGATAAGCAGAATCGATAATGGCATCGATATCAATAAAATCTTATCGATTCCCATCCCTATGGGCGGTGCTCCTTGACAGTAAGTGACAGGAACAGTCTGATTAAGTTTAGATCTTGAACATTTTCACCATCCTCCATTTTTAAATCTATCAAGTTCACCAAACAAAACTCCAGGCATGTTACGCTTCAGCTACACAGACTATTTGAACATCATTTACAGCTGGAGAAAGTCTGCAGGGTTGAAATGTTGCTGAAACAAAAGTTTGTTTGTTTCAACGTTGTGAACAGGCTCAAGAGATCATTTAACACTACCTGAAATTGTAAGCTCCATGTCACTGACAGAGTATAAAAACTTACTTGTAAAATGCCTCTGATTCATGGCTCATCCAGTGTGTGGCCAGCTTTACATGTTAAATGTAAGGATGCATGCTGGACCCACCTGTAGAAGCAGTGTTTTGAATATTTGACAACATTTACTTTTCACAGTGGGCAAGAATCTCCAGAGGTTTAGACACAGCTAACAAGGCTTATCCATTTAAAAGAGCTGTTATTGGTTTATTTGTATGTGCTGATTATTCTGCCCTACAGACAGCGCACCAGAACGGGGAGGATGAAATTAGTTTGTCAACCCTGGGCCGTGTGTACACAATTGACTTCAACTCTATGCAGCAGATCAATGAAGACACCGGAACAGCACGCGGTATCCAGAGGAAACCGAATCCTCTGGCCAACCCCAATACAGGTAAATAAAGACATGAATTTGAATGAGTTTAAAGGGGAAACTAGAAATATTGATACTTTAACCTGACTTGTTTTTCAAGTAAAGACTGGTGCATAAAAAGCAGTCTCTTCTTTTTCTGCCTGCAATAAATAAATGAAAGCTTTTTGCTGTTTTTCTGCAGGGAGCCACCAAGAGGTCCGCCGAGAAGACGCACGAGCCCAGTTAATGAAGGAGGACCCCGAGCTGGCAAAGTGCTTTATCAAAACTCTCTTCGGGGTCTTGTATGAAGTGTACAGCTCATCCGCCGGCCCTGCTGTCAGACACAAGTGCCTTAGAGCCATCCTCAGGATCATCTTCTTTGCTGACGCAGAGCTGCTGAAGGATGTGCTGAGGAACCATGCTGTGTCCAGGTAACATAACCTGAACCGTCAGCTACTTTTAGACTCACAAACAAAATACCAGGAGACCATTTTAGCAGTCTGCGACTTAAAACTGTTCCTCCTTCCTTTTTGCAGTCACATTGCCTCCATGCTATCCAGCCAGGACCTGAAGATTGTAGTGGGTTCTCTACAGATGGCTGAGATCCTTATGCAGAAGCTGCCTGATGTCTTCAGTGTCTATTTCAGGCGAGAAGGTAGAATATAAAACCATAGGAAACTTTTGTCCCACCGTGTCAACTAAAAGAGTAGAGGAATCAGAATCCAAACCTAAGTAACCAGGGGTGCCAAGTGTCTGGATCATTAATAACATCTTTAAATCTTCTTTGTTGACAAGGTGTAATGCACCAGGTGAAGAACCTCTCTGAATCTGAGAGCTTTCTGGTCACTAGTCCCCCAAAGGCTTGTCCCAGTGGAACAGCCAGTCTGTGCACCACCACCATCAGCACTGCATCCACCACATCTGCGAATAATGCAACTCCTGATCTGGGCTCACCCAGCTTCCAGCACAGCATGGACGACTCACTGGACCTCAGCCCACAGGGGTGAGTGTGGGGAGTTGTGTGGCTTTGGTTTGGCTGTTTGCAGAAGTCTCTTTTCAAAAATAAATCTCAGTCTCATGACCATTTTTAGTGTCACATTGAAAGCAAGATACAGAAAGACAAACTTTAACTACATTTCTCTCTCTCCCTCAGCTATTTTCGTTGGTTGACTGTAGATTTTGCAGATTCTGTTTGAGAATGAAGATCAGAATACACTAGACATAATTAGAGCTCATCTGGTAATTTATAAACTAAGGCCCGACCGAAATGGATTATTTGGGGCCAATGCCAATACTGATTATTAGGGGGGGGGGGGTTTAGATTATCAATTAATCAGCCAATTTAAGAAAAATGTTTATATATACTATATACTGTAGATATTCTGTAGGTTACTGCTCTTCACGCCGACAGACAGACCGACTGATCATCTCAGTAATAATCCACGTATTTATCATGAATCAAACGCGGACCAAAAAAAACGTTTTCATCTACATAAAACACTTACCCACCCCACCTCCCCGCCGATCGGTGCCTCTGCGTCTTACCTCCCGTTACTCATTTCCGGTCCGGTCTCATCTGGAGACATGCAGCTGCCTCAGTAAGAGAAGTAGCTCGATCATGTAATGTGTACTGTTGTTTATTCTACCATTACTGGCACGGCTAACAGTGTAGCAAGGCTAATAGCAGATGGCTAACTCCGACTTTAGCTTGCATATTACATGGTGCTTCACCGTTAATTTGGCGTTGCCGAGACCTGCACAGCGGGGAGCATCGTGGAGTGGGTTGAACTGAAACTTCTTGACTTCTTGTGTATTTCACAAACTGGTTTATTTACCGTTGAGGTGGACCACTCTCCTCTGTGCGTCCCTGAGCTGCCTGCTTCAGATCCGTCACTCTGCTGTGCTGTGAGGTAGTTAGTTGATGAAGATTGTCATGAGGTCGCTGCGCCATCTACAGGAAAAGTCGGGGGATCTTTTTAAATGGCAGAACATTTTCGAAGTGAAACCGAATCTTATTCTCTGCATTTTATTTCTGAAAATAACGGCGAAAATCTGCGAGTTTTGGTTTTAGTTACTGATTAGTCTCAAACGGGCTAAAATTGGCCGATAAATCGGTTGGGCCCTATTGTAAACCCTATGCTTGGTTTATATAGTTCGATTTTGTGTAAATTGTTGATAGAGATATGCATGTTGTTTTTTTTGTATGCCAGCAAGTTTATTAGTTATTTTGTTCTGTTTCGAGGCGGTTAAGTGACGTCTTGAAGAGGAAACGGCTCCCTAAAAGAGGGCCCAGAAGACCCAAATATTCTCCCCCAAGAGATGATGACAAAGCAGACAATCAGGGTGAGTTGAAGTGGTACTGACACTCTTTGTGATGTTTAAAGATTTCATCCAGACATATTTTCAAAGACATGCACAAAATATAGCTGTTTATCTCCCCAATAGGCCCACTACAGAAAAAAAATACAAAAGAGTGTAATAATAATGAAGTAGGCCGAACTTTAACCCAACCTTAAAATCTGCAATGAAATACAGGAAACAGACGGTCACTTTTTGTCTCAAAATGAAAGTCTCTACAGTCAAACTAGTACGCCACAAGATTGATCTATAGTACTATACCTTTCCTTAAAGTGCATGATCAGGAGTATTCAACCAATGCTGTTATCATGTGGTGCTGCTTGACTTGTCATGCTAATCAGCACGCTTTGACAGTGATGTGTAGTGATTTCTCTCATCGAGTGCTATCTTCTTCTACTGTAATGCGATAAAACACTTAACCCATAATTTTATGTTGCTGTACTGGTTGTGCTCATGTATAAGGCACAGCCCAGTGTATCTTAGCAGCCAAATTTTACAGTGAATTTAAATAGTGATACTAGTTTACTATCACTTCTCATTTTTTAAGAAGTTTTTTATGCCGGTGATGCATGTTTTAATCTAACCCAATGATTTCTCTGTACAAGACTGGCGACAGACTCTCCTTGTGTTCAAACATTTGACTAACATTATTAAGTCCTTCAAGCAGGTTTGAGCTACCAAGTTTTGACATAGTATGCAGTCTTTGACTTGTTTGGAGTTCACAACCTGTCTGTCTTTGGGATTCTTCACAGCCAAGAGCCCCACCAGTACTCAGTCACCAAAATCCTCCTTCTTGGCCAGTCTTAATCCCAAAACCTGGGGCAAGCTGGGTGCTCAGACAAACAATGCTAACTCAGAGCCCTCTCGTACGGCCGGGGTGAGCGGCCTGGCAAGGGCACCACCGAAGGACTCCATCTCAAATAACAGGTACCATGACTGAACTGAATCAAGAAAGGAGTCTCTCTTTATTTTGAGGAGGATGTCTCCTTTATTGAAGGACCATGTTCAATTTTTTTACATTGACTTTTATATGATTTTTGCTAAGATGTTTTCTTACTCTTGGAAAATGATCAACATTGCAGATCAAATTTGCCTTTTGGGACGATAACCCAACCTGAAAAATTCAGATTATGTTGTTTTGCTTAAGATTGATGACCGATCAGAACTGTCACTTTCTGGCTGAGGGATGAATTTGTTGAATTTTTTTTAATGAACTTTTATTTGTTTCTCTCCTCCAGAGATAAAATTAAGGCTTGGATTAAAGAACAGGCAACCAAGTTTGTGGAGCGTTACTTCAACTCTGAAAATGTGGATGGTAGCAACCCTGCACTGAATGTACTCCAGAGACTTTGCACAGCCACCGAGCAGCTCAGCCTGCAGGTAAAACAAACACTAAGACACTGTCTCGCAAGATTAAAAAGGGCAATTTTCCAACTATCTAAAGGGGTTGTTCTTGTGGTTGATGTTTCATTTTTAATTCATAGAGACAAGCATGTGACTAAAGCCAGAATTTTAGAAAACATAACCCGCCACCACTGACTCGATCGTATCTTGTTTTCTGTTATTCCAGGTGGACGGTGGGATGGAGTGTCTGGTGGAGATTTCCAGTATTGTATCAGAATCTGACGTGTCGTCATTTGAGATCCAGCACAGTGGGTTGGTTAAGCAGCTCCTGGTCTACCTGACCTCCAACAGTGACAGGGACTTGCTCAGCCGGGATGCGCGGCTCAAGAGGTTTCTCCACGTGTTTTCAGGCTGTCCGGTGAGGGACAAGAACATGTGTATTTTATGACTTAGGCAGTCAAGTACTCCCGACTTTAACCTTAGTTCTTCTCGCGTTTGGTTCGCAGGTTCCAGGTATGGAGCCTGTAGGGCGCCTGGACCCAGCAGAGAACGGGCCTTTCCTCGCCCTGGTGCACAAAATGAACAGCTGTCTGAGCCAAATGGAGCAGTTTCCTGTCAAAGTGCATGATTTCCCCAGTGGCAACGGCAATGGCAGCAGGTCAGTGGCTTATTTAGACGGAAATAGCTTCACGTTTGCACAGTTCTGCACATTTAAACTTGAGTGTAAACATCTTAAAACATTTATTTCCATTTTGTATCCACAGGGGCTCTCAGGCACTCAAGTTCTTCAACACTCACCAGCTCAAGTGTCAGCTGCAGAGACACCCAGATTGCACTAACGTTAAACAGTGGAAAGGCGGCCCTGTGAAGATAGACCCTTTGGCTCTTGTACAAGCCATCGAGAGATATCTGGTAGTCAGAGGTGAGGGACTTGTCTGTTACTGCTGGAGGGATTGTAAGTTACTTATTCCCTCTTTAACAGTGAGCAGACCACGAGCAGCTCTCATTGTGTTACATCAGCTTGTCTCTTTATTTAATCTGGACCTTGTCTTTTAGGGTACGGCCGAATCAGAGAAGAGGATGAAGACAGTGACGATGACGGTTCAGATGATGAAATAGATGAATCACTGGTATGTCATTTTGTTTGCGCCTGATTAGCCTCATTATTCCATCTGCACATAATTACCTCCCATTACCATGAATCAATTGTAAACCTTGTATTACACCTCTAACTGTATGTCACCTCTTTGTTACCCAGGCGGCACAGTTCTTGAATTCAGGCAGTGTGCGTCACAGACTACAGTTCTACATTGGTGACCACCTGCTGCCATACAACATGACAGTATACCAGGCCGTGCGGCAGTACAGTCTTCAAGCAGAAGAGGAAAGGGAGTCAACAGATGATGAGGCGAACCCACTCGGGCGAGCTGGCATCTGGACCAAAACGCACACAATATGGTAAAAGTGCATTCCTATTTTCTGTATTCACACAGGAGATGTATCATGTATGTTATAATTTTTGCAAGTCAGCCTATTGAGGCTTTCCCAGTACCTTTTAAAAAAAAAAAAAAAAAAAAAAAAAAAAGTCGCTTGAAGCAGAGAATAGGTAAGAAGCACCTATTCTCTGCAAGGTTTTGGAGCTTTAATAACAGAAAAAACTTGCGCATATCTGTTGTTATATATGTACACTTTGCAATGTGTATCATTGCAAACAGACAACATAAAGAGCGGTCAACAAAAATTACGTCTACCTAAGCTCCCCACTCTTCCCCAGTGCAGGTGAGACAGTCCCTTATATTACTTACAGGCTTTCAAACACAGTGTCCACATGACCCGAAACCCAGCGAAACCAATGGCAACCAGACAAAAGTAATTGAACACAAGATAACTTACGAGTAAAGCAACATTATGGCTCCTACACAGCTTTTAACAACCTGAACTTCTGCTCCTTTTTGAGATTTGTTAGTTTGAACCTTCTAAGTTTGTCTTTGAGGGTCAGTTTAAACAAAAAGTTTCCTCTTTGACAGTTCAACCTCTCTCAGAATTGCTTTAAGGGTACACGAGCAAAGGGAAACGCTGGTTGAAGCACAAGAACAGATACAAATGTGTTGTCTTGTTCGCTGACAGGTATAAACCTGTGAGAGAGGATGAGGACGGCAGCAAAGATGCCGTGGGTGGAAAGAGGGGCCGAGCCCAGACTGCTCCCACCAAAACTTCACCTCGCAACGCCAAGAAGCAGGACGAGCTGTGGCATGGTGAGAATTAAACTGTAACCATAAGGATCTATGAAGTTACAGCATGTTATCCTCCTGACACTTCTATGACACTATTACTCTGTCTTCCCTTTCAGATGGTGTCTGTCCCAGTGTCCTAAATCCTTTAGAGACATACCTCACTTCGGAGCCACCGGAGACAATAACTTTTGATGACCCATCTTTAGAGGTCAACCTGCTGCTGAGGGTCCTGCACTCCATCAGTAGATACTGGTTCTATTTGTACGAAGTAAGTCTCTTTCTTAGCGATTGACAAGAGGATGAAGGTTTGTTCCTGTCAAAGATTCCTGGGGCTCTCTCTTTAAATACTTAAATTCATTATGAAGTGCTGTCAAAGTTGTGGTTCCTTGGGAAGACATATGAAAAACATCATCCTGGCTTTGGCTTTCTCTCAGTGTATTTCCTCAGGTCTTCATTCAGTATACAAGATAGTTTGACATTTGTTTCTTCCTTTTTGCAGAATGCTGTGTGTAAGGAAATCATCCCTACCAGTGAGTTCATAAACAGTAAGCTGACAGCCAAAGCTAACCGTCAGCTACAAGACCCGCTGGTCATCATGACGGGAAATATCCCTACCTGGCTCATCGAGCTTGGAAAGACCTGGTAAATGTTTCACACTTAGATTTTTAGTCCATCATCTGTATAAAGAAAAACTGTGTTTGACGGGTGTGACTTGGTTCTGATGTGTTATTCTCTCTCTTTCTCTTCAGTCCCTTCTTCTTCCCTTTCGACACCCGGCAGATGTTATTCTATGTAACTGCCTTTGACCGTGACAGAGCCATGCAGCGTCTGCTGGACACAAACCCAGAGATCAACCAATCAGATTCTCAGGACAGCAGAGTAGCACCACGTCTCGACAGAAAGAAGGTGCGCTGTTGCCGTGTTCAAGTTATCATATGTCATAAATTTTAACCAAAATCATTTATTTTCATAAATTCTTCTATTTTGGTAAAGTCACACTTCATATTTTCTCTTCTCTTTGTGTGTTCAGAGGACAATAAACCGTGATGAGCTATTAAAACAGGCTGAGTCTGTGATGCAGGACCTTGGCAGTTCCAGGGCAATGTTGGAGATTCAGTATGAGAACGAGGTACAGAAAGATTTTTCCTTTGTTTATTATTACCATGACTTTGCCTCAGACGCTTTAAAAGTCTCAAAAAACTTTTGTCATCTTCTTCCAGGTGGGCACGGGTCTCGGCCCCACCCTCGAGTTTTATGCTCTGGTGTCTCAGGAGCTACAGCGGGCTGACCTTGGCCTGTGGAGGGGCGAAGAGGTCACACTGGCCAATCCTAAAGGTGTGGCATTTGCTCCTCAGCTGTCAGAAATAATATGTAGCATTTCATGTTGTCTTTTATTCTTTATATTCTCTTTCTCGTATTAATCGTATTAAAAAAAAAAAATAATCTTGTGTGTAATTGTTAGGGTGCTTTGTGTGATGGTGGAAATGTAGAAACTTAATCAATCTTTCTCTTTGCTCAAACAGGAAGCCAAGAGGGAACAAAGTACATGTTCAGCTCCAGAGGACTGTTTGCTGTTCCCTTTGGCAGGACAACCAAACCAGCACACATAGCCAAAATCAAAATGAAGTTCCGTTTCCTGGGGAAGTTGATGGCCAAAGCCATAATGGACTTCAGACTGGTAACTCTACCATCTCTAATGATAAAACCGTTTCTTACAACAGATCCACTGTCGGTGCATTTTGAACTGAATTTTTAACCTCCCTCCTCCTGCCCTCCTTTTCCAGTTGGACCTGCCCCTTGGGCTGCCATTTTACAAGTGGATGCTTCGGCATGAGATGTCTATAAGCTCCCATGACCTGGTGAACATTGACCCCAGTGTGGCTAAGTCCATCCAGCACTTGGAGGACATACTCCGCCAGAAGAAGAGGCTGGAACAGGACAGATCACAGGTACAGCACAGCTCAGAGGACTCCAGTGACACTTTCACACAAATCCCAAATTTGTCTTCACTCTCACTCTATTTTTTTCCTCTGTTAATTCTTGTTTTTCTGTAACAGACAAGGGAGACCCTGCAGCAGGCTCTGGAGAGCCTGAACATGAATGGCTGCTCAGTGGAGGACCTGGGCTTGGACTTCACTCTTCCAGGGTTCCCCAACATTGAGCTGAAAAAGGGCGGCAAAGACGTCCCAGTCACAATCTACAACCTAGAGGAGTACCTCAGGGTATGTACTCCACATTTTCCATCCCATAACTTTAGTCTGTGACTGCACTCGTACAGTATTGATAATTTGTTTCTCCTCTTCTTTCAGTTGGTGGTGTATTGGACTCTTAATGAAGGAGTGTCCAGACAATTTGAGTCCTTCAGGGAAGGGTTTGAGTCAGTCTTCCCCCTGCATCACTTGCAGTATTTTTATCCAGAGGAGGTAAGGCCATTTTTTTATTCGACATCCTGTTTTCTAATCAATTTATGTAATCAATAAGTCTTTAATTCCTCTTCTATAATTCTTCCTTATGTCTCCTCCTCCTCCTCCTCCTCTTCATAGCTGGACCAGTTGCTGTGTGGCAGTAAATCAGAGACATGGGACGTCAAGACATTGATGGAGTGCTGTCGACCAGACCACGGCTACACACACGACAGGTGGGAACAACACACTTTGACAAACATAGAGAAACTGTAATGGGGCGCTCACACCAAGCGCGAGTAAAATCATCTACTCGCTTAATTCGCACGAATGTATTTACTCACTTCATTCGCACATTAGCGGTAATTTCAATGGTAATCCCTGTCAATTCAACCAGCGGGATCAAGTGATAGTCAAAGGTTTTTTTTACAGTTTATCAGGTAATCCGACCTCTTCACTCACTTGCCTCCATGCGAGCTCCTTTTCACTCCAGTTTTGGTAATTGAAAGAAAAGGTATCGTATAATTCGGGGCATCCAGACACCGACACGATCAGTTTGTCCATTTTACATACCAGTGAACATACCGTTTTCATATGTCACCTGGCAACCTTTGTGCTGATTAGTTATCCCGAATATACGCTCAACTTGAGACATTTTCAGCTCCAGTCATTCGCGCCATCAGAGTATGAGGAGCGTCTAATCGCATCTTGGCATTGACTTGACATGTAATTCATTCGCGCGAATGATTTTACTCACGCTTGGTGTTTGGAGACGGTGAGAGACAAGAGCTTCCTAACAATATCAACAGAGACAAGCTTCTATGCAGATTACCTCCAGTGAACCTGAATATGTGTCTCAGGTCTTCAGTTAACTTCAATTAGCAGCGTCAAAATCTTAATGGTTTATCCTACATACTGTCCATGTAAGCCACCTTTGACTCATTTTGATGTTTATTCATCTCGTGTTCTCGCAGTCGTGCTGTGCGGTTCCTGTTTGAGGTGTTGAGCAGCTTCGACGCCGAGCAGCAGAGACTCTTCCTTCAGTTTGTCACAGGAAGCCCCAGACTGCCTGTCGGAGGTGAGTCATCAGACTAAGAAGAGAGTCAAAATGTCGTCAGGTTAGATTGTTTTCATATCTTTTGTCTGAGACCTCGCTCCTCTCTTTCTCTGTCTCAGGTTTCCGGAGCCTGAACCCCCCTCTGACGATTGTAAGGAAGACATTTGAGTCAACAGAGAACCCGGATGACTTCCTTCCCTCAGTCATGACCTGTGTCAACTACCTGAAGCTGCCTGACTACTCCAGCATAGAGACCATGCGAGAGAAACTGTTGATTGCAGCCCGAGAAGGCCAGCAGTCTTTCCACCTTTCCTGATCTCTCCACATCTCACATAAAAATGCCTTCTACAGCGACTGATGAAATCATGACTTCCTTCTTAGTTTTTTTGTAATCACATACATTAAGGCTCCGTGTACAGCCTTCTTGTTAGAGAAAGCAGCTTGCAGAAAAATTAAGACTTTAAATATATATTTGCTGCCCCTGTCTCTCAAAAAAAGTATAAAAAATAAAAAAATGGAAGGGTGTTCCATGACTCACAGAACTTAAAATATAAAAAAGAGAGTCAAACTTATATCAGTAGTTGAGTAATGTTAAAAAAGATGAAAACATCTGGGTGAAATTTTAAATTGCATTGCTATGTGATATTTAAAAAAGGGACGTCTCCTCTCCTGAGTGGTGGACAGCGTCACTGGGTGTGGGAAGGATGGGGCTGGGAGGGAGGGTGGGTGGGGTCCATCAAGCAAGCTAGGTTTACTTTAGCTCCAAAGATCATTTGTACAGACAAATTTGCAGACTTTGCTCATTCTACACATTTGATAGAATAGCTCTCTGTTTTCACGTCTCTTCCCCTCAGTTCGTCTGATCACATTTTCTTCTGTATTATATTGGCCCCAGTTCGTGTGTTGCATTTTGGTTCGGCTTTCTTCCCCCCGTGTGTCCTTTTGTTCAAAGTTGTGGAAATGAGAGTTGCAGTTGGTTGAATGCGGGTAGTGTTGAGCGCATATTAGCTTCTTTTTTTTTTTGTTTTTCTCCCCCTCTACCCGAGTTGAGATTGTGTTCTGGCCTCCCTTATTCTAGAGAGCTTCAGCTCAGATGAAGAGTTGTAACCAATGTGTTGATCAGGTAAATTTGTTTTGCTCTTATTTTGATAGAGTTTAGTGTCTTTCTGTTGGGCCCTACTGGATGTGTGGGGTTTTCTTGGTAGACCAAGCTCTGAGCAACCCTCAACACATAATGTAGCTGGGCACAAAATTTGGCTGGTCGCAATTTATCGTTTCATGGCCAGATAGCATTTCAAGTTCATTTATGGAATAAAGTTTATATGCAGTTTCACACCCTGTTTGAGGTGGGAATGTCTGCTTTACTTTTTTTTAATTTTCTATATTGTCTTTATTTCTTGCTGTAGTTGATAATTATTTTTTTTTTCTTTGCACTGCTGGCTTGGAACAAACCGTGGTGTGCACCTGCAGTCTGTGGCCAGGGGAGGGCGCCACTGTATGTTCTCCTGGCCCAATCGTTCATGTGCTGGTTTCTAAGATCTGCAATAATTTACTGCATCAGGTTCATGTTTTTACCTGAACATAAATAAAGTAACTGTTTGACTCATCTTCGTTAATTGTTTTATTTATCCATCCTTCCATCTCTTTGACGTGATGAGGGTCTCAGAGTCTCAGAGGCCTGCGTGCGGTGTTTCTTTGAGCTAAGAGCTGACTGCAGGAGTGAGTACCGACAGATTTATAACACCACAGGGGAATTGATTATGGAAATGGGGAAAGTTAAGGCCGGAGTTAATGGTCGACATCTTATAAACAACTTTCGAGGTCATAAAACTGATCTTGAACAACACTCCTCTTAAAGATTTTGCAGTTTCTTTATCTGAATAATTAAAGGTTTAACATTTTACAGTAAACTTGCAGATTATTTTTGGGCAAGGAATGCTTTAATCTACTTCTTTATACACTACTCAAAAAATAACACATCCATCACTGTGTAACTCAAATCAATCACATTTCCAGGATGTCAGCTGTCCAACTGAGGAGCGATGATTGTGAATCAGTTTCACTAGTACCAGACCTTTCTTAGGAAGAGAAGCTGCTCCAGGACGTCACATCCATGCACACTTTGGCCAGAAGGTTTGCTGTGACTCCCAGTAAAGTGTCAAGAGCGTGGAGGAGCTACCAGAAGACCGTTCAGTACAACAGGAGAGGTAGCAGGGCAACAACTCAGCAGCAGGACTGCTTCTACTATTCTGAGGAGAACCACCAGAACCTTACAAAATGACTTCTAGCAGGTCACTCGTACATTTTCAGACCAAACAATCAGAAACAGACTCCACAGCACAAGCCTGAGGGCAAGATGCCCACAAGAAAGACCTGTGCTCACAGCCCGGCACTGTGAAGCCTGAGTGACATTTGTCAAAACATACCACAGTTAGCAGGTTCACCATTGGCGCCCCGTTCCCTTCACATATGAGAGCATGTGAAGAACATTCTGCTGCCTGCAATATTCTCCAGCATGACTGTCGGGGCAGTGATGGTCTGGGGAGACATATCAGAAAGGGATGAGTTTGAAAGGGATTTTCCAGCGTAAAATTATTTTAGGGTCAAACACACTGTAACATCGAGTTAGACAACCCCTCAAGAGATGAATGTTGCCGATCGCTTGCTTCTCTAGTTAAACCAACTTTAGTAATGACCGCACAATAGCAATACACAGCGGTCTGAGGAGCCATAAACAAACCTTAACCAAAACGCCACTTTATAGTCACAAATAATGCTCAGAACAGCACCTAACTTCATCAACAGTACATATGCAGACTCATTTCTTTATCATCTCCTTGAAGTAATAATCATCATAGTAATCATTTTGCACTGCAGTAGTTCTTCTGCCTTAGCGTCGCGGTCTGATTGAATTTCCATGAAGAAATGATCATAAATGTTATTCCTTGAGCTGTGTCACCCCACTGCTGTCCGTAATAGACTGGCCTGAGGTCTCACTACAAACAAGCGGTTGTTGGAGAAGAGTAGATGAGTTGTGTTTAGTCTCTTTGCTTAAGAAATTAGATAAAGCTAAAAAGATGTTTGGTTGTTAGTGCGGTGGCTGAGACCCTATATGTACTGTTGATAAAGTTAGGAGCTGTTCTGAGCATTATTTGTGACTATAGAGTGGCGTTTTGGTTGAGGTTTGTTTATGGCTCCTCAGACCGCTGTGTATTGTTATTGTGTGGTTGTTACTAAAGTTTGTATAACTAGAGAAGCTAGCGGTCGGCAACATTTTTTCGAAGGGGCTGTCTAACTCAGGGTTGCGATTTGTTTGACCCCAAATTTATTTTACGCCGGAATATCCCTTTAAGACTCATCGTTAGGCCATGTGCTGTTGCAGTTGTTCCTGGGCTCCTTTTGGTGCATGGTGATCGTGGCCTCATGTGGCTAGAGTGTGTCAGCAGCTTCTGAATGACAAAGGCATCAATACTTCTGACTGGCCCACCTGTTCCCCAGACCTACATTTAGTGGCCATACATACTACTGAGCCACATCCTGAGTTGTCTTGGGGAAAGTCAAAGACGTTAAATCAGCTTGTGATCTCTCTCTGTACTTTGATTTGAGTATGGTTCTGAATCTACTCCTCAGTGGGTGAATGATTTCGGTTTCCAGTGTTCATTCTTACATTGTTTTACCCTCAAAGAATTACTAACAAAGATTTCCAACTGGAATTGTATGATTTTAGTGTTCCCTTGATTATTTTGAGTTGTGTATTTAAACAGCATGGAGGGTGGTTCTCGTTAATAATGCACTTTATTTTGTCAACATTCACTTTTTTTCACTTTTTACCCTTTCATATGTTTCATTTAGTTCTGATAAACACCAAAGTACAGTAACTTATTCAGATAGAAAAAAATACAGCTTTTCTTGGTCTTGTTCAGTATACTCATCCACAATAATTCAGAAAACTGATGACTCAGAGGATGATCAACATCCTCCATGAGAAGGATAAGCCACAGGTGGTCATTGCTGAAAAGGCTAGTTGTTCACAGACCGCTGTGTGGTGGGAAGAAGTTGCAGGATGGACAGAGATGACGACAGCATTTAGAGGAGATTTGGAGAGCTTCACAATGAGTCAAGTGAGGCGACTGTCAGTGCCTCAAGTGCCTTTTTTCTTCAGGTAAAGGGTTACAACTTTACCTCTGCTGAGCCATCTCTGGATCAGACGTGTCAGCAGCTCTTCATTTGGGTCAAGGGAAAATCAAACCAAACTGTTGCTCAGTGGTCCTAAGTCTCCTTGTCAGATGAAAGAAAACTGTGTTTTATTTAAAAATCAAAGTCCAAGAGCCTGAGGGAGGAGTGAAGAGGCAGAATTGAAGGTGTTTGAAGTCCAGTGTGAAGTCGGTTTTAGGCGCCATGTCATCATCAGCTAGTGCTGGTTCATGGTGTTTGATCAAGTCTAAATTCAACACGGCTATCTACCAGGAGATTTTAGAGCATCACATGCTCTCATCTGCTGACAAGTTTTATTTTATTTTCCCTGCAGGAGGCACAGAAGAAAAAAACACCTGACCTAAAATTACAGACAAGAGCTCAAGTCAACAGAGCCGCAGGCTAATCACCTCCTCCACGCCACGCTGATGCGGTAATTTGAGGTAAAGGAGCCCCAACCAAGAACTGAGTGTACAAATAAACACACCTCTGAGTATCTTATGATCCTAAAATATGTTCTGATCATTTAGATACTGTATTTCTGATTCTCATCGGCTATTCACCACAATAACCAAAATTAAAACTGGAATCAAATAGAAATATACATATATATTTTCAAGATAATTTGGATTTTTTGAGATGCAACCATCAAAGAGCATTAAAAGATCTCTTTCTGATGAGGGGAGGAGAAGAAGAAAGAGACTGAAGATGGTCATATATAGAGGAGAACATATACAACACACAGGGTTTTGATGGTGCTGGTGCTCTATGTGATACTGATTTCTGTTCCCTATTGTTCCTGTTCCCCTGTAGTCTTGTCTTGAGTTCTCAGTTTGTGTCTGACCCCAGTTCCCTCATGTTCTCAGTGTTTTATTCCTTATATCAGTGTTTCCTGTTTTATTTTGTAGTAGTTTATTCCCTGTGTTTCTAGTCTTGTTTTACTTCCTGTTTTCACTCCTCTGTGATTGTCTGCACCTGTGTCTCAGTGTCTCACCTGCCTCTTGTTGCTCGTTTCCCATTGTGTGCATATATAGTCCTTGTCTCCCCCTGTTTCTTTGTTGGTTCATTGTGAATCTGTGTTGTATGTTGTTGAGTGTATGCCTGCCAGTGTCTTCACTGTCTGTGTTTTTTTCCCCCCTGTGCATTTTCTTGGATTTTTGAGTTGGACATTTTACTAGTAAGTTTTTGTTGGTTTTTAGTTCTGAAATGTGACATCCTGAAGCTATATGATATATGCTTGCAACGATTTAATCCCAGACAGTTTTCATATTTCCCCTCATGCATGACAGCTCTGGCCTTTCAAATTTCCAAACGCATCTTCAGGTTCTTCTTAGTGGATGTGAATCAAAATCACAGACTGAGAAAATCTCAAGTAACTATGGTGAGTGACTACAAAATGTTCCCTGTTGAATAAAAATGAGTGCTGTCCCTGAAGTCCTTGAGAACAAAATAAAATCTTTCATGGGTTAAAAATAACGGCTCATGTATTGCAGGATTTCTAACAAAGAAGGACTGGGTTTTTCTCCTCTCCTCTCATGTATTAACTGTCACTTAAACTGTCATCAAAGTGTAAAAAAACAGAGCAAACAGTGTGTTTTGTAAACCGTTATGAACGATCTTGTGCAGCTGCATGAGTCTGCTGTTTTTAGACTTCAGAGTGCATCACCTCCCCTGTGGTAACGCCGCCTGTTATCACTGGGAAGCAGCTAATCTCACGGCAAAGCTGACGAGGATTTTCTCCTCCTCCTCCTCCTCCTCCACTGTCTTCCCCAAACTTCACCCTCTCTCCCTCCTTGAACGCCTGGCTCCAAGGAAAAGGTTATTGATGATGAGACTCCAAATGAGGCGGGTGCAGAGCTCCTCTCTTACTCTGCACGCTATGTGTGTGTGTGTGTGTGAGAGAGAGAAGCGGAGACAGGGAGTGTGTGTGTGTGTGTGTGTGTGTGAAGGTGCTGGTTGGAGGGTGTATGTGTGGGGGGAGTGTCGTCAGCATTCATCGTCATTGTGACTCGGAGACAGGAGAGCGCCCTCCCCTTCTCCTCCTCCTCCTGCATCCCTACCTTTCTCTCGTTCAGCTTCACACCAGCAGCCAGTCTGCTCTCAGTCGATTCGCCTGCACACAGCTCTGCTCCTCGCTCTCTCTCTCTTTCTCTCTCTCTACATACACACACACCTCAGCTGCTGCACAGACGCAGCTGATCGGGCTGTAAGGAAAGAGGAGGAAGACACACACATCAAAAAGAAAACAAGAAAGAAGAAGAAGAAGAAGAAGAAAAGGAGTCAGGGAGAGGATGAGGATGATGAGTGTGTGCCATCGTCCCACACAGATTGTTGTACGGAGCTTCACGCCCCCCCTGCTTCTCCTCCTCCTGCTCCTGGGCAGCAGCAGCAGCAGCAGCATTGGAGCTGTCCCCTCTCCGTTCCAGCTGGCCCCGGACACCCCGGCCCCCGCTGAGCCCACCCCAACCCAGGTTACCCCTCGTCCGGACCCCTGCGAAGGGAGACCCTGTCTTAACGGGGGCTTCTGCCAGGCCCTTCTCTCAGCTGGTAGGCCAGAGGACACCTGGGAGTACACCTGTACCTGCAGCCAGGGCTTCACCGGACAAAACTGTGAGGTATGGACCTACTTTAGTCCTAATGTGGATCAAACACAGCATTAACACCGAGCAGGCTCTTCTTTTGTCTGAGATTTCTTTCTTGTTTTTTTCCTGGGATCAGACAGAGTTGGCATGTTGCAGAGGACGAAGAATTTGATGTAATAGTTATGTTAATTTTCTTTTCAAAGCTTAATCACTCACAATCACGACATGTAAAGACACCGGCTTATAGTCTGTGTTCATCACTCAAGAATTAAGCACCGTATATGCTTAGTATTAATATTAATCCTGAAAGGAACTACCTCCGCTCGGCGCTTCTTCGTGTCTCGTGTTGAGCTTAAAAGAGTTAGAGTCTTGGATCAAGTGTCAGTCCGACCGCCTGTCATCTTTCCGCTTCTTTCAACTGAAACCGTCATTATTACCTCATGGATGATGAGTGTGATAACAACCACATCCAGTATGTGTGTGTGTGTCCATGCAGTAGATGATGGTGATTGTGTTCTTGCTCCCTGCTGTTGGACCATTTTCTTAAAGGGAGCATGTGCTGTCAATGAGGGGAGACCGAGATGAGTGCTGCGTTGCTGTGGCAACAGGAGGGGGAGAGCAGCGAAAGTGATATGCGAGCGTAGACCGTGTTGTGGGATATATGCGTAGTATGCAGCAAAAACAATGCACAGGAGACAGGATGAGATCTGAGGAGCAGTGTGAGCGTCTTTATTGTACAGATGTAGGAATCAGTGCAGATGTTACAGACCAGAGGAAACCCGAACGATCCTCTGATTCTGAGTGTGTATCTGAACATAACAGGTGTGTGTTACACTGTGTATTAAACATGTGCACTTGTCATGTGTGTGTGTGCATGCATGAATCCCTTTAGATGTGTATTACAAGTGCAAATCGTTTCCTGCCCAATATCGGACTCTTCAGGAGGTTGTCCAAGGACATGTCTCAGTGTCCTCAAATTGAACAGGACATTAGTTTTGTTAGAAACCCAACTTTACTTTCCTGGCGGTCATGAAGATCAACTTTTACTTCTTGGTGAACTGAGATAAGTTCAAGCCTGCTTAGACAACATCCATATAAAGATCAATAATTTAAATCAATGGGTTTGTACTTTCATAATGACTCTTCTAGTCCCACTTACAGTGATAATGATTGTACTTTGCTAACATGACTTCATATGCTGCTTACTGGATATATATATATATATATATATTGTATATACTGTAGATACACTTAACATCGTTTCTTGGTTATAAATGAAACATGTGCACTGCAGTGTATCATGAGTAATATGTGTGGGTACATGTATCTCAGAGCTGACATATGATATATAATATATGACATGAAACAGAAAAACTTGTATCTGCTGTTATGTCGAGTATCAAAAATGCATCAACCTGTTATATCGAATAGATTTGTGTATGTGTGATCATGCACTGAGAGAACTGTTGGGCATTTAAGACGCATTACTTTCCATGCTGTAACATGGTTTGGTTGCATCTTGAGGGGGATTCAAGTGTCACCTGGGCTTGTGTGGATTAGACCAAAATAACTCTGCGTCCATTTGTCAGCATGTACGGACAGGCATGAATGAAGAAGTGCATCATTCACAATTCAAAGTGACTTACTTGTCTTTTGCAATTCTCCCTCTCATTCTTGGATGGATTATTTTTTCTACTTTAACACCTTTTGATGGTGTTTTTCTTTGTTAAAAAATGAAATTAATTAATTAAAAAAAAGAGGTTTTGACTGCATTTTTCCACTTTCCCTTTTATTTTCTCTCTCAAAATTGTGTTTTTGTCCTCTGTAATTGGAATGTTTTAGATATGAAGGCCATTGAAAGATCAGAAACATGGTTTGTTTTTATACGAGAAAGGGCAGGATGGAAAATAATTGTGTTAAAGAAAAGCTAAACACAATGCCTAACAGAGATTAACGCTCCTGACGTTGACCTCTACGCTTTTCTTTTTTTTCTTTTCACGCTTTTTTTTTTCTCTATCCAAGGACATTCGAAACAGGGAAGCAGCTCTCTTTTACTTTAATTTAGCACTGTATTGATCTCCACATAAAACTGCTCTTTGGCTGGATTGCACAGAATTAATCTGAGCTTTACGATAAATGGACCGTGGCCGAGCCTCTTTAGCTGAGTCTTTAGGCTCAGTCTGCAGCTCTGCCTGTGAGTCATGCAGGGGTAAGAGAGAGCATCAGGAAGCAGCAGAGAGGATGAATTAGTCTGCTGCTGCAGCATCACGGAGAGGGGAAACAATGGCAAGGTGACTGGGTGAGTTTGAGCTGAATCACCAACAGGTGGCAGCCATGTCTCCCCTGGTGCCGGCTTTGTGGATGTACATTCACTGTTTTTGCTTATCTTGTGTGTGAATGCAAGTAAATATGACAGTGAAAGGTGATATAAAGAGCTTTAGACCTTTAGCTACAGCTAGGCTAACTGTCTCCTTGACTGTCCTGGTTTCATGTCTTGTAATAGAAAGCAGCTGCAGTTTGTTTCCCTGCAGCCTGCTTCACTGCACACAATCCACAAAGGACAGTGTTGTCGCACAAACCGAACTGAGGCTGGACAATACAGGCGCAGGGAAAATGTTCAGAAAAAGAGGCATTTCTCTTCTGCTGTAACAATGACATCCACACACTCCAACTTTATCCCCTTTATGCGCCAAACATCAGGCCCAGCACAGACCCAGAGCTGGGCCTAAGGGTGGGATCATTGATTTTTGGCTTGCTCCACTCTCACTGGTTGTGTCCTCTCCATGGAAACGAGAGCATCAGTCAATTGAGATTTGGTAAATGACCTGATTGGCTGAGCACATTGCTAGTTTGCTCTCTCTGTCCTCTGTATGCGTCACAACGCAGATGGTCCGGTGAGGACGGAGGAGGAGAGAGGGAAGAAAGGAGGAAGGATGAGTTGGGAGAAAAAAAGACAAGGAAGGATTAAAAAGGGAGAAAGAGAGGGAGAGAGAGTGAGGAGAAATCACAATGGGAGCCAGGGGAAGAAAAATATCTTTATAAAGTGAGTTAAGTCCTGGTTTTAGAGCTTAGTGAAGAATTACTGTTAAAAACCAGTGCCATGTTCTTACCCTCTCTTCTCTCTCTCTCCGTCTTCTTTTATCTGTAATTCTGTGTCGAACCTGCTGTGACTTTCACAAAGCAGGATTAGCACAAAAACCCACGCTGAGTCTGTAAAAGTAAAGTAAACTTCAGCAGTAGATTCAGGATTAAAACCCAGTCACGCCTGTTGATTTCAGGACATTTTGCAACCTATGAAAATATAAATAAATAAACTTATCAGTTCAAGTTGCTAATCCTGCTTTGTGACTCACCCCTTCTGGCTGTGTTTTTATTCTGCAGCAATCAAAGCAGCCTCATGCAAACCACAGCTGCGGGCACCGGGGGGAAAAACAAGCCCACTGTAGTCATCTATGGTTATAATATAAGCCTGCACCTTTTCCTGGGCAGCAGCCTGTAAGCTGTCCTGTTGGAATTCACCAGCCTTTCTCTTAGTTATTAGTTTCTCAGCCGCTGGCTTATTCATTATTAAAAAGCCTGTTGTGAGCCCTGATGGATTTGGTAACTTGCTCCTAAAACACAATGAGGCTGTGGAAGAGAAAACAGCCGTTCATCATGTACTCCTCGGAGCTCGAACTGTTACCCGGCTATTCAGCGATACGACAGCAGTGGTTTATGGCAGAATTTCCAGTCTTAAGTTCGGGTTTACAGCTCAAGCATTATGAACAAAAGATGTTGTTGTTTTTTTTCATTTTGCAGTTATTTGGAGAGGGGATGTGGGACTGCAGGTTGTGCAAGGCGGATATCTATCTGAGAAGCACAGAAGTCATTTGGCAGTTTCTGCAGATAGTTCTGCCTGGATTTAATAAGCTCACATGGAGGATGTCAGAGGCAGGCAGGCTCGGAGGCTTTTTCACCCTTATGCTGATGTTTTTTTGGACCTGTTCACCTTCCCTTCTCTCAGCACGTAAAGCTGCTTTCACATCTTCAAGCTCCTCTGTTTCACTGTTAAATGAGTGTAATTTAAGTCTCGACTCTTCTGTCTGGGATTTGACACTTAATCAAATACATTTGTACACTTTGATGCAAGAAGATCAGTAAAACTCTTTTGAAAGTGAGGGAAAAATTAAAGCTCCAATTTGGATCGATTTTAGCACCCCTGTTTGACAAATTGGTACCTTATAAATTGGCCTAAGCTGCTATAAATCAATCTATTGTCATTAACATGCTGTTCCTAAACAGTACTCATACTTTTTCCACTATTATCAACGCTGTATCTGTTCTTATTATCGCTGTTGTTTGTCTCTCTATTTGTTCCTATATCCTTATCTCGACAGGTCGTTTCTCTGGCTGTTTTTAATGCTTCACAAATTGTGGTTAAGTGACAACATATTGAAAAACCAAATCCATTGAACAGAGGGTCTGTTAAGTAATCTCACACTACCATGTTTGTCATTATTTTATACACGACTCAGTGACAAAGGGAAGATGTAAATCAGATGATTTGCAGCAAGTATTTATATCTAAGATCCTTTTTGCTTGAATTTCAGTCAGTTTTCGAAAGCCGTGAAATAAAATCTGACAATCTATTCATTACAGTCAAAATGCATTTCCTGTTTCCAGAGATAGACCGGGTGTGACTGACGCACAAGCTGTCGCAATTAGAATAACTTCGCACTTTCTGACAGGACTCAGTATGAGCAGACAAAACCAAGTACCAGAGCTGTTGATTTTTAATTATGAAAATGAGGGATCACTGTTTGTTTGTTTGTTTGTGTGTTTTGTGTGAGTAGAGGTCAACTCTTGTCTCCGATGACTGCTCACTCTGGTGCAGCAGATACAGCCTGAGCTGCATCCAGTTGAGCCGAGCTAAAACCTCGTCCCCGGGCTCTGGTGGGTCTTTTATTGCCTTCTTTTGTCAATCAGAGGGAAGATCAAAACATGGAGAAATATGACTCTATGAACCCTACATGCATGTATGAATGGACTGTCTGTCATTTTTCCCCCCCAAGGGATTTGTTTTCATCTCTCTGTTTGCTGATGCACTATCGTTGAACTCAGCGGTTGTTAAATTGTGGTGTTAGTTCAGAATAAGGCTTCATGTGCTCCCCTGAAAAGCACTTTGAGCTCCAACCACAGAGGAATTTATGGAAAGAATGAACTCTAGTGAGGTTGTAACCATGGATTATTTTCATTTGAAGTTTAAGATAATTCATCTTCAAAAATGTAAAACATAAAACCAGAAAATCCTTATATGCTGAGACTAGAAACAAATGCTATTATCTATCGGAGTGCCGATGATTATAGTTGGGAGAGAGAGTGAATTAAAGAAAACGTGGAGGGATTTAATATAAAAACTAATTACAGAGACCGATGGGCGCTTTCTCTATTCGGTCCACTGTTAGATCTTGTTGAGTTGATTTAACACGATGTACATCAGAGGATTATTTGAAATCTTCTTGTAGGATTTAACAGAAGAGTATGAAGAATTGTACCAGAAGCAAGTTAACAGATTTTCAATAATTCACAGTAACTGTAACATTATCATAATTCATCTAAAAGATAAAACATGCTGGGACAGATTCAGAGGTAATTAGACACGTTTTCTCACCACTAAACACTTGATTGTTGAGATTTTTGCTAAAGAGAAAAAAAACTCTGATAACCAGTTGGTGATGGTTTGATAGAGACCTCGCTGCTGCTTTGGTTACAGACTGCGTCCATCCCTGCTGCTTTCTTTGATACAGCAGCTCTCCACCAGTCTCCTTTGAGCTATTATCACCGTGCTATCGGTGCCGGTCATGTTGATGTTCTTAGATGTATTGAGGTGGAGCACGCTGCCTTTGAACAGGGGGGCTTCAGGCCAATCACTTTGGTCATTTCCATATCACACATCACCTGGCCTTTTGATGTGTGTGCAGCATGAGGAAGTGCTGCTACGCGAGGGGAAAGTAGGGGCTGATCTATGGGTGATACAGGAGGTGGTCCGCACAGGTCATGAGCTGCTCATCACAAGTCGCTCGCACTCTGGTTATTTTGGATGCTAAAAGTCTTAAAGGGATATTCCAGCGAAAAATTAATTTAGGGTCAAACACACCTTAACACCAAGTTAGACACCCCCTTAAGAGATAAATGTTGCCGACTGCTTGCTTATCTAGTTATACCAACTTTAGTAACGACCGCACGATAGCAACACAAAGTGGTCTGAGGAGTCATAAACAAAGCTCAACCAAAACTCCACAAATAATGCTCAGAACAGCATCTAACTTCATCAACAGTACATCAAGGGTCCCTGCCACAGCACTAGCCACCAAACATCTTTTTAGATTGCCTGATTTCTTAAGCAGAGACACTAAACACAACTCACCTATTCTCTTCCAGCAGCCACTTGTTTGTAGGGAGACCTCGGGCCAATCCATTACGGACTGTTGAAGTAATAATCATCATATCAATCATTTTGCACTGCAGACACGGTAGTTCTTTTGCCTTAGCATCTCAGTCTGATTGCATTTCATGAAGAAATGATAATAAATGTTCTTCCTTGAGCTGCATCACCCAGCTGCAGTCCATAATGGACTGGCCCAAGGTCTCGCTACAAACAAGCGACGGCTGGAAGAGAGTAGGTGAGTTGTGTTTAGTCTCTTTGCTAAAGAAATTAGGCAAAGTTAAAAAAGATGTTTGGTGGCTAGTGCTGTGGCTAGGACCCTTTATGTACTGTTAAAGAAGTTAGGTGCTGTTCTGAGCATTATTTGTGGCTATATATGTACGCTCTAGAGTGGCGTTTTGGTTGAGGTTTGTTTATGGCTCCTCAGACCACTGTGTATTGCTATCTGTGGTCATTACTAAAGTTGGTATAACTAGAGAAGCAAGCGGTCAGCAAAATTCATCTCTCAAGGGGATTACTAACTCAGTGTTATGGTGTGTTTGACCCTAAATTAATTTTACGCCGGACTATCCCTTTAACTCTTCACTTTATTTTTGTTGATGTCTTTGTCCAGATCAAGATTGTCTGTTAAATTTGAAGTTTGAGTTTGATGAAATGAATACTCACAAATCAGTGAGATTGTAGAGACAGTCTTGTCACAGAGGACAATTTAATATCAACCTTTCACCTGCTTGACTGTAGCATGCTAGCTCTGCTGCTATAAAGACGCTGGCTCGCTGACACAAGCATTTAATCAAATTAAAGCATCGCTCTGCCATAGCTCAGGCCAAGGCTGAATTTATATGTGCTTTTTACTGCGTGGTGACGGTTCAAGACACAACGTCTCACCTTCAGTATGAATCTCAGAGGCAAGATGGTGGGACCAGTTATCCCACTGCTGTGCTAAGACTGGTGTTAGTAACAGAGGCATTGATGGAACAAATTCAGACCAATGTGTGTCGGTGAAGTGGGCAGTGTGAATCTGTCAGTTTGCGTTTGCAGAGAATTGCTCTGTAATAGCATAAAGAATCGTAAAATTACACTCTCAAACTCCACTGTAACTCTAAGTAGGGTGAAGGAGTGTTACAGGACTTGCAATATGTAAATGGTGCAAGTGCTCTTGTGTGCACGATGGCTTTCCAACATGTTTTGTGTGTATTTGTGGACATCTTTCAAAATTAGAGCGATAAGGGGCACAAGATGTGGAATATACAGGAGAGGTAGGAGCAGTATAGGGGGACACGGTGGGATGTGATTGGGTTCAACAAAAGAGAAGTGGAGGAAGTCCATTGTAGGAGCCAAATTTGTTAATGTGATACCATAAATGAGTTACAGTTCACTTTGAATGCCTCAGGTGTCGTTGTTATCTGGGGGTTCAGGAATAAAGGTAGCCAAGTCACTGTTGTGGGCAGGTGATTGAACCGGAAGGGAAAAAAGTTTTTTGACCGCTGTGGCGCTAAACGCCAGCGTTTTTCTTTGTTCAATGTTGCTCGATATCAATTGCAAAATGGATTTTGGTTATGTTTAGTGCAATACACTTTTGTTTGCTGCATCTGAGGAACAGAGTCCAGACTTTCATTGATCATCAAAAACTCACGGTAGTGTAAGAAACCAGTAGCAACCAAGTATGGCTTTAGCTCCTACATCCATGATTATCCACATTTGTCTGATGTATCATTGCCACAGCACAGTGATAAGCATGCCTGTCTGTATAACTGGAGACTGATAAGTTCCATTTTAAAGGTTGCCATGGAAACCTACAAAATTGAAACAAGTGCAGGATTGTTACGTGCATGGAGGAAAAATGTTGGCGAGCCCCTGAGACCCAAAATTAACATAGCAGAAACCCCCTTGAGTGGCTGGAGTTTGCACCGTGCACATCCGGTAGTTGGTTTAGCACACTAGTGTGTCCCCTAGAGTAATCCACTGATGACACTGAAAGCATAGCATGTGAACAATTATGTTGATGCATGAATGTAATATTGATGCAGCAATTTGTGTGCCAAGGTTAAAAAACAAGTACATCTCCTTCCTAGGAAAGCTGAAGTAACATCTACTCGTGTCTAAATAGCAAATATAACTGCATTTCAATCCAAAGTAACCCACCAAAACACCTAAAAATGCTGTCTGAATTTACTGTTACGGTTACTGTACGGTCAAGTTTCACCTCCTCATCCTGTACGTGATTTTGGCTCCTCAAATAGTCACATCAGTTGCCACATTTCTCTCCTGACTGCTCCCATACCTACAGGCCATATTTCTTCCTTTATCACCAACACTCATCACGTAGAGAGCTCTTAGCTCCGTGTCATTGGCTCTCTAATTTTCCTTGAGAGTAGCAGTGAAACGCTCCCCTCTCTTCTGGAAAGACAGAAGTCATAAAATACCCTCCGTTGGTTTAGTTTGGGTGTTTCTTATTGCTTTTCGTCTGCCCTCGTTGCTATTTATATCTTTAATGGAGCAGGGAGTTGTGTCACTATCAGCGGCATAATGTCAGAAGGGGCAGAGCAGATCTTAGTCAGCAGCAGTTCACCCGTATAATAGCTCTTTGCTGTGACACCCTCATTGTACTGTCGCTCCTAATGACTACTCTTGTTGCTGTCAACATGATGAGTGCGCATGGCAGGGGGAAGGTATGCACATGTGTACAAGGTTAAAATCATCTGACTTTATTCTGTATAAGTCACAGATTGGTCGTCTGTAACCTTTGAGCTATAAGCTGCATCACTCTAGCCACGACGGACTTCAACACGTCATCTACACTCACCAAACACATCACCTGATTCTGACTGTTTTTGCGCAGTAATGTGTTCAGAGTGTATGCAAACCAAGCTGTTCATTCAACTTAGAGTAAAAGACTCAAAAATAGTTTGTTCATTCTTAATTTACAATGTGTGTGTGTGTGTGTGTAAATGTGTGTATATGTAAATGTCCAACACTTTCTGCAGGACTGTGACTCAGTTTTTTGGGCCAGATATACCACTCTTCACTGGGATTCCTACCAGTTTTAGAAACTGGTCTTGAGTTTAGGGATTTCATCTGTTGATTGGTAAAGTTAATGTAAAATGGTGACAGAAAACTGCTTCAAAAATGCTGACAGGTGACTGACACTCTGTAGCTATACAAGGGGACTTTAAATGGAGTTATTTTCCTCAGTTGTTTGTCCTAAAATGGTTCCAGCTGATTTGATAATTTGCTCATTAAAGCTGCTGTGCGGATCATTAGGTTTGTGTTCATTTTTGCAGAGATGTGCGTCTTTTTGCCAAAAAAAGTGGTCCTTTTTGACCCCCAAAAATCTGCTTTCTTTAAACCATTAAATGTGCTGCTTATGCATTTGTTGTTAAAAACGTAAAGTAAGCTTCTCTCTGCGGTGCTCTTCTAGCTGTGTGGTGTGATACCTGCAAGAGAGAAGGTTTGATTTTGACATCAGTGGGGACACAAAATTGCCCTCCTGAAAGTTTATGTTTTATTGCATTTGCAATCATAATTTTCCATCATGTAGAGCTGATCAAACAAGCAAACAATCATAGTCAGGAAATTGTCGTGTTTTTAATGAATATCTGAATATCTAAAGAAAAAACGCACGCAAACCCTCACAAACACAAATGTAAATGTAAATGACGCTATTGATATTAAAATCCGTTTCAGCTGACGCGACCCAGGCACAATATGCCAAACATGTTGACAACTTAAGGTCCTTTCACACCAGGAGCGTTTTTTTTGCGCAATTATTTCGGACTTTAATTTTTTTTTTGAACCCGTATCCTGTCAATACAAGCGTTCACATCAGCGACATTTTCCCATCCTGCGATACTGCGGCATTTATTTTTTCGGATCACGGTTGAATTTGCTAAGGTTTCGCATACTGTGTGTCCACTTCTGACCAATCAGATTTTGTGTTGTTACGATGTCAGATTCACGGGTATCTCCAACATGGCCGACTGGCTTATTGTTTACATGTAAGAGAACAGAGTGCTTTTTGATACACAAATATTACAAAGATAACGACCTGAAGGACATCCTGTGGAGAGTCATAGCGTCAGATCTCTCATTTGACGATGGTTTGTGTGCTTTAAAAGTTTGCTAAACGTCTTTGTTTTAACTTTCATCTGTGCTAAGTAACTTTTGCTCGTAAACTATCCTGTTCAGATACAACATGCCACATGTATTTTCACTGTCTCAAACTCAATCGTGTTGTTACCTTACGTTTATGGATTATAGTTTAATGTGCTTATCTGGTACTGGCCCCGACTCAGTACATGCTATCATGACAGACAGACATCTCAACACTAGTGTCTAATCAGAACTGAAAAACAGTCAGTCTGCTGTTGTGTCAGTCTTCTCGCTTCCACCCGGAACGCGTCTCCCCCCCCCCAGAAAGTCGCACAATTGCATCGTGCTTGATGTGTATAGTCAGGCGCATCAAAATTCGCCTCTGAATATTTCGTAATTTTGCGTCGTATATTTGCGTCGTTCCCGGTGTGTAAGAACCTTTACATTTCGCGGTTGAAGATAACATGCACTGTCTGCCTCCTGTCCGGTCCAACTAGCAGGTAACTTTTACAGGTAGATGTAGAGACAGCAAGGACAGCCAATCACATGTATGTAAGCGAGAAACCAGCAGCCAATCGAAGAGCGATATTTAGATTAGAGGCGGAACTTCTAGTAGAGACCAACTGTTAACCCTTTGTGTGCCATGATCATTGATTAAACACTACAGACAGCAGTTGTATTGATAGAGACTACACCGTAGCAGGTGATTATTGGTAGGGACATGTCCATGGCATCCTTACCCAATTCTACGCCCTTGGATACCTGCATCAAAATCTACAATAACAGATATTTGGTCTTGTTGCAGATGGTCTGGTTTGCTCTTTTAGGTCATTACGAGGCATAACTGGGAATTTGAATCAGTTTTACAACCAGTTAAAAACTTCTGCGTCTATGGTTTCAAGGGGTGCATGTGTTTTCTGAAGCGGCTGTACAGTAAGCTTTCTGATCCACTGTAGGAAACAGACGTCATAACAACACACACTCAGATCTATAATAATGTGTTATAGCATTAACAGGAGCAACTCATCCTCTGCTCTGTTGCCCTCTTTGCTTTTCGAAGACAGTGACTCAGTAACAGATGTTGCGCTGAGTTCTCGCCGTCTCCTCCTCAGACGAACACAACTTGTCAGCTAAGTCAATCTGACAATATGTTATTTAATGAAGCCAACTGGGAGACAAGCCAGCACGCTGTGGAGTTTTTTGTGTGTACTGATGTGTGTCATGAACATCTCTTAGCTGCAGACAATAAATACCAGCTTAATCCAAAAAAAAAATCCCTTCAGGACCAGTAGAGCACCTCCGTCAGAGGGTGGAGCGGGGGATACAGGCAGCAGCCTCAGGCGTCAGACACACAGATTAGCTGGTATTAACAGCTGGGCCTGTCTGTTGGGTGATAGGAGAGGCGGTGTGGAAAATTTGGCTGTCTGTTAGATATTGTGCTGGAAATAAATTAATCAAATATTCAACTCGAGAAAGTAGGAAAGTGCACCTGGAACTGTATTTTTTTGCAGTCTAGGAAAATCGCAATCAGGAACAAAAATAAGCTTAAAATTGTAAAATCTCAGTATTTTTCAGCACAATTTGGTTCAGAATCATTGAATTTTTGCACAAATTTGATAAAACTTTATCTGATCTGTTGAAATTGTTTGTATGTGTATTATAGGCTCAGTGTTATTGTGACAAATAAAGTCATTTTTTCATGTTTTTCTGTTTGATAAAATTTCAACAATTTGCCTCAGCCTCAAAAATCGATATTTTTTTGTTCTCTTACATCAAACTTCACCCCTATTTATCCTCCTCTTGTTGTGTGATCTGTCACTCTGAGAGCAGGAAGTTTTACGATGAGATTTTGAACCCTGTGCTCAGTGCTGTTTCACCGGCGAGCGCTGACGTCAGTAAACTTGAGCCTGATCAGTGGGGGAGAGCGGAGCTCACAGCTGGACAGAATTGCCGGAGTCTGGAGCTCTGAATCTCCTGCTGATTCATCCACCTCCAACAGCTCCACTCTGATCACATCCATCCTCATTGATCAGCAGTTAATCAATGTTAATCAGTGGGAGGTTTTTACACATTTATGAGATAACCGTCACTTTAGAAATGCTTGCATCTTACAGGAATACTAAGTGTTTTAAAAAAAAATGCTGTAATTGAACACTTACTGGTTGTGAATTCGACAAAATTGACCTTGCATTCAGTGAGCACAAACTATTAATCTAAAATAAATAAATAAATAAAAGATTTCATAAGGTTTAATTGCCTTTGGATCCACATCTCTGTATCATACATAGAGCCAAAGATGCTCCAGGGATGAATAATCCAGGTATCTTCAAGGGCTGTTGGTGTTATCAAGTTAATTAAGATGAGATTAAAGTCTGAAATTGGCTTTTTTTCTTATTGTGAGCAATTCGGTCACATGATTGTTACATCTCTTCGTCTTCCCACTTCCCGCTGACATTCTGATGGGAAATAATAACACCGCTGTGCTTTTATTGGCACATTTTACTCTAATAAACACCCAGACGGCTCATGAACTTTGTGTCAAACAGACTAATCTGAAGAGATGGGAACATTCAGATGCTTAATGCCACAGACAGAGAGAGGATTAGTGAATGTTTTCTGACTCTTCTCTTTATTAAGTGTGTCAAAGGAAACTCTGCTCAGGAAAAACAACACTGAATCGTGATTGTTGTTACACAGATCATCCTTCCTGTCCTCCCTCTCCAATCCTCCTCCCGTCATCTCACAAACATGTTGTGTAGGCGGTGTTACAGATCGCGCTCAGATGATCTGAAGCTTCTCAAACAGAAGGAGAAGCTGCGTCTGGGCTGTCTTAACTTTTAAAAATCAATTCTCCCTCCTTCCTGGGGCGATAGAACAGAGCACTGATACATTTCGTGGCTGCCTCCTACTGTAGGACCTTGTGTCCATCTATGCCCCTGTTCCTTTTCTAGGGTCTCCATGGCAACAAGGCAATGATGAGGGGAGCCAAGGGATCAACAGGTGGAAAGCAGAAAATGTCAAGACTGCTTCCTGTGAACCACGTGAGGACTTCATATTTTTAACTCAGAGAGGGAACAGGACAAATTATCCGATCAACACTAGTCACAAAGAGGAATGACGTGTTTTCAATGTCCCTCTTTTGCGCTTAACAATTTTTTTTACTGTTATTTCCATGCACAATAACCTCCTGCTGTTGCCCGACTTCCTAGGAGGCAGGTGACATGAGTGGTGATATTACACATCTGATTTTTTGGTGACAAAGGGAACAGGATGTTCCACTTCCATCGCTTCAGTGACTAATTCCCTATGGCAGCAGGACCAGCTCCAGACCCATTTATAGCCTGACAGGAAGCAGAGAGGGATTTTGGTTATTTTAACATCTGTTACACACCTACTTAAAACAATAACATGTGACCCAAAATCAGACGCTCGGATTTCAAAGAGGCGGAAAGGAGGCCTCAAGACACATCACGTCTTGAAAGTGTTTTTCTGACATGCTAGAGACCGTTTAATCATGTCAGCAGTAGGTGTCACCTTTTTTCTCCACACACTGGTTATCTTGTTTTGAAGGAACCTTCAGTGTAAGTAGGTCAGAGTCAACCGAGAGCTCGTAGATCAGAGCACAGAGTGACATCCATCTCCACCAGCTGAGGCTTGAGTGATTTTTCATGTTGTATTTCAATGTTTTTTTCTCCACCAAAAATCGTCCTTTCAACAGACACGCCAGTGACACCACATTTTATGAATCCAAACCTGTTATGCTTATTTACTATAATGCATAATAACTAATGTTCCTACTTCACGGTAACATGAATCACAGTGGGTAGCAACTTTCTTCTGCATTAAGTAATGATGAAACAGCGTGTCACGGAGAGAGACGGCTTAGAAACCAGGAGGAGGTCTTCCATTCAAATCATTAAGTCCTCTGTGTTGCACAGCGGAGTCTGCATCTGATTTAATGGTTTTCAGAAGGCAGCAGACAGAAAACAGGAAGAAAAAAACACTTCCGCTGAAGCAGTGGTTTCATTGCTTTGTCCTTGATGTTATGTATGGGTGATGTATATATCTGCTGTCTGCAGTAACAGAGAGATGTTCTCCTCTTCAATTTTATCAATCACTGCAGGCAATAAACAATCACCACGTCTCGGTCTAAAAAAAGACGTACACATGCGCACGGTCAAAAATGATAAACACAATATTTCATTTTAATGATGCTAAACATTCAGCCATCATTTCCAACGAATGCCTTTTCTCCTGTTATCTATCAATGTGGCTGATAAAGGTAACACCAGTATGTAGTTCACTGAAAACTCACAAGTTCATTTGCATTAAACTCGATCTGAGAAATCTTACTGTGTTCACAGACAACATACAGAAGTCCCTCAAAAATGTTCTGATTAGTTACCTTTAATAACATACTTGAGTTAAAGCTCCATGTGGAGTTTTTTGACATTGAAAAAAGGATTACAATTTACACTGACGGCCTTTTGTGATGTACAAATGCAAACAAGATCATTAGAAACAAGACTGACAATTTCTATTTTCTTATTGTTCTACTAAAAAGCGGAGCTAGGGGGAAGGGGTCAGCTGAACAACATGACAAAACAACCCTGATCTTTGTTTTTAAGAAATATTCACAATTGATGATTTATTTGACTGTCAATGGCTGCTAGGTTGAGATTCTTTGACTACGGCAGGTAGAGGATGAGATAAACAAAGACTACTTTGTCTGCATGGGTTTCCAGATTTGACACAAACTGGAAGTTCCTCACAGGAGCTTTAAAGTTGTTTTTCACAATTTTAGCAAAGACAGATCCAGTTTTATTTGGGGAGAAACTGAAGACACAGGCTGGTTTGGAGCTAATGGCACAGGTGACTGTTTTTCTTTGTTTCAGGGATAGTCATGGCCTTTTCTGTGCTTTGTGCTGTTCACTGACTGACTGATGATAAGTTATCAGTGAATCAGTGAATAGCGCTTTAAGTGCTGTCCTAAAGATCAGTCACATGCTACATTTGCTTGACCATACAATATATTCTAGGATGTAAATGTTTGTAGTTTTAGAAAGAGAAGAAAGAAAATCTTGTTTACTTTCTTTTTCAAACAGGAGCTGTTTCGTCAGCCCAACATTCACTCCTGCTATCGATATCACTTCTCCGCCAATGACAACAGCTGGATTACATCTTTTGTTTTTCTGCTTTATCACATCTGAGAGAGTGGCCTGTTTTACTTTGACCTCATAAAAATTGTAGTAAAGAGGAACAATATAAAAAACTACTGTGTTCACTATCGTCTGTATATGCTATGGACAACTCAGTTGCGCCTTCTGCCAGTATACGGATTTGAAGCCAAAAAGCTCTCTGTATTTCCGTGTTTTTTTTCACCACTCCAAACCAACATTGGGCAGTAGTGTTGTACGCACTCCACCACTTGCACAGGAGCATTGTACGCATTCGGCAGGAGAGTCACCAAGAGTTGCCATGATGACGCTCGGCTAAAACAGCGTATCCCCCCGGTGAGCTATGCAATCTTCGTACACCCATAGGCTGTATCAGGTGTCAATCACAGAAAACTTGAACCCCTCATAACTTTTAAAAATGGAGCTTCACAGAAAAGAGGACTTGAGCACAAACCAGTCTTACAGTAACTACATGTCAACATCACGAGCAGGAGGGAGAAAAATTTATATTCTGTGTAATAAATTTCTACAGTTTGTCCACAGCTCCATAGGGATGGCTGGCAGAGGCAAGATTTATGACCTATACTGCAGCCCGTCACCAGAGGGTGCTGTTCTCAGAGTGGCTTCACCCAGCGAGGAGGCAGATGCTGTCTTTTCTACATACAGTCTATGGTGTCCACTTAATAGTGGAAACATTAGTTATTATGCAATAGTGTCTGCAGCTTGATAGCTGTGTAGGATCTCTGCAAGCAGATAAATTGACAATAATCCAAAAATTGTATGTTTTCATGTTGCATGTAATGGGGATAGTAAATCAAACTCATGGAAAGTTGAAGCAGAGGAACATGCTGAAAACATCCAAAATCCTTCTCTCTGCACAAAACTTGTCTAGTTTTTCAATCTATGTCGTCTATTTCTGCTGGAAAAACACTGTCATCCCAACTCTGACTAAGGGCTGATGTTGGAGTCAGAGCTAATCCTAACTGTAGAGTTGTGAAGTTTCCTCCCGGTGAACTGATCCATCAAGCAGTTGGTCTATCTATCATTGTAATGTGTGAGAGAGAGCTGCATACAGAAGATGTAATACCAAAACAGAAAACCCCTCAATCCGTCAGAGCATCCACCGCAAGATCAGCTGCTGATAGATTCACAAAGAGCCTGAGAGCTCCTGATGTGTTTCAGTGCTCGTCTGATAGAATAAGAAGACAGATAACCGCGTCTCAGCTCTCAAGAAGAGACATATGCGTCCCTCGCAGCATCAATAGGTAAAAATAGAGCCGTGTAGCATCTCCTCTCTTAAATCATCCTCCTACCACTTAGTATTCTCCTTTCTCCTCTCCTCTTTCTACACCTCCTGCCCTCATTTTCTTCCACGCAAGCCTTTAGCAGAATGGAGAGGTAATTGACTTGTGTTGTGAACACTACTAGTGAGGGATGGTATTGGCCAATAGTGGGAGGTTATTTTGAGTCATTTGTTTGATGAGAGCACGCTGTGGAGAAGAGTGGATGTCGTCCTGCTGTGTGCTGACTTTTGAGTGACAGATTTTGCTGCGCTAAAACAAAACAAAGCTGAAACTCCAATAAAATATGTTTAAGATGCCCACTGGTGGAAAGTGTACGATTTGGACTGGAAATTATTCACCTCATTAGCATGTTTCCCCGTATCTTTCAGCTCTTCCATTTACATCTATTTATGCATCAAGGCGAGGGTGAAATTTATCAAGGTGCTCGGCCGTGTTTGTGCCGGTTTCACGGATCCAAAATTTGAAAGCAGGGTTGCTCTTTGATGCCACAGGGCCAGGAAGTGATGAGGAAGTATAAGAGGGAGAGGGAGGGATGGTGGACGCTTTGATGTGCAGAAATAGATAACATTAAAGCCCCGCCAATAAAAACACTTTCTGGCCACCACACACACACACAAGCACACACACACAGCTTAACTGGAAGCTACAACTACTTGGATGGATATGAAGCAGATGGCTCCGTATGTGGAGTATTTATCCCAGAGTAATTTAGGACATGATTTGGGCAAATGAGAGCCTATTGTGCTTAAGAGGACAATAAAATCCATGGAGCCAATTTATGGTGAATGAATGAATGAATGAATGAATGCATGATTGGCATTTTTTTAAATTAGAAACTGGATGAGTACGGTGTTTTTGCATGTTTTCTGTCCCTCTCGCAGTCAGTTTCTGTAACTGTGCTTGTTAAGGTGTTTTACAAACATTATTCTGATTTAACAATGCTGACAGTTACAAGAATCTGTGAAAATTACAGGTGATATAGAGAATGTGGACTGTAAAATGCAGTTACGGTGCATTTAAAGTACCCTTGAGCAAGGTGGTATCCGCTAACAGCCAATGACTGTTATTCATTTTTTTCTTCTTGCACTCCCTTGGGCTTGGCGGGGAACAAAAATGTGCTTATACAGGACAGCATGAAGGACTACACAATTGGCATTTTGCAGCACGTTTTGTTCGAAATCTGTTTCTATATGTTTGGACTTCTGCTTGTGAATCAGCATCATTTCCGAGTGTTCCCCCTAATGTCACAGATTGGTTCGCCTTATCTGTCACGTCAGCTGTTTATGGTGTAAGAGAGCTTAAAGGGATATTCCGGTATAAAATCCCTGAGTAAGACACCCCCTTGAATGATAAATGTTGCCGACTGCTTGTTTCTCTAGTTAAACCAACTTTAGTAACGACCGCACGATAGCAATACACAGCGGTCTGAGGAGCCATAAACAAACCTCAACCAAACAGCCACTCTATAGCCACAAATAATGCTCAGAACAGCACCTAACTTCATCAACAGCACATATAGGGTCCTATCCATAGCACTAGCCACCAAACATCTTTTTAACTTTGCCTAATTTCTTTAGCAAAGAGACCAAACACATCTCACTTACTCTCTTCCAGCAGCCGCTTGTTTGTAGGGAGACCTCGGACGAGTCCATCACCGACTGCAGCGGGGTGACGCAGCTCAAGGAAGAACAATTATGATCATTCCTTCATGGAAATGCAATCAGACTGAAACGCTACAGCAGAAGAACTACCGCGTCTGCAGTGCAAAATGATTAATATGGTGATTATTACTTCAAGGAAATGATAAAGAAATGATCATAAATGTTCTTCCTTGAGCTGCGTCACCCCACAGCTGTCCATATTGGACTGGCCTGAGGTCTTGCTACAAACAAGCGGCTGCTGGAAGAGAGTAGGTGAGTTGTGTTAAGTCTCTTTGCTAAAGAAATTAGGCAAAGTTAAAAAGATGTTTGGTGGCTGGTTGGGACCCTATATGTACTGTTGATGAAGTTAGGTGCTGTTCTGAGCATTATTTGTGGCTATAGAGTGGCGTTTGGTTGAGGTTTGTGCGTGGCTCCTCAGACTGCTGTGTATTGCTATTGTGCGGTTGTCACTAAAGTTGGTATAACTAGAGAAGCAAACAGTCAGCTACATTTATCTCTCAAGGGGGTTTCTAGCTCGGTGTTAAGGTGTGTTTGACCCTAAAATAATTTCACGCCGGAATATCCCTTTACTCTATCCCAGACATGTTGGTCATCCCACGAGTACAATGACTGTCTAAAGAGTGCCGTGTATCACCATATTATTACAGTGAAGTCATCTTTGTTTAAACCGACTGTCCTTAAGTATAAAAAGGCAAAACTTAGTGTGTAAACCTAAGAGATCAATGCTGCAGAGTCACTGTATTGACGGCTCATGACGCTGTGGAAGTGGAGCTGGATTTTCAAACTGACTGCAGCCTTATCTTCTGCTGGTGCACTGAAGAAACTGGGCCAATGTTTGAAGAGTTTAAAGGAGACATCTGGCAGGTGTTTCTTTTTTCATTTCCTCTTTGAATCTTTTGTTGAATTTTACAATATCACAATGTTCAAAAAAAGTACTGACAAAATTGACAGCAACTTTTTACCTTTAAGCTTCCTTATGAAGATTAATGTTCCCTCTCCCACTGTGTAAAAATTGGTCACAGCACGGAGCTTTTCCTGTTCCGTTTCTTTACTTTAGTTGTTACGACTGCTTTTTAACACCTTGTTCCTCCTAGACTAAAATGGGTCACTGGACTGTTACTGTTGGTTCCTTATATAAAATCACATCACCATGTTTTAATGAGCATAACAACTTCATAATTCAATACTTCTCCCAAGCTGAAAAGATTGAATACTATCTTTGTCATGACTGCAGTACAAACGCACTTCTTATACGATGTCAAGCATTACAAAGTGGCAAAAAAGTAACCAAACTCTTTCAGCTGCTAGCTTGGTAATATAAGTTTTCAACCTGATGTGATAAAAATGGTAGAAGTTCTCTGAGTCAATGTCTAAGCCCTGTCTCCAGGTTCTGTCTGTACTGACAGCGAACATGACGAGGCTGGATCATGAGGGGTTTCATGCTTGGCGGTTTTCTGACTGACAGGTGCAATAAATCATAACAACAATGATGTCTCCCTGGGAGACTGACAGGATATTGCTTAAATGTTAAACCAGAAGCTCAAAACACAGCATTAGCCTGTCTATGACTATCACAGTGCCGATGTGGTTGACTGCAGAAGACAATGGGTTGGGTGGGTGAAATCCTTCTTATTTGAAATGTGTTGTGTGACATTCGGTTCTTCTCAGCCAAGGCAGACCATCTCAATCATCTGCCGTTCCTGTTTAGTGATGTGTGTCAGAGCCAATCCTAGAAAAAGAGTCTGCAAAAATACGTATTCTTGCTAGACCATCAGAAAACGTATTTTGTTAAGCTTATATATTACTCAAAAGAACATTTTCAGAACAGTTAGTTCCAACCCAGCTGGCTTTCCTGTCTCTGATTTGTGTAAGGACTTCAGACAAATTGGATGACAAGCAAAAAGCTAATGAACGTTTTTTTCTGCTGAGGGACAGTGCATCAACTGTACAGACTATCTAACCAGGTAGAATCTCACAGAACTATAAGAAGTCATACTTTACTCGCTGAAATGCACATTAGCTTCAGTTACGAATTTCCCTGAAAGTATTCTTGTACAAAATTAATCACATGAGAATGACAATTAACAAACTTAGGCCACCAAAGGAAGAAAAAAAGAGAAAGTGCTTGGTGATAAGCAGGTAAAAAAGCTCTGTCTGAAAACAGCATCCATTTGTGGTGAGCTTGTTGTAGCCAACATGCTAGCCAGCGATAACAGCATCTCCTATCAAGCTTGAAGCTCAAACAAAACTAATCAAACTTGTGGCCTTGACATGACAACTTAAGTCTTAAGGTCTTTACACACTGGGCAATAGGCTAAGCAATGCGAATAAGCAATTTTTTTTTTGTAAAGTTTTATCTTCAATACATTCTTGAAAATAGGCTATATCTATTTGTTTCTGAGTTATTCTAAGTGTGGCTAAATTAGCCTTTGAGGACACTTAGCTAGTATCAACAACTTTCAGGAGGCTTCCTAAAGACAAAAGAGTACATGTAGACCACATTACCCTTCTAACTGAACTACTGATAACAAATTAGTTGAAAACTGGAGGGAGATAAAGCAGCTTGCAGAGCTGCCAAGTGTCCCACTTTGAGTGTGACAGTCATGCATTTTGACCCATTCTCACACCACGCACCACACTTGACCTTTCTCATGCTTGTATTTCCCCATTAAATACTCTATATCTATTTTTCTCATTATAATAAACTTGGCTCGCCGTAGTTCGACTAACTCTGATTGACTGACCCAGAAAACCAATCCCAGACCAATCCTTCAGTCCTATGTGCATAAATCTAACGAACCACGGAAGGCACCACTCAATACAAACCAATCAGAAGCAACATATGGCAGGTCCTGGTGTCTCTAACTAGCTTTTACATAGAACAGCGCCGAACCTCTGTCATCAAGGCATCAAAATCTGCCACAAACTCTTACAACACAAGACATGTCCCCAGCTAAATGATGGAGAGTTGGCTGAAATGCAATATTGACAAATAAATGTATTTTGTTAAAATTCTTGTTACAAATTTCATTTGTAATTTCTGGTTAATTAAGACTAGCATTAGGAGGCCACAGCGCAGGGAGAGCAGCTGGCATGGAGGTGAGGACATTAGTCTTAAGGTATAAATCAACGTTAAAAATGGCCAATTTTTTTTGCCACGTGGTTGAACACACTCTTGTCTCACTCTTGTCATTTTCTGAAACTTGGCAGCCCTGAGCTTGTAACAGCTTCATAGTTCAAAACCCATTTTTTTTCTGGCAGAGGCATAAAACTTTGAGCTGACGGTTGTTCACTGCCTGTAAAAACTCAAAATCTGCCACCAACCTGATCTTGAAATATTCATGGTGGCTGTGACTCATCAAGTCTCTCATTTTTGTGTAACATTTGGGCAGCTACTCAGCTGGGTTTTTTTACATCAGACTTTTGTGTTATGAAAACATGCAGAGATTAGACTTGCCTGCAAAAATGTTGATCCTCTTGCAACCAAGAGGCCTGTGAACAAAACCACCACTTTTCTGCCAAGGATGGAAAAGCTTGACACAGTCTTGCATCATGATGTGAGAATTATATAAAAAGCATCAAAGAGAGCTTATTCCTTTGACAAGCTTGTAGACATGTAACAGTAGGAGGCGTTTTGACAGGCTACAAGAGCCGATATGAAACACTTTGGCCCGTTATTTTTGAGGCTTTCTTTCCCCTTATTACTGCACAAAGAGCTTTTTACAATTCTGCTCTGCTTCTCAAAGGTGAAAACCAGTAGTCCATCCTCCATCCTTGCCACTTAAACTACTTCCTTTATTTTTGACTTTTTAATTTACAGTTAATTTCTTGAAACTGCTTTTTTTTCTCAGCCCAATCCTTCTCGCTCGCCTGCTCTCCAACTCCTGAGTCCGTTTTTTTAATAAAGCACAGATGCACAGAGAGAGATCAACATTTTCTCGGGTCTAAAATGTCTGAACTCCTATATACTGTACTAACAAACAATCCTACAGCTATAAATGCTGACAGTCTCACAGTAATGCATTTTTCCATTTGATTCATAAAGTTAATATGTACCAGAGTCAGATTTCATGGTTTACTTGAAGTATTTTCTTGATGTCTGAATCTTTCTTGCCTCTTCTTTATATAATGAGATCACATCCCAGGGCTCAAACCTCATGAGAGCAGACTGGAGAGAGGACTGCAGGGGGGAAATGATTCTGTTGAGGCATGATTTTCAAGTATTATTTTGTCACTATCATGAATTAAATATTTTGTTTTAGCCGGTTTGCGGCTGCTCATTATGCGCTGCACATTTGAGATAAAAATTACTGCTGGCTATATGAAAGTTTAATTTGGTTCATCCAGTTAATTGCTATGTGATTGATTATATAATTACTCGGTATTTGTTCCCTGGCTGCTATAGTCACTATAGTTGTGGCTTTAATCCCACATCTGTGGTAACAATCAGCTGACCATACTGAGAGAAAGAAGTCATTACAGCTATGCGTTATAAGTTACATGGCGCATGCTTTGTACTTTATCTCCAGCTTTAAAATTTTACTGATATATGCTCCGCTCCTCTGAGATTACGCAATGCAGAGACACGCTCCACTTTCTCTCTGTAGCCTTGAATTCAGCAAAAGGGAAAGCTTGACAAATACATGCTCAGCCTTTAAAAGAAGATGGATCTAGATCAGCTACATCAATTTTTAACCACTGCTCTCATTAGTAAAACATGAAATATGACCCTCGTAGACACATGAAATTTTCTGCTTATGATCAGTCTGCAGTGAGGGCACTGTAGTCTTGCCTGAATCAGGTTTGCTTGCTTGATGGTAGATTTTTTACCTGTTCCAGCTGAAATAACATCCCCAAATTTAACAAAGTCTTAGTGTGCTTCACTGATGAGTTAATGATAAGCAACAGATTTGTTAAACTGGAATCTAGTGATTAATTTAAGGACTTATCAAGCAAAGAGTGATGTATTACAGTAAGAAGTCTGATTAAAGAGGTGAAGGCATCAAATGTAAATTTAAAAGCTACAGCTTTGTCAAAGTTCAAAGCATAACTAGTGTTTATGTACGGCAGATTATTTTGCTCTAACATAAAGTGAAACATGAAGGTTCAAGGAGGGTTTTTAAAGGGAGGGACTGAAAACTAATATATGCTGAGAATCTGGTTCAAACCTATTAGAAGTTTAGGTTGATGTTTAAAAGAGAGGAGGACTCTTTAAACGCCTGCCATCAAGGGCTGCTTTGAAAAATTAGCTGAGCAGCTGAAGAAACAGCCCTGTTTCTTCAAATTCAACAAACAATGTTCATATAGGATGATATATTTGTCACGTCAGCAAGTTGAGATGTTATTTTATTTTTTTGGCAGAAGACATTACTTATGCACGTAGAAGACAAGATTAACAGACTACTTTGTCCACAGGAGGCGCCATAATTTACCAAAAGTTCAGGAGCGTTAACTCAATGCCATAGCACTAAACTCTTTCTTCTTTCTGCCTGATAGGATCCACAAAAAGGAAAAATTAACGTAACTGAGTACAAGTATAAACATAAATTCAGTCTTTAATCCAAATGTCTAGTCTACAAAAAAAAAAAAAACATCTCACACGCTTCACACAGTAAACCTCTCCACAGAGTTATGCTGCAATCTATAAGTAAGAGAATAACATGAAGTCTACTTTTATGTGTGTATGTTACAGAAGGTTTGTGAAAGCAAACTGGTCTGCAGGGGGCTGTATAAGTTAGATTTAGTGTTAGCAACCACTGATGCACAAATAAAGCGATTATTTCCTTATAAAAAAAAGCTTTGACCTGCTCTTTAAAACACTTTCGAAAACACCACCAGTCAACCTGACTGCTGTGATTCCCTTTTGAACCATGCATACTATTCTTGGATTTATTCAAGTGTTTCATAATATTGAAGTTCAGCTTTAAGCGTAAATAAATGGTGTCACAATTAAAAGGAGTTTCTCAGGAGGTTTTGTGGTTGGAGAGGAGATTTTGGCAACATGAAGTGCAATTCGTTTACTATCATTTTCATCCAGATACAATATCATCAAGTCCTTTCAATTCTGTTTATCTTTTATTACGTGGCTCTTTCATTCCCCCTGGACTTCTGCAGATTTCCCCTGTTACTATTAGTGACTGTTATCAGTGTGTGCCCTCTCTTCAGCAGGGGATGTTGTCACTCTTAGGGAGTTAAAATAGTGATAAAGAGTCCCGATGAGGAACTAAGAGGATTTTAAGATGGATCCACTCTCTGAAGCACATTGGGACTCTGGACAAATATTGATACTGTGTGTGCAAGGAACAGGTGCAGTGGGGCTGTGAAAATACACACCCAGTGTGTGTGTGTGGTACTGTGTGCTAATTGCTCTCACATTACCTAGCTACTGTAGCCATGGCAACACATCTTGATCATTGTAAAGGAGCTGAAGAATAATTTCAGGGAAACTGCTCGTAGTGTTTCACATTCACCTTTTACTGCGACTGTACACGCGAGTGATCTTGCACCCCTGATTGGTGATCACACCACAAATGAGCTCACTCTAAGTTTAGTTTTCACAGAGTAAATGAACTAACTCATATCCATAATTCATCATTTAAAATTCCATGGACCAGAAAATGACTTGGTTGATTTTTTTTTCCATTTTGTTGTACCTATTTCCTCTTATAGCTGAGCTTCTTGTGCGTCAATCCTTCACCCTCAATCACTGACATATCCCAAACTCAGTGAATGACTCTTAGCTTCCAAATGATTATATACAACAAAACAACATGCAATAAAGCTGTACAAGTCAAAACACTTTGGTTTACATAGGATATATTCTGTATTTGTTGTGAAGAATGTATATCTTGTGGAAAGGTACAAAAACTTCAAAACTGCATTTGTTCATAAACCCAAAGCAACTCTTTAAATACAACCTGTTTATAACCCTAAGAAGGTCATTTTTTAGAAGCTTCAGAAAGCGAAAAACAGGAACAGTCATAAAAGGGGAGCAGACTACGCACTTGAGATCTTTTAAGCTCTTGACTTTGTGTTATGTTAACTCATGGCCATACATTCAGGAGTGCATCTAGACTAATAAACAACATTTCTAGATGAAACTCAATTCAATAACCTTGAGGGTGTTACATTCATTATTATCACTCATATTTCTTATTTATCGCCTGCTAAATGCTTAATTCTGATTGGTCAAAATCCTTTGTCTTGCCCGTCAGGATTCCATTTTGCGTTACCAATGGCAAACTGTACTTATATATGATAGTAACAAAACAAAACATAAGTGAAGAGCAACATTTGGTGGCAAAAAGAAAGCAAGGAAGACTAACAGCCTGTAAGAGAAATGGCTGATCCTAATTTAGATTTTTGGGTGGCATTTTAGGGAAGCCAATCCATTTTTAAAGGGTGGTCATGCCACCTCTGGCAACCCCTTTGGACATGCCCCTGCGCACAGCATGTGAGCTATGAACTTCAAGGATGGACTAATGAGCTGAAGAGTCTTGTTTTACCTCCTTAAATATAACATAATACCTTCTGTAAGACTTCTTTAAGGTCCTCTTTCCTCCTTGATAAATTTGTTTTAGTCGCTCAGTGTAATGCCTTGTTTTTCTCTCATTCATTCTTTGTATTTTCCTGTGAAGTCTGAGTCATCATCCTTCAGACTAATCCTGTGTGTCTGTATGTGTGTATGTGTGCGTTAGTGATACTAATGGTCTGACCATTAAATCGAACCCCTGCTGTACTATGATGCACCGCTCAAATGATTCAGTCATAAACAGTAAGTGGCTGATAAACTGGTGAAATGGAGCGCTCAGTTAACTGTTGTTATCAGTCAGCTGGAGGCAGGAGCTCCATCAGGTGGGGGAGGATCACAGGAGCTCAGTGGAGTGAGCTGCTGATCTGCCTGTTCAGAAACACTCATTGGAAAAATCAAGTTCTTTAAGAAAAATGTTCAAAAGCAGTGACTCAAACAAAGAGGCGACCCAAGATTTTAAACCCATCTTATTTGAAAACTGGCTCTAAAATACTGCTTAAGTAGAATCAACAACTCTCAAAGGGTTCTACATGAGGTCAGCTACTATACTCTTTATACTTTTTCAAGTATTGTGCAACAATATTTTGGGAGACCTCTTTAGGTGACATATTAACATTCTTATCTGATTCAATATTCCCACATGTAAGTACGGTTTAGCATTAAAGCTTAAAATCATAGGGTACCTGATGCACTTTTGTTTTTACGGATCTTATCCAGTATGCCCACAACTGATGCTGGGTCTGTGTTCCCAAAGATGCAGAGTGTGGTTGAGGTCAGAAATCCGTGCAGGGCACTCTTGACATGACCAAAACATTATCTTTTGTTTTAATGCAGAAGGAGAAGAAAGTATATCTCTAAGACCAGAAGCATGTCTTTGTGTATCATTTAGTCATATAATGAAGCATGAAGATTAAAAAAGTCATAGAACACAAGTTCACAAAAACCAAAGTGGGAGAATTTGACTTTATATGCGCATCGAGAAAGTTTGTCCTTAAAATAAGGCTAGAAAGCTTCAAACTCAGTGCAGCTTCTATCAAGTAGCGGACCAGCAAAGCCAAGCTCCAGTGCTGCTTTTGCACACTGAGCATTGCAGCTTTCTCCTGAGCTACTCACTGGAGCACCCTCATACCTCCAGATATTGATCTTTCTTGATGGATCACACACTGCTCAGCCATGACCAGCCTACAAACAAGCCTGTTTTTCTGCACTTCTTGTGAAATCTGCAGCCCATTTATAGAAAAAATAAAGGGGATACAGTTTTTAACATTTCTAAATCAACACAGAGGAAGTGTTTTATTATGAAAGGCAGGTCAGAATCTGCTGAGCTGGATTTATTGTAATCATTTGCTCAGCGGTTCTGACAGTCTATCTGTGTTTCTCATTATTTGTCAGTCGCTTTAATTACCAACCAACATGTTTCCCCAGACACTTAATTTTATGTTTATTTTGGTAAAATGTAATTTAATGTGCTTCCAGTGAGGGGAATTTCCCATTTTGTTGTGACAAACTTTACTTTTTTGCTATTCATGTAATTTTTGAGGAACTGATTATTTGTGTCAACCAAAAGAAATCCTGTTTTTATAAATGTTTATTCTAAAAAAGAGGGCGTGCTATGGGAAGGAACTAAGGAGCATTTTTTTTAATTTGAAATATACTTTTGCATGTTTTGATACTGTAATAAGGGTCCAGTGAGGAACTTTAGGTTGTGTTAGTTTTGTTACCTCTTTCGGACTAGTCTTAGCCTGTCCTCTTCTTCTGTGTGCTCAAGTGGTGCCATGGAGAAAATTTTTCCTGTTCGTTACTTGAGTGTTTTTTTTCTTCCAATTCTTGTCTTTTTTTTCTCTGCTGCTCAGTAGTTCGTCATTAACTACCAATGTCAGGAGCAATTTTTGGCACTTTATTAACAGGAGGTAGGGAATATGTATGTAATCTGACTGTCCCTTGCTTTTGTTATTTAGAAACATACTCTTGTTTCGGGGTTTTGACCAATCAAATCAAGTACGTAACACAGCCAGGTATATTATATAAAAGCTGGGTAATAAACATAACTTCTTGAGAAATAGTTTTCTTTTTTTTCTGTCTTTTATCTCGGACATGTAATCTTTTTCACGTACCTTGACATGTTTCGGAGGAGACTTCCGCCTTCCTCAGAGGTGTCACTTGGCGGTAGGTCTGACACGTCATATCGGTAACCACGTTTAGCTCACATGTGCAAAATTTCTTGAACCGATTAAAAAATTGAGGGATCGGATAATATGAATCCACTGTTTACACGGGTGCAAAATCAAATAATCCGATGACGATGTGCGTGTGGCCTACATTCACAAAGTTTTATTCAGATTAGAAGCATTTGGACATGCGCAGAGCTGTCTAATTTCGCTAAAACAACCGCAGAAGAAGAGTTGTATTTATGCCTGTGCTGTCATCCAACCAACTCCATCCAATTCAGCAGTTTCCCCCCTGTTAAGTGTTGTCACTAGATGGCGCCCTTGCGTAATTATTTTACTATTCAGCCAAAGGTTGCACTGTGCGTGCAGATGTGACATCATTACGCTATGTACGCCTTGTTATGTTGCCGGAAGAGCAGACACGGCACCTGCGGTTGTGTTTTATGCCGGAGTGTTTTTTAATAATGAAACCTCCTGTACCGGCCTCAATAAATAAACCAACGGCTAAAGAGTGAAGATCGAGTCAGGTAAGAGAGTCACGATCGGAATAAGTGTTTACATGGACGCGTTTCGAAATAACAATCGGCATAAACCGCCCCTCTCGATCGGAATGCAAATGATTGAGCCGAATTGGGCCACAATCTTCCGATCGACATATTTACATGATGCATTTTTATTCGAATCGGGCATTTATTCCGATTATTTGTGCTCATGTAAATGCAGCTAATGACACTTTTGAGGAAGATGGAAGTTTCCGGCTAAAATATGTCAAGGTATGTGAAAAGGATTACATGTCTGAGATAAAAGGGGAAAGCAGAAAACTATTCCTAAAACACTGCAGACATGATAAACATCTTTCAATTATAACTTCATGAGTCTGCTTTTACCAAACATTAAATCTGTTGAAAAACATAAACTTCTCATCTCCTGTCGAGATTTCAGTGCTTATACAAACATGAAACCACTTCATCTCAACATCTCTGTTAATCATCAGAAGTTGTCAGGTTGTCTGGTATAGAGGCAAACTGCATCCTGAAATAGCTTTTCACACTTTGCTCACTCAATCCTACACAATCTGTATTTAGATGTAGATGAAGTCAACAGAAGACTTTTTGATACCATTAAGAAAGTACAGTACAGACCTAACTTTAGGTGCTTTTTTTTACCATACTAAATCAGCCATTTGTGTACATCTAACGTCCTCCTCCATAATTTATCCGTCCCACTGCAGAGGCTGAGATGTAATAATGTCACATGTTTAGTTTATAGCTACTAATAAATCAAGTGATTCTAAGTAATCCATTCAAATAGATAAACGTGCAGCTCAGATACTGCTCACTTTTCTTTTCTCTGGTTTCCTGGATGGTGGTTCATGGTCTCTTTTGTTTAATTAATAGAATACAGTGAGCAGAGATACATATCAGTGTGTTTACATGCATAAATTTGCCACACCACATCACTTAATATATGTAGTCCCCTCGAGCCCCTCCACCGGGTTAAATTGATGACGCCAATTGTTTAAGTAGTGCTGCAGTTTCTCTTCATTCAGCTGTATTCCTTTATCCTCAGGGTGGCCACCCTAAATTAGTAAATGGATCACAGCACCAAGTGAAGCAATTTATTTGGCCCGTGAAGATGTCTTTATTCTGTTTGTCGGTCCAGGTGGGAATATAGATAAAGAGACTAACGTGGGTTATTATCAGCTGCTTAGAAGACAGTGATTCACATGGTCTGTCAGAGCCAAAGACAAATGAGCTTTTTGGTACCAGGAAAAACCGGCAACATCCTAAAGAAGGATAGGTCTGATAGACTGATTGAACTGTTGAAGTTACTATGCCTGAACGGGTGGGAACAGCTGGTGAAGTCAAGTACCAACTTAACTACAGGACACTATATGCCATACCATATATATTGTACTATATCGCATCCTTTCCCAACATATTTTGTTTTATCATACTGTACTGTGTTGTATTTAATCATTTCATTTTATATCATATTGTGTTGTATTGTATTGTATCATATCATCTTGTGCGTGTCACATATTGCAAGCAACCCCACAATATTAATAAGAGGCTCAATGATGCACAGGTGGCCCAGACTAGACATGGCTTTGACCTGTTCAGTCTGTAATGTATTAGATTTCTTATTGGCATAAATAAAAGCTTTTGTAAAATATAATTAACTAAAGGGAAGCCAAGCGAAAATTGTATCTAATCAGACAAGTATGCAATGAGTTACATTCAAGTCAACCATTTCCGGAGGCAAACGTTTTTTTTTTTTCTTCCACTTAGTCTTATTGGCCATTATATTTAAACAAAAAAATAATAATTTAAAAGGCCCATTAATATTTTAGAGGTCAGGATGACATACATTTTATGGTCGACATCTTTCTTGATAAAAGACGTGAGTGTAAAATTATATTTGACAATTATTCATCGACTTCTACTGGAATAAACTGACCCAGAAAATTTTAGCACTTCTCATAAATTGGCCATGGACTGAGAAAAAAAAAAAAACCCAGATCATCACAAACTAGGAAAAATCATGATACATTCATTGTTTCCAGGGAAAGTGTTCCACTTTTTCCCCTTTTCAGATCAAATTGTTCTGCTCTGCTTTAAGTCCTGTTGTTTCAGTCCTTTGTGCCATGTTGGAGCGCGATCTGTGCAGCCGGTTTGGAGACTGTTTGGATGAAGAGAAATCAGATGTGACAGACGAAAAAGGTCACGAGCTATACTCCAGACAAGCAAATGTTGCTGTTCTCTCCAAAAAAGCTTGATAAACTCAATCCCTGGTGCTGTTTGAGTGGAGATAAGAGAGGCAAACTGTGCACAGTGGCCTGCTGGGGACTACTGCGACTCATGACCAAAGAGAAAGTTTGATCACGAGTAAAAACCTGAGAGACTAACACTAATGAGGTGTGACTCGGTCATGGAGAATGAGGCTCTGTTCTTCTTTCTCTCTAGTTTTCTCTTTTTTCCAGACAAACTCATGATGGATAAATTTATATGCACTAAGGGACACAACTCTTCAGTCCACTCCATCTCCATCCTGGATTTTTGTTCTCTTTATATTGTATTAAAGGTTTATTTAGCTACATTTCTGCTCCCGATTCCTGAGGATATTTCTGTTCAAAAATGAGAAGCAGTAGGGTGAAGTCGTCTTTAAGCCTCTAAAGGCTTCAGAGGCAAAGCAAAAGGCAACACAGTGTCACACAGTAAGCTCCAGTAAGCTTTTCTTTGTCCTCTTTCACCTTCAGCATCTGTACTGGAATGTTTTCCCTCAAATATGATCCATTATTGATGGGGGAATTCAGCATGAAGGAGGCTGTCAGGGTGCTTTTTTCATCGTTGCATGAACAGGGGAACCTTGTCCAGGAGACAAAATATAAGAGTGTGTGAGAGTATGTGGTACATTGATTTTTTTTTAGTCTGTGTGTGAATAAGAGAAAGACAGGGGAAAACTGGGTGAAAAAAGAGGCATTGCAACAGTTTATCTGGAGTTAAATGTAATAAAAATGAAAAAAGGAGAAGCGGAAGCTGAGTCAGAGGGCAGTTTACAGCTGAGTCGAGTAAAAAAGATGATCACTGAGAGTTAGGACTATTTTCTTTCTCTCTACGGTGCTTTACAACCCTCTTCTTGTTCCCCTTGACAACAAAAGTGAATCCCAGGTTGATATTTTGTGCTGTAAAAAATGACAGAGAGTTGCAAAACAGGTGCAGAGACAGACAGACAAAAAAAAAAGTTGTCAAATGTTGTACTTGTTTACTCGTTGCTTGTTTTAATTCATTGTCTCTCTGTTTCAGTTTTTCACAGACCCGTGTGCTAGCAGCCCCTGTCTCCATGGAAACTGTAGCCAGATTGACAGTGAGGAGGAGGGGGAACCGGCCTATACATGTGAGTGCACTGAGGGCTACGAGGGGGAAAGGTGCGATCAGATCTTATTGGACTTGCCAGCTGCTGACTGGGACCCTGCCACCCCCTCTGCTCCTGAACTCGCCACCCCCGCCGCCTCCACAACTACAGTCGCCACTCAACCGCCACAACCAACCACCGTCGCCTCCACCACAACACCTGCACCTCCCACCTTGCAGCCATGGCAACCCAAAGCTGGGCAGAGGATGCTTGTGGTGCAATGGGAGGCAGACAGGGTGAGATAACATGCACTCCAAATTTAAACTCCTTCGAGGCTTTATCTTTAAGATGTGTAAAGAAAAACATTTGTGTGTGTCTGTGTATTTGTGTATGTGTGTTTCAGGTGATAGAGGGTCTACACTGTGTGAGCCCTGAGCTGTGTGAGCTGACATCAGGCACTCTGACTTTATCTCTGGAGGTGCCTGAGGAGACGGCTGTAAAGTAAGAGCAACATTAAGTATTTCACATGACTAACTGCACTGAGAGCAGGGCCGCATGGACCAGATACTTTGCCTCATGTCCATTCTATTGTCATTGATAAAAAGTAGTTATAGTTTGCATTGATGATTGTTGTTTAAGATTTTGGAATAAGTTTACCATGTGTAAGTGAATTTGTATAAATATCATTGATTTCACTTAGGTAGGGGGCCGGTTTAAATTAGTGGTTAAATTCTGCTCTCCGTGTGCTGATGCTGTCCTCAAAGTAGTCTGTTCTGGCTTGATTTCAACCTGCATGTCGTTCCCTACTTTCTGTCCTGGTGTCATATTATATTTACTTCCCCATCCTCTCAGTAAATGTATGAACCCAAAAAAATAAACCTCTAAAAGGAAAAAAAATACTGAGGAGGAAAAGTCATGTAAGTTTAATGTATTTATTATTGGTGCCTGGCCTCAGAAAATGTGCAATTAAACAAATGAACATTAATCAGTTTTAACACAGTTGCTTTTAATTGTCCATTTTGTCATTTTGGTGGTAGAATCTTGTATCAACTAAATATTCCATCAGTCCATCACCTTATGTGACTCAAGTCTATAAACCTATAATATTTCAGATTGGTATGAGTTAAAGGAAGCATTTTCAAGTAAACAGTTTGTTGGTAAATATACTGGGTCACTTGAATTTGACTGATTTAAAATTTCTATGAAAAGTCTTGTACTATTTGCTCACAATATTATGGTGTGTATATATTTGATGTTTCAAATTAGCAAAATGATCAATTTATGATACATAATTTACTTAAATATAGACTAAAGTAAGGGGAGGAGGGGTCCAATCAGGTATGTTACAAGTGTATTTGTTGATGAACTCTGAATGTGATGCAGTGATTTTAATGGATATTCTGGTGTAAATTAATTTAGGGTCAACATATCCCAAAACCGAGTTAGACACCCCCCCGGGTCCCAGCCATAGTACTAGCAACCAAACATCTTTTTAGCTTTGCTTAATTTCTTTAGCAAAGAGACTAAACACAACTCACCTACTCTCTTCCAGCAGCCGCTTGTTTGTAGCGAGACCTCAGGCCAATCCATTACAGACTGCTGCGGGGTGACGCAGCTCAAGGAAGAACATTTAAGATCATTTCTTCATGGAAAAGCGATCCGACCGAGACGCTAAGGCAGAAGAACTACCGCGTCTGCAGTGCAAAATTATTCATATGGTGATTATTACTTCAAGTAAATGATAAAGAAATGATGACTCGGTGTTACGGTGTGTTTGACCCTAAATTAATTTTATGCCAGAATATCCCTTTAAAGCTTGATGTTACATGAGGACATGAACTCTCAGATCTTCACCCAAAAAGCTGCATTCATTATTGTAATCCACTCTCCTTTTTGGATCCCAATTATACAGACAACACAACAAAGCAACACAGCATGCTGTACAGTGGTATAATGTCCACATTAAAAAAAACCTAAAACTAAACCACAGCATTTTATCTGCTTAGTAAACGTAAAGCATCTTTGGCTGATTTCACAAAACAGCTTGCATCTTTTGTAACTTATAGCTTTCTATTTGAGTGTCTCGGTGACCCATCTTTGGGACTCAAAACAATCATTTACCTGTGCTGCACCGCTCCAGGTGTGCTCCAACTTTTATGAGCATGTTGCTCATAAACAGAATTACAAAGAGAGTCTAAAAAAAGGTCTATGAATTATGCAGAGGTGATGGTCAAGGTGATCATCTCATGCCCTTGATGTTGCCCCTCATTATTGATGGCAGGCACGACTCGGGGCCCACAATTGCAGACTGGGAGCTGCGACTTAATCAACTGCTGCTGCTTTGTTTTCATACTGTATAATTATACCTGAACACACTCCCAGTGAAGGACTCTTATATACAAACACGTGCAGCACTGTGAAATGAAGCAGTGAACCAACAGTGACATCGATTTAGAGGGGCTGATGATCCTGTAATGATAGTCATGTCTCAGAGAGGGAGAGAGCAAGGGGGAGAGAGGGGAGGAAGAGAGGGCAAGATGTAGAGAGAAGGAGGGAGAGGAAGAGGACAGATACAGAGAAGGAGATAACACTGCAGGTACAATACAAGCACAAGCATGCCTTCAAACAATACCAACAGTGTCTCTACATATTACTCAACAGAATACTCCTGTATGATACTTATATAGTAACCTACTGGATTTGGCTTCCTGTGGACAACAGTGGCTGCCGTCAGTAACATATTTGCTGCCAAATAGCTACCCTGTTTTCAAAATAGTTAGATCAATGTGCCAAATGGTTCCCAATCACAAATACTTAAAATTCTGCTTATTTCAAAATAGTATTGTTTTGTTTTACAATAAATATCTGCCCATTTTGAATTCGATCATATTTCAATTCAGTCGGGGCGGGTTCATGTTTAACATGGTGTTTGGCCGCACGTCCAGAGAGTCATCAGCAGTTTAGGCTCATGTTTATACATGGTGTCCTCTTTGCATGGTGAAGTTATAACCTGCTTTCTGTGCAGAACTGTCCCTCTGTTATCAGCCTTATGCCTTTTGTTCAGAGACTTCTCCAGATTTCCACAGATTCTAAATACTTTACCCTAGATGATGAAATCTCACCGTTCTTTACGAACTTAGCTAAAGGAACATTATAATCCTAGAACTGTTGAACTACTTGCTCATCCAGTGGTGAACATCTCCTTACCTTTTCTTCAGGGAGACTCAGCCTCTCAGGAGTGCCTTTTTCATGTCCAGTCTCTAACCTGTTGCAAACATAGTTAACAGATGTTCTTACCAGATGTTTATTGAGCATAACACTTTCCTTGTGTTCTGTTGTCTCTGTCCTGTCTGTACTGTTTGGATTGGATTTGAAATGAAATGAACTGCTACTCTCACTTTAGTTGTTCAGTTAAATAAAAATATTATATGAATCCCTCTGCCTGTAAAACAGATACAAAACATAGAAAATCAACACAGTTTAATCAAATGCATAGTGTTTTTCCAAAGCTTGAACCAGGAGCAGCTTTTCACTAGCATAGCAGAGGTAATCAACAAAAGAAAACCCTCATTTGGTTCCTAGTAGCCCTATTTTTACAACTTTCAGCACTTACCTCTGTCACGGCTTACAGCTTCAGGCTCAGTTGACCTCCTGCGTCAACAATTGAAGAGAGCCATGGCCCAAAATACCTGCTTTAATATCTGTAGTTGTGCTCTGCAGGCATTTTCTAAAGTTAGCTTATGCAAGAGGTGTTTACAAGTTTTCTTATGGCTCCAGATCATATCTTTTAAAAATCCAAGCGGATACAAACAGTTCTTTTATAATAAAACTGATGCAGAGGAGCTAATATTTTTTGTAACCTTTATTCATTAAGAAGTAGTACTAATATGTGGAGAAAACAGGGCTGAGAGAATAATTATTGCTGCTTGTTTTTGTTGATATTAGAGTGACTATATCAGGTGAGGGGCTGAGGCCACAATGATGCTGAGACACATTTAACCAGTGAGGAGCCTTATTAGAGGTGTTCAGTGTCTTCTTGGCCTGATCGACAAATTTCACTCCATCATCCTGTTTCTCCTTCTTGAGAACTCAGCGTGGTTCCTCAGCTCGGCTCTGGTGTTTGCTGTCTCCTCAGCAGGAAAGAAACTGTGGGGGCTTGATGTCCTGGCAGGAAGTATGGTCAAACATAGTTGTTCTCAACCTGCGCAGCGAGAGACCGACTGCTCTGCTCAGATGTATACAGATGCAGTTACGATAGGACACCCTAGCGGCTCATCTGTCATCCTGAAGTGAACACCCCCGGAGGGCAGATGTAGCTCAGAGACAGTTGTCTCTCAACTGGTGGGTTGGGGTTCTAATCCCAGACAAGCCCCTTATCACAAAATGTCCCCTGGTGGCTGTGTATGAAGGGGAATAGTAGATACATGTGGGGTGAATGAGTGAATACGAGATGCAAGGTTAAAGCAATCTGATCAGTCAGTAAATTAGAGAAACAACTAAACAATCTGATAAAAATAATAGTTAAAATTTTTCCTCCTAGATCCCGAGACCATCCCTTACAACACTGGTTGTGTTTCACAACTTTGATCACAAAGGTCAGAGTGTTTCAGCAGAAGTTTGACCCCTGGCGGCTGTACTCAGCAGACCAGATGATGAAGTAACAAACTAGAAGACTTGTCTGAAATCTTAAACCACACTCAGGACGCTGCTGGCCACCATGAGTTGAGACAATAGTGCGCTAAGCCTCTTATGTTGGATGGAATACAGCAGTTATCTGATCCTTCCTCTGGATTATGTAGATTTCTTTTCTGTTGTGTCTGTGGATGTACTGAACAATTAGGGTGGGGAGATAAATTGTACATTTTTTATTTTTCCTCTTGAGAAGTCCATAATTTGAAGTGAGACAAATGCAAATCTGAAAGGCCAGAAAATGCAGCAGAAAGCTGTCACCAATTAAAATCTGTTTTTTTTCTTCCTTTGCGACATGCGAGTACTCGTGCTCTGGGGGCGCGCTGAATCCAAAGCCCACAGTAATCAGATTCTTTGTCTAATTCTCCTCCTTCTTTATCTCCTCACCCTTCATCCCTCCTGTCAACCTTTTGTCTCTCTAATTAGGGTGGTGGTGAATGCCAGTGGAGCTCCAGTGCTGTGGCGTGTGAATGAGGAGGGTTATCTGCGCTCCTCCATACTGAATGGCACGACGATGTGGTTCCTGCAGGCTGACGATGGACTGGTGGTGACAGACCGCTTGCTGCCTCTGGGACAGAACTACTTCTTGAGTAAGCTGACAAATCAAGTCCCTACTGAGTCACTTTGAATTGATTGTTAAGACCGTAGACTGTGTATAGAATGGACGCCGTCTGCCTCCTCGCTGGGTGAAGCCACCCCGAAAACACCACCCTCTGGTGACAGGCTGCAGTATAGGTCATACATAGAAGTAAAGGTCATAGAAATTTATTATGCAGAATATAATTTTTTCTCCCCCCTGGTTGCGATGTTGACATGTAGTTATTGCAGTGGTTCTCAAGTCCAGTCCTTGAGCCCCCCTCCTGTCCTGCATGTTTTGGATGTTTCCCTGCTCCAACACACCTGATTCAAATGATCAGCTCGTTATCAAGCCATTCCAGAGCTTGATAACGAGCTGATCATTTGAATCAGGTGTGTTCACCTGATTCAAGCTGTTGGGTGAAGTCCTTCACATACATGGAAGTTAGTCACAGAAGCAAAAAGTGTAACTATAAAACGCTAGAGCCAACAAGACACACCTGAGTGTGTACAGCTTCTACTGTTGTACTCGTCAAGCCTCTTGCTCTTCCACAACACTGTAATGCGATGTAAATCCACACACCAGGACTTCAATGTCATGCGTCCTGTTGGTTGAATGTAAAAGAATAAAGGGGCAGTGACAGTGGAGCTTCACTTTGGTACAGGGATGGAATCTGAATGAACTACTTTTACACCTTTCCTTCAAAGGCTGAAGTCACAGGGCTTTCACAATAAGGTGAAGTTTTCACACTATCACGCCAGAATAGGAAGTATAGTGACAGCGGTGTAACAAAGATAAAAAGGTGTTTCTGAAAAACATCAGAGCTGGCAGGATGAACAGTGTTGTGTGTGTGTTTGTCATTTCAGGGCTTGACACTAACTTTTTTCACAAGGAGCACATATACTTCGGAGTTGAAAAAGTAAGGAGCACACAAAGAACTTTCGGAGCACAGTGAAAATTGATCAAATAATGTGTGTCTTCTTGTCCACCCTTAGTACTATTATTCAAAATCAATTTTAGGCCAATTGGTCACATGACATGGAAGCTATTGAAGGAAAACAGCCTTTTTCTCAGAACATCAACCGGTAATTTATTGATGGTCCCTTATTCAACACCCAACGATGACAGGGAGGATGCCAAGTAGATTTAACCCTGCTGCTGTTGCTATTCCCGGCTATGGAGAGTGAGAAGACACCAGTAGATCCGCAGTGAATGTCTGTCGAATATCCAACCTAAAACTAACTTCACCGCGGTATTTACATGAAAAAACATTTGTTACCTCGGCTAATTTTTTTATGCGCTCATGTACCCCTGAATACATTTCACACACATCTATGTCTACATGTTTTCATGTCTAAAACTTGCATAAGGCGCTGACTAGAGAACAAATACTAGAAAATAGATCATTAACAAGGATGTTTACTAGATTTCAATGTTGTTTCATTTAGTCATTCAAATCTCCATCTTAATAAGATGTCAGGTGAGAAAATGTATTGCTTTTTGATGATTTTCATTTCTCTGTACTCTAAGTTATTTGAATTGTGTTAATGTTCATCAAACAAGCCTAAATAAGTTTAATAAGTGAAGACCCTCCTAAAACCTTTTATAGAACTGATCCAACACAACCAGAGGATTACTGAGTTTACATATATCTTATTTTACAGAGTTAATCCTGGTGTGTCTTTAGGGAGAATCACATAATATTTGCATATATGCGTCAGAAATTAGCATTTGCATATTAGCAAAAAAAAGATATTTATGATGATCTCCCATCTGCTGAACCTCACACACGTTTAGTGAAAGATACACAGTCATGCTCAGAATGCGGTCTGGGCTGAGGTGGTCTCTGAAGGGAGGAGGGGGAGAGAAGGGGTAATTGTGGTCTCACCCTTTGACTGACAGGTTGTCTGACCTCTGTGTGTGCTCAACATGCCTGATGCTGTTTCATCCTGCCGCCTCTCTGTTCACCTTGATGTGTCTGCTAACTGTGGCAGCGCAGCCTTCGCTTCGCCTGAGAGAGAAAGGGAGACAGGACGGGAGGTGACATTGGAGAGTTAGAAATAAGGGTAAGAAGAATAATGGAGGGAGGGAGACTCAGATAAGTAGGGAGTAAAACTGTGAAGAAGAAATGAAACGTAGAAAAGGAGAAGTGAAGCAGGACGAGGGAATAGTGAAGGTGAAACAGCGAGAGGAGGAAAGGAGTTAGCGAAGAAGGAATGAAAGGGAGCAGTGACTCTGCAGGTTCAACACATGATGTCACTGGACGGATGATCACCTGGTCAGGGGTAACGGAGAAGCAGGAGTTGTTTTATTAAGCCCTCTGGTTGGCTGAGGGGAGCGCGTCGTCACTGTTGCGTCATAAGTGGACTGGCAGCTCATTGGCTCGTATCAGCCTCTAAAAAATGGCAACTGATCTTCACTATGAAGCTATTTTTATCCAAGGGCTCGTGGAGCTGTCGGTTTTGATTGAAGACATGATGAGAGGTGTTGTGAACTTAAAGATCCTCAGAGACAAGACTGGGAGACTGGTACTATTTTTAGACACGAGGAAGAGCTGCTCCTGCCAGGGCTTTTCTTAACATTTTTAGATAAGGCTTAATTGTTTTTTGATTGTATTAAAACTTCCAGATAACCACATACACTCATAGCAAGCCATTACTTGACAGCACTAGCTTAATGGGAACTAAGTGCTCCCACTGAAAATACATATATAAGGATGTTAGTATATTAACATGCTTGCTTTTGACTCTCAGCTCTGATTAGGAGGATTGGTCGAAGTCTTGTTAAGTGACATATGACGATAAATATACTAGCTTCTCCTCATCTGATTAATTTGCACATCTTCAAGTCGCCTCTCCTCATCTGACTCCTCATCTTCCCATCCTTTAATTGTGCCTGGAGGAAACAAGGATCAAAGAAAGAGGGGCTTAGCGCCTACGTGAAACTGCAGCCTGCCTTATCTAATTATTTCTTTATGTATTTTCATGAATCTCTCATGATGCTGAGGAATGTGTAACAGTTTTAACACTGTGACCGAGGTATTAAATACACATCATAACTATATACAGGATATTTCAATCAGAAAATGTGGCGACATCATGTAAATCAGTTGTTTGTTTTTTTATTTTTGCAAATGAAATAAGAAGCCACTGGAATCATACCAAGTAATTCTGGTGTTCATATATAAGAAATTTTTAAATGGATGTTAAATGGTTTGAAATATTAATCAAAGTACTGCTACAAATGATCAGCCATGTTTTTCATGTACGTGTGGAATATATGGAAAATTTCCAGTGAGAGATTCCCCAGACATTTGTATTAGGGATGGGAATTGATAAGATTTTATCGATATCGATGCCATTATCGATTCTGCTCATCAATCGATTCAATTCCTTCATGATTCCCTTATCAATGCCTCTCTTTGATTAAAGAAAAAGCAGACCATAGGTTTTCACCATTTACTCAAAATAACAGAAAAGATGTATGCCACCTTCAGTGAGAGTCTAAAAACATAAACAACAAACGATTTGTACAGCATTTACTTGGTCGGTATTAAGTTAAGATGACCTCATCTTCTGTGACAGGTGTGCTGCACGTTGGCGCCCCCACAGCCCCGGAGGTCACCCTGCGTCTCAACCTGACAGTGAAGGCCAGCAGCTGCGTGGAGCCTGGCAGCAGCTTCAGTGACCCACAGTGCTCCGGGAAAGGGAAATGTATCACGCAGCCATCTGAGGTGAGACAAAACATATATCTCTGCACTTGGGCATTTTAGAGTTGGTGAAGTTGGAGGAGAAAGATGGAATGGCAGTGAATGGAACAAAAACAGTTCAGAGCATCATAATATAATGTCAGAATTTACTGCAATGTAAAAATAACAAGCGCTTTTACATCTAAATAATTCAGACGTACACTAGAAGTAAGCATATGTGGCCCCCTATTTACCCCTGAGATCCATAAATCTGTAGGAACCATTAGATGGTTCTCTTTCTTAAACCAGTTTTCTCTCCACGGTTCAGAAAATGAAACCATGTCACCGCTGCTGCTCAGTATTGCATTGTTATTCTTCAGAATTGTTTCACAGTCTGCAATCTCATTATTTCTGTTTCACAAGTTCCCCCCCCCCTTCTCATCCATGTCTCCCATTGCTTCACCTTCAGGGTTCACTGACTTAATGTGTGAAATTCGTGTGTAACGGGTGTGTATTTTTACGTGCGTGCGTGTTTTTGCAGAGCACTTTCTTTTGTGAGTGCGAGGACGGCTACACTGGAATCTTTTGTGAGGAGTTCGATGCGTGCCACCACAGACCTTGTCACAACAATGGCACCTGCGCTGATGTCCGACAGGGGGGAGAGGGACGCAACTTCACGTGTACCTGCCCTTCAGGTGCGTCCTTGAGTGTGTGTGTGATGCTCTGTAAACAGAATTAGACTCGGCCTGAAAGTGTGGTCTCGGTTAATTTGATTTCAGTCTTGTAGATGTAGAATCTAGGATTCTCTGTCTTTGTTTCGAAAAAAAATAAAAGAGCTCTGAACAAGAACAAAAGGACCAGGAGGGAATTGAACCTCTGATCCTGTCAGATTTATTTAAGGACAGCGATGTGAAGCGAGAGCCTGTGGTGGAAAGGTAAATGTCGGAGGTGACCATTGATTGTCTGTCACTAACTTTTAAGGACTTCAGCTAACAAGCCCTGTGTGTGTGCAGCTGATACAAAACAGCACTGACAAAAAAGTCTATCCAGGCTGCCCAAGTCAGTGCATTTTGGAAGTAACGGATTCTGTCTTATTGGCTTCTACACTTCATGATGCAACTCTTCTCTCAGAATAGGCAAAAGAAAACTTCATACAAACACGTTATAACACAGCTTTTTATCATTTAAAACTTTAATACATGATCGAAGACATTAAAAATCAAGTAAACTAAGCAGAGCAGGGCAAACAATACTGTAACTGTTTTCACCAGCAGGTTGGCTAATGATATTTGACTTTGTTTTGCTGCCCTTCTTTAGCATATCAGTTTCACTTGCATTTGACCAAATGAGAAATCCTTGCTGACTGTTTTTTTTTTTTGCTGATTTCTCATCCGCCCTCAATATTATTCAAGCAGATTGTCCATGAAGCCGGGCAGTATGGAAGTCAATCATGTCTCCATTACATGGATTCATGACTTTCTTACTGACTGACAACAGTTTGTTAGTATTCATGGAAGAAAGCTTTAAAGGGAAATTCTGGTGTAAAATTAATTTAGGGTCAAACACATTGTAACACCGAGTTAGACACCCCCTCAATAGATGAAGTTTGCGACTGCTTGCCTCTCTAGTTATACCAACTTTAGTAATGACCGCAGGATAGATCATTTCTTCATGGAAAAGCAATCAGACTGGGATGCTAAGACAGAAGAACTACCGCGTCTGCAGTGAAAAATGATAAATATGGTGATTATTACTTCAAGGAAATGATAAAGTAATGATCATAAATGTTCTTCCTTGAGCTGTGTCACCCCACTGTTGTCTGTAATGGACTGGCTACAAACAAGCGGCTGCTGGAAGAGAGTAGGTCAGTTGCGTTTAATGTCTTTGCTAAAGAAATTAGGTAAAGCTAAAAAGATGTTTGGTGGCTAGTGCTGTGGCTAGGACCCTATATGTACTGTTGATGTAGTTAGGTGCTGTTCTGATCATTATTTGTGGCTATAGAGTGGCGTTTTGGTTGAGCTTTGTTGATGACTCCTCAGACTTGGGAAAGTTGGGATAACTAGAGAAAGAAGCAGTCGGCAACATTCATCTCTCGAGGGGGTGTCTAACTTGGTTTTGTGATGTGTCTGACCCTAAATTAATTTTTCGCCGGAATATCCCTTTAAATTACCAGCTCTCACACTGGGGGACAATGCAGGGTTCTCTTTCCTGTGTTGTTTACAGTGTAAACCAGTGACTGTGTCATTCATCAAGATAGCTGCACTATGATTCCATTTACAGATGACGGTGCTCAGATTGACCTTTGAAATGTCAGTGAGATAAGTTACAGAACTGAGATAAACCACTTCTACAACTGGTGTCTGGACCATTTATTGATTTTAAACACAAAGGACACTGAAGAAATGTTTTTTGTATTGAAAGAGAAACTTGTCCCCGTCTCCTATAATCAACAATTCAGCAATTGAAATTGTGCTGTATAAGTATTTTGGGCATTATTGATAACAAGTCGACAAGGAATCCTAACAGGAGGCCCAACAGTGCCCTTACTTTTTAAGGAAACTTTAATTATCATGTTAAAGTCATTTTTTGATAAGAGCTTCATTTTGTTTTTAATGTAGGGAGAAGCGTAACCTGTACAAAACAGAATTAAGTTGTCAAACTAGGTAGCAAGATAACTGGGAAACAAATGTGCAGCATCTATTTCCTCACAGACCAGTAAACATTGAATTTGGCCGAAAAACTCACATAATAGCGCTCTAGTGGGGAACTTTTTTCTGATGATTTTATTTCAGGTTTGTTATGTGTTGTCATCTATGGCCTTTAATATCTTTGCTTCTAATGTGTTTTTATCGCTCCTGGTGCAAAACAAACCCCCTCAGGGAGATAAAGGTTTCATCCATTCATTCATTCATTCATTTATGCGTTGCACACCACATGTTTTTCAGGTTATGAAGGAGAGCGCTGCCAGCTGCTGGTGGACCACTGCGTCTCTCAGCCCTGCAAGAACGGAGCCACCTGTTTCAGCAGCCTGGCCGGGCCCCGGTGCTACTGTCCTGAAGGTAAGAAATCTGTGTTTGTTTGTGTGAGTCAGAGAGAAAATGAAATAGTACAGTGTTATATGTTTTTTTTTTCCAGTTACATGAACCACAGCAAGGTCATTTCAAGTGGGTTAACACAAACACCTGTGTTATAAAATTATTTCACAGTTTGTAAAGGAAAAAATATTGACTGAAAAGTGTGAATCTGGCGTTGGATTCCTCTGTCTGATTCCAGTTTTTGTACACTCTGTCCGCTCTAACTTTAACAGTATCTGTGCCACAGAGATGCCTAATTTAAACCTTCCTCCTCTAGTCTAATTAGTCTTCATAGCCTCCATGACCTGCATCAGACTCTCAAAGGAGATCCATGACCGCAAAAACTACTGCCGAAGCAGCACTTCCTAATAAAAGTGCTGAAGTTTGGGATGAATGTTCACCCTGTATCAGCAGCACAGTGTTCACAGAGCATGTTTGCACACATACACATGAAAATACAGGGAAAACAAAAGCAAACAACAAACCTCATTAAATAAATAGAAATCAGCAGATGGACTAAAACCTGAAGGAAAGCCTGTTTATATTGTTTTTGGTAAAGCTGCCAGCAGTAGGTTCAAACTGAAACCAGGGGAGGCGTCTCTCACACTGACTGTGCCGTTTATCTGCAGCAGCTGAAAACAAGGTCTCCAACGAGGAAAGGAATTCATAATCCAACACTTGTGTTTTTATTTTCATTAAATGAGAGAGGAGAGGTGAGAGCAGCTGTGAGAGCCCTGCCAGCACCTCTTAATTAGAGAGATTTTGTGGAGAGGCTGCTTTTACAAATTTCAGCAGCTTATTAGATAATCCTCAGTCTGAGGGAACTCTGACTTGAAGACAGATTACTTCTTTGTGTGTGTGTGTGTGTTTGTTTGAGTGTGTGTGTGTGTGTTTGTGTGCATGTGCGCTTTCCTAACTATCCAAGAGGGGGACTTGGCGTTGTAACACTTTCACCAAGAGGGGACCGCATAGCCAACAGGGGACATTTTTTAGGTCCCCTCCTGGTCATGCTTTAAATCATGCTAAAACACACCCTGGTGAAGTTTTTTAATTTTAGTCAAGTGGGGACCTGAAGGGGTATGAATGTTTAAGTCCAGGTTTCAGGTTTCAGGTTTTAGGAGTGTGAATCAGCTGCTGAAATGCACTTCCTTTAGATTACTCTTTAGCTGCCTTATTTTAGAAAATTACAGATCTTTTCAAGGAAAACACCCACCAACTACCAACTAACCATGAACTAATGCATACATGACATTTTGACTTGTGTAGCACAGATGAAGATAAATCATATTAATTGATTAAAATCATTGTAGTTGCTTCAGTTTCAGAGTCTTGGTGCTGTGTTTTGATGTTACAACAGACTGTTACTATTATTGGTACTACCTGCTCTTTTCCAGACTTCACAAGTCTATTTTGAAATAACAGAGGAAACACGACTGTAGATATTTTCTTTGAAGCATTATAAAGGCAATTTATAATTGAGACAGAGGGTCAGTGCTGAGAAAAAATGCAGCAGCGGAGAAACAGATGTAATTCTTTTTCTGTCAGAGTAAAATTAGGAAATCTACAGCTGTAGATGTCTCATTATAGGTCAGGACTGTTTAACAAATGATTAATCAATAACTGTCAGACTGCTGATCAATACTAACACTCCTCCAATGGTCAGCATAAACAAACAAACAAACAAACAAACAAACAAACAAACAAACATCCCTTTCAGACTTTTTCATGATGTGGGTCAGTGCAGGGACAAAGTAGAGTTCAATCCGGGTCTGTTATTAGACAGCTAAATAAAATCATTTCCATTTCATTCTGATTCATAAATTAAAATCAGACCAAAATTGTCTACGATTTAGTTCAGTCAGTCAACTTTATTTGTTAGTTTGTGAATAAAAGAGAAAAAGAGGAGAGATATTTTCCTGGAGCGGCAGTAACTTAGGAGGTAGAGTGGTGGTCCAACAACTTCAAAGTTGGCAGTTCGATTCCCCCCTATTCCTAACCTATCCTTGGGCAAGACACTTAACCCATCTTACTTCCAGTATGTGGTGTATGATTGTGTATGATATGACTGGTGTACATGTTTCCATCAGTCTGTCCCAGGGCACCTGTGACTACTCAGGTAGTTTACCACCACTAGGGTGTGACTGAGTTTGCGAATGAATGATGTTTCCAATGTAAAGCACTTTAAGGGTCACTGATAAAGTGCTATATAAAATTAGATGCATTATTATTATTATTCCAGACAGATCAGAGAAAGATTTGTCAAAGTTCCTGCGAGGAGCCTTTGGTTTGTGTCAACTTTAGCACCCCCTGTGGACAAAAAAAGTCTTTGCTTATCTTGTCCTTTAAAGGGTTTAGTTGTTTATTTTGACAGACAATCTCATCCTGATAACTTGTGACAGTCAAAATACATCATTTACAGTGAATACTTATTGTAAGAACTGTGCTTTTTCTTCATCCGCCTGGCTCACACCTACCCCCTTGGGTTGGTTTTAGGCATTAAAATTTCATTATACAATTTGTCAATCTTGCCCCTGATGGTTTTGTTTGCTTTTGGAAATCAAGAAAAAAGCATTAGTACAAATTTCATGAACATCAAAAAACTCGTCATAGTCGCTTTAATTGTGTTTTAGAATATGAAGCTCCAGGCACATTATTAAAAGAACCAAATGTAAGAATAACAACAAACAGGAAAGTTCCCAAGTTGTATAAAACACAGGAAATAAGGTGATTCACTGCCCACAGCAGGGCTGAATTTCTTCTTTTAACCTAATCCTCAGTTCAGACAAACAAAATATTTGATAACAAATCTGATGAAGCCAAAGGCTAAACATGATGTTCCTGAGAAAATGGGGATTAAATGAAATGGAAAAAATTCTTTGTGAATAAGCCTAGTATTTTCTTCCCTGCTATCACCTGCACCGAGGTTTCCGGACTGACAGTGCTGTGCATCACTTAAGTATGAAATACCTGACTTGTTTAAAAAAAAAAAAGTTTTCTCAAACACTCCCAAGTCCAAAGAAGTTTTATATAACCTTTGAAACCAGCACAAAGAACTTTTAGAAAAAAAACAAAATAAAAAAATAAAGCAGAGAAGAAGGATAAAAAGGTTGTAAAAAGAAAACAAATCTTTTGTTCTCTGTTGTTCCTCTCAGTTTCCTCTGGAGGATCGAGTCCTTATTTGAAGACTCTTTGTTTGAAGCTAGAAGTGTCAAGTTATTCTCACTGTTTTTCCCCATGTCTTTCAAAAAGAAATGGGTAAACTTCTTCACATTTAATAGTGATTGAGACTTTAATTGTACAGTGCGGATCTCCATGGGTAAAGAAATGTAAGCACACTTGAATACCCAATGAAACACAAACAGATTTACATTTTTACATGCTGCTTGAAACACAGCAAGGCTCGGGTCTCTAATCCATATAAATCTTTTCTTTTGTGAATTTTCAGCACAGAACAGAGAAATAAATAAAGTGATGGATGGTGTGACGGATAAAGCAGATGTCATAAGAGACCTATCAACTATGTGATCACTGCGCCGCCTTTGGAAGCAAGAGCTGCATTTTTACAAGCTTTAGCAGAAACCATAGGCAGACATAAACTTATACTCCTCCTGTAGGGAAAAGGGGTAATATTTGCACTCCTGTTTTCAAAAAAGAGAAACATACAAAGTAATCTTTCCCAAAATTCACACAGGACATCTAAGTTAAGCAGATAATATAGGGTAGTGAAGGTGTAATCAAGGTTGCTATTTTTCCAACACTTCTTCATCCATTAGTGAGGGACCACCATTTGTTATCAGTAGTTCAGATTTTTGCTGGTGGTATGGATAATATAGTTGCTGCAGTAGGCATTAGCATTGGTTAATAATGCAGGAAATCAATACTATTCAGTGATTAACAACAGAATCTTTATTAATAATGGTTATTTTATGGAATAACCCTAATTCTTCACCACAGTTTTAATTTGTTTTGACATATTGGTTACACTTTATTTGACACTTGTCTCTATAACATGTTATAAATATAGTTATAATGCGCTGTAATCACATTATAGCACTGTATAACTATAGTTATAAACACTCATAAATCATCATAATGCTTTATAGCAATAATCATAACACATTATAAAGCATTTTATCATGACTTACAAGGTCAGGTATTATAATGTGTTATAATCAATCAATCAATCAATCAATCAAACTTTATTTTTAAAGCACTTTTCATACATGGAATGTATCACAAAGTGCTGTCCAATCGCACAGGATACTAAAAAACAATGAAATAAAATAAATAAAAATACAAATACCAAACCACCCTCCCAACCCCCATTCAACACATATATCACTCACACACTCACACACACACACAGATGCATACACAAAAGACCAGGACACTTCAACTTGCCACAGATGACTGAGGAAACACTATCTTGAGTTGAGTATCTTGAGTATAACTGTTAGTTAGTTAACAGTTGCATTGCATAATCTATGTGGGCATTGTCAGTGAGTTGTTAACAGTTATAACACATTATAATACCTGACCTTGTAAGTCATGATAAAATGCTTTATAATGTGTTATGATTATTGCTATAAAGCATTATGATCATTTATCAGTGTTTGTAACCAAAGTTATACAGTGCTATAACGTGATTATTATGCATTATACATATATTGTTAATGCGTTATAGAGATAGGTGGCAATAAAGTGTTACCAACATATTTTCACCAGTCTTTCGTGGACCGCAAACTAAGATTAAACCTGAGAATCTTGTAAAAGACCCCACAAGTGCTCTAGTCCCACATCCTGAATTTGTTACATAGTTGATTTAAAGCTCTGTGCGCAAGTTCAACTTAAAATTTAGTCAAAAATGTAAATAACACGACCATAACTCTCAAAAACAGCCATTTATGAGAGTGTCTTCTCTTTGACTCTTTCCTACTTTTCACCCTCCCTCTCCGAGTTCAAAATAAGGTGATGAAGAAGTCAAAATCTCTGCGAACAACATTAGTAACACGAATTTCACAGAAGTGCTCAAGCAAATCTTGCACTCTTGACTTTTCAACCGCAGTCGCACTGTCTCGCATGCAGACACTTTATCTTCCCCTCTTCCTAGCACACAGACATGTCTGCACACTGACAGGAGAGAAATTGCAAGTCTTGGTTTTGAGACCGCCACCAGTCAGAGCAAGCCGGGGCGGGGGGGGGGGGGGGGACGGCTAAATTTAAACTGTGAAGCCTTTAATGTTGGTAGGTTTGAGTGCCAGCAGCAGGAGGGAACAGGCTCCTCTGTATCAGCCAGGTCCTATCTGAAGATGTTTGTGTGTCTTTTGTTACGAAGATGCATGGAAAGAACAAGAGAGAAAGATCGAGCGAGAGGCTGAGCCAAAGACTTGAAAGTTCAAAGACAGAGCAAAGAAGCTAAACACAAGGGAAAGCAAGGGGATTAAACTACGAGAGAACAAACAGAAATCGCAACGTCTAATTTATGCATGAGCATGTATAAATGTGTGCGAGCAGATGATATGAAGGCTTAAGAGGAGAGGAGATGAGGATGCGAGGAAGGAGGCAAATAAGGAGCAGATAAAGACAGGAGGAAAGCAGATGAGGGCATCAGAGAGAGCCTAGGGTGAGATATTCTGCTGTAGATTCCTCCTGTCTCTGCTGCAGAATGATAAATACCCTGCTCACCGGGTGAAATAAAGTCTTGCAGATCAATGAGCGCTTGTGAGGGATCTCTTCATTAGCTCAATGGAGTGTGCACTGAGCTGTAGTCAGCACATGGATTTACTACAGAGCTGCTGTAAATTAGAGGGACAACAGCGAAGCGTATGCATGTATTGTGATCTGCAGTCGTGTCAGTTCTCATAGGAGGTTGGGGGGGTGGGGGGGGGTGGAGGAAAGAAGGCAGGAAGTTATTTTTAGATGAGGTGGATAGGTAAGAGAAGCAGAGGCTCATGGGCTAATGAGAGGAGGGGAAGTAGAAACCTGTGATATCAACATTTAACCAGTCCATGGTACACACAAAGAGATTCCAGATGCAGTAAGTATGGAATCAACTCTGCACCAACCATCAACAGCTGCTTCAATGTTTTTGTCCTTTTTGTCTCTTAATGAAGAGGAGGAGGAAGGAATATAACAACTAATAATAAAACCTGAGACTCTGTGCTGTTTTTTTAATCAGCATTTTATCATTGATTAGCGCTGTCACTCAAATGAACTTTAAAGGAACAGATCATTGTTTCATAGTTAGTATTAAAAATGATTAAAAGATAGCAAACAAAGAACTCTTGTGCTCTCTTCTATACTTCCTAGAATCAACTTCTCTGTACAGACACCTACATTTATATATGATCTGATGTACTGTAGGTCTCTGAGCTAATGAGACAGTATGAAGGAGTTCTTTGGTCCATCCATGGACAGATTTGTTTAGAGGAGGACATATTGCAAAGCATTTTATCATGTCTTACAGGGTCAGGTATTATAATGTGTTATGCTTATTGTTATAAAGCCTTATGAGTGTTTATATTGATAGTTATACAAGTTTATAAGCAAATTATAACACATCATAAATACATGTATAATGCATTATTTATGTGGGCATTGTCAGTGAGTTGTTAACAGTTATAACACATTATAATACCGGACCTTGTAAGTCATGATAAAATGCTTTATAATGTGTTACGATTGTTGCTATAAAGCATATGATCATTTATGAGTGTTTATAACTATAGTTATACAGTGCTATTACCTGATCATAATGCATTATACATATATTTATAATGCCTTATAGATATAGGCGTCCAGTAAAGCGTTAACAGTTTTTCTTAGAGTTATCTGAAAAGATCTAAACCCCTCTTTTAACTGTTAAAATGTCAGTCTAAATCATTAATAAACAGGCCTTAACAAATTAACCAATGTAATCCTGCGATTACCTTATCCAAAAATGAAAATGATAGTGATCTTTGCATGAGAATACTGAATCTATACATGCAGCACTGGATTCATGGTTTCAGGAGTGTTCTGCTGTTTGTCTTTAGAATGAAAGTGGTTCTGCCCACTTCCATGTCTGTATTTAGCCGTATGCAGGAGAATTCACAGCAAATTATCTGCCTGTATTTGTTTGACTTTGTTTGACTTTATCGTTTCGAGACAGATTTTTGTGCAAGTTTGTTTACTTGTCCTCTGTGAGTCTTTATATAGTATGCTGGACATGTTTTGCTTTTCCAGACAGAATAGAGAAAAAAATTACTTTTGTCATCTGGTGGAGACTTCCTAAACGCCCACCTATCTGTGCTGCACAACTTTAAATCCATGTGGATTGAATTACTTTACTGCAGAATTTGTCTATGAATTTAGAGTCCCTGACACTGTGTTGGGAGATTTCATTTAGATACCAGATGAACAGTACTGAAAAAAATCATCTGCAACACTACGGTGCACAAATATGTACATCACAATGAGTTTTCTAAAAGTAGGAAAACATTCAAAAACTTTGAAGGAACAGTGACAATAACTCTAGCTACTTCCACCCTGCACAGACACATGACTTTAAAGGCACAATCCACCAGTTTTGGAGCCGTCAATGATTAATACCTTATGTCTTGATGCCCTAAATATACTCAGATTAACATGCTGTAATCACCTCTAAATTTGCCCTAATTCCAAGATAAGAAGAAATGTATTTCAAAGCTTTTGCTTTATTCTATTCTTACTTTGGAGGGTACTATTTCTGTTACATTTTGAAGGCACAGCTTGTATTGGCTGAAGTTTTGACACATGTTTAAGGAAAATCAGGCCAGATATGTATATAAAAGACAGCTTAAAGAGAAGTCCACTTACCAACAGCATGTAGAGAATAGTGGCAGAAGAGAATACCACAGGTTGTTGTTGTTGTGTTAGCCCGAACTAAAACCCCTACATCAATTCTTTGTCTGCTTTTTTGTGTTATTAAAAGAGGGTCATGGTTGGTAAGAGATTAGGTAGGCTATAATAGATGTATATTGTAATGCACAGCCTGGTTTGCATTTATACATCTCATGCTGTGCCTCTCTGGCAAACTTGTTGTTAGCAGGTTCACTTGAAGTCTGACATGGAGTTGAAACTGACCTTGCTGACAGAAATGGCAATCTGCCAGCACTTGTTCCTCGGCTCTAGACTCTCTTTGCTGTTGAATGTTTTCAGTAGATAAAGGCCCTCCTACCTAATAACATTTAGTAGTAGTTGTAAATACCACTCAGGGTGTTGGAAGCTGATCTTGCAGACAGATATGGACGGATTACCTTGTAAATACATGAAAATGAATGCCGTCTTTTCCAATAGTTGGCTTCGTCTTTCTCTTCATGTAAAATTTCCTACCCCTCTGTCTTTCTCTCGCTCTCACAGGCTATCAGGGCGCTACATGTGAGCAGAAGGTGGACCCATGTGCTTGCAGCCCCTGTCACAATAATGGGACATGCTATCCTCAGGGCCCTGGTCCCCTGGGATTCGGCTGCAGCTGCACAGCAGGATTCACTGGACCAACATGTGCCCAGCTGGTGGACTTCTGTGCCCTGAACCCCTGCGCCCACGGGGTCTGCCGTAGCGTGGGCAACAGCTACAGGTGTCTGTGTGTCCCAGGTGAGTTCTGGTGGCGTGTGTGAATGTGTTATATAACGTGTAAATAAACGAATATTACCAGTTTAAAATCATTTTTTAAGAGAACCATCTTTTTGTGACATGCTGAAATTGTTTTTTTTAGACATTTACTGAGGGGGGAAATACTCTCCTCTATTACTGCTTCAGTTACAGATTCAGGTTTGTTTTCTAGTCAAAAAACGATTGGGCTGAATGGCTATTTTTAGACTGCGGGTGAGAGTGGCGCTGGTGCTGACGCCTCAGTAATGGACTCAATCAGGCGGAATGATGACATCATTGTCCTCTGTATTGCGATCACCTTGCCTGGATGGCGAGATAGATGACGTCTTCAATTGCTCGTAAACATAATTTGACTTTTTGCCAAGTTGGCTTTCCATCTGTAACATCTGTCAGTCAAATGAGCAGGCTGCTCACCATATTTCGCTCTTTTTTTTTTATTTAGGCGTTCTTTCATTCATACCTTCACCAGCAGCCTCCACAGCTGCACCGTTTCCAAAACAGATTGATGCAGAGAAAAATAAAGAAAAAAGGTTTTTCATGGTAGTCCATTAGTCAGTTTCAGTGAATGGCTTCACAGCTGTTCTACCACTTGTTGATGAGGGTTTTGAGTGATGATCATATCATAACCTTTACTATGACCTTTATTTAACCAGGTTAGTCCCTTTGTGATTCAAGGTCTCTTTTACAAGAGAGACATGGCCAAGAATGGCAGCACATAAAGTTACGACCATAGACTGTATATAGAATGGACAGCGTCTGGCTCCTTGCTGGGTGAAGCCACTCTGAGAACAGCACCCTCTGGTGACGGGCTGCAGTATAGGTCATAAATCCGGCCTCTGCCAGCAAAGCTTATGGAGCTGTGGACAAACTTTAGAAATGTATTACACAGAACATACATTTTTCTCCTCCTGATTTGTGCTCAAGTCCTCTTTTTTTTCGGTGAAGCTCCGTTTTTAAAAGTTATTAGGGGTTCATGTTTTCTAGGATTGACACCTGATACAGCCTATTGGCATTCAGGGATTGCGTAGCTCATCCGGGGGATACGCTGTTTGAGCCCAGCGTCATCACCGTGACTCTATGCCACTCTCCCGCCCAATACTGACAATGCTACTGTGCAATGCTGGTTTCAGGAAATGAAGAGAAATCGCGGAAATACTGAGAGCTTTTTGGCTTCAAATCCGCATAACGGCGGGAGGCAGACCCAAGTTGTCCATAGTATATACAGTCTATAGTTATGACACATAATCCCATTAAACTTAATAAAATCAAAATACAAATAACAATTTAATTAACAAGATAAGTTAAATTAAAACATTTGCACTCAAATAGCAGATACCAGACTTTGGAGTCTGAGCTTTGACTGCAAGGTATTCCATGTACTTGTAGCAGAAAATGTAAAACCTTTCTTTCTCATTTCATTTGCTGTATAAGCAATGGAAAGTTGAAGCTCTTTTAATAACACTTGATAAAAAGTTTCTCTAAATATCTGACCCAATGGAATAATTGCTTCGAGTTGAAAATCCCTCAATTTGTTATAAACTTCTCGTTTGTTCAAACCCTTTCTCTCCGACTGGGTTCTAAAATGCAGAACAGTCTTCTGCTACTTTCCAGTTATTCTGACGTCATTTTTTTCATTCAGGACTTTAGAGTCTTTTTTTTACCCATTTTTTATTCTCCTCATGTTCTCTTCCCTCTTCTGCTTGTCCCTTTGTCCTTCCCCATCTTTATCTTGCTCCACCTAATTTTCCCCTCATCCTCTGTTGTATGGTTGCCATGGTGAAGCAGTTGCCTGAGGACAGTGTTTGTGTGTATTTGTGTATTCCTCCTGTTATATTGTCATTTTTTGAGGCTTTAATACTTAAGCAGAAGTTGCCAACCTATCTAACCTATCCTCGGGCAGGCTTATGTAACGGGATTGGTGATTGGTGCAATTAACATTGTGAACATAAGTAGGTGTGCTACTTTGAACATACACATTCCCACATACACTAACAAAGACACATGCCTGTTTTTGACCAAATTTGACCTTTTTACATTTCACCAGAATCTTAGCTGATATAGGAGTGTGCGTACTTTGCTATTAGCTCTCCTTGCGTGTATGTACGTGTGTGAGTGGTGTGTGTGTGTGCAGAGTACCTTTGTCAGTTTGTCTGTCTTGTTGGGGTGTGTAATGCGTGTACGGGTTTGTTTAAATGCCCGCTGGCTGCCTGTGAGAGGGGCTGCTGGGGAGCTGATATGTAGAAGGATCCCTCCTCCAGTTTCCTGTAATCCAGCTCACACTAGAGGCAGCAGCCCAGCAGCCAGCCCGTAGAAAGCAGACAGAGTCTTGGAAAGGCGTTTGACATTTCACTGGCATTTCACAGAGGGGACCCCAGAGTCTCTATCTAAGTGGGCTCCTCATTAAATCCCCCCTCTCTCTCCTTCCTTCCCCAAACACACATCAGCTATAGGCCAGGGAGGGGTTTTTTAGAGACTTTGTCAGCAACTGGGGCCAAATGGAAATTTTTAGCCATTTAAAGTGAGAGCAGAGCTAATGAAAACAGATTGCTCCTCCAGTCAGGTGAGGACTGCAGAGATATTAGTTCTCAGATGGTTTGACTTGACAAGAGGTGGAACATTTTTATACAAAGCAGCGGTTCAAAGGGTTCAATCAGGAAATCAAAGGGGTATAAATTCTAAAACTACTTTTAAGTCTCATTTATCAAGATTTCAGTAGACAATGAAGAATGAGATAGAGCTATACAAACGAAAATGGACGTAAAAACCTCCAATGACACTCACTCTTTCTTCCTGTATTTATCTATCTCTAAGGTGGCTCTGACGGTGCAACGTAAACACATCCCACTACATATGCTTCCTTTTAGCTCGTACATACTGTTGTGGGGACTGAAGATGAATCAATTTCTCCTCAATCTCGGTTTGACTGAGTTTTCAGACGCTGCATGCTTTTCTACCTCAGTGCACAGCTGCCCTCCTATGGAAAATACAGTGCACTACATGTCATTTAGTTTCAAACCCGATTCAAGTGAAACTCAGCTGTAAAATGGTTTATATTTGTACACTTTATTGTTGACTGTTTTTTTTCCCTCTCCACTGGATCACTAACAAAGAGGAACTTAAACAACTGTAGGAACTCCACAATGTTGCCATAATTGACATGGATTTAACATTTCTAAATTATTATATCTTTTGGCTTGACATCATTATTTATGAGTATGTATTTATGGGTATAAAATTTAAAGTGTGAATAATAAGTTACTTATGAATACTGCTACATTTCCTGCTCTTACCACCATTTGAAGGTATCTAAATATAAACCAGTTGAGAGGAGGCTTAGACTGAACAAGTGATTGTGACGTGATCAGCTCTGACCAGCTTTGAGATCAGCATGTTTGGATGTTTGGATGAAAAATAGAGGGAAAATCCAGATCAGGTGGTGGCTTAACTTCCAACAAGGACTTTCTGTTCAGTTCTACTTTCATTGAGAAAACTGCTCGCAACAGTATCAGTACGCCTTGTGTGTGTTATGAATTTACACCCCAGAAAAATAAACATGGCTGCTAACGAGAGTTCAATTGCATTTGATGCTGTAATGCAAAATATCATGATGACTTCTGTCTGAACTGATGTTTTACACTTCAGTAGATGCAATAAATTACCTCTAAGGTTATTATGATCTTATCTGTATATGTGAAGATTTTTCTCTTTTAAATAAACATGAGGTATAAAAAAAATCTGACTGTTTAAAATAATAGAGGAGGGAAGACTCTGCTGAGACAAAACACTTTGTTTCCAACTGAATAAAATGACACATTTCATACAATTTATACTTGTGTCCCCCTAAGGCTACCATGGCTTGTACTGTGAGGAGGAGTACAATGAGTGTCTGTCGGCCCCCTGCCAGAACTACGCCACCTGCAGGGATCTCATCAATGCCTATGAGTGTGTCTGCACACCACAGTTTGAAGGTAAACATGTGCACACGTGTATAAATCAGCGTGGGACTACTTTCAGATGCAGGCACACATCTGTTGACGTGCTTTTTTTCTTCAAAGACCCCACCATGTTACAGTTTCACAGTGCACAGCTTGTGTGTGTTTATGTATGCAGGTAGACACTGTGAAATCTATAAGGATCCATGTCTGAAGCTGCACTGTCAGAACGGAGGCCGCTGTGAGAGCGCGGGATTCAATGCTACCTGTGCCTGCCCACCTGGATACAAAGGTGAGCACTAGAGCCGCATGAGTCTATTGCTGCGTTTGAGTTACCTCGGAAGTCAGATATCCGAGCTGGGAATGACGTCACACCCGAGTTACCAGCATTTCAGTTACCAATTCGGAAAAAAGAAAAATCGGAGGCAGAAACTCGATGGCTATATCTATGAAAGTTATTTTAGCGCCCTTGCTTATATTCAGACAAGGCAAGCGCTAAAATAACTTTCGCCGATTTTGCTTTCTTCCGACTTGGTAACTGAAACACTGGTAACTTGGGTGTGACATCATTCCCAGCTCAGACCTCTGACTTCCATGGTAAGTCAAACACAGCATAAGACCCAGGAGATGGGCAGCCTATTTGAATGAGACAGTCTGAGGGCTTTGAGCTTTGGTTTCTACTCCAAGCTTTGTTGAATTCATTTTTATTCATAACAACTTTACCTGTCCTCTCAGGGGAGAAATGTGAGGTTGATATCAATGAGTGCGAGTCCAACCCGTGCCACCATGGAGGCACCTGCATTGACCAATCAAATGGCTACACCTGTCACTGTCCACCTGGGTGGGTTGGGCCCAGCTGTGAGATCCGTAAGTCAACCTGTCAGAAAAACTCTGTTCGGCCATTAATCTCAAATCCCGCAGGAAGGAGGCCTCATGAATCTTTGTGTGTCTCTGTGTGTGTCAGATCTGCAGTGGAAACCGGCCCACACTGAGGACACCCTGACCAACATGCCCCGCCATTCCCTCTACATCATTATCGGCGCTCTGTGTGTGGCCTTTGTCCTCATGCTCATCATCCTCATCGTGGGCATCTGTCGCATCAGTCGCATCGAGTACCAAGGCTCGTCCCGCCACGCCTACCAGGAGTTTTACAACTGTCGCAGCATCGACAGCGAGTTCAGCAATGCCATCGCCTCCATCCGCCATGCCAGGTTAGGAAAAGGAACTTAAGTGGATTTACAGAAAAGTCTAGCACAGAGAGAGTATTTGTAGGGGCTGTTCTCAATGTTCATAGCAGTTTCTATCAACAGGTCCAATATTGGCATTATAATAATAATGGTAATAGGGTAAGAATTACAATAGCATTAACATTAAAAGAAACATTAACACTTTATCAAGGTAATAATAATGGTGAGGCTAAAAGTAGTAGAAGTAGCTGGAGTACAGCAGCAACAACTGAGAAACCTTTGTGATGAGGAACTCCCACAAAGATCTGTAGTTGGTAACTTAAGAAGGACATTGAGATGTAAAGTTAGTGACATGCAGACAGCTAGAAGAGACAGAGTAAGAGTGTGTCAGTTCCAAGCCTGGGACAGGTCTTAGTGTAAACTTTATTGACAATCCAGCTGAGAGGTAACAAAGGCATGGACTCCATTCTCTGCCCTGTTTTAGCTCAGGATGTGTCAATTCTTTGTGAAAGTGTGAAGACGATAAAGAGGCTGTCTTGAAATGTGTTGAATGTGGGAGTTGGAAGACATTTCCTTATCAAATAGACCTCTCAAATTCCTGACCATGGTGCCAGATAATAGACTGATGCTATCCATGGCAGATATAATAAGGTGACACAGATTATAAAAAGCCTCTCTTAAGTGTTTGGGACCAAGAACCATAACTTCATTTTTGTACTGGTTGAGCAGTTCAGCTCTGGGCATCCAGATCTTTGTATTTTAAAGGCATGCTTGTAGTTTAGTCAGCTGGTATTGACAAGTATAACTGAGTGTCATCTGCATAACAGTGAAATTTCATGCAGAGTCTGCTTTTAATGTTACCTAGAGAGCATACATTTGAAGCAAAAGAAATCAGGGAAAGCACTGACGCTTGTGGAACTGACCCTGGTGCACTGAGGAGTTTTTGTTTTTGTTTTTGTATGTGATACAAAGTTTGAGCAATTTCTGTAATGCAAAATACTCTGTGGTGCTCAATCATATTGAATGCAGCACCAAAAATTCTAGTAGAGACAAGACCTATGTCCTAAGCCATAAGGACATCATTTTTTACACTCTCTGATGCAGTCTATGCTACAGTGGAGGCTAAACCTTGGCTAAAAAACCCAAATATTGTAATGGAGACTCAAAAATCTGATCACTATGATCTCTAGGAATTTTGAAAAAAAGAAAAAGTTGATAGACAAGGTTCCCAAATCAATAGTAAGCTTATTTATAAGAGATTAATTGCAGCTACTTTAAATGACCGTGGTATACTGCATAAGATCATTCTTATTATACAGCAGTCTTAAAAATGTTCAATTCTCTGAATCAAGCTCAGAGAAGGGAACAGACAGCTTGACATTAAATAGTGGTTCATTGAAGTTATGAGCACAGGGTCACAAAATGTTTTACAGTCCACGTCATGTCTAGCTTTTTGGATTCTCATGCATCAAGTCAAGGTGCCGACTAATTTCCTTTTATTTTCAGTCCAATTCCACAGAGACTAAAGAACAAAAAAATTAAAGAAAACTTTTAAAAAATCACAATGTTGCTGGTGCCAATTTTCAAGGCTAGACTTTGCTCATGTTGAGTGGAAACAGTGAACACTTTTACTTTGATTGGTTTGCAAATTTTATTGCAGGATTTTGTGACAAATATCACAGCTTAACCAGGCCCAACTCAAAGAAAATATCATAAAAAGGGAATGGAAACTCCTACAGCAAAAATCAAAGTAAGACATGAAAGTAGTTCTTTGATCTACAGTAATTTACTGTTACGTAAATATGTAAGACCTTGAATCACATGGATTCAGGGCTCTAGCTGCTTCAAAAGAAAAGTGTTGTTTGCCCATCTGCTCGAAATTTGTTTCAAAGGTCGGTGCTAAGATGAGTTCATGTAAGTGAGCTCATGGTGGTATGTTAAGAAAAAAGTTTTTTATTTTTATCTGTGATATCATCAGATTTTTAAGCTCCTAAACAAACATTCTTGGTTTGAAAGAAACTAAATTTAACACACAGGGAGGATCTTATATAGAGATGTTGCTGAGTTCAGGAAGTTCAGACTATCATCCAACAATTTTCAACTGAAATTTATGATTTGTTGCTGCAATCCTTATTTATATTTCAACGTTATCACTTTATCAAATCACTCCTTTCAGTAAAAGCTGGTTCGGTCTTTATTTATCATTAAATCTTGTATGAAGATGGAGTATTCATGCACTTTGTCTCTATGTTCTCTTATTAGATTTGGCAAGAAATCCAGACCTGCTATGTACGATGCCACTCCCATCGCCTATGAGGACTACAGTCCTGATGACAAGCCTCTGGTGACCCTCATCAAGACGAAGGATTTGTAAAACACAACTATACCAGCAAATCAAGAGCTGCACACACATTGTCACACACGCAAATACACACATGCATATATACGGATAGTCAATATAAATCTTCAAGTATTTCTTTAGAAGCAGCAAAACATAACTGAATGTAAAGAGGAGAAAAGATCCAAAAATACTCTGTAGTTTAAAAAGAAAAAAAAGGAATTTGATACACCTATTTTCCTGTCAATGTCCACAATAAGGCTTTACTGTAGCATAAGAGCTTCCTTTGCTTTACTTATTGATAATGGGCGACACTACTAGTAACCTCTGCTATTCAAGAGTGACGACTTTAGTCTGCACCAGACTGTCTGTCTGATGACGGGCCAGCAGCCCAGGCGCCCTACTTTTCTCACTGTAAACTCAGCTAACAGTGCTGACAGCAGTCCTTACAGGTGTTGTAGAAATAGGTGCACTCATCCTGGTGCGTACATTTATCTTTTTCTATATTTACAAAAGATTCTGCAGTAGGTTGCCTTACGTAGTGCATGGTTAGATTTGATGTTCTATCTGCGTTATTTCAAACTCCTTTGTACTTGGTTGTTGGTTATATTGCTTTTTTTATTGCAGTTGTATTTATCTCTGTCAGGAGTGTGCCAAATATTTTCTTTGGGGTAATTCGTGGTCAGTAGATCAAAAACAGTCATGTATAAAGTACTAGTCACATTTTGTTTTCAATTCAAAGTACATATTGTCCTGTTCTTTACATGCAAGTTTCTTAATGGTGTATGAATATTAAAGAAAGTGGGTTTGCTGAAGTACTGTGACCCTATCATCCTACTGTCTGTTTTGCAGTGATATTTAGGATAATAGGTAGGTCTGTTTCTCAGTGCACAGAAAAGTAGTTGGTTTTACTCAGTGTACCTGTGTACACCAATGTACAAGTTCACCTCTAGTATTGACTGTGTTGAATCGTTTCTGAGCTAGAGTTTCCTTGCCGGAGTGACTTCATGCTGGCTTTGTGAGGGAGATAAGAGAGAAGAAGGAGGAGGAGGAGAAGGAAACTGTGAGGAATGATATCTACTCCAGAATTTATGTGCTTCTGTGTCCTGCCAATGGAAAACTCTCTGTCTGTGCAGCTGTGTTGTTTCTCTCAAGGTCGAGCAATGTTTTATCAATAGGCTCAGCTAACCTTAAGATTTTTTTCTCTCATTTTAAACACAACAACCATATGATTATGTATTATCTATGTTGAATGATGTAAACAATAAAGATTCCAGTGAATATAACCTTCAGAGGTCGCGTTGTTCCTCATGTTTCATGTCACAAGTGCATACCACCAAAAAATAAACAATAACACAAGGTAAAAGACCCTGAGCAGACATTGAATCCACACATCTTCTTCTTTACAGTTGAACACATTTGGCCAGTACACTAAAAGGACAAAGGCTTGATACATAATTGTGGTCATACAACTTATATTCCAAAAGCCTTGAGGTGATGTGTGACATATTTTCTGTATTCATTAAAAATCCAAAGCTATGGGTTGGACTGAGAGGTTTAAAGTGTCCATTCCTTTGCTGAGGAGATCCTCGCTGAGATCAAGTGCAAGTAATTGCCCTCAGAGGTAAACAAGTAATTTAAATGAAGCGCACGTGTGTTCAATTAAAAATCAAATTTGAAAACATCTGCTCTGTAGGTCTCAGAGACTGTTGAATAGTGAAACTGAATGAAGTGCAACATAAAGACCCAAGGGGTTCTCACTAAAAAGATTGTGCAGAGTGAAAAGCACAGCTAAGCTTAAGAAGATACCTGCACAGAATTTCTGATGAAGCTCTTATAAATCCATCTTAAGAAGGCAGAAAAACGGCTCAACAATGCTACGGGCACTAGAGATGAATCAGAAAACTGGGGAATTCTTGAAGAAAACTTTGATACACAAATCTTTATAACTCAGTTGGAGTTTTAACCTTCAGCAGTACAGTGACTAAGCACAGAGGTAGATCTGCTCTGGTAGATGACGTTGAAGACTTTAGAGTGGCCTGGTTAAATCACAGACCTCAATCTAACAAAGATTCTGTGGCAAGAGTTTGGAATTTCATGGTGAAACTCCATCCATTCTGGCTTAGTTTAAGCTGTTTTACCAAGAACAATGGGAGAAGGGTGATTCTACTTACATAACGTTTGCTTTTTATGAGTTAACTCAGATCTCCACCACCATCGCCACGTCTATGAGTAATTTACCATGTTAAAATAGCCTGCAATTTTTGTTGAACTCAGCTCTGATCAAATGAAACATGCTGCAGTAACTCGTGGATAACTGATGGCATAGTCTTGAAAAAGATCTGCACCAAAATAGTTTATAAATGAAAATCAAATTCACTGGTCTGTTTTTCTGTGAAGTCCCAAGGTCATATTCTGCTAAGTCCCAAGGTTGCACGGCCAGTAGACAGAACAGTGAGTTGTGGGAAAGACCTTTTATGGAGTGTTGGTAAAGCGAACAGCCTCAGTGACCTCAGGCTTTGTCCAGATGTTCCCCGTGTAAACATCTCTAAATACAGACTGCGACTGCAGAGTCATATCGCTCAACACACCAACATATATTATGTGCGTGACACAAACACCCTCAAACAGAGACACACTGCAGGGGCAGCAGATGTTATTGATGGTTCTCACCTTTACTGATGGTCTGCTTTGGAGGTCTCGTGCCTGACCCTTGTCCCCTCTTTGCCCTGCAGGGTCAGGGTGTGCGCAGTTAAGCCTGACACGCATCCCAAAGCTCGGTGTCTTTGGAGTTTTCTCACTCCTTTTCTTGGCCTTTTACTTGTGAAATAACCTTTTGAATTTGTCCAAAGGCAGTTGTGTAATATAATTACAAAAACAATCCATTTAAGGAGAAATAACATATTTTTGTTTCCCTAAACATTTCCATTTTTGAAGCAGTAAAATGATTTAACATTTAAAACCAACTAATCTTATTTCAACTGGTCTGATGAAATGAATGTTTGTTGGTAAAAACTTGATTTTGAAAATCTTAAGAAGATCAAATGTTGGGCATGACTGGGCAGTTCACCAGAGAACTTGTCCTTAGCTGCCTCAGTGAAAGTTGGGAAATACGTGAACGGAAACACATTTTATTGACTTCAGCCACTTAGAGAAATGAAATGACATTTATGTCGGGGTATTAAATGATCATTTCCATTTTAACAGCATTCCTTTTCTGGCCGGCTGCTCTGGTCTGGATGACTAATCTCCAGCAGCCTTATTGAAGTTATTTTCATAAAAGCACTAAATATCATTATGAATGACTTTCTGTCCAGATGTAATATTGCTCACTTTTAATAATAGTTTGAAATTAATATGGAATTTGGGTACTTGAGTACTATAATGCTAAAACTTCTTTTTCACTGGGTAAGTCAGTCTTTTTATTACAGTGACAAATACACAAAATATGTACTGAGATCTTTTATAAAAACAATTTCTAAGTGGGAGGGAAAATGACTTTGACACGGTAAAAAAAACTTAATTTGGGGCCTTGGTTCTGGACTCAATTTTAAAGCATGTAGCAGACTACTTTCACCACATTGCTAACTCTTGTTTCCTCTTTTCTAATCTGAAAAAGCTGCCAGCCAGTGATATAGTAGGTGTAGCTCAGAGTTTGGATTGAACCAAAACCTTGAGCCAGAAAACCAAATTGTAAGATGCAAAGCCAGACTGGCAACTTCATCACACAGGAAACTCTATTTCAAAGTACAGTTTATGGATTTTGTTTGATTTAAGTGTGGGCCTATTGTAAGGGGACTCATTAAGGTGAGATGAGATAACTCAAAAGCAGGGAGTTGAAATTTGAGAATGTGATTTTCTGTTTGTGGGACTAAGCCAAACAGCTTACTTGGCCATCAAACTGCCAAAGTGTTATATCTTTGATCAACTTGTTCCTTTTTAGCTGTGTAACCAAGTCTATAATCTAGAAATCATACTATTTAGATTTACAATCTATGATAGGGGAGAGTGGGGTAAGATGAGCCATTTTTCATATTTCGGATCACTTATTGCTGCTCCCCTAGTACCTCCCCCAACACTTTGTGATGTGTATCATTGCAAACAAAGAACATAAAGCGCGGTCAACAAAAACTACAGCTACCTAGGCTTACCTCTCCACCCCAGTGCAGGTGAGACCGCCCCTATATAACTTACTGGCTTTCAAACACAGTGCCCACGTGACCCAAGTCCAGCAAAACCAAGAGCAACCAGAGAAAAGTAATTAAACACAGGATAACCGATAAGCAAAGCACCATTATGGCTCCTACATCACTACATCAAGGCAATCATAGTTTTGTCTCTAACTAGTGTATCTGCATATATTTCATGATGTTGAGCATCGCCACAAAACAACAGAAAGAGTTTAAACATAACTGTCTTGATAATCCGTATACAGGCGGGAGGCGGAACCAAGTTGTCCATAGTATATACAGTCTATGATCATAGGCCTTTACTTTCCCCAGAACTACTGTTATGACTTTATTAGTCTTCTAAGCTAAAATGGTAGACTTTTATGCTAGGTTTATGCATGCTGTAGCTCGTAGATACCACAATTGATGTATAAAAATAATTTAAAATGATCTCTTTTTTTTGGTCTGAACACAATTTTAATAAAACTAATGACAGACTAAATTCACTTTCAAGAGTGAAAAATGTTTTTTTTTTTTTTTTTTGAATAAACGTCTAACCCCTTTACCCATATGCTTCTAACCTTCACAGACTCCATGAATTGATGCCCATTTCTTAAATATTTATTCACATGATCGATTTCTTTTACCATTTCCAAGCAACAGGGGTGGCTCAACTTACCCTTTGACTAAACGTACCCCACTTTCCCCTATAAACCAGTTTCTGCCAGTTAAAGCGCCGTCTGTTAAAATCCTCGTTTCCCTGAAGTACGTGAACGCAGCATTATCAGCCCTCCAGTCAGCAGGTACCTCCACCTGCTGGTCACTGTGATAACTACAGCCGAGGCGGAGCAACACATCATTCATTACCGACCAGTCCAGATAGAAGGAGGACGGGGAGGCAAGCCGTGAAAGCGAACAGATGTGAACTGGACTACGAAAAGACAACAAGCTGCAGTGAAGACGGAGAACCCTTTGAGTCTGCTAACATGTGGCAACCCGCGTCGGAGCGACTGCAGGTAAGACACGGGTGTCTGTGAAACGTTCATTGTCGACATGGCAGCAGTAAATAAACGCTTCACTGTTCTTCAAACCCGTCGTGCTGTGCGTGGCTCCAAACAGGAGAAGACTTGCCACGGGTACTGAACAGCTACAGATGTTTTGAGAGCACTGTCGGATGTTATTAGTCATCTACAAAACGCTATGAACCTGTTTTTCTTTTTAATTCGCAGTATCGCTTGTTAGCTAACCTCTCTGTTTCCAATTGAACCCCCCTTTGGTGTTGTGTTTAAATGCACCTATTTACGTTACGCAAGCCGGGTGTACAGTGCAACAATTTGTCACTTCCACCGGAGTTTACCTAAATTGACAAAAACACGCATATCCAATTTGTGCAGAAACTGGTTAATTTGGTCCACAGGCTTTTGTACACCAACACTCATATTCACACCAACGTAATGAGTGTAACTGCAGGCCCTCTTCTACCGTGGACACTCTGCTGTGTTGTCACATCTAATGCCTTTATCGCGTGTTTTCAAGTCTTTCATAAGGAAGGCCCACAAGCCAACAAGCTGCCGTCTGTGACCGGTTAGGATACTGTGGAAAAAAACACCGTTAATGACACGTAGTTTGATATCCAAGGGGCAAGCCGTGCACCGAGCCTGGCTTCACGTCTCTCTTGCAGACGTAATGCTCTCCAGATGTCGGCCTGCGGACTGCCTGCCAAGTGAACTTGCACAATCCCCCTTCTTCTGCCCAGGCGTCAAGAAGATGGAATCACGAATTATTAAAAGCGAGAGTTCCGGTTTTTTAGATGTGGAGTCAGCTTGGGCAGATTGAAATGTTCTCATGAACACACCTCTCCATCACTCTTAAACCAAAGAGTGTCACAGAAATAGTTTATGTCACTGCATGGTTGTACAAGAGCCAGCCTACTAACTATTGGCAGAACTGGTCATAACACTGAGGAAGCTTTGGGCCACCGTGTTCCACTCTACTGCTCAACAAGTGGCAGAAAGTCATCATCCAAAGATTGTTTTCTGGCTTCTTGCAAAGGGGAAATTTTTCTAGTGCACAGTGAGAAAGTAAATGTTTCCAATCATGCATATTTGTAAGCTAGCCAATTCTATAAGAGAAAATAACCATGTGAATTTACAATCATCATAATTTGGGCAAGACACATTAAACACAGCTCATACTTAAAGGGATATTCTGGCGTAAAAATTGATTTAAGGTCAAAGTCAAACACACCCTAACACCGAGTTAGACACCCCCTTGAGAGATGAATGTTGCTGACTGCTTGCTTCTCTAGTTTTACCAATTTGAGTGACGACCGCAGAATAGCAATACACAGCGGTCTGAGGAGCCATAAACAAACCTAAACCAAGACGCCACTCTATAGCCACAAATAATGCTCAGAACAGCTCCTAACTTCATCAACAGTACATATAGGGTCCCAGCCATAGTACTAGACACCAAACATCTTTTTAACTTTGCCGGATTTCTTAAGCAAAGAGACTAAATACAACTCACCTACTCTCTTCCAAGAGCCACTTGATTGTAGCAAGACCTCGGGCAAGTCCATTACGGACTGCTGTGGGGTGACACTGTTCAAGGAAGAACATTTATGATCATTTCTTTATAATTTCCTTGAAGTAATAATCACCATATTAATCATTTTGCACTGCAGACACAGTAGTTCTTCTGCCTTAGCGTCTCGGTCTGATTGCATTTCCATGAAGAAATGATCATAAATGTTCTTCCTTGAGCTGCGTCACCCCGCTGTAGTCCGTAATGGACTGGCTTGAAGTCTCACTACAAACAAGGGGCTGCTGGATGAGAGTGGGTGAGTTGTGTTTAGTCTCTTTGCTAAAGAAATCAGGCAAATCAAAAAAGATGTTTGGTGTCTAGTGCTGTGGCTGGGACCCTATATGTACTGTTGATGAAGTTAGGTGCTGTTCTGAGCATTATTTGTGGCTATAGAGTGGCTTTTTGGTTGAGGTCAGAATATCCCTTTAAGGTGCTAGAAATCATACTAACTTGATTGAGATGATCAGGTTGCATAAAGTAAAGGTTTTAAGACATTTTTAATCCCAAAACCTCTGTTAATGTTATATTAAAGGAATAGCTTACCTGTGCTGGCGGTGCTTTTATAAGCACAGACCAGACTCCTTGAGCTAGCAAGTGGACCTGTTAAGGAAACAGTCTCTGAATTGAGTAAGAAGTCACTTTCCCAGCCTGGCTGATGATACTGTGCTTCTGGATCCTTATTTACAAAGAGGGATCATGGAGTTAAAAAGACATGGGCTTTATGTGTTGATCATATAAAATATCAGTAACATATTTTGGATTTTTACTTTCTAATCCAATGAAAGCAGTGTTTCTAAAGTTGAGATCTTTTTAATGTGTTGATAGACTTCTTAGACTTTGTTGCGAACATGACTGTGCAGCAATAGCTTTAGTTTGTTTCACGGCTAATAGTTCTGGCTCGACATTTTCACCACCTTTGATAAATGCACGGATTGGGTGAACATTGATCCATGAGGCCCAAAGTTCATAAGACCCGAACTTCTTTGGATCTCTTTTTTCTCAACTTTGATTCTGCTTACATAAAGCCCAATAAGCTTGTTTTGTATTTCTGGGTACACAACAGAAACCCCCTAGAAATGCTCATTGGTCAGTGGACTGTTAGATTCTATTGGATCAGCAAAGATGTAATGAATCAAAACAACAGATTAGGATCGAGAACCCGTCCTGATAAAATATGGTTGTAGAACATATCAGTGCCAGCCTATTGCCTGCTTGGTAACCATGGCAACGAGCATCCTTTTGATTGGTATCCTCCATCTTCTCCTTTTGAGTCAGGGCTGGTGGGGTTTTCTGGAGCCGAAATTAGCTCTTCAAAATATACTTGTGTTTATTACCATCTGTTTGGTTGTTTTTATTCACTAAGGCACCCATCCATGTTATCCTCACTTGTGCTGTCCCTAGTTGCCATAGCAACACCCGATGTCTTGCTGCATTTGTGTCTCACACTCAGGCAGATAGAGAAGGGGAAGAGGAGATGGATGGTGGAGTGGGGTGGGGGGCAGGGGGTACAGGTCGCATCACGAAAAGCTCTATAACACTGACGACCTTAAAATTTTTGTGATGTTGTGTGTCGATGCTGCATCGTGCCTCTCTGTTTTTCCCTCCCTCTCATTCTGTGTCTATTCCCCCAATCAGTTTTGGGGGGCCCCGCCTCCTCCTCAGGCAGAGGCCATGTTAGTTCAGCGACAGATTGCACAATATGTGGTCTGGGCACAGATGCACACACACACACACATATAGACATATAAGCAAGTTGGCTGGCGGATGGAGTATGCATTCAAACACAACAACATGCTTCCTTTTTTGAATATCCTCTACCAATCCTGTTTTTCCCTCCGTCAGCAAGTCTTTCTTAAGCCATGGTTTCCTCTTTTGACGCTTTATTGTGTGTGACACTGACGAACTGGCCTGAGTACATAAAAAGACATGGACTTGACAGTGCAGAAATAGCTGACTGAGGTCAAACACGGTGAGAACCAGCTGTCTTTGCTTCTTTACTTTGTTGCTGTCCTGCTTTATTTGTTTCTGGGTCCAGCCCTTTTGGTCTGTCTGTCTGTCTGTCGGTCTGAGGTTGCTCTGTGGCCACAGCTATTTTGTTGGGAGTGTGGCTTTGGTGACCAAAGGGATCCATGAGCAGACTGGCAGAAAATTTCCCATGGTTCCCTTGGCACATTGTCTTTTTTTCAGCCAGTACACATTTGCCTCTTGTGAACAAACGGCTTTTGGCTCACTGGTTTGACTCTTTGAGTTTGATGAATGAGCAGAAATATCTGTTTCTGGAAGTTGTCATTTATCAAGGTTTTTGTAAGGAAGTACAGAAGACAGAGAGTATAATGATTGCCATTAATCAAGGAAGAATAGCTTCAGCTGTGGTTTTGAATAATTTGGTCTGGACCTTTATCCAGATTATTCTTCCTGTCCTTTTTCATCTCTAGTATTTTCTTTGTCAGCAAGGTTTAAAACGATATTTTTGGGGCAAGTTATCATTGAAGCCGAAATCATAGCATTTGAGACATTTTACGGGTACGTGTAGGTTGCATATGTCCTGTCACACCTTCCTTACTTCAAAACATTGCGTTGGTACAGTTATCCTAACAAGCCGATGGGTGAATCAGACTCCTGTCAAGTTGAGAGTGAGTGTAAACCGACTGTGATCTCGACAGCGGACTTTGTTTTTCGTCATCAGCGGGTCATTTCCATGTGCCCTGTCTCCATGTGGACTATTTCAGATGTCACTGTGGGTTCATTGTTTACATCAGTGTACTGGTGATGTTTTTACTACCAGCCATAGATTGCCTCCCCCAGGCTCTGAGGTTTGGGTATTTTATACCCACTTCCTCCTGTGGAGCGGTAACCCACCAATCACAGCATCCGACCATTTGCTGTTTCCCTCCTACATGCCGTAATGCTCCAATCAGGGTTGAGAAAAACAGATTTTCCTTTGCGTGTGGACCTCCCACAGTCCATCCTGAGTTTAGCCCATTCAGACTCAGTTCCTCTCGTAAACAGTCCCAGGATCTGAGGGGGAGGCTGTAAACACATACAGGGACAACTGGAGTTAAAGTTACACTGCCCAAGTCTTACCGTGCAATAGAACCCGAGGACAGCATCCTACTTTACAAGCACCACATGCAGGACCAACTTCCTCCTGCTCCACCTGGGGAGAACAGCATTATCTCCAGTAAGGACAGGGAAGAAAGGATATCCGGCTGATTCCCAGTCCTGAAATGACAAAAGGTTTGTCAAGCTTCAAAGAGATAGAGGTTGAGAGGTTGTTTGGATGGACATGGTTTGTTGGTTTAACCAGCATTTTGAAGGGGCAAATTCACTTCAAGTGCAGCTGTAGCCCATGCACTGTTTACTCTGTAACAAAAGGCACAAGAGAAGAGAAGATGATTCAACACTCAAGCACTCACAAAATACCTATTTGTTGGAAGGGGTGATGTGGTCTGAAGCATGTTGAAGTTTTCTAAGATATTGGTCTTCCACTTTCAAAATAACTTGTTGACTTTTTTGGGAAGTTTTACACAACTTGATCGTGTCTTTTTGAACCAGTTTCATTTAGTCAGTGTCTCCTGCGCACATGCTGGAACCCATGAAAGGTATGCCTGAGGTTTCCTTCCATGATATCAATCAGCAGGTTTTGTATTTTATTATATATTTATAATTTTGTCAATCCATCACAATATACTCCAAAAATGTAAATCCTGGTCTCAAAGAAAGCAATATGTAGTTTGATCATGGTAGTCAAACCACAAAAAATGAGTGCTTTTATTGTGCGTTTGAGTCAAGTGTGTATCATCTAGGACCTTTCTTTCTCAATGTGGTTTGTCTGTTGTCTGTTTTTCATATTAAATTAAAGGATAAGATGTAGAGCAGATGATCTGATATCACACAGTGCTGCCCTGCTGTCTTTCTCTTTGCTTGTACCTGTAGCATCTGGTACAGAGCTCTGCAGTCTGCACACTCTTTCATGTCAGAGCCTGCTCCGTGTTTATCTGCGCTGGTGTCTGCTAGGGACATGCCTGTAAAATTATCGAGATGTCATCATCCTTGCATGCAAAAAAAAAAAAAAAAAAGAGTTGTAGGCCTGAAATGATGACTGAGTGTTGTGTGTAAGATGTGGTGCAGCCACCAGCCTTTAGCTAAGACCGTGGTTTTGGTGAATAGATACATGATGCTTCACTACCAAGATGTAAACAGGCACAACTGACAGCAACTTGTAGCACAGTATTTTGATCTAGTAGAAGGAGATACAGTTGTATGAAGGCCATGTCATGCTTCTAGATGAGTGGCTTGTAACTCATGGACCAAAGCAATCCATAACCAGCAGACATGTCATTTACAAGAAGGACTGAAGACTGGTGGTGCTAGCTCTGCTAACATATCCCCACAGAGTAGACAAATATGCATAGTGTACTTGCAGACTCTATGGTAAGGTTTTAGTTATTATAAAAAATGGTAAATTTGGACTGTAGTTCCACTCTTAGAGATACAGGTGTAGGTTTGTCTGAATTCAAATTTCCATTAAAACATCTACGACATAAGTTATGTTGAAATTTTCCCAGTGTGTTCTGTCGACATACCTTTTTTGGGCGGACGTCAATATGGTTCGTCCTCCTACAACATTTTGATTCTGAAAGATAAAGCAGTAGCCAATTGTGAATATCTGTGTTGGAGTTTTCTTTCTCTTATCATGCCTCCCAGACACAGCCTTACTTATCCATGTGGTTTCTCAACATCATTTCCAGCTGCTCTCCCCTGTTTTGTCACATCTATATCCCTATAACCTCTATTCTGTATGACAGGAGGCATGGCAAAGGTTCTGTTTTTACCTCGGTTATGCAGTGACTTTCCATGAGATTGACCCAAGAACCTCTTTCCTGTAAGAATGCTCCCTCAGGGGGCCGAGCGTTTAACTTACCATCTGTGACCTGTTAAGCTCATCACTGCAGGAGGCAAACTGTGCAGAGACACTTTCCAAAGCCTGTCTGCTTAATTTCTCATGGATGTAATTATTCAAGGCTTTACCTGGATCTTCACATACTTAAACATAGACTTTAGAATAGTTAAGAGCTGAGACTCATTGGAGAATTAGCCGTGTACTTGTCCTGATGACACTTGGGTTTCCACAGTAATTAGAGGCTTAAAAAGCAGCAGTTCAGAGCAAGCTGACAGCTCTGAGTCTGTTAAATTTGACCTTGTTCCACCTTAGTTTGAAAGATAAGTACCTTTCCAGAAAGAATGCTGCTCCTGTGTAAACTATTGTGAAACCAAGTTTATTGCAAATTCCAATTTTCAGCAAATACATGTTATATGAGCATAGTGGTCCATAAAATAGAAATAGCTTAAACAGTTGTTCTGGATGTTCAGCCAAGTTCTTTTTATTGTGGCATTTCTGCACTATAAATACACGGTCTTCATATGGGCACTGGCATCAATAAGTCACTGCTGATGCTTTTAGTTCAACGTTCATGCTAATACACATGTAGCTTTTTCAGTGTTATCACAGTCAATGTTATAAATGGTTGGTAAACAACCATATAGTCTGAATCTACAGCAGGCTTTATATCATGAAGACGATTAGACTCTTGTTTCCTTCTGAAGAACAATTGGTTCCAAATTACAAAGATGTGAATTAGCAATTGTCTAACTGAAGTGGTCATCATGATAGGGGGCTGTGTAGAGGAAGGTCAAACATTGTTGGTGTATATACTATCAAACCCATGTAGGGCTTGCTCCTCTCTTGTTCTCTTGCAATCCCTTCATATAGGGCTAAATAATATGGCCTTAAATCAATATCACGATATATTGAGCAGTTCTCCTCGATAATGATAAATGGACAATAACGATAAATGGAAGATAATTACTCCCCCAGCTGCTCACCCCCTCCCACATTAACTTCGTCTACTTCAGCCGCCACTCTAGCTGCTACAACTTTTGAACTGTCCTCCATCTCCTCACCTGTCTTTCCCTCTTTTTTACAGACTGGATAGGGTGGAGTCACGTCTCTGACATAGGACAAAGTCTTAAAAGGGACATGAGACCATAGCCGACCTACACACATCCAAAACCAACTTTTATTTATACATGTTTTTGACATTGAATATATTGACATGGGCAAACTGACATCGGTTATTGTAAATTTCAGCATCTGTAAATTTTCGTTTTATCACCAAGCCCTACCTTCACATGTACAGTTGTATAGACAAGGCAACTTCAGCAACAGTACCTCAGCAAAATAGTTGGAGTTAGGCAGCCCATATCTAAGGCTGATATATGTAAACTGGTAAATTATTTGTATATCTTTCCATCCAGCCTCCCATCCTTTCCTTTTCTTGTTACCCACTATGCAAAGGAAAGGAATTCTGCTATAATGTTGGCTTCTTTTTACTGTGAGGTGAAGTTGTCTTATCTCATATTGATATGAATGTTTCCAACCCAAGTGGGTGTGGAAGATTGAATCAGATCAGTCATACTGCTGCCAGCAGTTGCAACGTTCTTTGCACAAACTTTTCAGTGGATGCTGCCAAACCAAGCCAGTTCCAACAACTGATAGAGATGTGGCTTTTATAGGAACTAACTCTGTATTAACCCTAGCCAGGTTGTTAATGTGTGTCTTAGTAGGAAGTAAAGAAGAAATGGGGAGGGTGCAGACTTTGAGAAACCAAAGATAGCAGCAGATGAAGTTAAAGGGAAAGTCCAGATTTTTATTTTTTATAATTGTCCTGATCAGTATATCTCCCAGCCCTAAATTTGTTTGTTGCTTTTACTGGCTGTTCTGAAGCTCTGGTTAAAGGCTAATGCCATAATGCTATGACATATAGAGATGACATATGTTATCGTATAGCACAGCTCAGCAGGGATGGTACTGAAAAAAGTTTGCTGACTCAGTAAACCAGTTTGGCACTGTTTACCTGCAGTCTCTTGCATGTTTAATAGATTTTTAATTAGACTAGTTGATTTGTTCGAATCTCAATCTTCATTTAGATTAGCTACTTCTGAACACCTCTGATCAAAATAAGGGGCCTGGTTTGAGAAGCAGTTGTAGGCTTTACTGACAAATATAAAATGAGGAACTAATCTGACAAGGCAAGTGTTGACAGTTTCTTAAATTGTGAGTTAATTTACCAATCCATATAAACCAAAATACTCCAGATGCATTGGTCTGTGTCTCTGGAGGGGCAGGAGGAGCGTAGAGGAAAAGCCAACAGAGTGGACAGATCCTCTTCAGATTTCCACAATTAGAGGCTTTTACTGTAATCACACATTTACGTAGCATGTGCGGAGATCAAGCCCCTGAATAATTGCTCAGACTTTAATCTTACAACAAGGACGTGTTTCATCAATCTGAATGAGCTCCTTTGTTGGGAGATTTGAGGTTTTTACTTGTGACAGAAGCCATTGTTAAGCAATGGAAGTCTGAAGTGGAGACCAAACCCTTTGCTGAAACCAGCTCAGCACCGACCCAACCCACATTGTCCTGATGGTGGAGACAGAAAACCTGCCTGGGTCCGAGTGAAAGACAGAAATAGAATCACTAACAGCAGTAACTTGATGAGGAGACTGCTGGGACCTGAGAAATTACAAAAACATTTAAATGCAGTGAAAATATTATGAATAGAATTCCAGCATAAGTCCACAAGTGGCCCTCAGCTCCGGCCTTTTGCTCCTGGTGGGGGGCAGAGGAGTCGGGGAGCACACCCCGGCCCCCCCCCCCCTTGTCAGTACTGGGGCCAACCGCAGGAATGTGAGCCGCTGTCAGGAAGCTGTAAAGTGCTGATGCGGAGGTCAGCGAGCGTTTACACACATGTGGCTTTACTTTCACAACTCCATCTTGCCTCTTTTTCTTTTTTCATCTTCATCTGAGCCTTGCTTTATTTTGCCTTATCTTCCTCTTTCCTGACAACTCCCTCCCCCTTTCTTTTTTTTTTTTTTACTTGTAGTTTTCTTCTGTCAACATCAAGGTTCACCTGCGCATGGGTGCAGAGGGTTCAAGTGGTCCTGTTCCTGCTCCAACAGGAGTTGTAGTTTGTTATTTGCATATTCCATAGATTTTGAAACAACATACTGGAAAGTAGGATCCTTTTGTTTATGCCATAAGTGAGGACTATGATGATCGGAAACCCCAGATTACAAAAATTAACAGAGCAAGTGTTGGAATCACTGCTAATAGGTAAGTGGTGCCAAAGTTAAGATGTTGTTCTGCTGCCTCATGACTGGTATTTGCACTCAGATTATTCGACACGTGTCAAAGGCTTTAAGAGGGCAAACAGGAATGCTCAGAAATACTTGCGAGCACTCAACAGTTTATTGAACTGGAAACGATATCATCTGCAGTGGCATTAGTTTTCGAGATTTGACACTAAATGTATTTCTTTTGAGGATTTTCTGCTTGGCTCTACCGAACAAACCAGCTCTGATGATTGATGATAGACTGAATTGGCAGGATGGGGTGTTTTCATCGCCTGAAAATGTTGACCATCTGTTTTATAAAAAACGGACGTCGAGCAGGTCCAGTTTGGAAAACAGCTTAGTTGCACCAAAAAAGAGAAGGAAAAACGGCAGTCAGAAGTGGTAGACAGAGACTGACACAAGAAGAGAAAACTTAAAAAACATGAGAAAAGAAGCTGTTATAGATTTACAGATTTTAGAGAGTCAAGTCAACCAAGTAAGATTTGTTTGGTGATCGAATAGACATTTTAGCCAGAGAACTGACAATCAGATGGTGCACTGGTTGTTCACAGAAATGAACTAAACATACTTAGAAAGGCCTCTCTTAACACATTACTAAATGATGAAAAGCACTTATATAATTGGAGTGTTGTCTTCAGGCAGCTCAGTAGTAAGTTTCCGCTGCAGACAACACAGGAACTTTAGTTGGCTGTATTGTTTATCGTTTCATTGCCGAAAAAACGTGGGGACTGTTTGTGGTAATATGTCCAAGAGTAACACATTATTTCTTTGTAACTGCGTGCTATGTTGGTCCCTTTTGGCACAAAACAGTGAAGTCTTCTTAAACTGTGATGCAATACAACAACACTTTAAATGACATTATACAATACTTGAAAGCTTCCAGATGGCTCAGTTTTAAGGAGTCTGAGGTAATAGTCATAGTAAGTCAAATATTATTAAAATCACTTAAGTACTTTGTGTTTGAGCTCTTACGTATTAGCTAAGTATAGAGAAGCAGCTAATCAGAATGGCTATTGGGAAATCACATCATTAAAGCCAACACAGTACAATTTTATTCTTTGCTCTAGACCAGCGAGTGAAAACAGCACTTTAAAATCACTTTTTACAATACTTGAAAAGCTCCCTGATGGCTCAGTCGTAGTCTGAGGTAATGTTCATAGTAAGTCAAATATTATTAAAATCATTATATTATATTATAATATGATATTATTAAAATGTGTTTGAGCTCTTACATATTAGCTAAGTATAAAGGAGCAGCTAATCAGAATGGCTGTTGGGAAATCACATCATTAAAGCCAACATAGTACAATTTTTCTTTGCCTTAGACCAGCGAGTGAAACCAAAAGAGGTTAACAACACTTTCAAAATAAATGGCAACTGACTGCAAACTCCAGGTCTGAGGGACAACCTCGTATTGGTACCAGTCATGTGTCTTATCAGCGGTGCAACAGTTTTAGGACTTTAAAGAAACAGGGTCAGAAATCAAACTTGTATAAGTTTTTGAAAATTTTTTTGAAATTTGTTTTGTTAAGTGACCTTGTGTGCTCAAAATGCTCTTATAAATTAAATGTTTTAAATATTATACAATTTTTTATACATACAACAACAACAAAAAGTTATTTATCACCTCTACCCTCATGATGGAGATGATGAGCAGTGGTCTCGCTCAAAGGTCATTGCTAGCCTAGCCACCATTAGAGGATTCAATAGCAGGGAATACTACCCCGCAGAGCATCATTATATAAAGTCTAGTGTCTGTTTTAGTCATATATATGTTGGTAAAAAAGCTAGTGCTACAATAGAAGCAACTGGTAAGCCATTCAAAGTATTTCAACATGGCAAAGACTCCCATGATATAACATAATCATGTTCTTTCATGTAGCAAAGCTTGTATAAGTCGACATGGACACAAAGGGCCTTCGTCTCAGTGGCAGTTGCAGTGTGAGAACTGTGTCCTTAAAAAGAAATCCCTATTAAGTGGTAAATATGTCTGATTTTCCAAAAGCAAAAATATGTGATAAACAGACTTTGTAAGGAATGACTATGGGATCGAAAACAAGATCGAATGAAGGAAACATATTAGAATTGTATGAAACACCAGCCGCAGCTCTGTAACTTCATACAATGGCTGAGACAGGCAAGATCAAGTAATTCATTACCCAGCTGAAAGACTCACTTTCTGGATAAATTAAGGGCTAAAGAGCAGATTTTGAAAACTTTGGATCTGGCACAGAGCTGGGGAAAAAATGCAGCACAGGATGGATTTATGACAAGGCACGGATTAATGGACCTGCTGATAGTCTCGCATCTTGTCTCTGTTGGTCTTGAAAAAAAGAAAAAAACGAAGTGATCGTAATTCAGGGCCTTTTTGGGGACCCCTGATTCAACCTTTGGCTCGGACAATGTTACATGGAACGGGGCAAAATGTGTTCAATCTGTGCTGGAGAAACTGCGGAAAAATGAAAGATTTAAGGCACCTGCAGATTCAGTATCCACCACAAAGGTTATTGTCCGTTTACTACAAATTCTTATTTTGTCAAATGATCTCTGAATATGGAGGGGGAGTGCAAACACACTTCCCGGTATGCATGCCAGCGTGGTGTGTTTTTTTCATTTGTTGCGAAATTTCGTCTCGACTATTTCTAAGAAGCCCAGAAATTCCACTGGAGCTGGATCCAGCATGTGGTTCTGCTCGGCGTCAGGAAACACTGACTGAGGACTGTGTGAGAGCAGGCAGCTCTCTTCTTGTTTTGACGGAGGAGGAGGCAGCGAGGTCAGCGCTCCCTTCATCTGCTTCTCACATTCCACTTTCAGCCGAGTAAACCTCTCACACCGTCTCACTTTTGGTCTTCATCCCTCGCTTTCACCACCAATGTTTACATGTCAGAGGGCTCTATTCATACCGTTAAGATTTTTATGCAGTCATAGGACTTTAAACCTAACGTCTGCTGTTTGTGTTTCAACCTGAGGTGAATAAAAGATGCATGGAGCACTTTTACCTCCTTCTGCATGGGTAAGGATTGTATGTTCCTGGTGTTCTCCTCTAATACACATCTATAAAATATAAACACTAAGCACTGATTCTATGGAGGTTGCACTTTCTATTAAGCCTCGAGCAGAGTAGTCAAAGAAACCACGCAGGCTAAAGTGCAAGCAATTAGTCGTCTTTTACTGGTTTCTAAGTTTCCCTAAAGCAAAATGTGCGTGTCTCTTTTCTCCATCAGCACTTCCAGACCATGCTGAAGACCAAGCTAAATGTGCTGACACTGAGGAAGGAGCCATTGCCCACAGTGATCTTTCACGAGCCCGAGGCCATTGAGCTGTGCTCCACCACGCCGCTAACAAAGAACAGACCCCATGCTGGATACAAGGTACGATCACATGCAAAGAATAATCCATAAATCCAGCCTGCTAATTCCATAATAGCATTAATAGATCCAAAAAATACAACACGTTTATTCATGTACACTGCGCTCTGTCCAACACACGGTGTTTCTACAGCTTTAAGGTCGAGTGAAATCCTTCTATAATTAGTTTTAATCAGCAGAAGTGGGCACATGATTTCTTTTTTTTTGTACATCTTGGCATTTATTCATCCTGTTTTGTAAGGTCAGACGTAGAGTTTGATCCGGTCTATTTGACACACGGCTCAAATGTCTTTTCCCTGCCCTCAAAACAGAAAACAAACAGATTAAAATAGCAGCCAAGCTCTGTTATTACACACAACACTCCTTAACTAAGCAACTGGGTCTGTCTTTGTGTATTTGTCTGCCTGGTGCCGCAGCATCGCAAGCACAACAAATAAACATAGACGACTGTGAGCTTATATGAGACGGCTCCGAGTGGCTGTGTGTGTGTCAGTGCGAGGATTAAGCTTTGTGCGCAAAATGTTGTTTTTCAGTCCCTGATGATGCCCCATTAACAAGCATGTCGGAAAAAGAATTTCACATTTTCCAGCTTTACCTAACTGAAATAAACAGTTCATATCTGGCAGTTGCTTAAATTTTTGGGGGGATAAAAAAAGTGTCCCTCTTGAAATTATCGCCAAGAAACACACTCAGGGAAGTCTTAGACCTTGTGATTGTTGTTCATTTCTGTATTTGTTGGATCGCCGCGCCGAGGGGCTAACCTCAAGTTTGTACTCGACAAACTATCATGTACAAGCATACGCACACACATAAACATACACGCTTTCCGACATAGGCTTATAGACGTCTTGAATTTTGCATTCCCACATTAGCAAAGAGACTAAAAGTGCTGAGTCCTCAACGGAACTTCCTAAAATCCCCCTGAAGTTCAAATCTTAAGATGAAGTGAAAGTCAGTGTGACGGCCTTTCCTGGCAGAGCAGACAAGTTTAGTCTGGCTGGGAGAGTAACACAGAGAAACACATTACAAACTTAAAGTTTTTATTGGCTCAGAACCACATAAAATGTCAACAAGTGTCCTGTGCACTCTTCTGGCTTCAGCAACAAAATGATTCTTAGAAGCAACTTCAGTCTCAACATACTGTGAGGAGTACTTAAAGTCTATTCTAAATCATAAATAAGAAAATATTTGCATTTGATTTGTCTTTAACCAAACAAGACCATCAGCCAACGTTTTAGAGGATAGTAACCTTCAGTGACAGTCACCAAGTAGGATTTCCACAAGTTTCACTGTTTGCAGAGAGTTGAAAGAAATAAAAGCGTTCTTTATTGATTGCTACATATGCTACATATATGAAGAAACATCCAGTTCTTGAAGCACGTGGGCTACAATATGAGTGTTCACATGCTCCTTGTAGATTTTTAAATCAGATTAGGATGAAAAAAAAAGACCCGATGCTGTTGTTTTAGAAATGAAAGGTGTCTTTTCCCTCAAACGATCAAGATAAACAGTGATGGCAGCTAACAGATGACAGTTTTGTATTGAGTAAAATCCTTGATGTGACATTGTAAAGCTGTTACATTATTAAACACTCCACCTGTTACACCGCTCCTCCTCTTGCTCATCCTGGTGTTTCTTTAAGACAGCTGTTAGTCTGCCAGACACAATAAAATCCAACCAGATCTTCTTGTCTTGTAAAAGCTGCAGTGAAAGTATATCTGTGTTTAGTGCTTCTACAGCTGAGACTACAAGCAGAGCAGTAAGTCAACACATAAAACCATCATGTTGTCATCAGCGCTGCATATTAAATACAACAGTGATTGGAATTACAATCTTTCTTTCGGGTGGCTTACTTTAAATCCTCACTTAGCCCCTGTGGAAGATTTTCTTCACCTCAGCTGGATTATACTCCACACACACTGATGTCACCCGAATCAGTGCATGGCAGAAATTAAGTCATCAAACCACAGCAGTTTTCCCAAATATCATCCGATTGAAAGTTCTTCGTCTTCTTCTTTTTCGTTTTCTTCTTCGTCTTCTTTCTTTTCTTTGTCTTCTTCTTCTTCTACACGGTATCGTTATGCTAATATAACCATGAGCTAATAGATGTGGCTTACAGTGGATGAACTTATTAGATTTTATGTGGTAGTGAGGGTCAGCTGGTCACAAACATGACATTTGATTGTATACAGTTTAAAAATATTCCTTCAACTACAAGATGTCTCACAAGATGTTATTTTTTTTTTTTTTTAAGTTTAGTTGGCAGACGTTTTCTGTCTTATCCAACTTTGTGAAGTAATATTGTATGTCATTATGGACACTTACTTTAAATCCTCACTTAGGCTCTGACGAAAAAAAATGTTCTCACCTTAGCTGGACTATACACTCATCTCACCTGAATCAGCGCATGGCAGAAATCCCAATTTTCAATCCCATTGAACCTCTGGGGATCAATAAAGTTATTTTTCTCTTTCTTTTTCTTCTTCTTCTTCTTCTTCTTCTTCTTCTTCTTCTTCTTCTTCTTCTTCTTCTTCTTCTTCTTCTTCTTCTTCTTCTTCTTCTTCTTCTTCTTCTTCTTCTTCTTCTTCTTCTTCTTCTTCTTCTTCTTCTTCTTCTTCTTCTTCTCCAATTAGTACCAGGGCGTGGTGTCTCTTTCTTGTAAATGGTCTATTACACTTCCTCTGGTCATGTTACCATATACGTTACATGTTACATTCAGCCATTCATGGTAAATTCATATACTGATGCCACTGGTTGCAGTTCAGGGTTCAGTGTCTTTCCCATTTACATTTGACACAAAGTTGAGGGATTGAACCCTCGATTTTCTGACTTTGAAAAGGTTTACTCCACCCCTGAGCTTTAACTGAGGGTGTGTTTGTCTGTGGGGCTGTTGTTCTAAAGACAAAATGTCAGTATGCTAAACTTCGACTTTGCTTCTAGGAAGTCTTCTTTTTCTTCATCTTCATTTTCTTCGTCTTGTTCTTCTTCACTATATCGTTATACTGATATAAACATGAGCTAATAGATGTGGCTCACCATAGCCGAACTTTTTAAATTTTATGTGGTAGTGAGGGTCACAATTTAAAAATATTCCTTCAACTGCAAGATGTCTCACTAAATGTTCTTTTTTTATTTATTTATTTTAGTTTGCAGACATTTTCCGTCTTTTCCAGTGTTGTGAAGTAATATTCTATGTCGTTATGGACTCATGCGTCCCAGTGTTTCGTGAGTCATACCTGATTTCACAACTCACCAACTGGTTTTGATTACCAGTCATGCACTGGAAATGTGTTTTTTCCGATCATCAATAAACTGTTCCTGTTTTTTGACGGTAATTGTTGCCAATCCGAACCAACACTTTCGTGATGCTAAGTTATTTAGCAGAATAGCGGTGGCAGTGAGACATAGCCGTCTCGTGCGTCACCCTATCACTGCCACGATAGAGGATAAATATTGATGTGTCACTTAGGTGCATGCTGCACTCAGCTATACTTGGTATCCCTCTCTGTCTAGTGTGAATCCCAGCATCCTCTCTCTGCCCGCTCCTCCTCTGTACTCGCTGCTCTTTCCAGCATTACTGAGAATGCCAGGGCCGCGTTGTCATGGATACCACTACAGCTATTCAACAGAGAAACCTACCGCACAAGACATTCATTTCCCTTGTCTGTCTGCAGCCTCCATATTTGCAAGTCCGTCTGCCTCGCCGCCTGCATCTGTTGGCTTGTGTAACTTCCTGTCTGACTCACTACCTGCCTGTCTGCATATCTGTCTGCCCACCTGCTTCAGCACCTCAGCTGAGGCTTCCAAAACATTTGATTTTCATTTGGAAGTAGAAAATTGTAAAAGGAAAAAAAAACAAAAAGGTCCTTTTGATCTCCCTGAAGCCTTCCTGTTTGGCATTCATCCTCTACAACACAATACAACACCGTTTATTATCCTCTTGGAGAATCTTATTTTCTTTAATTTCCCCTCCACTCCACGCTCTTTCTCTCTCTTTCTCTCTCTCTCGCTCTCTCTCTCTCTCTCTCTCTCTCTCTCTCTCTCTCTCTCTCTCTCTCTCTCTCTCTTTCTCTCTCTCTCGCTCTCTCTCTCTCAGCCCCCCAGTTGTGCTTCCAGTTTACAGGAAGGCTGGCTGTGGGCTGCTGTCCGTCTGCCAAAGCTAACAGCTAGCAAGGATGAAAGGCCATCTCTCATTGCCCCTCGTAGCCTGCTGCTCTCAAAACAGTCCACTTCTTATCCACTGAGAAAGTGTGTTCAGGGCTCTTTGCAGCCATGCCAGCTCTACAGTCATACTCCGCGATGACGGAGAAATGACTTTGGAGGCTGCTCAAGATACAGCTCAGCTTTTTATTCTTGTTTTTACAAGGTTTGATTTTAGTCATTTTTCCTTTTCCAAGAAAAGAGAATCTGATCACCTTCATGTGACTTTGTGTTTACTTGTCTCCGGGAAATATTAGGGGTGGGAATCACTAGTGGCCCCACGCTATGGTATTATCAAGATACTTTGGACATGATACGTTATTATAGTCATTTTTCTTTCCTTTATGTTTGTCTTATTTACGCTTTATTTTATTTTCATGGACCACATCTTGCACTAACTTTCTCCTGCTCTTTGATCTCACCTCTGCCAACCTCACTGGACAAACAGTTGGCTTTATTTTTCCATTATCATAGATTTGACTTCATTTTAGCAATTAATTTGAAAAATCAATACTTTGTAAATGAAATGATAGGATATATCACCAGACAAAATAACACAATACTATGCTGTATGGATTTATTCTTCACCCCAAGAAAATATGGAGTCAATTTTGACTTAAGTCTCATGTTTTTACAGTTATTGTATAATTAATTTAATTGAAAACTCATATATTAATCCTTTTGTTTGAGCAATTCTCTTACAAGTCCAGATCTGACCCCCTGCTTTACTGTCCTAGATCATTTATTTTTCTAAAGCTGCTATATAAATAAAATTATCATCATTATTAATTTTTTTACGATGAACACACAGGTGTCTTTGTCAGGTCTCGTGAGACAGTAGGTAGACAGTAAACTCTAGAAAGGTTACTTTGGATGTGAAGTAAAAATGGACCAATCTTTCCACAGAAACCAGCTCCACCAAAATGTTGCAGTAAATGATATTTGTTTGTGAGATTATGTGAGTAAAGCTTTGATCTTCAATCAGCTGGGATCAATATTCACAACAGAAGATCAAAATTCAGTTTTTTCCCACTCCTTTGTCTAGGTCAGTGTTAAAATCACGCAGTCAGATAAGTAAAGCTGTGTGTCAAATCTCTTTTTGGACTGACGTATGCAGTTTCAGATGTATGGTACATCCTCTATAGACAAACTCTCACCTGTATAATGACACCAAACCAGTGATACTGTGTGATTCTTCCACTCCAGAGACATTCACACCAGCAGCCCAGTGCATACTGGTCCTGCATGTCTTTATCTAATCTGTCAGCAGAGAGACCCTGTGTCTGTCTGTACTTGGTATTCTGATGTCAGTCAGTATGCTGCTGGATGTACCGTCACTTCTCCTCCAGTGAACAGAGAACAGAACACTCAGTGATGACACTTACACTATCAGTAATGTCCAGGCTGAGAGGACCAGTACTCCCAGTGCTCTGCTGGATAGACGTCTGTGGAGCTTTTGTTTCTGTGATTCTCCCTTTATGTGTGCGTAATTGTATATATTTAGTCAGTAAACATCGTTAACATGCAAGTTGTGGGCATACACTGATCTCTCAATAAAGCTGATGAGCCAGGACTATGATTTCCTGAACCAAACAAGTGTGATAGAGAAGACCACGAGTTTGGGGGTTTTGAAAAGTAGCTTTGATCTGACAGAAAAGTCAGCCTACCCGACCTCTGTAGAATTTAGTGAATTAAAGGGATATTCTGGCGTAAAATTAAGTTAGGTCAAATAAACCGTAACACCAGCTTTAGTAATGACTGCAGGATAGCAAGGAGCCAAAAACAAACCTCAACCAAAACGCCACTCTGTAGCCACAAATAATCTTCAGAACAGCACCTAACTTCATCAACAGTACATATAGGGTCCTAGCCATAGCACTCGCCACCAAACATCTTTGTAGCTTTGCCTGATTTCTTTAGCAAAGAGACTAAACATGACTCACCAACTCTCTTCCAGCAGCCGCTTGTTTGTAGGGTTAGCTCAGATGAGTCCATCCCCAACAGCAGTGGAGTGACGAAGCTTAAGGAAGAGCAGTTATGATCATTTCTTTATCATTTCTTGGCTCTATCTTAATTTTATGCTGGAATATCCCTTTAACTTTTTACTCAGCTTTCCTGCTGATCACCCAGCTGTGTTAAATGCTAGATTCTGATTGGTCACAAACTCTTAACAGTTGTTCAAGAATTGCTCTGGCACATTGTATGTTTCCTTGTTGACAAGGAGGCATTTTAGAGGTAAACGTTGTGTCGAAATTTTTAGTTTTCCTCAACAATGTCCAAGCTAGAAAACATGATAATTTAGATTGAATCCCATCCTGCAATCCAGGCAACTGCTGCAGAGCTGGTGATTGAAAATATCAGTTTATGAGTTCATTCTTGTCCAACACTTTACATAGACTTAAAGGTCCAAATAATAAATACCAACATTTTTATGAGTATTTAAAATACGTGTAGGGATGCACCGATCCGATATTTGATATCAGTATTGTTCCCGACACTGAAGAAAATTCTAGATCAGGAGAGGAGAGGAGAAAAAGCCAGTCAGGATTCAGGTTTGGGTCAGGCTGTATATTGTCCGTGATGGCAGCTTCTTGTCAGAGGAAGAGCAGCAGGTCTGGGCTTTACTTAAATCTGCTGATTGACCCAGCATGTTTGGCTTTATTTCTGGACAGTGAGACTAAACTGTGTCTCAAGTATAGGCTGCGCCTCTGTCTGAGTTCTACCTGCCTCACTTTCACTTGCACATGTGTTATCTGTACAGTAGAAGTGTTGGCACTTATATAAGTGTTGAGGTTTTTGCACCCCTCATTTTTAGAGCAAAAATGTGCACTCTATGAACCACGGTGGTCTCTCGAGGCTGATTTTGAAGGGAAACCTGCATGTGCAGCACTTAGAATATTTGTATGAGCCTTGACCATATAATAGAGGTTGGTTAGGAGAAAAGTTTTTCTTAACATCTTTTTGGATAGACATTCAGTGCTAATTTAAGTGTTTGGGACCATGATTCCTGGGCAGGGGATAAAAAATTATTTTGGAAACCCATGGCACATTACAGGAAAGTTTAAGTTTGGATAATCTTATGCAGCTTTTTTTTTTCCTTTTTTTAGATTATGGAGATTTTTTTTAAATAAAAAAATGTTTATGAAAAAGGCTGCAAATGTGAAAGCTCCTTTCACATACACTAGGTGCTTTACACTGAAACACATAGACTCTGTTTTTTTTTACCATGAACACACACAGCATCATCTCCTCACCACACCACACTACACAAACAAGTAAATACCCACAGCACTTCAAAAAAAAAAAAAAAAAAAAAAAGTCATCCATCCTCGCATGTCGTGGCAAGCGAAGCCAGCTGTATGGTGCTGATTCAATAAGTTCAGAGGAATGTTAACAACCTCCTCTGGAATGCTGCATTCCCAAGAAGTGGATTCCTAGTCTTGTTGGGGGATCGGGGCACAGGGGCCCAGTGAGGGAGAACGCCGGGATAACCTCCGTTTCTGTCAGTGGGACGGTTGTGTTTCATCCACAGAACATGCTCCACGACTTTTGCACCGGACTTTTACTTTTCAGGACCTGATTGAAAAAACTGCCTCATCCTTTTATTTTTATATCCTCACTGTAGATTCACTCAGAAATTGTCTAGATTGTCTGGATTCAGAATTCAGGTTGGTGAACTCTAAAAATAAAAAATACTCATGAGCATACAGATAGTACACAGGTTTAACTTATTGCCTCTGGTCAACCTTAGATGTTATATTTGCAGCTGTTTTTACTTTCTGACAGTCTTCTTATTTTAGCCCTATTATATAATAATAATGCGCATTTCTTTTAACATTTGTTTTTTCATTTTCAGAGTACCACTGGTATGTAATATTTGAATTTTTTCTCAGTCAACAACTGAGATAAAGATTGAGCAAAACAGCTGTGTTTTCACAAACAGTTCGTACACTTGTACTGTTGGAAAAGAACAACAACCATGAGGATGGCAAAAACACCTGGTGCCAAAATGTGTTTTGTCTGCACCAACACTTCGTCCTTGGAGCATTATCAGGGAGAGTGTCCTGATGCTGAAAGTTCCAGGAGTGTTGTTGACTGTCAGTCTGTTCCTGCAGCTGATCTAACAGGATCAAACTAACTCCCTCAAACACTGTCTCCTTGTTCTTCTCCCAGCTCCACTTCCTGTCATCCCCTTTTTTTTCCTCCGTGTTCCCAAAGCCTCTCCGTAGGGACAGGTATCTTGTCTCTCCTCCCCCTCCCTTTTTTCCCAGTCCTCCTCCTCCTCTTTTCTTCTCATTCCCTCTGTCCCCTTTTCCTGCTGATAGCTGAACCAGCTGTGGCTCCATCAGTAGAAGCAGCTGCCCTGACTCCACACCTCTCTCTCTCTCACACACACATATACCAGGATCCATGTGTGCGTGGATGAGTACACACAAGTACAAACCCTCAATTTTACAGGAAGAAAATGCGTTTTGCGTGTTGGTGGACCAGGATGTTCACGTCTCACTCTCTAGGCTGCGGATGTTTTTCCTGTCTCCCTCTGTGCATGGCCACTTTCTATCCGCCTTCTTTGCATTCAGTAACTTTCTTTCAGCTTTCTCCCCATCTGTTTACAACAACAAGCTTCTCCTCCTCCCAGCACCACCGTCTGTTTCTCCTTTGTTATTCCATTATTGTGGTTCTTTCAGGCACTGTTGGTTTTGCATCCAATTATTGGTCCAAAAAAGTTAAATGTTAAAATCTGCGTGTTTCATTTATCATTAAAAACAGAAAGCGCTGTTACTGGCATGTACCTAAAAACAGCGGTTAGGCATGATTGTCTCACAGTCTAGTTTACAGAGTGTTCAACAGTGTTGTAAACATGCCAAGATGAGTTTGAATAAGCTCTATTGATGACTTTATTTTTCTATGCAGCCAAGGTTAGCCGTGTCCTCTTTGTTCTTGTCTCGATCATGGACAGTGTAGTACATGAACATGGTCTCAGTTTCATCACCCATCATTTCTCCAGCAGCTGACATATTGGAAATGCTGACTCAACACTACTTATGGTCAACCTAGTAACGGGAAATAGTGTTAAGCTGTGGCAGGCCTTTGGCTTCCTGGCAGACAGCTACAATGCACTTAACTCGCAGTCAAGCAAACAGCATGCCTGATTAAAGTCCAGTTTCAGTTGGACTGAGGCGATATATACATATATATTTTTAACAACATGCAAACTTACCGACTGCACATTAGCAGTGTCCAGATACGATATTGATATCGGACAGCGGTCCAATATCAGCACTCCGATACAAGCATTCCAGATTCCGCTCCGGCACCTCTATCTAGCAGCGCCCTGATCCAGCATGCTGAGCTGACAACATTACAACAAAAGTGTGTGCTGAGGTACTAACAAAGCAGCAAGGAGTAAGAGTGATGTTGGCCTTGTGGCAGTATTTTTTGTTTAAGTCTGAAAAAGACATTGCAGTTGAGTGAAAAACTTGTCATGCCCAATTTTGTATCAATATCGGTATTTATCAGTAATGAAGGCTACAATATCTGTATCTCATTGGAAGTCAAAAAGTTGTATCGGGATGCCCCTACTGCATACCAACAATTGGACAACATGGGAGTCAATGGGGCTGTCTGGACTTTTGGAGTCAGCCTCAAGTGGACACTTGAGGTACTGCCATTTTTTGGTCCTTCTGCATTGGCATCATTTCAATACTGAAAGATGCTCTTGCTAGGCAGACTTCCATGACTGCTACAATATCACTTTATGTAGCATAAAGACATAAATCTGCTCACCACAAGGACTGTATTTCAGAAAATATGATTTTTATTTCGACTTATTACATTACAAGTGGTCACGCTAACAAGGCCAACGAAAAGACGTTAATCTCAGCTGTTTATTTCAGGTGACCTTCACCATGTGAGTTGTAGCGGTCTGTCAGAGAAGGATAAAATGAAAACTATATCCACCATAAACCAAGAACCAGTAATGGTGGCCACATGTCTCACCACACATGTGGATGTTTAACAATGCTCCTCCTCTTTCTGTGGCTTACTCACAAACACTTTCGCTCCATTTCTTTGTTTTTCGTCACTCTCTACGAAGCAGGTTTACACACACGCAACACACGTTAAATCGCATCTTTCTCCACCTTTTCCATCCCTGCCTGCTCCATTTTCCCTCTTTGTCGCCTTCCCTCTTTGCAGCCCTTTAGGCCCTCTTTCCTGCGATAGATTTTTTATTCCTGTCTCCATATCACTACATATGGAATCAATATTTTCAGTTTGACAGTATAGGACCATAAAGAGAGAGCTGCAGTAAAGAGTGCAAGATGGAGGGGGATGTAAGGATAGAGAAGAGGTGTCAGGGATAGAAAAACAGAAAAATGAGAGAAAGGAACAAGTGAGAGAAGAGACTGAAGGAAAGAGTTTGAGTGTAGAAGATACACATGGAAAGTTGAGACAAAGGGGAGAACTCTGCAGATCTCTGGAATGATTTAAGCCGCCTGCCTGACCTGCCAGCTCTGGGACGACTGGTGAGAAAGCTGCCAGATGAGTGAACAGCAGATGTGTCCTGGTCTAAAATAGATGGATGAATGTATCAATTTTATCCAGAAATAAATTTATAGAAAGTAAAGAAGGAGACTGCTTTGCTGCACTTCACACTGACTCAAGTTTGGCTTGAAAATGTAGAAAAAAAAGCAGAACATTCCTGATAGAGTGAGTTCAACCTGTGTCACATCACTTCTCCATCTGCAGAATTTCCGACCGTTTGAGTCAGCGTGTCTCTTCATTGTTCCTATCGTGACCCGTGATTTATACCTTTGGAGACGCTCCTGACACACTTACACACTCTCACAAAGACACTTAAAAAGCACACACACTGTGGTGATAAAAAGTGAGCCACTAGTTTGTCTCAGGCCTCGAAACACACGGGCTGCGCACAAATGGTAAGGTCTCTGTTAGCATTTAAAAGCAGCTGCTTCAAGGCCGTGTATCTAAAACAGGCATTCAGCTCATGCCAGATGAAAAATTTGAGCTTTTATTTTATTTTTTTTTATGATAATCATTCTTCTATGGTCTCATTAAACGTCAGATAAAGATGAATTTTCATCTTGTTTGCTGTGTAACCAAAACAAAATTTATACCATGTGCTGAATAACTCAGGCAGAATTGATGTTTGTTTACTTGAGGATTCATGTTACGTGTCTGAAACTTGTTTGGATTTTAAAAAAAGAGAGGTAAAAGTAAATTGTCCATTTTAAAACAATTTGTGTGTCATGTAATGTTTTTGCTGACCTGCTTTTGAATTGTTTTTGTATGATTTTGCATTGGAGAACTTTGACTTATTCGGGATTGTCTAATCTACTTAATAGCATTTACTCTGCTCAGTCTTTCACAAAGTTCCCAGGTATTCTGATCCACCTTCCTTCAAGTAATCTCAATAGTATATTCAGGTTTTTTTTTCTGATGGAAATATATTTTAGTGGGTAGGGTTTGGGAGACATGGTAAAGCCACTTACTGGTTAGGGAAAGACGTACCGCAACAGTAAGTTCTCCAACTGTTGAATAGAATCAGTCATGCAGTATTGAGGACAAGCTGATTGCAACAATTGAGGGCTGTGCCCTCTAACGCTTTCTTTTACGCTGACACCACATACCATAATAGTGACGATGAAACTTGTATGATAAATAGACGTAGCATCTCTGGCGTAACCTGCTTTTGCTTGTGAATTATCAGTGGCGGTGTTAACGGCTACAGTGTGCCCACCTGCCAACCCAGTCAGTCATGCCCTTGATTCACCAATTTTATAATCTTAAAAACTTTTAATGGAACTGGTTACAATACAAATACACTACCTCTGAGAAGGTGCTGAAGGAGCGCTGACCTATTCACACCAAAACCTTTTTGTTAACCAGGCTGTAAACATGTAGATTTTTACCTTGGAAACATTTTTGGGTTCATTTCTTAAGACTAGAGTTTGCCCCTTGACAACTGAGCCAAGAGATAGAGTTGACATCAGAGTTTATATGTAACATAACACTGTATTATTAGTACTATCAGATACACAAGATTTCTCTTCAGTGATGGCAATCACAAAAAGTTTCAAAGACCTTTATTCATTCCTGTTTCATTTAATATTTCACTTTCCAAATCCAGATGCCATGTCATCCTTCAGACCACAGTTTCATACCAGGTATAAATGTTTCTAGAGGGCAAAGTGTTGGTAGGGTCAGATGTATCAGTGTATCTTTTTCTCTCTAAGAAGAAACTTGTCTTTATTTCTTTATAAGCCTGTTCTTTCTGCAGAAAAAATGTACCAATTTCCTCTTCAGCTGCATGTTGTGTTTGGACTTTGAAGAAACAATCTCCAGTATTTGTTCAGTCTGGTGACCTCCTAACCTTTCACGCTTGTCACTTTTCTTCTTCCCCAGCGCACACACGCGCACGCACATCGTACTTCTCTGGAGAGCTCATCTCTAATCCTCCCCTCAAAACATCTGCAAAATGTTAATTGTTATGCAGCTGAAAGAAAAATTGGAGATATGCCAATGACTCATGACAAACTCTGAAAAAACTCCAATAAAACTTTGCCTCTCTGTTCAAATATAAGTTAACTCAGCACCAGGCCATCGCTGCAGGCTCTTCGTTCAAAGTTTTTTCACAGTGTTTAACAAGGCATGTCATCTGGATTCCTTCCTAATTTTTTAACACAACAGCAGACGAGAGGCAGTCATGTATAGATGTAGTGGAAGTATCGTCAGTTTTGGCCCTCTCCCAGCTGCAGTGAGAGATTTAAAACCTGGCAGAGCATTCAGCTTTTATCCCAAAAGAAAGAAAGCAATCAATGGAAACAGAAGTAGTTGAAACAAGTAACTCAATACTAGAATAAAAACAGAGAGAAGGAGTCTACAATGACTCTTTATTGCTGTTCGACATACAAACGGCACACTGTGGATGGTCGATGTATCTTGGCGCAGTCTTTGGGTTTGTTGGCTGGCTGACTGACTGACTGCTTTTTGGCTTTGAAAAGGTGTCGGTGTGGTTGAATAGCAAACCGCCCTGCCTCTAGGCTGCTCCTGCAGACCTGTGCTACTCAGCAGAATGATGGATCGGGTGTAAAGGCTGTCCATCCTCGTGGTCCACCCCGCAGTCACCACTAATGAAAAGCAGACATGACGAGGCAGCTGCTCTCACTGCCTGATTCCCGCACCGTTGCCTGAAGGAAACCGGGGGAACAATGTCAAGTTGTGCTGCGTTATCAGACCAGATAGTTCACGCATGATTTTTTTTGTTGGATCTTGTCTGTTTTGATGCTGCTTAGACATAATTTTTGAGAAATGTGCTGCTCCTGTGATCATTTAGGTCCTAGCCTTGAATACAGGACTGATGACAAGTGGACACAGTGATACATTTTTAAACCAGCTAAAAAAAATTGTACAATCACAGCACCCCCAAAATCACCATTGATCTAATCCTCTGTGCTGAGTAAGAAGTTATCCCAGACGAGAGAAAAACTCAAGTTATTATTTTGTGAGGAAAAAAAAAGATAAAGAAAATTAAAACTATGAGATGGAAAGTCAAAATAAGAGTCATATTAAAAAGCTGAATTTGTGAAAAGATATAATTATGACATACAAAGGTAAAGTTATATTAGTTAAGTCATAATTATGGGATGAAAAAAACATTATTAGAGATAAAAGGACAAAATTATAGGAAAATATGATGCTATCCAAAAAATAGGATTTAAGGTCTTTATACACCGGGGCCGACGAGAATATAGAACGCGAAATTACGAAATAGTCGGAGGAGAAGACTTTTCCCGGGGAAAGTCCTGCCTCCTTCACCTCTGATTGGTTAGAAAACCTGGAAACGTCATCACACGCTCAAGCCAAATGGTCAGCACTGATAGCCAATCAGAGGCGATAAGATAAGCACATGAAACTATGGTAACAAGCTAAGCTTATGTTAGCACAGATGAAAGTTAAAACAAAGACGTTTAGCAAACTGTTAAAGCACAAAAACCATCGTCATTTGAGAGATCTGACGCTATGTTGTCCTTCAGATCGTTATCTTTGTAATGTTTGTGTTTTTTTATCAAAAAGAACTCTGTTCTCCAACACGTAAACCATCAGCTGGTCGGCCATGTTGGATAATTACAGATTCCTACTCATATGACCTTTTCTCTGAGAAATTTGGCTTTTCATATCAAACTCGTGACTCTTAGGCCCAAAAGAATTTTTCTTCTGTCTGATTATTTGGTATTAATCAAAGTGAGTTCAATGTTTTTCGGGATTTTTACAGAACAAAAGGGACTTCCATTGTTTGTTTGTTTTTAGTTTTAGGGGAAAAATGACAAATTGTTTCTCTGAAACCCTAATCAAGGAAGAATTCTGCTTTATAAACTTTCACTGAGGCTGTGTGTCTGATTTTTACCTAACAACGTTGCACTGTTGCTGCTCTCTTACAATCAGAAAACTGTGCAGTGCACTAAATTTGGCATTGCACTACATTTACTTGAACACCATTTTGCATTGTTTAACTAAAACACCGGTGCCTCCAAAAGGTTTTACAACTTCGTCACTTATCACAAATGCTACAGCCTAAAATTAGACTTAAATTCCTGTCTAACCCAAAGTTTGGGACTGACTGGACTACTGTTCTATATACTCCACTGAAAGATCTCTTTCAGTCAAAAAACCCAGGTTGTTAAGGGGTAGGTAGACTTTATGGCTGCAGACTAAACAAAACTTTTCGTAGAAGAGGAGCATCCAGATCACATGTTTAGTACAGGACCTTTGCCTCTTCTTTGAGTTTCTTGTGGTTTTTGACGTCTGCCCTCTCTGCTCTTCCCAATATGGACCTAAGTGGATCTCTGCTGTTGTCAAACCAGTTAAATAGACATCTGGATGTTGTAATAAGACCATATTTAAGGTTGATATTTTTGGAACGCTTTGGGACATGACTGCATCATAATCCATAAATGTGCCAGACTCTGAAATACACATCCTCCCTTAAGTATTAACTCTTATCATCATCGCACTTGTGTTATTTCCCTCCATATGCTCTGCATGTTAGCCGCCTGTAATGAAATCTTGGGAGAGACAAGTATTCATCCACCCCAGTATAAACACAGACAGGAGTGAAAACTCTTTGAGTGTTTGACTTGTAGCAGGCTCCTCCTCTGTGTATTTTTATAAAGCTATAAAGAACACCATGTTGTGAAAGCGCACAAGTCAGCCATTATTCCTGGACTGTTCTCCAATTGGCAGTGATCCCACAGAAAACTCCAGCTTTGTTCATGACTTAATTTTCTCTCTGCTCTTATCCCTCTCCATCTCCTCAGTCTATCGCTCTCCTGGTATGCAGTGTCATTACTATGGTATTCTATGGTGCTTGTTGCAGCTTACAGCTCAACTTTTTTCACATTTGGAAGTAACTTTCATACATCCTTTAGCTTGTCAGTGCAGTCGCCACAGAAATGAGAAAAAGAGAGAAACAAACACCCAAAGTTTGAGGTTAATTACCCTCAAGATGCACGCTGAACACAGAATTAATTGGTTTTCAGTGCAACATTATTTTTCAATTTGCTTCACATTCTTTACCTCCCAGAACATTTCATGCCAGATTTCCTTTTAATTTACAAAACTGCCTGTGGTGATTAGAAATGGAAATTGGGTCCACTTTTCAATATTCCCGGAATAGAAAAAGACTTGTTTAGCTGGTCTTTCCATCCTTAACCTAATTCTTGCTGCTGTACATCATGACTCAGCATTTGTTTGTCAATGCAAAAGGCTGAGCATATCACTTTTGTGAAAATGATTTTCCTTTATAAACCCTTGAGTAAAGTAGCTAGGTCACAACTTTTACACAGTCCTTGTAGTGCGGTGTTCCTCAAGGTTGTATTCTCAGCCCACTCATTTTTTTTATTCCATGCTTTCTATGAGGCACTTTATATACCATCATGAAAAAGTCCCATGTAGCTACTATATAAACTAGGGGTGGGTAAAAAAATTGATACAGCATAGTATTGCGATATTTTGTCTGGTGATATATCATATCGTCTCATTTACCACGTATCGATTTTTCAAATTAACCGCTAATATGAAGTCAAATTCATGAAAATGGGGAAAAATAAAACCATTGTCCAGTGAGGTTGGCAGAGGTGACATCATAGAGCAGGAGAAAGTTAGTGCAACAAATATATATAATATTTGCAAGATGTGGCACATGAAAATAAAATGCAGCGTAAATAAGACAAACATAAAAGAAAGCCAAATACAAAATTAGCTAAAAAGTTGAAAAAGTTATATAAATTGCAATGTTGTATCGCAATACTCACTGTATTGAAAAATGTTAAAAATCGCAATAATATTGTATCGTGATAATATCATATCATGGGGCCACTAGTGATTCCCACCCCTAATGTAAACTAAGATCATACAAATCAGACTCAAAGTTTGCCAGCGACCTTATGAGTGTTACTACTTATAAAAAAATTAAGACAGACCACTTGGATGAAGATATATAGATATATTTTTTGTAACATTCACCCACAAAGATACTCCATACTCATGTCCAAGCCCAATAATCAGGTCCCTTCATGTTTCTGCATTGATTCTATGGCTGCATACAAGCTGAATAAGGGATTCCAGTAAAATTGATTCAATCAATCAATCAATCAATCAATCAATCAATCAATCAATCAATCAATCAATCAATCAATCAATCAATCAATCAATTAATCATCAATAGTTGTTAAAGTAGTTAATGTATGTAGATGACCTTAGCTTGCAATCAAAATTCTTTGGCTACACCTGCTGTGTGTTAAGAGATAATCATCATGCAGGACTGTTTTTCATTGCAACAGGGAGTCGATAAATCACATTATTTAGAAAGACAAATTCCTTTTTCCAGATCCTTTGATGTTTTGGATCATCACTTTGTTGTTATTCCACTATTAGTTGTGATTGTGAACATCTGGTGGAAATTTGAAATCTGCATTTGAGAGTATTGTGGTGAATTTTTTAGCCATGCACATGAATACATGGGTCATATGAGGCACATTGTTGCAAAGATGAGTCCGTAACAGTGTCTGTTTCCTGTTACCTGCAGGTGACCTACCTTGGTAAAGTGACAATTTCTGGGACTCAGTTCCTGTCGGGTTGCACGGAGTCGGCCGTCGTGGGTCTGGTGGAGCATCGTGCCCTTGCACAGCAACAAGGCATCTGCCCAGCAGGAAGCTCCCTGCTAGAGATTCGGCCCTTCCAGGTGCGTCTTCACCACCTGGATGAGCACGGCGAGGCCTCAGTAACCATGGACACGTACCAGGTGGCACGAATCGCCTACTGCACAGCTGACCATAGCATAAGACCCAACATATTTGCCTGGATCTACCGGGAAATCAACGACGACCTGTCCTTCCAGATGGACTGTCACGCAGTAGAGTGTGAGAGCAAGCTAGAGGCCAAGAAGCTGGCACACTCAATGATGGAGGCTTTTCGCAAGACTTTCCACAGTATGCGCAGTGATGGCCGTATTCACAAGAGTGGCTCGTCAGACGACTTTGCTGAGGACTCTTCCACCCCCGAAGACTTGACACCAGATGACGGTTGAATCGATACTGACCCAAACTCCTGATCCCATCCTAACAGAGTCGGGGGGGACTGTAAGGATGGACAGATTGCCCTCTCTCTCTCTCTCTCTCTCATTCTGCCATATCATCACTTTCTGTTATCAATTTGGGTCAAAATCAACTGACTGTGAATCAACACGCCTTGGATTATGAAGTAGCTCTTAAATACCGCGAAGATATGATAGAGGAAAGGAGTTCAAAGAGATCTACATTTACGTACGAGGAAAGCAAAGTGCTGCCACTTTGTATGAAAGGCCCTCAACAATCCGCAGAGGTTCTGAGCACCTCTGTTTACGCCCTCAAGAGATTAACCCAACATTCCCATTTTCAACCACTGTCAAATCTATTTGTAGCTCTCAAGCTTTTTTTCAATCCAAACAACAGTCCTAGTCTGCACCTGTGACTACAGCTAATGACAACTTGATGCTTCTCTTGCCATATAGGGACCCAGCAGAAATGGGCCTAAGATCTATTCAGGGTATTATCCTGGAGTTTATGAGACTGTGGAAGCACATAAATTCTTTAGATGTTTAATTACACAGATCTCTGCCTTCAGCCTCTGTAACAGCAGATGAGGAAGTGAAAGAAAAGATAAGCCTTTAAGCACTATTCATATCATTTCTATGGTATCAAAGTCCAACTCCAACTATGTTTCACCAGCATGGCTGGTTTTTCTGTGGATAATGGAGCCAGAGCTTCTATCACTGCCTCCATTTAATAGATACTTAAGGATAACACGTATTTGTAAGGCATCTGAGATAACATATGTAGGTGCTACTTAGATTTTAAAAAAAAGTTCTCACTGGGCTGAAAGCCTGGACCTCTCTGCGACACCTTAATCATCAACATCTGACTTCAGTTTTGAGTATACCAAAATTTCAGGCTGGATTTCGCCTGTCAGATTATGTGCCTCACTTTCCTCGCACATTAGTTCGGTCTCTTACTCTGGTCCCAGTGTGTATGTGTGGCCATGTGTGCATACCTACCTTTTCGTTTTGTTTGTTTCCCCTGTGTGTGTAGGTGTAATTGCTTACTTCTGTACTTTGTGTATATGAATGTACACGTGAGCGCTTGCATCTGTGTAAGTGAAAGAGAGAAGAGGAGGAAGATTATAGGGGGGTGGGGCGGGGGGGTAAGTGGCATTGTATGATTGGCTGGAAGTGAAGACTTGTCATTGCCCCTGAAGGATCCATTTTTAATGCTAAAGGAGGTGTTCTAAGATCTCAGACATTAGGGCCTGTACTGTGATTCGCCAAGTTTACTCACTTATATGTATGAAATGAAAACATGAGAGTCTGAATGAGTGAGGTTGAAGGACCCGAACTAAACATGGCCATCCAAGGTAACAGCTGATGCCTCCTGATGAATGTTATCATGAGTCATAACAACGTGCTGCCATTTCCATTCAGTCTCCCATGATCTCCTCATGCTGTAAGGGACAGTCGCCGACCGGTTTCACTCAGCTCTACTGCTCCACTTCGCCTCTCTCTGTTAGTGACTGGGACTCCATTGTTGGGCATCAGAGCTCTACGCTTCCCTCTTTTTAAAATTGGACCGCGGTGAAGAGACTGGACACTATCGGTGGAGATAGCCTTTTAGTCAGTGATTCAAACAACAATCAGGTGGCTCCGGTCAACACATACACACTCAAATATACACACATACGATTATACATATGTACACACACATTGTATTTGATTCTTGTTCAATAAGCTTATGTAAATACAAATGTATCACTTTCCAAATATTACAGCATAAATGTGGATAGCTATTTTAAATAATAAAAAAGTTGAGAACCATCATACGATACAGAAACAGTGTTATAAAGCCTACTGTGAATTCTAGGTGGAGAACCTGATAGAGGTGGCTGTGTGTGTATGAGTGTGTGTGTATGTTGGGAAGGTGTTGTATGTGGTAGGAAGCATGATGAAGGGTGTGTGTGGACAGGCCTGAGGGGGGAGAATGTTTCTAAAGCTGTAGATTACTGTGTCATGTCCGTCTGAAAGCTCAGACCCGCTTTAAATGTTCGACAAATGTTACCTTAAGTGTTTTCTATACAGTGTTTGCAAAGATCAAGAAACAATTGCATATAAAGTATTTACCAAGATCAAGCGAGTGATGTTGTGGTCTTTTTTCTCTCTTGTTGACGTTTTTTATTCTTAAGGTTTCACTTGATTGTGACTGAGTGGACTTCCTGCTGTGACTGTGTGGGAGGATAAACACAAAGCCTGTTCAGTTTCTCAACAAACAAGAGTGTGTAACCAGATGATGCTCTCTCTGACAGACAGCCAGGACAGATGTAAAGCATAACTTAACTGTCCTTCATACTCTTGCTGCTTTTGCAGAAATTCAGCAAGTAAACAATCTGCTTCTGTGAATCAAGTGTGTTTTAAGACGCGTATTCATGCCACCGGTATTTATTGTGATTTTTCATTGGATCATAGATGCCAAGCATTGGCAAGAATGAAAAGTTTGACTCACACTTTAACTAGAGCTCTCTGTGTGTGGTCACAGCGCCCTGAACAAACTCATAAACAGAACTTTATTCCAAAGCCTGCTTCAGGTTTAAGTGTGACACCCTCTTTGTGTCTGTGCTCTGAGGGAACTTCGACTCCCATTCTTTCCATTCCTCTGAATTCTCAGTTCTCTCTTTATTGTGTTGTTGTGCTCCAGCCTCTCGGTTGCCAGAATGCAGCAGTCCCCTCTTTTTCTCTTCAAAGTGCCCACATCACTTACACGATAACTAGCTTCTCACTGCTTCTGCGGCCGGCGATCATTTTGCAGCTTAAGAGCTGCAAAGAATTGGAGGCAAAATGGATGCTGTGAAGAATGTTAATGTACATTGAATGTGAACACTGCCTCCCTCTGGCAAGAACAGCTCCTGCTTTGAACTTGTTTTGAAAATCTCCTTTTCATGTTTATATTAACAGTTCGAGTCCTCGTGATAAGCGTCTCTTTGTAGAAAGCAGGAGGGAAACTGATAGATCTTGTTCAATGTAATTTGCTTAATTAGGTGGAAATTTGCCAGATTTTGTGCTTTTTCCACAAGCAAATGGACATTAGTCAGTTTGTCATCCAAAGTCCACTCATTAATAATCTTCACCATCAGCCTTCTGCCCCTGTCCCTCTCAGTTTACTGTACACAAGCTTTGCTAGTTTGTTTGGATGCCTCTTTGTCTTGGATTTCTGCAGAGTGCACCCACTCTGATTGCTCTTGTGTCTGTCTGACCCACTTCCAGCACAGCATCAGCACAGAGGGGCCCTGTGGGGCTCAGAAAGAGGCCACCCCAACAGCCTACGTCTCTACTCCACGGAGGCGTCAGTCAGTCAGTCAGCTCACAATACTACTCTGTTACAGCTCCAGCTGGCTGCTCTTCCTCCTTCAAACCCCAGAACCGCCTGTCTGTCCACCCGCCAACAGGCCCACATGCTTGAGGTCCGGCAGTGGAGGGGTGCAGTGCCAATACTGGCGTCTGATCAGACTCCCCATATTGCTCCCTATCTCTGCCTCTACTCCCTTACTTTCCTGGCTGCTGTTCCCCAAAGTAGGGGGCCGGGGCCTCTTGGAGAGAGACTGTGGTGCAGTACTGTAAACATGTAACATATGTGTAAAATGGGCCAGACACCGAACACATTCTTCATGCCTCTGGCTTGACTGATAAAGAACAATATTAAATGTCAAACTAAATTCTTGGACAGACAGGTGTGTACTATAGGGATGAAAGGAAAAACCTCCCCTACCTGTACAAGTCTGCACCAGAATTGTGAATGTTTGCCGGGTCTCTCTTTCAAATACGATTTTAAATCTCAGTGGGACTTTATGGTTGAAGGAAGGTAAGAAAAAAGGTAAATGAATTCATAAGTTCGTAAATACTATATATACTATACTATATAATGCATTAAGGCTGATCATATGTTGTGGATATGCTGAAGCCCTTCACTGCTAGCTAGGACTGTAACCCAAGTAATGGCGCCATCATGCTGATTCTCAACCGTCTTGATGTAAACAACCTTAGGGGACAAACAGCATCTTGTAGCCTGATGTGGTACAGCAGTATTTTCTTTTCAACTTATGTTATTTTGCATTTTTGCCTTTACTGGATAAGAAAGCTGAAGAGGGGGCAGAAAATGTGGGGGAACATAGAGTTGGGAAAGACGCATGGAGAAAGAGTCATGGCCAGGAGTCAACCCCTGTGATGTAGACCATAGCAAACTCAAGTCTTCACAGACAAATTCTGCATTTTTACTGTCTCTATTTTTCTTGCAAAACAAAGAAGAAAGAATAAAAACCTAGTTCCTTTCAGAAAACTAGCTGAGATTTGAATGTTATTGAACAGACGTTAGACAATTTAAAAGGAGTTTTGCTTTTAATAAGATAAATTGATAAAAAAAATATGAAGTTCTGCGGGTGATGTTTCTCCCAGACCTGAGGGATGATAAAGAGGACAGACTCAGATAGATTCTTTCTTTCTGACACACAAACCATTTCCTGTGATCACGTCCAGATTCCCTCTGATCCCTCCTGTTGGATGGCTCCCCATAGCCTTCAAATGATTTAAGATTCCTGTCATGATAAAATGTCTGGGGGGAGGGGGGGGGGGGGTCTTAAGTTAACTGTCTGTTAACCTGAGCCAGAAGGATTCAGTGAGCATTGCTATCCAAATACACTCACGGTCACATACTGAGGAGATGCTGCCCAGAAATCCTGGGGGGGACAGGAAATGTCTGCACTGAGATCCAGTAGGACGGATAAAGGTCTGAGAGAACAACAAGCTCAGACTGATCCTGGAGGATGGAGGTCAGTACTCTGTGTGCAAAGACTGACTGTGCACCTTTATTTTTCAGGGTTTAAACATTTAAATCGCTTGGAGGTGAATCTTGGAGACTCTTTGAGCAGTTGAAGTTATTTTCTACACAAAAATAACAGTGTTGGCCTTTTGAGAAAATACTAATACTAATACTAACTAGTTATTCTCTCTTGTCACGAGTCAGACCAGACCATCATGTAAACATTCACATGTATTCTATATGGCTAAAAAGTAGCAGGTTAGCTTTGTTAGCTAAGGTAGAAGGCAAAAAAACAAGTCAAACTCTGCCCAAAGTAAACAAAATGTTGCTCTCACAATGATACCTTATGAGTTCAAATGTCATGTCATTGACTTAATGGGCTCTATTTTCGTTCGCGCCGGTGAGGCGGCGGAGGGCGGCGAGCCCCGCGCAGTTGTGTTTTCGTCTGGCGGAGCCCGGCGTAAGGCGAGTTTGGTATTTTCGTGGACTGAGTCGCACGGAGGCGAGCCGAGATCCGCCAAGCTGGGCGTGGTGGCGTGGCAGGGGGAGGTGTTGACAGAATAAGCTGGCGCAGTGACATTTTCGTGCTCGCCACCGGCGTGTTACGTGCGCTGAAAGCTCGCCGATTCAAACCTGGTCAGCTTTCAGCGCAAGGCGGAACGCAGCTGGTCCAGTAGTATTTTGGTAGACCGGCGGCGTATCAACATACGTCACTGATGCCTCACCGGCAGGTTTCCACAGTGTCAGGCACATTTCAGTGCAATAAATAATCATCATCAACTATTAATCTGAGTCAGCACATATATTTACATCTATATAGATATATTCTGATCTATATCTGATCTGATGAGCGCGTTTGGCACGCGTTTGGACACACAACCTGACCGAATCAACACAGCTGAAACCGCATCAAATTAAATTAAATATCTAGTAAATATACACACATGATGAAGTTAACAAGATATGTAATTAGTCTCCCTCCTTTTCTTTCTTCCTCTTCCTCTTATTTCTCGCACAGCTCGACCTGGACATGTCTCCATGTCCTCTGTCCGTCTTGCTGCTGCTGCGGTGGCTGAACAGATGATTTGTTTCAGTGCTCAGATGCGTTATCTACTTTAAGCCGACATACGGATATTATAATATTCAGTTTTGTGGGCCAAATTTATTTTATATGCCAACATCTATGAAAGACAGAGCCAGGCCACGGAGCGCGATGCGTCATTTACGCACAGATGGTTCCGATTTTAATGCCATTTTTGGAGATTATGTTGTGATCCGTGCGCTCAACCCACCTTTGTCACGTGAGGTTTGAATATGAGCAACTTTATGTGAGTGTCTTTATTTGTGGAAAAGGGTGTTTGTCTTAACACTGGGTCCAACATTACGCACACCAAATCCATCTGTGCTCAGATGAGAGAGTGTGGAGGACACTTGTTGAGGAGCTGCCCTCTGTCGCCATCTTGTGGCATTACTGTCTTCAGACATCTCTTGATCTCTTTGACTACTTCATGAAAATAGTAATACGTCTCGCCTGTGGCGGATTTAAAGGCAAGGAGAGGAGCTTATGTGATTGGTGAAAACAGGTCTCGGCTGTGTTAAACACACTACACGCCCTATCTCCTCCCCATCTATGACTTATGCTGCTGGGAGGAGCTGAGTTAGGGAGGGGGGATACTTACGCCGGGCTGCGCGGCTCACCAAAATACCAAAATGTGCTTGGGAACGCCTTGTCAGCGCGGCGGATCTGACTGACGCTGCGCTTGCGGCACGTCTCCGGCGAGGCACCAAAATAGAGCCCAATGTCTTAAAAACTGTAACATTACACATTTGGCTGGATGTAATGAGACGAGGCTTTCTCTAAAAAGTTAGCCAAAGGGTGCTTTTGTCTTTTTGTGAACTATGAAGTGAATAAGTGCATTTTTAGATCCTCGTGTCAGGAAAACAACTTCCCTATTGAATAAAGGAGCTAAAATTGTTTTAAGGCCCGATGTCTTTTATGTCCCTCTTACTCTGGCGAACAGATGCTGTTGTTTTCCGCCGCTTTATCACACAGCCACGCTGTTCTAATTGATGGAGCCCCATTTTTGACTGTTAAATACTAAAGAAAGGAGATCATCAGAGAAGAAGTACTGAGAAGATGTTCACAAGAGTAGAGGAAGGTGTTTTAGAATGCATGTTTGGAGAAAAAAAAAAGGACAAATAGCAGACAGGAGAGAAGACACGGCTCGTCTAGTCGGGCATCTTGCACCCAGATGTTGAGGGAAGAGTTGGGTAATCCAGTCCTTTAACATCCTGCTCTCAGGGCCAGAAAACAAGCTTAGAAAATAAACAATAGACCAAACTGTCTCATAGCACACGAATGAGATCATAGACTTAAATAGAGATGTTTGAAAGGAAACAAAAGCCGGTTTAACTAAGAGAACCAAAAAACCAAGTATCATGCAGCAGATGATGATCCTTCTTTGTCCACATGGTGTCATCATAGCTCAGCCTTTTAGAGCTGAGCAGTCTTGTTGGGAGAAGTCTTAGACCTCAAGAGCGTTAAAATGAATATGGTTGACAACATGAACCAGTCACTGAAGAGGGATCTGGTTTTGAGTGAGTAAAGATGGTTAAAGATGCATTTCTCTGTTTTTCCAACATTCAAACAATGAGAACCATTTGTGCTTCAACAAAAGAGAAAGATTTTTTTTTTGCCAACTTGTTCAATCTGAATTACCTGGAGTGTAATGTTAGTTTTGCCAAAAGGGTTTTTGTGACGTTTCACCCGCCTTTCAATCACTGCAGGGTTTCCTTTATTGGAAATGTCAAGGATTCTAGATGGATGCCTCTTCACATTTGCTTCCTTCCCCACATGTCAGAGCCTTCGAGAGGAGCGCAGAGATGAGATCACTGAGCATTATACACATATCATTGTGGCCGATAACGAAAGCACAGACAATCCTGTTTTTGATCCAGATTTCACAAACCAACTTGATTCGACCCACATATAAGGAGGTAAATAATATAGATTTCATTTTGGGGGCCTGCTGAGGTTGAAAATTCTCTTATCTTAGAGCCAGTTTCTCTCTGCCTTTTGAAGTAGTGAGCTACCTGTGCAGCCTGAAGATTTGATCCCGAGACCCAAAAGACTCTGCGGGACAGAGATGGATTTTATAGACCAACTTCAAAACATCTCTGAACAGAGTCAAGACCTCACAGAGCTGTGTTATCGCTTTATTTTCTTGTGTGTAAATGTGTTTGTGTGTAGAAAGGATTCATAACCTCAATCTGATTGGAAAATGGAGTTTGTGTATACGGGGGGATAGGATTAACATATTTAATGCATACTGCTGATATCAAGCAGAGTGTGAGAGGCTTCAGAGAGAGGCAGGCTTAGAGCAGAGCTGGCTGTATTTACAATGAAATGACATAGGGGCTTTGTATGCACTCTATAGGGCGACTTAAAACATCACAAGGGATTATTTGTGTGGCAATAATAAGAGGAGCATCTGTTTTTGTTTGCAGACATTCAGTCAAGCTGAAGCGCAGAATCCCTCAGTAATTGAATTTTTCTCTTTTTGAAACATCTTAATTAGATTCCCCGGTTATGTTGCCTTGTAAATGGAAAAGAAACAATCAGTGCAAAATTATATACATCACCTCAGAATAAGGCTGAGTTTGGTTTTGTCACAAAAGAGATCTTCAGCTCTCATCCGATGATTAGGAATAGTTCTCACATGTAGAAATACATTTTATTAAAACTTTTACAAACTTACTGCAGACAAAATATCCTGACAGAAGTGAGCAACATCAAGAAAAAAGGTAAAAACCCCTCTGTGATTATAATCAGACCAGCAGACAGAAAGGATTCACAGATTACTGGCACTGTGTCTGCTGCTGGATCAGCTGCCAGTGCTTCCTGTTTTCTGTGAGTGCTGGATGCTGCAGTTGTACAACACTGTCACTGTGTCTATGAAAATGAATGTTTTAGTGACTGAACATTTAGTTAAGCTGTCACCCATCATCAAAATAATCAAGCTTTGATGGAGATTTAGTAAACGACCAGACTTTTTTTCATTCCAATATGGACCCCAGGCGTAGAAACCAATTTATCTTAGACAAGGAAGTGTACAGAGAATATGCATTACAGTAAAATCAAATCAAATCAATCGATCAATCAGTCTTTATTTATATAGCACTTTTCATACAAAATCCATGTAGCACATGGATTTTTACACAGCAAAGGAATCAAAGAAACAAAGAATGCCTGAATCTACCCCAACTCAACCCCTCATTCCCACCCCATGATCTAAGCACAACAGTGACATGTAATAAAATGGATGAACCTGAAAAGGGTTCGATTTCATAGAAACAGGAATGTGCACACCAAGGAAACGCTGTTTTAACCCTTTAATGCCTGACACCACAAATTAGAAAATTCAAATTTTTTTGGAGCTGAAATGTTTATTTCATTTACTACTGAAAACCAAAAAAATCAAAATGTCCTTAAAATTTAACAAAAATATTTATTTATCTTGTTGGATATATTAGATGTTTTTGGAAACTAGAGGGCATTTTTATCATTTATGAGACTGTATTCAGGTGTTTTTTAGTGATTTGTTGATCATATTGATTTGATAGAAGTATAAAAAGTATGTATCAAATATGATACAAAAGGCATTAAAGGGTTAAAATTCAAGATAAGGAAACACTGGAAGTTTGGTTGAAATCTAAAAACAAAGTAAGATAAAATGAAATTTAAGAAATAATAAATAAAATGAAATAAAAAAAACAGTAAAAGACACTAAAATAAGAGCACCAAAATAGCTCAATAAAAGCCGATTCTGTCAATAAACTCAAAAGAAATAAATCTTAAAACACTTTTTTAAAAAGTTGATGATATAAAATTTAGTTAAAAGCAAGACTAAAAAGGTATGCTTTGGGTTTGGTTTTAAAATCATTAAGATTAGGTGCAGTCCTCAAATTAAAGGTTCAAATTAAATAAAGTAAATTGAATTAAGGAGATAATCCAAGGTATCAATAAACACTTAACAGCATCAACATTTATTTTGCAAAAATGATGGAATATTAGTGTTCCACATTTAATTAGGTAACAATAAGGTCTGTGATGTTTTGATTGTGTTGTGAAATCTAGTTTCTGTTCGGAGGAACAGGTCATATCATTATAACGACCACTCACACGTCACATAGAAACAAGGTGCCCAAAGCTGCTGTCAGGATCAAACTGGTGACAGTGGAGAGTGACAGAGACACACCGTCTCTGTGACTGATCCTTCACTCTCAAAAAGCTTTTATCTACTGTGGCTGTTTTTTGTTTGACAGCTCCCACTTTTCAAATAATTCAGGAGATCTTTTTGGTTTGAGTCTGAGTATTCATTCATGTTGGCCGATGCTATGAGTTCAGTGGACATGTAAGGCCATGCAGGAACCCGGGTGGGAGTACGACGGCTGTTCATTTCACATCCATCTGTTTGGGGTGAGTCGGGTATACTACTCACTGACTCTTCTGTAATAAGGCGCAGGATGTGTGCTGTCAGAATATACGGCTGAGCATCAGACTGCTGTCAGATGTAATAACGTAGCCCGTCATCCCTCTGCACATTTTATAGAAGATTATCACCCTGACTCCTTTCTTTGTTGCATTGGGACCAAGAAGGTCAGAGGTCATAGTCATCGCTCAAACTTGAGCTACTGAAATAACAGCAGGCTGGATTTAGAAGCTGAGGACCTTTATCGCTGTCAGTCTCAATGCACTCAACAATCTAACCTCAGGCCTATGTTATAATTGCTGGTTACATAATGTTACATTGGTCTGATGCTGTACAACTTGTGATTTATTATGTACTGAATGTGAAAGTGACATCACTCAGTCATAAATGTAAACTTGACACTACAGGCAGAGGGATGTGTATGTGTTGAGTATAAAAAACTATTAAGAGTTCACTTGCGGGGGCGCTACGGCTAGGTGATATGGAAAAAAGTTATTTTATATTAAAATATATTTTTTCATATCAGTTGATGTCAATGTATCCGTCAAAGACCACATCTAGACGTCAGTGCGATGTAAAAAATAGGTTAGAAATTTTCGACGTCCAAATTGGACCTCTTTTCGACGTCGCTCTGAAGTTTAGAATTTGGACGTCATCTGAAGACCAAATCTAGACGTCAGCACAACATGCAAAATGAATCTAAGATTTAGACGTCATTATTGGACCTCTTTTAGACATTGAAATGAGGTTCACATTTGTACCTCATCGTAGAAAAAATACGATAAATATCTGTCATTTGGACGTCGCATTGCGCAGTGGGATATCATGATATTGCATCGTGCATGCTCTGCCACGTTGCACTGCTTCAGGTGGTGAAAAAGGTCTTGTCATGTCTGTCAAGTTCTGTTTATTTTTTGCACATTCATGTTTGGTTTGTCTTTCCTGACTTATTCTGGAATCATTAACCCTTGTCTCTGTGTTCCAACTTTGCTTCCTGTCTGCCCTGCCCCCATCCTGTCACACCTGCTCACTGATTGTTTCTCCCCACCTGTGCCTCATCAGCCCTCATTACCTCTTGTATTTAACCCCATGTCTCTCACTGTCTTGTTGCCAGTGCGTTGCACTCAATAGTCCTCGGCTCAGCCTTTTTTTTCCTTCACAGCTACAGTCATAGCCTCTCGTGTTCTGAACCTTGCTTGTTTTTGGATCTTGCCTTTTTTGATCTGATCAGGGATCAATTTTTGTTTGCATTATAATCTAATAAACAACATTCACACAGACACCAGCTGAGCAGAGAGAAATGCAGACAGGTAGAGGCTCCAAAGGGCAAGAGCTCAAGCCAATGTTTCCAGTAATGTGATGTTATTTAGTAATACAGCTTATCTGCTGCCGGTGTGATTTGTGACAGCTTTTTTGGACAAAAACATTCAGCAGAGACCCAAGTAAGGAGCTGTGAAAGAGCCAATACACACAGATGTTTCTATGAAATGGAGACAAACAGCAAGAGTCGTGTTCCTACTATCGAGCCACTCCTGAACCAGAGACATCGACAGGGCCAGTCCAGAGACACAACCTAAAGTCTACCAGGAGATTTAAGAGCACTTCATGCTTCCAACTTCTGAGAAGAAGCTCTTTGGAGACACACATCTCCTCTTCCAGCAGGACCAGCACCTTTCTACGGCCCATAACTCCCAGAAGCTGGTTTGCTGATCATGGTATGACTGTGCTTGATTGGTCAGTCAACTCACCTGACCTAAACCTCATAGAGAATCAGTGAGGTATCATCAAGAGAATGGTGAGAGACACCAGCACCAACAATACAGACAAAGGAGCTATCACCCCAGAAGAGCCATGGTTTGATTTCCCCTATGCCAGGTCACAATTATTAACCTTTCTCCTGTGTTGGCTTTTACTACGCACCAACCATTGTTAAGGGTTGGTTTTGACTCCTGTCCAAAGTCAGCTGTTAATTACAGTAAATCACTTCTCTATTGTCCAGTTTGGTTCTCCTCTCTAGGTTACCTTGTAACCTGTTCACTTCATTATTCATTGAATTTTGCCTATAATAGTTTTTGTTGTGGTCCTCTGGGCCTTTCTTTGTCAGTATACCCCTCACACAGACATCTATACTGAATTGATCTCACATGTCTGGACATGCCCGATGTTGTTTTTTGTGCAGGGAAAAACATGGCAAAATGAGAATTTCCTAAATATCATGATTGGAAGAGGATCTGACTGTCAGTGTGGTGCCTGACAGTGCACTTTGATTTCAGTTTTTGCTCTAATTATTAGATATTGATCTAACCAGATCAACAGCAACCCTAACATAACAAGTGCCATCATTTTAATAAGAGCATTTTAAAATTTAGTCAATTAAATTTTTTTATTTTCATTTTGTTGAAATAGAGGTTCCTGACAAAGTCAAAAACTCTTGATGCAAAAAAGCAAATACAAGTGGTTCTTTTAAGCATTTAAAATAAAAAAACATATCAGTGCAGACCTTAACACAGGAGGAGGGTTAAGTAATTAATGCAAAAAGAGCCCTAACCAAGTACTGAGTGCATAAATGAACATAATTTTCCAGAGGGTCAGCATTTATGTATTTTAAATCCTCTTTTTTGGATTGGTGTTGGTAATACTCTAATGTTTTAAGACAGTGAATTTTTGATTTTCATGAGCTGGAAGCTGTAACCATTAGAATACAAACAAAAAGTCTCAAAATATTTCACTAGAGTATACAGAAGTTTCATATTCTCAGTTAAAAATGGGAAATATGGCATATTTCTTTGGATATTCTAATTTTTTGAGCCCACCTGTAGATCTTCACTGAACTATATCGTCTTATTTTGAAATCACAGACACTTCACTGAAACAAAGTTTTTGCTGAAGACTCCAAACTTGGTATTCGGGAGCAGAGCCAGCGACCAAGAAGCACTTAACGGGTTTGGACAAGATGCTCAGCCATAATCAAGTCAATCAGCTGTGATAACACCTCAGCTGGAGACATCTGACACAACTGATCTAACCTCAGAGGGCTGCTGGCCAAGATAAACAAAAGTGTGGTGTTGTTTCCTCTAGTAAATAAAAAGTAAAAATTCTTTGGAAACCACAAGACTCAAAATAAGAGTTTTAATGAGTGTCACAAGCAATAAAATATTTAGTATTTGTGGAGAGTGGTTGGGTGTCAGCCTAACACCCTCAACTGATATGTAAGTGTGAAAATATTAACTTCAGATGTTGGAAAGTCCTAATATTCCTTGAATCAAACGGTCACTTATAACAATAAAAAGTACACATTTTTTAAAGTAGATGCTGCTCCTTAAAATAAACCTCTAACTAGGTCAGTCTTTACTCATCTATGTTCAAATGTACACTTTTATATCTCTGATCCCTTTATTGTGGGTCAACAGGTTAGTTTTACACTTTTAATCCAGAAATGCTCAGTGTCCTCGCAGAGCCGCAGTTGTTTCTCTTGACCTTACGCATGACTGTTTAATGAGACATTGTCCTTGGACGCCTCTCAAGGCGTCACAGCTCGCCCAAAACATGAATAAATAAGGCCTGGAAACTGCTGCGGGGGGCTTGACAACGACAGGGAAATATAGAGGTAGCACTTGATCCGAATAGACTTTTTTCATGAATAATAATGTCTCCATGTGGATCATTTAGGGTTTACAGGCAAAGACAAATCTTGTCAAAGGAGCCCTCTTTCCCCTGTGTAGGTCATGAGAGACATGGACATGTTTCCGAGGCTAAACATGAGCCCTGGATTGAAAATTGTTAAGTCACAACAAAGAACTTTAAGTAAAGTTTGAGGATTATAAGACTGTGAGTTTAGATGGTACTGGGATTGATTTTTCATGATTCAACTTTATCGATATCATGTTTGGGGTTACAAAGAAGGCCTATCTGTAACTCTTGTATCTCAGTCCTCTTTCAGCAGCCTGGTTGAGTTCTGTCTTTGATTTTATCCATGTACTCCCCTACCCTGTGCATACGGCAGGACACGAATTAACAGCATCCTGCAAAGGACACAGAGAAACATCCTTGCTTTTCGGCTTCTTATCCATTGTGCTAAATGTCACTCTTCTAGCTTAATGGCTGCATGATGTAAAAATGATCAACCCGCCCACTCACCTGCTGTGAATTTTCCTGAAGATTCAGAGCTTTTACAAGTCACAACTGTTGATTTAACCTTTGTCCCACTGTTGAAGCACTGGGCAAGAACTGAAGCATGTCCATCTGTGAACCATTTGTAGGCATGGTTGGAAAGTGTTTTTTTTTTGCCAACCCTTTCAAGTAACCCTTCGTCGTCTGTAATGGTTTTGTTTACTACCTAGCTTTGGAGCAATTCACGCTATTTAGCTTCTAGCTCAAAGCCAAGCATGCAAACACTAGAGCATGTGTAGAACGTTTAGGCCAGTTTCAATCCAATTGAGCGGCAAATATGACAGTAGATAAAATAAATCTCCAATTGTGTTATCTAAGTATGTCGGTCTGACTTTTAGACTGTATATACTAACGCCTTACGTCAATATACGAATTTAAAGCTGAATTGCGCTTGCTATTTTGCAAGATTTCCGGCATTTTCTCCACTTCCTGGAACCACCACTTGCACAATAGCATTGTACGCATTTGGCGGGAGAGTCGCCAAGAGTCGCTGTGATGACGCTCGGCTCAAACAGGGTATCTACCGGAAGAGCTACGTAATCTTCATACAGCTATAAGCTGTATCAGGTGTCAATCAAAGAAAACATGAACCCCCGAGTAACTTTTAAAAATGGAGCCTCACAGAAAAAAGAGGACTTGAATACAAACCAGTCTTACAGTAACTACATGTCAACATCGCAATGAGAGGGGAGAAAAATGTACATGCTGTGTAATAAATTTCTAAAGTTTGTCCACAACTCCATAGGGATTACTGAAGGAGGAGGGATTTATGACCTATACTGCAGCCCGTCACCAGAGGGTGCTGATGAGGAGGCAGATGATGTCGATTCTTATATACAGTCTATGGTCTGACTACAAGAAGTCTTATTAGAGTGCTAAAAAATTTAGTTTGTGGGAAAATTTTGTTTGTATTCATGCATACGGCCTATACCCACAAATATTTCTGGAAGTTTCTATTGTTGATGCCAGAGTGGTTGTGGAACAGTGGTAGCATAGGAATAAAGAGCAAACAGAGTCAGTCTTCATTAAATTTTTTATGCTTAGGGTTCAAAGTGAATGAATCATTTCATTATAAAAAGCAGGATGACACTTTTTCAACAGGATCACCACTTTTACATGTTCAGGGCAAGAGCAGCACAGAGATCAAAAACACCACACTACTTTAATAATCTATATATCACTATTTTTATTGTATATTTTAGACTATTTCTTTGGAAACTAGAAGCCCTTGTTTCGAGCTAATTTTCTGCTTTCTGTATATTGTTAACATTTTAAAGCAGAAGAGTTCTCCCCAAAAAACAACTGCCTCACACATATTGTCACTAAACTGCAAAATGTATTTATAAATGTTAATCAAATTAGCTTGTGTCAAAGGCAGTAAAGTCATTTAAATGTTTGTTTTCCATGGGCTGAAATGTAAACAGGCTGCAGTGCCAGGAAAAAAAAGAGCACATGAGCTCAAACTAGAACATCTTCTTTCCTTAGTTTTATTTTGTTTGACAGCCAATCTCCACTCATCTGTCTCACGACACTTACTTAATAATATTGGATTCCTTTCCTCCCTCCTCCCTCCTTCTGACCTTTCTTTCTGACTACATCACAATTCCCCATCAGTGCTCTGACATTTTCTTGCCTTCCCTCCATGTTCATTACCAGCCTGGTGGGGGCAAACAACAATGCAGGGGGGATCAGAGGCCAGAGTCAGCACTTGTGTTACAACAGTGGTGACACAGTTAAAGGAAAGAGGAAGTATCTCTTGAGCTCTTGATGCCCCCGCATCTTACTGGAGCACAGGGTCACAGACAGACATATAGATACAACGCACCGTACAGAGAGCAAACAACATATTAAAGTGAGTAACCTTTGATTCTTCAAGTGAGTCAAACACCGGAAGAAGAGAGAGATTTTGATATTGATCTATGGAAAAAGGATTTATCTGAAGCATTAAGAAAACATGGATTCGTTGTCCAAAAGCCTAAAAAAACAAAATACTTTAATTAAAATAGATAAAAACAATAAAATTGGCTCTTTTTTTGTCTTCTTTTATAATTTGGTTTGGAAAAATGCTCCATAATTGAAGGTTATTTTCACCAGCCTTTAATAAGGATGGGCTGTTCGCCATGTGAACTACCCGTGAGCTTTAATTACAAACATGCAGGTGTGAAATGAGTTCCTCTCAGTGTCTGGTCTCCTCTTAAGCTGAGAAACCATTAATCCAAATAAGCAATTAAATACAGTCCTTAGCTCTAGTTTTGTGTTATCCAGCCACAACAAATGTCCATGCTTTTGTGTAGGACTTTATATTGACAATGCTGTGCTACCAATAATGTCAACAGTTATTCATGGCTTTAGCTTTGCTTTCATGCATTTGTTAAAGTTAATATATCACTACCGCAATACAAGCGTAAAAAACTTGTTTACATTAACACACAGCTCATGAACCTATTTTAAAGATGCACATTCAGTTGTATGTGGGTGTATGTCTGTGTGCAAGAGAGTGTGTATGTTTGTGCATGAGTTTGAATTGATTGATTGTTATGTATAGTATTTAATGTCAAGGCAAGGATGTGTTGTCCAGATATTGAACTGTTGGCTGTATTATGTTTCAAGTGATTTCAGTCATATCATAACAATACTTGTATGCATCCCACCCAAAGCAACGGCTGAAGTTCTGTGTGATGTTCTTTGTGATACAACAGCTAGGGTACAGACCCAAGATGATGACAAACTGGTGAAAAAAAGCTGGCTCTGTGGTTGGAATCATGTTGGACTCACTGGCAGATGTGATGGAGAGATGCACACTGAGGAAGGTAGAGACGAATTTAAAAAAAAAAAAAACATGGTTCATCCTTTATAACACCTAGATGGACCAAAAAACAACAGTGGCGGACATGTCCTCTCTCTTCACTGCAGTATGGAGAATTTCAGAAGATCTTTTATACACACAGTCATCAGACTTCTTCATTCTCCTTTAAATAGTAGATGAGAGGAGATTCCAGACAAACAAATTTCCTTTAAGGGATCAATAAAGTTGTTGTATTATATACACTGTGTACTCTATATCTTCTCTCTTATTATTATGTTTCTTTTTATTTAATTGATTGTTTTTGCTCATGATTGATTCTTCCTTCCAGCAACATTTATGTCATATGTGATTTCACTTCACCAGTAAAGTAAGAACAAAAACCTCGTAAGGATTAGCCTTCTCGCTTTAAAATGGGATTTGGCTATCTGACTCAATCTGAGTTACTGTGATTTATAGATTAGATGTTTTTCATTTTTTTGTGTCTGCTAAGAAGGTCTGAATACTGAAAAAAAAATGTATTTGAATTTAAAAAGTCATTTCACACCTTAACCTTTATGTTACTGTGACTATAATATTGATCTAGATATTCAAGAAGCTCTGCATGCATCTGGAAGTAGGATCTAATACACATCATCATGTTTTTATTGTCCTGGATTGCTTTGGTAAGGTCAGCACTCTATCTCACCCTCTCTGTAAACACATAATATTAAACAGTGAGCCAAGGTCACACTGACAATGACCACAAAACCCAGCTGATAGCTAATAAGATCAGGCTGCTTTCCAGCTGAATTGCTAATGTATTATGCATTTGTCTCATCTAATCATGATCGTTTGGTCCCCTGTTAAAGCTTCAGGGTTTATTCAAGCTCACCTCTCCCTCTAGGACCCCTCCCCTGCAATGTTGAAAACTACATCCATACAATAAAAAATAAAATCTTTAAAGAAAACAACTACTGTAATGTGGGAAATCTTCAGACTATATAGCCATGACGAATCCAGTTACCGTTTATCTAAAGAATTTAATGTACATCTTTTATGATCAAATAGGACTCCTCTTCACTAAACCACTGGTTATCTAATCTGAGCTTGTTCCAGTTGCCATCTTCACGCAAATCACTTCTAATAGCCTGACAAGAATAAAGATCCTTCATGTACACCCCTCAGTCAGAACAGAGTGGTCCCATCTGGCCTATTTGGAGGACATTTTTCTGGTTGAGAGGGGTGGTGTATATGCTGTTTGTTATTCAGGTCAATATCCATGTAATCACTTGATCAGATCATTTCCTTCAAACTGGGATGTAATTATTTTCACTGTTTATACTTCCCCACACGCCATTAAGTGCCGTGATGAAATGTGATCGCCCTCCTCTGACTCTTTTGATGTCACATGACATGAAGCACAGACCAAATTAAGGTTTATGGAGTCTGATTCTTGTTATTCCTATTTGGCACAGCTTCATGTGTAAATCATGTCCTCTCGGGGTGGAGAGTCAGCCATCCATTTGTGCCCTCCAAATAGATTTACAGTAATCATTAAAACTCCCTTTTAATATTTTTATCAGACTTTCAATAAAAAGAAATAATCATAATTAATGAACTAGATGTGCCCTCACCTCTTTCTATGGATTAATTTGAGATGTGTGACATGTGCAAATAAGTTTTCCCTGGTATTTTATTTTTCTATCCAGAACAATATTTGTTCTCAAGGGGTTTTGACCAATCAGAACCAAGTATTTTACATGGCTGGTGAATGATAAGAATTTGAAATTAGAGTAATAATGTCATTTAACATATTTTAACATATCCACATTGCACAAATACTAAAGCCTGTTGGACTTTATTTATTTAGTTATTTATTTGAATATTTATAAATCTCACTTTCGTCATTATGCATATTTGTTTTGTGACCTGATGTTAAACTTCTGATGCATTAAATACCCCTTAGGATCAATAAAGCCTTTTCAATCACAAAAAAATACTTTTCTAGGAGATGTTACTAGTTAATGTGAATATCATTAATGAGAATG